GGGGGTGGGTTTAGGAGTGTGGTTTTTTTGTTTTATTAAAAGAAGGGTTTTAGTGAAATTTGGCACAGTTCGCTTCCTTAAAACTAGAAATCATGACAAAACTTTCTTTCACATAGAGAGCTTACCTGGGGTCCATAAGATAGTAAAGTTGTGGAATCCCTGATGCCATTCGGACCTATCATTGTAATATACTGATTTCGATCTGACCTTGGCCCCATAACCTAGCATTGCGGAGGCCTCCACGGTCCGCCCTCCTATTTCTCGGCCATCCTCAGTTTTTAAGTTAGAGTTCCCTCTCGAGAGTATCCGAATGGTGCCGGACTCGTAGAACGGACCGTAAGAGTAAGTAACAGGAATCAGTCGTATATCTATAAAAATCGTTTAAATGTATCTTTATAAAGACATTGGAAAAATCAGAAAGGGAAGATTTGTTAAATAAAGCCGGGTGTTTCAATGAGACAAATAAGGCAGCGCTTTCCCGAATTAGTGTGGAAAAATTGAAAAAAGTTAAAAGCACTATTCATGATACTGAAAACTATTTGGAGGAGACAAATAATACATTAGATAGATCTAACCTGCTGCAATCCAATCACCAGAAGGAAATTTGGCTTGAATCTCTATTAACCCGTACTGAAAGCTGAACTTTTGTTTTGTTGTGATCCGAGCGGACTGAACCGGTGGTAAGATGAAAAATTCAGTCCCTCTCGTACATTCGTCATTGAACATGTCCCCTGTGCATCTGAAAAATGGATGATACAACGCAATCAATAACAGCGTAAAACTAATACTCTTTATCACGGCCACTTTAAACGAAAGAAAAATGCTGAAGATAGAGAAGGAGAAGTATCGGTAAGAGCAGCTGTGTTTGAGTCCACCCTGAATTTCCTCGACTCTACGATTTTCTGCTCAACGAAAGTATATATTTTACGGAATGAATCGTGATTTGGTCATTTTTGGGGTTTTTCGAAACAAATACTGACCTACACAGATATGAAGGCCGATTTTGGCTTTAAGAGCGGGTTTGAAGTCGAACGGCAAAAAATCCTTATTTTTCGGCAATTGCGACCCGTAGAGATCCATGTTTAGGCCAGTGTTAGACCCCAAAAAAAAACCGAAAATTACTGATTCATCGTGCATTCCGTATAATATAGATCTTCAACGAGGGAAAAATGTCATTAGGTTAGGGAAATTCAGCTAGAGTGGGCCCAAAAATGGCCCCTTTCGAAATGTCGATAGGGGCATTCCTTAAAATATTGCATGAAATCTCACGAGGCTGTGCAATTTATGAAAAATATGGAACAATAATTTCACGGGCCGATTCTCTTTAAGACAACAGAAAATATCTCCGTCCAAATCTGAACACCCAATTTTTCGATCCTACTTGAAATAAAATCGACTCTTTGAAAGTGTTGCCTCTGTACATTAAGGTACTTTTTCTCACGGTCAATTACAGAGAGTATACGCTATACTCTCTGGTCAGTTATGCAGTTGTAGCCGTAACATGATACGTGAACCTTAAGGTCTCAGACTGTCTCCTCAACCTTCCTCCTAAAACGCACGAAAACAAAAGCTCCAATGTTTTTATGCATCACTCAAAAGTTCATTGAGGCCAATCTGGGATCAAAAAGTTCGTATGTGCGTCAATAAGGGTTTAATAGTATTCAGAAAAACGTAAATTAGCAAGCGTTACCTTTCTAACTCAAGTTTCCCATTCTCAACGAAACTTTCATTTAAAAGCGTCGGTTGAATGTGCAACGCTCCGTGTTTGATGAAAATGTTTTCTGGCTTAGAATCATAGACGCTAAACTCATAATCCTGCGACAGTAAAATGAAACTACGTGAGACAAGGCCTAGTAAATGAAAATCGGTTGGGGTTCATGGATACACAAGAAGAGTAAAAACAATTTTTCATAATTTTTTTAATGATAGTCACTGTGACTTTTGTTGCAGGAGACTTGAACGCAGGAGTATAAAAGTAGAGATAGAGACCAGGAGACTCTGAGCTCATCAAATATAAGTTAAATAAAATCCTGGTGGTGTCACTTCTCATAATGGATCGTTTCGATACATCAAACAGGTGAGATTGTATCGATATCGATTGGTTCAACATGTAAACATAGCCATAGTTTCTTGTAATGAATTTTTGATTCTCATGAGTGTAAAGGGACATTGAAAAATGAGGTTGAATTTTTTCAGCTTTTACAACTTGATTCCTCAAAATTTTGTTCGAGTTTCATGTTTTGTAATACATCGAACAACTATCGAATACGATTCATAAACCCGCGCCTTACTTTGTACGGTAAAACATACCGGTTTTGATGGTATTTTGACATCATACTGCCACCGATCCAAATCAATCTTTTCGAAATCGTCGAAGAGAATGACTGAATTTTTACAAGCTGGTTTATGTCGTCTTGGACCCTTCTCGTTGGTGATCATCGTTCTTGCAGGCACGCAAGAACTTGATGTTGTGGGCATAGTCTGCTGAGTCGGTGAGTCGACTTTATCCTGCACGTGATTTTCGCCACCAGCCTCTGAAAATTTCAGCAAAGGTTACACAAAAATCCTGCGTTTGATGGACTCGGGTGTTCTTGACCCGAAGATTGCTAGAATGGAGATGTTGCATGTGTGAGGGATTTGCAATTTGACCATTAAATCTTATGTAAAAGTTTGCGAGAAACACGATGGTCCGCTGGTTTTCTCTTAAATCAACTCCCAAGATAAAAAACCTCTCAAGTTGAGGGCGTAATGGAGGGGATATCCCACCCTACCCTGAGAGTCCACCTCTACATCAAAACAAACTCTCCATGCAAAGATAGGGAGCAACACTAATCTGTGGGGAGCAAATACATTAGCAGGGTTGCCGTGTTTTCAGTTTTGGAGTCCCCAAATAAAGTGGCAACCCTGCTAATGTATTTGCTCCCTATCTTTGCATGGAGAGTTTGTTTGGATGTAGAGGTGGACTCTCAGAGTGGGGTGGGATATTCCCTCCATTTTGGCCTCAACTTAAGAGCTTTTTTTGAGCTTGGGAGTTGATTTCAGAGAAAACCAGTGGCACCCTCGTGTTTCTTGCGAACTTTTACATAAGAATCAATGGTCAAATCGCAAATCCTTCACACACACATGCAACATCTCCATTATGGTTGAAATGAAGCAACACTGAGTGGGGAGTTTTGAGAAGATATTAGAGGAATAAGGCTGATATTATAAATAGCAATGCCATAAACATGGCAACCATGTTAGCCTAGCTTCGGGGTTCTTTGTCGGTATGCAACCCTCAATGCAGATTTCTGATTCTCCCGAACAGCCTCGTGTCCCGCCTTTGATCTCTTTAGGATCCTCATTTGCCTGCACGAAACAGCTGAAAATTCCTTTATAGATTCAATCTTTTTTGTCTCTTCTCTCTCTCCCTTCCTTTCTACTTTTTTTCTCTTTTTCCTCCTCCTTTTCTCTCTTTCCTCCTCCTTTTCAACTTCTCATTCTGGCTCGTTCTTTATTATCAGGACAATTTTTTAACAAGAGTATAATCACACACTGATCCAAAACTACGCGATGCCAATTAAACGGTTTTTTTGCTTCACCTGAAACTCCTGTTGCATAAACATTCATGCGCCATACTCCACCGCATTTCTCAGAGACATCTCCAGAACAGGTCATTTTGCATTCATCTGGTTTGGTTTGTCTACTCATGTCCAACTCCCTGTTGCTGCAGTAACATTCTTTCCTAGAATTAGGAGTAACGTACATAATAGGCCAGTAACAATATAAAACATTGCCCTTTCAATAAGCTATTGGATTCTGTTTGAGTAACATAGCCAGGCTGGATTAGCACAGAATCTGGACCTTGCACTCACAAAATTTGAACATTTTCCTGCCAAAAGTTCCATTCTTACAATCTGCAGAGTACGCTTCTCCTTTAAACCCTATAAGATACTTTCTCGTTCCCTTTTTTTTTTTAGATAATCTTAACCCTCTCTACAGGGATTCCCAACGATATTACTCATTCGAAGTCTTAGAGATAAACCACTTGTCGAATTCGAATCAAACTAAGTATTTATGGATCCATATGACAAAAAACTAATACTGTTTGGATAACTTGATAAACCTCTGTATTAACAATACTAAAATATGAGGTAAAAAAAACCCTGTTCGTTTACGTTTTTTTACAGAAACCTCCGTGGAGCGAATCGATTCGCCTTTTTTCGTGTATTGAACTTTTTACATGGCGAGTTGACATCGAAAAATGAAGACAAAGTATGATAAGATAGTTTCAGCTGCTCAGCTTTCGATCAGAGGTTTTGCATTAATTGGGTTCATTGAAATCAAAATTAACTATATCTATTATGACATGAGCCCTGTAACGCGTGTGCTCTTATGGATCTTAGGGCTCGTGTCAGAATGGATATAGTTTCTTTTTATTTAAATGCCTTTAATTATAATAAACCACTAAATCAGATTCTTTAAAGCTGATAACTTTTGCAGTTTTCTCTTATATGGGACAATCGATGCCCAGAAAAGCCTCTAAATTTTTAAGTATGTCTATGATATAAAAAAAGCTGCTCAACAAAATGTAGCTCCTTACCCGAATTGAACGCCGGCTAATCTAAATTGTTTTTTGGCACACAACCGGAGACACAGTTTCGGAGTTAGATGGTCAAAATCCTCGCGGAAATCAGGGAAGATCCGTTCAGAATTTTGAACATCGTGACCCTCCGTCTCTCTGAAGCAGCCCAGATGAAATCCGTTTGGGAGAGAATTGATACCTTTGAAACAATATACAAAATTGTGTCATTAATCAATGAACGGAATTTGACGTATGAAAGGAGGAACCTTTTTAGGAAAATGAAATTAAGTTCAGGGAACATTCTATAAAACAAAACCAAACATTAGACCGAAGTCTTGCGCAGTTTTCGGTTTGCAGTTTAGAAAATGTGGTTAAACTAAAAACTCATTCATAGTTTCAATCTGCCTTATTTTGTTTGCTCAGGATGAGCAAGTTAGCGATTAGCATACAGTCTGACGCCCTCATTGGGGGAAAAAAGGAAATAAATCACGTGCCTAGCTTAATTCTAGTGATAGAAGGTTTTTTACGTCTACAACAGTACAAAATCGATTTGTCGACAAAATTGTCACAAATCGCTTGCCTGAAAAATGTTCTCCCTTGTAATGAGGTCCCTTTTTTTTTCATTAAAAATCTTATCTGAGTTTAGGGATGACATCATTTTCGCACAATGCATAACCTGGCAACCATGCGTCAGAGGTATGATGAAATCTTACTTGACACTCCGGTAGCGTACACGTTCAATCTCATGACACCGCCACATTTTTGCTTAGAGTCTCCAGTGCACCCCATTTTGCATGAGTCTTCATCCGTTTGTTTAGTAATATCCAGTTTTTTATTACTGCAATAACACTCTCTCCTAAAATAAGTATGAATAAATTACTTTAAAAAGAGAACTGCCTAGTATAAAAGCTTCTAAATGGATTGCGTCCAGTAGACAGGAACCAAGCCACACCAACTATTGCAAAATTCAACAGAGCAACTCAATTTTGTAGAAGAGAACGTTTGTGCGGATTTTTTTTCAAATTTTTGAGGAATTTGTTTCTTACTTTTCAGAAAATTCTATGAAATTTGCAAAAAAAATCCGCACAATCGTTTTCATGTAAAAATTGAAAGTGCCCGATTAAATCTGACGACAGCTGATCTGGCTTGGTCCCTTATTTATAACATGGTCCAAATAATGGTGCTAGTTATCAGCATTTTAAGAACTTCGGTCGTAGAGATAGCTTGCCAATTTTTGAATCCGTCAGTTCAAACTTCCAGCTCTTAAAAAAATCCAATGTATTTACTTGAATCAAATTGGGGAATAAATTGATTTCATTGGGCTTCAAGATGAAATAATATCCTTGTCTGGCTGAATTCGTCCCGAAAAATTTACCAGTAACGTATGCTAGGATAGTCGGGCTGCATAGCGGCCAAAGGGCGTTATCCCTAATATTTACTAATCGTGACCATTTGTAAACAAACACCTATATGGTCAAAATAAAATATATAATTAGGTTTTCGTATCAAAGTGTGTTTCGCAGAGAAATATTCATACCCAAACTGCACTCCAGAAAGTTTGTAGCCGTTTTCGAAGCATATTTTGAGGCAAAGTTTCGGCGTTAGATGATCAGAATCCTGGCGGAAATCTGGGAAAAATCTTCCTTTGGTGTCAAACTCGTGACCTGAATTTTCTTTGAAACAACCTAAATGGAATCCACTTGGAAGAGAGTCAATCGCTGTAATCACAAGACCAACTTTTTTAATGGATTAAGATAAATATACTTTTTATGCACGTTTATATTTCGTTGTAGAAATATTCACTAAATCCATGATACACAATTCAATTTCACTCATTGCATTACACCGTCACTTTCTTAAAGTGCGAAAACTTATTTGGCATATACTTTAGCAGATAAAAGTAGTAAATAAATTTTATACATAATAATTCATGAATTGTATGTTACTGTCACGTTCTAAAATGTGCGAAAAATAATTTGTCCATGGCCGGATTAAGGGGGTGGCCACATGGGCCGTGGCCCATGGCAGCAAAATGTAGGGCGCGGTAAATTTTGCAATCTGTTTGAATGTAGGTATCAAAAAAAAGAAGAAAAAATCGGATTCAGAAAATAAATTAAAAACGTGAAAATACGACAATATCTCTCATTTCCTGAAAGTAAAAGAATATTGAACATCTAATGTTGTCGTCTTTCGGTGATACAGAACACAACACCTTTAATTAGTCGAGTTAAGAGAGAAACCAAACACGCAATTTGAACTTGAGCGGAGCGGCGCGGAGAGCAATAATGACGAGGACTGAGATGAAAAGGAGAAGCCTTCGGCGCGGCGCGGCCGGCGGTCGACATGAAACGCATAGCGCCTACTAAATTGTATGAATACTTCACTCATCGCGTCAAACACACTGCGGTCAGCAGCAGTCGGCGCGGCGTGAAACGCATAGCGCCTACAAGACTTCATGAATACTTCAAGCATTGCGCCAAACATGGGGCGATCGGCGTGACGCAACGGCAGGAGTTAAAATAATTAAACCACATTTATGTTTGTTCTTTCAAAATTTTTTCGTTCGTTTGTTATGAATGGAAGGCCTTGTCCAAACAGGGGTGGGTTTACGGAACTTAACTTTCGCGTAAAGTTCCGTGAACTTTTGTTAGTGTTGACAGAGCTTTCACAAAAAATGAGCCCAACACGAGTGAACACGTCTCATACACCCCTCCCCTACCTGCACGTTCACTTAACGAATTAGAAGGGGGCGGAAAATTACAGGCGGCCCATGGGCGGCACGTAGGTTGATCCGGCCCTGAATTTGTCATGGACTCTCGGAGATGCAAGAAAAAATAGAATTATGAATTTGATTTCATTTTAAGTGAATATCGTATACAAAAGTGCGAAACCACGTTTCTCTCTTGCGTTTATTCAAAATTTCCGCTCCTCCTATATTTTTTCGAAGAAAAGAAAGCCAACTTTGTAGCCTGAAATGTTTACAGAATATTCTGCTAATAAAGAGATGAGCAATCTAGGAACTTTGCAAAAAATTGCGCTGAGCAGCTTTCCAAAGTAAAATAAAGTATTACTTGAAATACCTATGCAAGGTAAAAAACGGATACGTGGTTTTGCACTTTGACCATACATATCTAAAAACTACAATAATAAAAATATTATTCAAATATTGATAGATTAGTTAATTAGACAATTTCTGTTATAACCACACATTTACCTGTCAGACCAGTTGCATAAACATTTAACCTCAGTTTGCCTCCGCATTTTTCCGCAGCATCGCCGGGGCATGGTATTTGGCAAGCGCTGTCTACTGTTTTTCTGTGTTCGTCCAGTTCTTTATTCGTGCAGTAGCATTCAACTCTGTTCGAATCAAATTTGATACATCAACCACCAAAAATAAGAAAACTTCAGAAGCGATCGAAAGGTGAAGCTCATTACACAGGATTTCGTTACAGAAAAGTCGGTTACGTAAGATTGTTCTTTTCTGTTTTGTAACATTGATACTTCCTTCGCTGCCGTGCTAAGGAAGAACGCCGTATGAACATTCGAGAGTTGCCAAAGATAAACATGTATTTTTGACAACATTGATGTATATTTTTCCTTGAAATTGTTGGATATTTTAGATTAAATTGTATACAAAATTTTCTGAAAATTTTGGAAAACAATATTAACAATTTTCTCAATAAATTCGGTTTTTACCGGATGAAACTTGGCAACTTTTGAAAGCTCATACGGCGTTCTTCCTTAGCGAGACAGTATGAATTTATGTCTGAAACACGTTCAACGAATGACGCCAACGGCAGTGTTTTTTGAAGGACGAGAACTTTGCTTTCATTGAATCTCAAAAAACGTGTAGGTATTATCGGTATGATTATCACTAACTGCGGGATTCAAGTACCAGAACACGGTTCCTTGACTGGCAAAACTGACCCATTGACATTTTTTGTCCAAACTAAAATTCCATGTTCGCACTATAAACCACCCGCATCTCTCAACGTTGTGAATGATTCTTTAGAGGATTTACGGGTTTGCATAAACGTGATTTGTGATGTTGCGATAAAAATAGGATCATACCCGAATTGAAGGCCGGCAAATTTGAACCCTCTGCGGAAACAAAGTTCGAAGCAGCGTTTCGGTGTAAGATCGTCAAAATCTCGGCGAAAGTCAGGAAAATATCTACCGAGAGTCTCAAATTCCCTCCCAGAATTTTCCTTGAAGCAACCTAAATGAGACCCGCTTGGTGGGGACTCTTCAGCTGAAAAACAAAATCGGAGACATTTTAAAATTATCCATTACCATCACATTCAAATTAGACAAATAATACGTATTTTTGAGAATTTAAGGGTGCAATTCCTTTTACAAACGCGACTTGGTGCCAAAAACCTATGTCGTCATTTTTCTGACGTAAGGGTGTATCTCTATTTCCACATGAGTCTCGGGGTGCATAGAGCCATACGGAGAACAGGGTTCACGTGAAAATAGAAATACGCCCTTACGTCAGAAGAGCGACGATGTATCTGACCTTGTATCCACAGCATGGTACCTAAACCCCTTTTTCCAACCTTTAAACAGACATTCACCTTTTCCCTGCTTGTGGCCGGTTGCATAAACATTCAGACGCAAGGTTCCACCGCATCTCTGTGATGCATCTCCAGCGCACGGCATGTTACATGTCTTCTCATCTGTTTGTTTCGTCATATCGACTGGCATACTGGAGCAATAACATTCTTTCCTGAAAAAGATCCGAGCAGAAGTGTAATGAGTAAAATTTTTAATTATTTTCATTAAACATATTCATTTTCTCACCACTTATGCACTATCAAAGGCAACATTGAGAACTTTAAATGAGGGGCTTGGAGGACAAGGCGGATAAGTGCAGTTTTTGCCATTTCGAGAAATACGTGTTTGAAGTTTCGAAATTACATGGATCTCAATGGCGGAGAGGAAGTTTGAACTGATGCTTAAAAATTGGAATTTGGGAGCGAATATTTCACAGAATATGCATATAGACCAGTTATACTTGAAACCATTATTGTCTCAATTTTTTCAAAAATTGCACTTATGCGCCTTGTCCTCCAAGCCCCTCAAATGTACCTTTAACAGCTCCTCTGACGGGGGTCTTCTCACCGATTTATCAACTGTTTCGTAATTTTTACGAGAATAGAGGGTGGCAAGCCCCCTATTAAAACTCGGCCCTCCTCAACGTATGAGATAATTTTCGGAGGTCTTCAGCTATGTGAGGAAGTTCTGCACCGACCTTTAGATTCTGCTCCACTACCCCCTCCCGTTATAAGACAACCTTAAAAGGTAGACCCCGACCCTCTCTTCTTCAACCTTGAGCCTTGAAAAATTTATGGACAGCACCGAGGTCCCTTGCGTCAAAGAGAAAACCCCATGTTTCGTAAAATGTTTGGTTCCTAATGTCAGTGCTGAACTACCTATTGAACGATAGAGGTGGGAGGGGGAGTCCGATGACAGGTCAAGACGTTGTATGCACGAGTTTAAAACGTGGGACGTAGAACGCACGAGTGAACGCCCATTCTCGTAAGCAACGGGGAAGGAACGACTTAAGCTGAATCTGAGTCGTCAACGGCCATACCACGTTGAAAACACCGGTTCTCGTCCGATCACCGAAGTTAAGCAACGTCGGGCGTCGTTAGTACTTAGATGGGAGACCGCTTGGGAACACTGCGTGCTGTTGACTTCATTTTTTCATTAGGCTAGAGTCTAATTCACGTGTACCCCCCTCTCTGGCAACAGTTTTCTCCTTTTTTTATTTTTGAAAAATTTCCCTAAAATTTTACAAAACTCAAATCCATATAGCGTCAAGAAGAAGATAACATTCATGTATTTCAATTATCACCTGTCAGTTTTCATCGTAAAGGACGAGAAAGTTGTTGATTAATCAATGAAAAAAGCCAGTATAAAGATAAGTAGAACTAAATAATGTGATTCATTTGAATGATCTGCTCCAACGGATCGTAACACGCCCTTAAGAGGGAGGCAACTAACAAAAAATACACACAAAACCAATTAACCCCTAAATTGGCATTTTTCCGATCTGATGGGCTTATTAGACTGAATTATGAAGACATTCCTCGAGTATTCAACCAATCAATTGAGAATTATAATACAAACCCAAATTGAACGCCAGCATATGCGAAACCATTTCTGGAACATACATCTGTGCAAAGTTTTGGTGTCAAGTTGTCAAGGTCCTGGCGGTATTCAGGGAAAATTCGCATCGCATCTGAAATTGCATCTGAATTTTCCTTGAAACATCCCAGATGAAATCCGCGTGGAAGTGAATCAATAGCTAAACACATGTAAAATATACTACATCATTATAAATAAGAGAGTGCAGAGCAATCATTCTCAAGGAAAATACTGAAATTAATCATTTCTACAGGCAGGGTTTTACTTCATCCTGTTTTTTTTAGTGTATTTTCCGAAGGAAAAATACACTATTTATTTTTTCATGCCTTAAAAAATGGTCAAGTTAGTGTCTCAAAAAGCACTGTGTGAGGCCGAGAACTCAAGTCTCGCTAAGAAAAAGATGGTTCTTGACAGTGATAAGGGACATCGTTTATTCTCCATTTAAATGCATTAGAACTTGCGATTCTGAAGGTGAGACACTGCCTCACCTACAATCGATTATTTTGCACACATTCAAATGAATGAAAAACAGTGTTCCCAACCCAACTCCTGAGAGGAATGTCGCAGCGCTGTTTTATAGAATAGGAAACGCGCGGTTGTACATCAAGATTAAAAAAAAATTCGTAAGACAAAGATTTAATTTGCTCGATCCCGCAGCAACACGCACAAGCTAAAAAAATAAAACTTCAGCAGGAGCACTTTTCACAAAGCCAAAACCTACCTCTATGTATGGCTAAATTTTAACTTTTTTGTCTCGACTTTTCCGCCTCTGAATGTTCAGTTCAGTCGTTGTGAAAAAAACCGCAGATGTACTTAAAATTTCCATATGCGTGACGCAAACAGGAGGTCTGCAAATCCATGCATTACTGTCACAAATTGCATACGTAACTGAATGAAGGCGTTTTACTTTGCCATATTAGGAAAAAACCCGCAGATCTTCGTAGAAGTTCTGGTGATCTTGCTCGGTAGGTCGTGGGAAAGTTACTTTATTCCTGAACCATAATTCATAATTAAATTACGTACTCATCTAAATTAAATCGCTTTCCACTAACACCACCTTATTATCAGGGAGGAATGCTCGTAATAAAACAGTTTGTCAGAATAAAATGGGAAAAGATCCAGAAAGTAGTTACGGCACGACGTTTTCACTCTGAGCTGCAGAGTTATAGCCAAAATTTATCGCCAACTCATTTCCGTCGATTTTCGAAGCTCTTCTAATTTCATATTTTTGCGTGTATGAAGTTTTGTTTTTACTTACAACGCCATACTACGCTATCGTCAGGAGTTTCTTTTGTGAAGCATAACTATGAGAGAGAATAAAATGCGTTGACACGAACTCACCGGTCCATCCTGTTGCAAAAACGTCCAGTCGTAAAACACCGCCGCATCTCTGATTTGCGTTCCCAGAACACGGTAAATCACAAGTTCCCTCATCGGTTTGTTTGGTCAAATCCAGCGCTTTGTCGCTACAATAGCATTCTCTCCTGAAAGCATATTATGCGGTTACATTAGAATAAAAAAAGTTCACCTAAATCAGGAGTTTTTAAAAATGACTGAAATGCCAAAATTTATGACAACTAACATATCTTACTTAGAGGCACACTGCGAAAACGGAAAAGGATAACGTTGCTCATGCCTAATTGAGAAAAAAAAATCGCAAAAACGCCATGGCACTCATAGCTAGAGGGATTTTAATTTTAGTTCAAGTGAATTTTTTCTGCGTCGTGCAATGGATCTGCAGCACGTAAGAAATATACCCAATTGCGTACACTCTTTCTGACGTGAAATCACACGAAAATCACGTTTAGCACATCAGAAATGTTACTTACTTAAACTGAACTCCGGAGAGCTTAAATCCTGCCCGAAAACACACCTCCATACACAACTGAGGAGTCAAGGTATCGAAGTCTTGCCGAAAATCAGAAAAGAATCGTCCTTTAGTTTCAAATTCCTTTCCTGAGTTCTCTTTAAAGCATCCAAGATGGAAACCATGCGGTAGAGACTCTATCGCTGGAATAAAAACAAGAGGAAAACCAAATGACATAATGAAAAAATTAGATGAAATTCCAAATTCTTGATGGACAGTTTCCCCTTTTTTACAGTCATCTTTTACCCTCAGTTCCAGGAGGGTCCCTAGGGCACCACCATTTATCGCTGAGATAGGTTTACGAAGGGATATATTCATAAGTTCCAACAAAAATTTATTTTTTTAAAGTCTTTAATTAAGATGAAGTTTATTAATTCAAAGAAAATAAAGTCAACGACGGCAAAGTGTTTTATTAGAGTAACACAAAATCACTTGAATTAAAGAAAATCTCTTTGATACATATATATATAAAATTAAAAAAAATTAAGTCTAAAAAGTTTCTTTCAGTCAAATACAATTTTTTTTATTAAAAAAACACTTTCTAACCATTATTTGATGTATATTAATTCATCAATTTCTTACAATTTACTGAGATTTTATCCATTAATCTGATTAGCCTTCATGAAAATCAAGAGTTAATCATTTTCGGTGGTGAGCTTACAAACTTTTTAAATTCAAAAAAAAAAAAAAAATAAAAATAAAAAATTAAAAAAAAAAAAAGATCTACCCACCCATCAATCCAGTTGCATAGACACTAAGACGCATAACGCCACCGCACTTTTTGGTTTCATCGCCAGGACAAGGCATTTGGCACGCTCCATCCGCAGTCTTCTTATGTTTATCCAATTCTTTGTTGGTGCAGTAACATTCTCGTCTGAAATTAAACGTGTATTGGACAAAAATTTCACATGTATTGAGATTCCGACGGATCTCTACCATGACATGACAGATTCCTGTGGCGGGTGTGTTTCGCGAAGCGCTCTGGTGCTCTGTAAAAGCGGCTAAAAGACATACGTTTTCAACCCGAACTCGGCAAAATCGCTCGAAATTAGTTGTGTCCATGATTAATTGAATACTTCGAGTTGCTTACTTTTTAATTTTATTTATCACGTAAGACTGAACACAAATACTGACTATGAAAACTTGATTTCAAAGCAGATCAGAATCTAAGATTTTTGGCACCCACATGCAAACTGAGTTTAAGGCCCTTCAGAATTCAAATTTCCATCTTTCTAGGAGACCTGGAGGTGGATCAATAGATTTTAAAGGCCCATTTTAAAAAAATAAAATGATGAAAAAGAAAAATGCCGGCTCTTTGCAAGCGACACTCGCGTTTGCTCGTTAAATTTCAATAATCCGCCTCGAAATGAATGGTTTCACCGGCAACAAACTTCAAACGCACTACCTCGGCACAGAACGCCTTTAAATCCCAGTGATGCTCCTCGCTTTGCCGGGGAGTGGTTTAGTTACTTATCCGAACCAAACCCAACTAGAGGCACTGATTTTATTATTTTCACTCCGAAATTGCGGTTATAAGACATTTTGACAACGATTTTTTGTCCACACGCCTGTTTTTCTAGCAGTTTACGTCCACGCGTTTTTTCGGCAGGGGAGTTTTGGTCCACTTACCAATTGAGACCCAAAGTTAATAAGTCCACATGTGAATACATGTAAGTATTCAAGAACGTTTAGCATGATTTTTGAACTTCATAAGAGGAGAAAGTGACTTGGTTCAAGCAGATCTAAGCTCGAATTTACCGCCGAGAGAATTTCCTCATGAATCAATAAAGAAAATAATGTTTGTTTAAGAAAAGATGCTTACATAAAAAGAAAAGTCACTCACATCAAACAGAAACCCGCTTTCATTTAGCTACTTTCGTCTTGATTTAAAATAAATTCTTCTTGACTGCATACTCAAGGATGTTTCTGCCTAAATCAAGTCACTTTTTTTCTCTAATGACATTCAAAAATTATGCTACGCATTAATTATGCATCAAATACGGATGCTATCATTTACTGAGTTTTTGGACTACAGCTCTCTTTTTGTGCCGGAGTATCTTGATTTATTTTGCGAAGAAAGCTCCGTACTCTTAAAGGATGCATTTGATCCTTAACATGCTGGAGCGCCTTCAATTTCGTATGATACTGTGCAACACATCTGTTGTGAAATAGTTGCTTATATGGCGCCGTGGCTCGCTGCGGCGCGGCGCGGCGCGGCGCGGCGAGAGGGCGGAGGGCGGTCGACGCACATAAGTGGATACTTCAAGAATTGCGCAATGCGTGAAGTATCCACTTAGGTTTGTAGGCCGCTGCGCTCTTTGTTCGGCTCTACTATTTAAACTCGCGGAGTCAGTATTTTTGAACTCGTGATATTGAAATTTGTGCATACTCTGCGTGAATTATTCTCATTTAAATAGATGTAAAAAATATGTAAAGGAAAATATAATGTGTGTTTTGTAAATATTAAGGTGGTTCCGTGTAAAATTCCAAATCACTTTAATTTTTCCTTTTATATTTTGTGCGTTTACTGTGCTGCAGCGTGGTGCACGTGCAACCAAACGCTCAAAATTGGACGCATTTGACTCTAAAAGGTCGATGTGAAAATACTAATGATTGCGTGCTTCTTGGTTTTATCCCCTCTTTTATTCATTTTTGTACAGTTGCTTTCAACACCACAACGGCTAAATGATATTAATATCGATGCCATCTCTTAGAAAGGACTTGCCACGTTTTAAAAATTTATATATTTTTAAAATGAAGTAATATTTTCATAAAAAAATAAAACAAAACAAAAAAGTGCATATAAAGTTTACTTCATATCGAAAATTTTAAGGATGGGTAAAAAACCAAATATCCACCGATGACAATTTGAAAATATGAATCAAAAAGAAGAAAGTAACATTTCATTTAAATATTGAGTCACCATAACAACACCTCCCTCTCTCTCAATTTTCTCATTTCGATATTGTCGTAATTTTACATACGGACTAAAAATATAATGCTTGGACCAAGTCACTGTTACTTATTTTACAAGTGGACGTAAACTACTGGACAAAACAGGTGCGCGGACAAAAAATTGTTGACGAAATGTCCAGGAACCGGGATTGCTTTGGCAAGTACCATACTTTCAAAAGGGAAAAGATGTTTGTTTGAATTCCAAGTATATAATTAGTGTTTTCTATCTTGTTTCATTGATTTTGAATTTTATTATTCAACACAAATAGATTGTCATGTGCTGGCGATTGCTGATTGCCTGTGACTTCTAAACACAACAAAAAGTCAGTACTCACTTGTTCTTTTCTTTTTTTTTCGAGCTAATATCTCGTATGCAATTTTGCAACATTATGCCGTCTCTTTGAATTGAGAAAATCTCTTCTTGACACTGTTACGCACTTGACAAATTAGGCGTGATTGAATTTCGAAAACGATAGGAAAGGTACTCACCCGAATTGAACTCCCGCATATTTGAAGCCTCTTCGAAAACAAAGTTGAAAGCAGCGTTTCGGTGTCATATCATCAAAATCGTGACGAAAATCGGAAAAGTACCGGCCAAGGGTTTCGAAATCTTTTCCTGAGTTTTCTTTGTAACATCCAACATAGTGTCCACTGCGAGAGGAGCTTACAACTGGAACATTTTGAGCAAAACTCATAGGATTTCATGTTGTTCTATGTATTTTATTTCACCTCATTTGTTGTGTAGAATTTCGTCCGACGCACTGAACTTCGTGTTTACTCCTAGTATGCGGTTGTTTATTTTAATCAAGACCTTCGACTTAATTCATGTAATTTTCATTTTCTGAATTTTTCCGACGGAGAGTGAATTTCAGGGTCGAGACGTGAATGATCCATTATAAATATTTCCCCATTTGAAGCCATGGTAAAGAAACGATTACTAAGATGTTCATCGATCCTTTTTCATAGGTTTGAATGGCAGATCAATCGAAATATCGCAAATTACGCCACGCCACTGGTATTTCTGTAGCTGGAAAGTCTTACTTCTTCTTAATTTTGCTGTACTTTTTGCAATGATTTTGATTCTTTTGATTCTAAAGTGAGGATCAAGCGTCTTGGGGCAAGAAATAATGAATTAATTTTTTTTAGCCCTATCTCAACAAAAAAATACCCTCACATATAAAAAACTACTTGAAAATTGATTAAAAAAATTCTGAAAAAGGAAAAGGGGGTTGGAAGTTTATTCCAGTTTCCGGAGCCAAACATTTTTTTTCTAACAAGAGGCTCTACGGGACTTTTCTTTCGCGAGAAACTCTTTGATAATCTATCTTTTTAGATGTGCGGTTCAATTTGCATCTTTGAACTCTTTAATTCGTGTACCTATATTTACCCACCGTAAGGACGACTCTATCGCCTAACTCCATCAAATTTATTTTAGATGTTCTATGAACACATTTTAAGCTAACCGTAATATCAGTCATTTAATTAAAATGCGGTCGAATACAATTTTGCAAACAATTGGTCGGAACCTACCTTTAATATGATGATAACATAAAATCAAACAAAACGCAAAGAACTGTCTAAAATTAAGTGAACACATCGTGGTCGATTAAGAACAAAATGACTAGGGTAGCACCTTCAGAGCTCGTCCGCAGCGAGCTCAAGAATGACAGAAAATTGTTTGGCTCGAGGAAAAATGCTGTAAAAGTCATATATAGAACTACGAGATGTCTATATAAAATTTGACCGGTTTTCCCCGTCGCGTCGGCTCCAAATAGGACTCAAACTCACTGAGAGACCCCTTCTAAATGTATACGATTTGGCAACGGTCCTTTGCGCCTCTGCATGAAGAGAGTAATCGATTATTGAGAGGATGCATTTTACCCGTCATGTCACGACATAATGTGTGACGTCACACTTATCAGACCTTCGTCGTAAATGCAAGTACAGCTAATTTACGTACGATTGACAGGATGCTCACACATCAAAGGTGTAACTCGACGTAAAAAGACGGACGCCCATGAGCAAATTTTCTGAGAACCACCTGTTACTCTAATGTTTTCAGGAAGAACGCTGCCATTGTAATGTTTCATTTCTTCTAATAAAAATATAAAATTGGTATTTTGGACGTAGACTATGACAATCTACTTTCAGATGGGGGAGGAGTGATAAAACCAAACCATGGCTCAAATGGATCAAATCTGCATTATTTGGCGCAAGAACACCTAGGAATTCTGAAAACTGACTCTTTGGCAGCAGCTTTTTGGCATCGGAGAGAAGGAAATTCGAGAGAAACGCCCAAAATTTTGCCAATGAGAAAGTGTAAAATCGAAAACTAAAAATCGACGTTTTTGACCTCTTCTTCGATTTACAATTTGAGTCTTCCATAGGCACATTTGACGGGCTTGGAGGGCAAGGCGCACAAGTACAGCTTTTGCTATTTTAAGAAATACGTGTTTGAAGTTACAAAATTACATGGAGTCTTATGGCGGAAAAAAAATTCAAACCGACTTTTTGATGCTTAAAAATTGGAATTTAGGAGCGAATATTTCACAGAATATGCATTGAGACTAGCTGTTCTTGCAATGATTGATATCTCAATTTTTTCAAAAACTGCTCTTATGCCTGTCCTCTCTCTTATGCCTCTTATATGCCTGCCCTCTATACTGTCCTCTAAGCTCCTCATTTTGCCTGACTCAGTCATGTCTATTTCTACGCAGAGTGATGAGCTAGTGTACCTGCCTTTAGATATGCAAATTACTTTTTTACACTAATATAGATGATACTGCAGCGGGTGTAAATGTCCATAAATTTCAATATTCAGGGTTTTACCTTTTAACATTCAGACACCGCAAACGTGTTTAAAATTTGGATAATGATTGCAATTTAATGTCCTCTAAAAATGACATTAATTCACAGAGCAGGAGAAAATCGTAGGTCCTCAGGGCTAACTCTATTCCCGCATGAACCGCGGAAAGCACAGAGTTATACGGAAAACAGGGCTCACGTTGAAATTGAGATTATGCCTTTACGTTAGATGAGCGACGAAATGAATATAATATGGCGTGGCGTGCTTTGCGCTTTATCGATTGATCTTCCATTTAAACCAATGGAAAAGGCTCGATAAACAGTATGTTTGCAACGGACACCTTAATAATCGATCTTTTACCATAGCTTCAAATGGGGAAATGTCGATAATCGATCATTCACGCCTCGCCACAGATAAGTAGGTGTGACTGTGACAAATAATTGCTTTTATGGTCTGCATCTCTTCAAAAAGAATATACTAAAACTGAGAGAAGAGATTTCGGTACATCCGCAGTAATTGTGACGTGTACTTATATTGGTATCACAATTTTTAACGTTGGGTGGTACTTTTTTAGTGGCGGCTTATTATCATCGTCACACTTAGCTTACTCATTTGTGTTATGAACATCGGGGAAAATAAAAAACAAAAAAACCATTTTCATGAGTCAAACCTGAACATGTACTTTTAAATAAATTATACAATGAACAAAATAATTCATTATTTCATTTCATTCGGCAGTTTATGTAGCCGTGCCATCCGTTATTCCTGTGTCCGTTTTATGCACCTCTTTAATACGGTTCATCAGCACAATTTTTCCTCTTTTTATCCTCTGCGAATAAGTGGAATGTATCCCATACCAAAATAGCAGTTTCTCGAAAGTTCAACAGTTCGCAGTAAAGATTTTCATGGGTTTGACAACAAATGCTGTATCGTCTCGCCAGGTTTGCTGCCATTCTTCCTCATTATTCCAGAAGGTGATTATTCCCTGTAAAAGAAAATTTCAGTAATTTATCGTAGGTAAAAAAACCTGATGTAGATATTAGGAACAATTAAACAGGTAACAAGAAAAGAAAGTCCATATATTTCAAGAGAAAATTATTTCTATCCCTATAAGTTTCTCTGGTAGTAGACGATTTTTAACCTTTAACAAAACCATGCCTTCATGAAGTATCATTAATTTTACATTTACACGCAGGCGCATGAAATGCTTCTGCTTGACTCTAAGTTAACGTCTACGATGATGATACAGCAAAAACTTATCATAAATACCGAACATAAGAAAAAATATTATACCCTCGGGTTGCTAGAAGGCCATGAGTAATCTTTCGAATTGCCAACGGTAATTCCAAGCCTCACGTGAAACTGAAAACAAAACGAGGTAAATATTTTATAAGAGCTTTAATGAGAAGAGAGGGAAGAGAGTGATAGATAGTCTTAGAGAAAGCAAATAGAAAAAGAGGGAATCGATCGCGTAAAAGCTTTTAATGTAGACAGAAAAATTTTGGTATGGCCATGTTTTAATATTTTCTTCAGGAAGCCTTTTTTGGCAGTTTCTTATTTGCTACCTGAGAAGAAATTTGCTGTTTTTTTAACATTAGCACAACCAATTTTCACAGAATACTAATCTTGATGAAAAGGAAGTAGCGTAGCTTAAGCAACTGACAAGGAATGGATTCTGATTCTTGCCGCCAAAAACTAAACATTTATGGTCAAAATTTAAAAACGATTGATACATTCTTAAAATTATTTTATTGAACTATTTTTTACTAATTTTACGACATTTTTACTAATGTACTTTTAATACATTTTTTTTACAAATTTTCACTAATGATTGAATTTACGATGAATAAATGCAATAAAGTAAGTTTTTACTTGGCGTGTCATTAAATTGATTTTCAACTAAAAATTTAAAAAGAAAAACCATAAATACCGGTCGTTCGAATGGGGTAATTGACCCGCCCGTATACCATAGTTTCTTTCCGGGGTTAGAGGTAACAACTGCATCGCTGAAGTCTGTGACATTCAGCCCAGATAACTTCACAGTTTGCCGCTGTTTTCCATCAACCATAAACAAAACGTCATCTATATTAGGGAGAAAATGTTAACATCAATTTTTGCAGTTTCAGCCACCCAAGATGATATCTCACAGTAGCGACAACTTTTACACACAAAACGGGGAGGGAAAACAATGGCTTAAAAAAATCATAAATTTTAAAAAGGAAATTCTTTGAAGAAAACCGATTAAAATTCAGGCAAAAGGAAACCCTTTCCCTACACTTTTAAGTAAAATTCACAATAGGTCAACCATGACTTATGGAAAGTCTTGAAAAAGCTCTTGAAAGTATACTGTATTTTTTTAATACTAGACTTGTTTGAAAAAAGAGTCGACATTTTTTTAAAAGAAAAACCTGTAATAGTTTCTGAGAGAGTTTTTAAAACTGTAAAAAAAAAAAAAAAAAAAAAAAAAAAAAAAAAAAAATTAACAGATTGTTTTTTAAGTTGTACTTGTAACATTGACGAGTTTTTTTTTTTTTTTTTTTTTTTTTTTTTTTTTTTTTTTTTTTTTTTTTTTTTTTTAAAAAGTTTCATCATCGGTATTGCTACTGAGGTATTAGGAATGAGTTAGGTAGGCACAGAAACTTTTTTTTCGCCAACAAAGAAGGAAGAGAGAATATCTTGTTCGAAACTTACCTGGGGTCCATAGAATAGTCAGGTTATGGAACTCTGTTTGCCAGTTTGATGCGTCGGTAAAATAGACCGATTTTGATTCGACCTCAGCCCCATGCTCTACCAGCACCGAACCCTCTAAAATCCGTCTTCTTATACGTCATGGCCGTCCTCAGATTTTACGTCACGGTATTTTTTCAAGACCATCCGGACCAGGCCAGTTAATGCCGATACATGAGTATGATCAGAAGGGACTAATCGTATTTCTATCAACAGATACAAAAGCACTAATAATTTATTACAAATTTTCTCCTCATTAATTACCTATTTTCTCTTCGATGGCGACACAACCTCTTACCTCGATAGCTACTTTTACAAAACCCCAATCTGTCTTCATGATTTCCCAAGAAAAGCTCAAATTTTTGTTTGACAATTTTTGGAATAATTTTTGCGAGGTGAGCAAACAGTTCTGCAAGAGATAAATAAGCTCAGAGGTTACTTTTACCCTCGCTATATCGATGACGATATAGTCACGAAACACGTATCGATATTGCAACACTTTAAAATTTCCACCGTTGTTTTATTTTTATTTTTTTAAAGAAAACCCAATGGGTGTTCTTGTTCGAAGTTTTCACAGGGCATTCAGGAACACGATGCAGATAAATCAGTAAAATTCAAAGAAACTATTTGCATTAATGTTCAACTGAAGGAATGCAATTGTCTCTTGATCAGCTACAAAAGGTGGTAACCACACTTTTATATAAGCTCTGGCGATTTTGCAAGTCGGTAACTCTGTTTTTTGTCCATTTAAATCTATTAAAAATATCGTTTTCAGATACAACAATCGATATTTTTACATACATTTAAATGGAGGAAACACAGAGTTGCCACTTTCAAGAATCGCCCCTGCTTACGCGCATGAGCCAAGTGACGAAATGTGACTCGAAGTTTGCGATGTTGCAAATATTAGAGATACTTGCTTGCACCCTTTACACTATCGATATGATTTATATTGTTGTGAAATTTGTATATTGCTTACTCTTTACCTTAAAATAAGCGTTCACCTAACCTGGTGCGATCCAGTCAGCGGCTGGAAATTTGACTTGAGCCTCAATCAATCCGTATTGGAGGCTGAACTTTTGCCTTGTTGTGGCATGACCACTCTGATCTGAGGGTACGTAGAAATATTTCGTTCCTCTCCTGCACTCGTCATCGATTGGACTCTCCTTGCATCTGGAAATTCTATGAAAAAAATCACACTCGCAGGATTGCATGGGAATAATTTTAAAGGTGACTTTGTTCCTCGGTAACGTACTCTCAGAGAAAACGTTATTCGTCGATACCATATCAATATAACCAGAAATTTTTTAGCACTGCTAAGGTAACCTTATCTGATGACTTACTGCTGACCGTAAAGCCTCTTACCGCTAAGGTGACTTTATCGGATGACTTCCGAAATCGGTTCCTGGAAGAGGAAAGAAAATTCGCTTGTGAAACGACATTCAAATGCCTAGATATTGTCTTATCCGAATGCAGAAATGAGTATTTGATCCAAGTTAACAAGCAAACGGCATGCGGCATGGCATTTACATAAGGTAATATGCACGGACATCTTGGAATCGCAGTAGTGTGACCATATATTCATTCGCATTAGAAATGCATTGTGGACTACTATGAAACAGTATATAGTTGCGCACTCATCCCGACCGGTTCGCCTTCAATACTAAATTAAGCAATGTGAGCTGCTTGAGAGCAGTAATAGTTGCTTGCAGTAATTTAGCCACCTTCATTTGTATTAAACACTGTATCTAATGACTACTGCCTAATAATAGTGCACTGTTTCATACTCATTCTAACCAGTTCGCCTTCAATTCTAAAATAGGCAATGCAAGCTGCTCAAAAACACACTAGAAAAGAAGTGCTCTTGGATCCAAAGTTCAGACTCTTAGAAAACTTTACAAGAAAAATTACTTTTGATTTGATTGGATTTTTCCTTGATTCGAGAGCCAACGCCTTTTAATTTTAGGGGTTTTCCTTTTGATTCAAGCAAAAATCCGATTGAATCAGGAGAACTTTTTCTTGTAAAATTTTTAAAGAGTACACTCAGGACCCAAGAAACCTTTTTTCCAGTGCAGGAGTAATTGCTCATAAAAATGTGACCATGTCCATCTATTTTATGATAAAAATCATGGCAGACATTACCGTTTCGGGTCCAGGATTTTATCCCTTCGGAACTCCTCCGATAAAATCACTGGTTGAATGTGCAGGGCCCCATCTTTGACAAAAATATTTTCTCGCGGAGGCTTGTCTCCGGCCTTGAGTATCATCTGTAACATCAAAATACATTAGTTTATTCAGTTTTAGGAGATAAAACCTCACCTGAGCCTGCAAGCATGAGTTGACAAAAATAGACCGGTCACAGTAGGCTTATAGTGCTGCCCTCCGAAGTGAAAACGCCTTAACCCTGTGTAATTCTTCCAAGTTTTATTCCGACAAAATGTTCTATTACAGACAACCAACAAGCAAATTCTGGTTCAATATATTTTAAGAGAATTTTGGCTTACCACTGAAATCAAACTGCCGAAATGAAACAGGATTGTGATTATAGGTGAGAGAAAAATGTGAAATTTAGACTGAAATAACGACGTTTTTGCTGTAGACGGCAGAACAGCCCATTCCTTTTGGCTTTGGCTGTCATACGAGTTAAGAAATGTTTGAGTGTTTCAGGGGACAAACACTCAAAATACAGCATAAATATATCTATACAGGGTGATCCGAAAGTCCCTTCCACCCCCTCTAACTTTTTACCTAATTGAGATAAAGATTTGAAACTGGGGGATATTCCTAGGTCAAAGGGAGCTACTTTTTGGCCCCCCTAAAATTTTCAGGGGGGTCCCCCTTGGGGGGGCAACGGCCCCCAACTTGCAATTTTCAAATGGGAAGACCCCCTTTGTGATAGCTCGTTTGAAAGAGCATAAAAAAAGAAAACTTTTCGCGCAAACCCGAAGTCAATATCTCAAACCGTTTCAAAATGGCGACCGGTTAAAGTTCAAAATGGCCGAAATTTCACACCGGTTATTTGTCGATGGATTTGCGCGAAAATCGGTTTCTACGGGTATTTTGACACGAGAAAAACGAATTTGACGTTAGATTTTCAAAAAAACCAAAATTTCCAAAATGGCCGCCGGTTGAAGTTTAAAATGGCCGAACATTTTCACCTTGGTTTTTTCCTGATGGATTTGCCCAAAACTTGAAATTTGAGAGTATTTTGGCATAAGATAAACACATTTGAACTTAGATTTACCGTAGGTAGATAGGTAGATAGACCCGTACATACCGATTTTCGCGCAAATCCATCGACAAATAACCGGTGTGAAATTTCGGCCATTTTGAACTTTAACCGGCCGCCATTTTGAAACGGTTTGAGATATTGACTTCGGGTTTGCGCGAAAAGTTTTCTTTTTTTATGCTCTTTCGAACGAGCTATCACAAAGGGGGGTCTTCCCATTTGAAAATTGCAAGTTGGGGGCCGTTGCCCCCCCAAGGGGGACCCCCGTGAAAATTTTAGGGGGGCCAAAAAGTAGCTCCCTTTGACCTAGGAATATCCCCCAAGTTTCAAATCTTTATCTCAATTAGGTAAAAAGTTAGAGGGGGTGGAAGGGACTTTTGGATCAGCCTGTATTACCATCGTCTGAACTGCATGCCAAGCCTTACCGCACTTTTAATCAGACAGGTTAAATATATGTTCTATTACTTTAGATTCTCCATGAGTGCACTGTTAAATATAGATGCATTTTTTTTTCAAGGTCTGAAATAATATCTGAAAAATAAGCGTCTGAGTTGATCACATCAATTTTCTTTATTCACGGGGAAGATCTATTTTTAAGACTAACTTGTGAGATCTGTTGCAATGGACGACTGTCCCGGCTGAAATCGACGTAGTGTGTGACATGTTAAGATTTTATTGTTTCCGACATGTTGTCAATGTGGGAGCATCATGGTAGGTATCAACTTGCGGCTAAAACATGGACCAAAGAGACTATGATGAGACCACGTAGTATGATACTGTGTTGGTCATGGCGTGATTTAACGTACTATACTCTTAACACGGTACAGTATTGGTAGCATGATGGCACCGTGTTGGCGTCAACGTGGTGCCAAGTTTCTCTCATAAACATGGCCATTTTTAGTAGGTGAAGGCCCAATTTGCTGTAGACGATCAAATATCTTATTTCTGAGACTTTGAAAATAACTTAAGGTTCAAAAGGACCGCAAAAAATGGCTGAAATTGGCACATATTTTTCGTTTTTTATAAATTGTACTAAATGACCGCTGGAGAACAAAGCATTTCCGATGTTTTTTATGAAAAATCCTGTAGAATCCAAAGGGGGAAGATGTAGCAAGATCATAACCTACTGTGTTGAATCCTATGCTGGTGTTATACTGCCACACGGTTAGATTAATATTCGCAAAATCATCGGAGAAAATGATTGAACTGTTGCATGCCGTCTTGGCCGGTGGATCAATTTTTTGACGTGTTTCATCTGCGCTTGCAACTCCTGTGAAGATCAATGAAGTTTACGTGTGCACTACTTTACAATGCAGGAAATGAAAAAATTCTCGTGCTTTGTGCGAAAATGTTCAGTCATAAGTAATTTATCTAGAAGCGTGAGAAATATTCGAAACAACATAAAAATATCACCCTAACTGGAATTTTTTTTGAATGAATTTTATTTAAATATAACGTAACTACTACAAGTATTTCCTTGTATCTATCTGCATGGCTTAAAACTAAAACTAAACAAATTGCATTAATTTTACAGAGTAACGTTTCGAAACGATCTGGAAATTTAAGGTTCGGTTGCAGACCTCACCTCGAACGTCAAGAAGATCCTCATGTATTTTTAGAGTTCTTCTGTAAGATAATTTCCTTATTTACAATGCGATAGTAAAAGTCGCATAATATGTATCTCTATAAGCAGTGTTGCAGATTTCCAAGAAAATTGTGTTTTGTCAAAGGAAAACCAACAAACATTGTTGGTTGGATCTTTTACTGCGATCCTATCCCCATCCCAAAATTCAAACAATAGCGTGTTATGCCCGGTATTTTGTTAAAATTCCAACAAAAGCGGAAGTTTTAAAATGAAGCGATCGAGATAAGTGATTTGTGACATTCGCAATCACATTTCAATGAAATATGTATAAGCCATCTTCATTTCGACGGTGAAAGTACCAAACCACGTATCTCGGTTTGCGACGTCGCAGACTTCCTGTCATACTTTATTTTTTAAATGAAAAACTACTTAACGTCCAGTCTTGAAAATTTCTATGATTTTTCCTCTTCATGCGGAGAAAATTCTGTGAACATTTCAAGGAATAATATTGATTTGGTCTATATCAAAAAAATAAAATGTGAGCGTAGATTTTTAAACAGCGCAAACGAGATACGTGGTTTGGTAGTTTCACCGTCGATTTGGGAATTAACATTGATTTCTTGAAAACTCATGAGAATATTTTCCGTTGACAATAAAAAGACAAACTAGGAATTTTACTTACATGTAAATTTCAAGTCGATTTACCAACCACAGTCATTACACTGATTTCCTGAATGAAAATTATAGTTGACCGAGTTTTTTTTATGCCGCCAACCCCTTTTAAAGAGTACAGTTAAGAGTAGTATTTAAAGAAACAATGCTTCTGAAACGTATAATGGTAGAAAAATTCCAACAATGAGCTAAACTGGTCGTAACGTAATATCTTCCTCTTAGCTTGTAACCTACCTCTCATAAATAATAAAACCGACAGCAAAAGTTTGCAGAAACAAGACGGGCACATCATGATGATAGGTAAAGAACAACTAGCAAATTTTAGAACATATAAAACATATTCACATCAAAGAGTGGGAGTGAAAAAAAGCAAGATTTCAAGAATATCCCGTAAAAAAACATAGACTCTCGCTTTTTTTATTAGCTGCAACTGGTTCATTCCACATGCTGCCGAGTCAAACAGTGATTGAAAATCTTTAAAGGCTATAAAAATCAACACGGCAGCACCATACTGAGCTGATAAAGCAAACACAAATTACTGATAGGAAATACTCTGACCTATCACGATGTAATAATAATATTTAAGTGACCCTCAACTCTAATGAACCATTCCCGAATGTCAAGATAAGGCGTCATTCAATTACAACGTAACGTGCCCTCTCCCCTTTTTCGGGACTATGCAATTTAACACTGAATTCACCTGCCAAAAGGAGCTCTGATACACCGCAAGGGTGTAAATAAATAAACGTTTCAAATTATTATAAAAAAATTAATCATCGCAAGTAAATTTTCTCCGTGAATTTGTCGGAAACGGCAATTCCATGGATGAAATCTTAGTCAGAACCGAACCAAGCCAATTAGCCACATTTGCTAAGCAATTTTAATAACTAAAAAAAGTATTTTGTTAGGGATTTGAGCAAGGTATATGACAACAAAATCAAGCACAGTATAAATTCTTTGGGTTTTTTAAATCCATTATTGAGTACTCTTTTTCATACTTCTACTTATGTGTCACGGAAAAGGCTACTATGCATTCAGTATCGCATACCAGAAATCTTGGAATGTGAAGCCGAAATTCTCGGCCCTGGCTACCGGGATTCTCGGTCCTAGCTGACACAAACCGATGGCATTGAGCTGTACTCGTGGTTGTTTAAAATTATCGGCGAGACTTTGTCACGTCTGTTGGAAAAAAGGGACTTGATTTGAGGAGAAATATTCTTAATTTTACAGCTGAGAAAACTTCCTGTCGAATCAAGAAAAAAAGTGTACAAATCAAGAGGACAATATGCTTTTACATAAAAAAAACGGTCGAGTCATTGTATCAGACCGAGCAATTACCTGTAAAATGTTCTACCCCAAAAAAAAATCCTTTTGAGAGGGACCGATGCAGGTACCCCAAAACCCCCAAATATTGGCATTATAGGAGTACAGGATACTTCCAATTGGCTGCCAGTGTCTATGTCACTAAAAGCTTGGCAGCGGTGGGATTCGAACCCACGCCTCCGAAGAGACTGGTGCCTTAAACCAGCGCCTTAGACCGCTCGGCCACGCTACCAGATGGTATTTCGCGCTACTTACAAAATAACATAATAGCCTGTGTGCAGTATGAAAGGATATTATTTTTTTATTATTATTTCATTTATTCTTTTTTTATTTTTTTATTTATTCATTTGAGAGCGAAAGGTTTTTTGGTCGAAATAACGAGCTAGACACAAGATTAATTCGAGCCTCGAAGTTTTTAAGAGGTCACGGTGAGCCGGTCATATCTTCCTTCAAGAGCTTAAACGAGTATTTTTGACGCCCCCACCCTTCCCCCTAAAATCTGAGCGATGCAAAATAACCGTAGATACTGTAAGTTCCCTTGTTTCAGTTTCTGTACATGGTGAGAGAGGAAAAAAGAAAATAAAATGTGGTACTATTCAAGAATTTATTTAAGTTTTGGATTTGAATTTAAAGCTTGCATGCAGCCAAATAAGGCATGTGGGTCGCCTAAGTATGAGTTTTATAAAGGTCGTTTTACTGAAAGAAAAACAATAAAACTTTTGAAGGGGGCCATATTGGCTCGTTGAACCCCTCTTGTAGCTGGGGAGACCCTAATTTTCTTGGGGGCCAGGGATACTCTAGTCGAATTTTTTACCTGCGCTTTTTTTGTCTATGCTCTCATTAAGTTCTTACAAATATCAGTCCTTTAACCAATACTGACGTTTTTAGTAGCTATGTTGTAATATTTTCGTATTTACAATTTTTCCTACTTCAAAAGGGACTCTTTTCAAGAAATGTCGATGGACTAGTAAAGAAAAGCATTAAAATAAAACTGCAAACATTGACAAAGGGTGAACACATTGATGACACACACACTGCAAACATGGACATTACAGTGCGGTGATTTTCACTGACTGTATCACGAATGCTGAGTCTCCTTGCCATGTTCTTTGCCACTCGTTCCTTTTGTTCCAGAATGACAACATTGCCTGAAAATATAAAGCGGGAAATATTACGAAAGGCTATGAAAAAGAAAGTTACTGGAATTGTTTATTGAATATATTGTTAGAGCCATAAATCGAGGGAAAAGAGGGTAGGGAGAGCCCCTTCCCTTCCCTCCTTCTTCTCAAGCATTTGAAATGATACCTTATATTGGAAAAATTTGGTTAGGGTTGAGAGAAATTTTAGCGTTTTCTCTCTTGCATCCTCTAATTAAGTAGGTGGCGTCACTTAAGTGAGTTTTAAAACATATTCTGAACAATTTTTGCTCCCACCTGCCCCCTTGCTAAATGGGCCTTTTGCAAACGCTGACTGCGAGAAACTAATCGCGCCAAGCACAGTGCGGTCAGAGCGGAACGCATATTAGCGCCTACCGGACGGTAGGAATACTTCACGCATTGCGCGTACACCACGGTGCGCGTTGAACGCATGTTCGCGCGTACAAGGCTGCAGAAATACTTCACGCATTGCGTATACACTACGGAGCGCGCTTTAATCATTGAAAATTCATAACTTCAGCTCGGTTCCTGACCTACCACGATGTACACCATGCATCCATTTTTGACCAATGCACGCCGCGAGCCTGCAATCCCGGGTGAGGGGGGGAGACAAAAACTTACCCAATTTTTTTTTCTTTTTTTTTCTTTTTTTTTGTAAAATTAAAATTATCAATGAGCATGCTGCAAACTTTTGCTGGGGGAAAAATAAGAGTTGTTTCTATCTGCAGTAAATGTCTCAAAAATCAAAATGAGCGCATTGGCAAAGTTTGAAATGCACTCCTAACTTCACAATCTGCGTAAGAAATAGTGTAGTATCCTAATGCAGAGTGGTTGGACAGAACGACACTTCTAACGAAGTTTTCACCTGAGGCACAGTATCATTTCGGGAGCGGGAAACTCGAAAAAACGCACATATCTTACGCAGATTGTGAAGTTAGGAGTGCATTTCAAACTTTGCCAATGCGCTCATCATGATTTTTGAGACATTTACTGATAGAAACAACTCTTATTATTTTTGTTCTAGCAAAAGTTTGCTACAGGCCCATTTTTAGTAAATTGTTGTCCTTGAATTTTTTTGAATTCATGATCGTTACATAGAGTTTGCAACAAATTATGTTTTAGACCAAAATTAATCCGACCAAATGTAGGGTATGCCAAAAGTAAATAAGATGCTTCCAATGGATGATCGAAGAAAATTGGATGATAGAAATGAATTTCATGATATTCACATAGAATGATTTTGAATTCAAAATCAGAGGATCAAATTAAATTGCAGCCTTCTAACTCTTGATTTATAACAAAGTATCGTCAATCGAGATCAGACCACAAAAAACTATTTAATTTTATCATTGTTTTCCTTTTGCTGTGTCAGGGAGTGTTGAGTCTTGCGTCGCTGAAATAAATCAATTCAGACTAAAAAAGTTGTATACCCGTGGATCCGTATTCGACCATGGTTTGGAATAGCCGTTACTTGATGCACCTTCTTCAAAGTCTCGCACTCCTCCAACATAGAGACCCAGGCTCACGTAAAACTGTGCGCAAAAATAAAATTAAAAATAGTTAATCAATATTCACAAGAGCTCAAAAACAGTGTCAAATAAAACACACATATACTCAAAATTTGAAGGAGACACCACTCCAAAAACTCTTGAAACTGAAGCATGAGATTTCCAAGTGATTCTCAGCATACTATTGTTGCAATCCGGTACTTGTGAGGAAAAAGACTATTCGCTCAGAACAAAATTCTTCGCATGAGCAAAGAAATGTGTTGAGTTCACAAAAACTCCACATTGTTTATGACGATTGAACAAACTTTCATGGTACATCCTCACAATGGGAAAAAACACATTGGATCTAGAGTCCAGACTCATAAAAACATCGACAAGAAAAAGTACTCTTGATTCAATCAAGAATCCAGCTTAAATCAAGAACCAAGCCTCTTAATTTAAGCGGATTTCGTTTTGATTCAAGCAAAAATCCGATTGAATCAAGAGTATTTTTTCTTGTCAATGTTTTTAAGAGTCTGGACTCTGGATCCAATGTGTTTTTTTCCAGTGCATTATTCAGACATCACCATTGATGATAATGCGAGCTCGTTTTGCCTAGATCATCAAATGAAGGCTGACTCATTTCTACGAATCATCGGATTCTGGGCAGAAGCTCATCTGATTAAATCACTATCGGGCCACTTGACAGTCAGTTGGTAGTCACTCCGTGGAACCCTATATACCCTGTTCAAGCCCCCTTATTCTCCCCTCACCATCATTTCACTAAGCATCCCCTTCGCCCCTTCCCAGAAGCCAAGAAAGGGATAGGCATCTTGACAGCTTTTCTTCCATTATTCTGTCAACATAATAATACCAAACAGGTTGTTTGGTCATGACGTCAAATACGATGCCATTTTCAACTTCCATGATCCGACGCAATCCATCATTACCAATAGCAAGGCGTGAATGATCGATTATCGATATTTCCCCAATTGAATCTATGGTAAAGAATCGATTACTAAGATGTTCATTCTGTTCATTACGAACACCCAGCTTGTCGATCATTTTCCATATGTTTAAATGGCAGATCAATCGATACATCGGATATACGAAACCCGATCTCTTCTAAAAACTCCTGCCGACCTCCTCCAGAATCCAGAAATTCATTTCCGTTGCCCCTAGCATATAAGCCAAAAATGGTCTAAATGCGATTACTCACTGGTTGGTCAAATGGAGCTATAGACGTTCCTGCATTCCAAAGTTTGATCTCTGAGCTAGGAAATCCGACAACATCACTCAGTCTGGATCCATGAGCATTCACCATTACGTTCTGTTTTTTCCTCCCATCAACCATGAATGCAATATCATCTGTGGTCAAAAAATATTATTTTATGAAATATTAATCCGAGCACTGATGAACAATGGTAATTTTTTCAGGTAGCTATAAGGTAAAAGTGAATTGCCAGCATGAAATCGTATTTCCTCAACGTTCTCCGAGATAGCAATTTATATTTGCATACTACCAAATGATCCGAGGAAAATAATTAAAGAGAGGGAAAAGGTTGTTTGTTGATCCCTCTTTATATTTTTAGAAATGATGAAATGAAACTGTAATTGAATAGGATATGATTTTAAATTCATATGCATTCACTTAAAATATTTTGAAGGCTGGGTCTTTTAAAGAAGTTTTCTCGGCGATGGAACGGAACTCCATTATAAAGGTACCATAAATAAGTCAGAGGTGCTACTTATTTGCGAGTGGCAATTTGCAGCGTTGTGATAGTTACATTCTTTCGTCCAAAAAAGACAATTTTTAAAGTCACAAGATTGTGATTTGAACAACATATTTTAGTGAAATCCTTTATTCGTGCAGATTATCAATAAATTACAACATTTTTCTGAAAACCACGTTTGGCATCCAACATAAACCTTGTCCCCCAATAATCATGGTTTTCTCGATAACGTAAGAGCAAGGAGCAACTAGCAATGTATGCTCATCACGTATACCACGAGGGTTGAATCCATTCATCGTTTAAACCTAAGACGCATAAGAACATGATAACTTCAACTGGGAGAACATTACCAGGAGTCCAAATGATGGTGAAATTGTGAAGTTCGTTTCGCCAGCCATTCCTATCCGTGAAGTAGACGGGTTTTGACTTTACTCTCGTTCCGTAACCGAGCATTACAGACCCTTCCACCGTCTGACTGCCCATTTCTCGCCCGTCGTCATATTTAAGATGCCGGTTCCCACGGGACATCATTCGAATTTTTCCAGAGTCGTAATAAGTTCCGTAAGTATGATCCGCAGGCAACAATGCAATTTCTTGACAAATAATCAAAATAATGAATGAAACATAAACACCAACAGTTAGCCTTTCTTTAAGGGTCGTTCAGAGATGAATGGATATAGAGAGAGGGGCTTGATTACATTGCAATATTTCAAAGTTTAATTTGACGATTTGTTCATTCACTCGAAACTGATTTAAAATTTCCTGTAGAAATTTTTTGGTGAATTTCCTCTGCGATTAAAGAGACATTGGCTGCAGTTTTTGATGCAGAATATGCACTCGTTCATGAAAAAACAACTGGATCGGCCCGAAACGATAAACAACTTAAAGTACGACTAGGGCCGCGAAAAATAATAGAACACACACTTTTATATTTTTATGTTTTTTGCGGCCTTGGTCCCATTTTTAGTTATTTATTTTGTATTTCACGGTTACGAATCAGACAATTTATGAATTATTGAGTTTTTAGATGATGATCTTTCAGTACCGGTAACAACGCAGCACGCAGCATTCTTACCGGGATGACCAAACTGTATGTTACTACAAAAGTAGCGTTCTAACTACAACTAACTACCTAGAATCCTACAACCTAGAATCCTTTTGGAGCATTTGCATGATAAGCGAGTATTCTTTTTTCCATGTATTTCTTATCCTCTTTTTCCCTCCTAAAATCCGAAAAATGCAAATTTCTTTATCTGCGATATTTTTTTTACGAGAGGAGAAGAGGGCACGTCAAAGTCAATCCCTAATTTCAGTCATTTAATTTATACTGTCAATTGTAGCAGAATAATGCATTGTAGGATTAATCTAAGTTCGGAAACTTAAAAATGCACCCGTGAGGCTTAAAAAAATGTACTAAATTTGCAGATAACCCGTTGACATGAGGACTAAGTTGAACAAAGTTTAAAACACTCTTGACAGCCCCCCCCCCCTCCAAATATAACAAAAAGTGTATCAACATTTTCTCAAAAAAATTTAATTTATGCAATGACTACATTGATTTAGGGGCGAGTCCAAGAAACGTACCTGATACAATCCAATCACCTATGGGAAGCCTTGCTTGAACCTCCAAAATGCCGTACTTGAAAGAGAACTTTTGCCGTGTGCTGATGCGAGCAGATTGTACGGGGGGTAGAATGAAATAGTCAGTATTTCTTGAGCACTCATTGTTAACTACCTCTCCCGTGCACCTGAAATTATCAAATCATTTGGCTTCAGATCAAAGGAAAGTTAAAAGACCTGCTGATAGTAAGTTAACTTAGTTTTCAAAATTCTTCCAAACAATTTATTAATCATAAAGTCAATGTTTAACTTGTTGGTTTTTATTTCGTGCGAACGTGTCACAATGATAGAAGTTGCTCGGGACGTAGCAGTCTAATTTTCGTTCAACGATTGTGCCGTTGGTCAATTTCATTCTGGTAAATTTAATTTCTTTAAAGTGGAGCTTTATAATGTCAAAATGTACTAAAAATAACGTATACCTCTCAAGCTGGATGTGTCCATTTTCAACGAAACTGTCATCAAAAATCGTGGGCTGAATGTGAAGTACTTCATTTCTGTAGAAGGTATTCTCAGGTTTGGAATCGTAGACAGTGAACTCGTAATCCTGAAACATATTATGAGACAGGTGCAGTTTTTTGCCAGTTAATTGCTTGCTTTGTTGAGTGCAAACGCTCGATAATAAGTCATCTCGCTTTCATTTTTATCTATCGGCAATACGCACATCCGTGAAGCGCAAATAATTGCATTCAAGCCACTCTACCTCATCGACGTTGCGTTCATCTATGAACTAAAATACGTACGTTTTCTTTCTTTTTTTGGTGTGTGTGTGTGTTATTTGTATTTTGAGGTACAACTTGGCATTTTTGAAGTTAGTCGTTTGATACTTTTGGAAATGGGAAAAAATTTAGGAATTAACGACGGACGTAATCAATAAACCCCTCCTCCTTTTTTTAAAAAAGAACTTTACAAACACTAAAATCATAATGTAAAATTAATTCAACTTGACGATTTTGACCAATAGGATTTACGCTTGCTCTCCCCGACTCTCTTGTAAAATCGATTAAATATAATTCCACTAAACTCCTTTGTTGTTTCAAACTCCGATGAAATAAACAACCCTCAGAACACTATCATCAACGATTATGCCCCGCAGCAAAAATGACTATCGAGCCTTAGTTCCTCCCCCCCCCCCCCATTTATCACGATTTCTACGGCTCATGAGTTTTTGGCGATCGGACTTTATTGTGAACTAAATCATGAATTACCTACCCTCTGTCAGACGCTCATAAGCTCATGTATCGAAAAGAAAAAATTGCTCCTTCAAATGAGGAACTTGGAGGACACGGTAGGGCATATTAGTGCAGTCTCTAAAAAAATTGAGATAAAATAGTGATTTCAACGAAGACTAGTCATGAAATAAATTCTATCACAAAGTCACAAGTAAAATCCAATTTTTAAGCGTCAAATAATTGTGAGTCAAAATTGTTTTTCCGCTCTAAGGCTTCGTGTAATTTTGAACATTTGAAAAGGTATTTCTCAATATAGCAAAAACTGCACCTATGCGTCTTATCCTCCAGCCCCTTGAATGAAATGTGACGACATCTTACCGGTTTATTAGCGACTTTGACTTCGTGACTCCAGAAATCAGTGTCAAATTTCCGGAAATCGTCGTAGAAAACGACGGAATTTTTGCAGGTCCGATGTCCATTGACAATGGTTGTCGACACAGGACAGTTTGTTTGAGAACCGGCTCCTGTCGTTTCTTGATTGAGTTGCGCAGAAGGCCTCCCTGTTTCTTGATTGTTATTAATTGGAGCAACGGGTTGATACGTTTCTTGATTGACTGAACCTGGAGGTTGATACCCTTGATTGACTGAACTGGGAGGTTGATAAGTCCCTTGATCAACTGGACCGGAAGGTTGATACGTCCCTTGATTGGCTGAGCCAGAGGGTTGATACGTTCCTTGGGCTGGAGCAGAGGGTTGATACGTTCCTTGATTGATTGGGCCAGAGGGTTGATACGTTTCTTGATTGATTGGCCCAGAGGGTTGATAAGTTCCTTGATTGATTGGACCAGAGGGTTGATACGTTCCCTGATTGATTGGACCAGATGGCTGATATGTTGCTTGATTGGCTGGACCAGAGGGTTGATACGTTCCTTGATTGATTGGACCAGATGGCTGATATGTTGCTTGATTGGCTGGACCGACAGGTTGATACGTTCCTTGACTGATGGGACCAGAGGGTTGATACGTTGCAATCCCGATACCCAAAGGAGGCGGACTGTTTGGTGGGGATGGTTTTAATACGGGTTTATGCGCTACGTTTAGTGGATCAAGCAAGCTGACGACGGTCCCCAAGGCCAATGAGGTCCGCTCAGCGTCCAAACCTGTCTTTAAGGCTAAGAGACCTCTGTTTTCTTTTTTAGGGCTTTTGATAGGTGTTCCATTTTCCCCATCTATAAAACAGAGAGGGAAAAATAAAAAAGATGAAAATCTTCAGGTATCTGATTGCACAGCTTCAAAGAGGTCGTTAAAAAAAAAAAAAAAAAAAAAAAAAAAAAAAAAGAGGTCGTTGGATCGTGCATTTTTGCTCTCTCTCTACCTCTCCGCACAAAGTAGCTCAGTTTGTGGTAAATTGCGATTACACGGTGAAATGATTGCTTTGAAGGAGCTCCTAGTGTTGAAATGTTTTGTTATGCATTTTAAAGGAATCGTAATTTGTCTCTGTTTCAAACTGCCTATTTTTTGTGTATCCGTTTAAAATCGATATTAATTCGATAAGATATGAAAATATCGCAATTTCATCAACTCTAATTTTTTAGTTGCAAAATAATACTTGGAGCACTGAGTGCTTGACTCAGCCAAAGCTGAAAAATTTCAATTTGACTTTAAGAATCATGCTTCCATAAGGATTTTGTTGATAATACAATTTCGGTCGGTGAAAGTATTCTACTATTCTCTCTATTTTTACTGATATAATATGCACTTTCTTTTCTTTTTCGAGTTAGGAATTTTTCTTCCTGCTTAATTTGCAACTGAAATGAAGGTCACATTATTTGAAAAACAGAAAAAGTTGAAAATCTTTCTAATGGGTCGGTTAGTCATATCACAGAGCCGTGTTTTGAACCTAAGGTCTAAAAGGAGGCAATTGAAATTGAGACCAGGCAGAAAATAAGGTGTTACGTCCGAGATATAAAAGTCATCATACGTTTAATCTTGATTGATGACGTCATCTATAATGTTTTTAGAACACTGAAATTTCGCATCAGGGGTGTAAATTTTGCATTGAGCAGATCTCACAATTTTTTCGACAATCTACTAGATGACTGATATGCACACCCATCAAAATATGATTTTCTAGCCCTTCATCAAATTCTGAGGTACAGCACTTATAGAGGAGCGCATGATAAGATTTTAAGACAATCTCGTCTTGTGAGAAAAATAAACATTTTCCCGTAACTCCATGAAAAGGAAAAGTTATTTTCTATCTAAAATAATTTACCAAGCTGGAGACTTGTAATTCAAATTTAAAAGGAAAAAAAATTACCTGCGTTGACAAGAATCGCGAAAAATAATAGGGCCAACAAGTTGGGGAAAACGGACGAGTGCATTCTATCGGAGCACAAAACAACTGAGGCTCTCAACATGAAAAGATATCAGAGATGGCAACTGTAGCCTGTAGGTAAATTGCAGGTTGTGAGAATAGGTCGTGCGGGATAAAAGGATGCAAAGAATTCGGCCAATGGACGCTTGTCTGTTCGCGAAGATTCAACCGGTTTTCCCCGCTTGTCATCATAAAGAAATATAAAGATAAAGATATGAATAGTTTCTTTTGTCATATTACTACTTTCCATATTTTTGCTCGGCGAAGTCAACTTCAAACAGGAGCACAGTGATACTAACTGGTTAAAACGTAGGTTTAAAATGAAAGTAAATATTTAATTCGTTACGTGTATTCGCAACGAAATTCTAGCACCGAATTCCTGTATTCTTTTGAGCAAAAAAAAAAAATAAATAAAAATTATTCTTTTCATTAGATTCTATATTTGAGCCTAGACAAAAATCTTGCCACTTTCGCATCAATTTTAACGGACGGGAAATAACTATAGAAAAAAAACTTCAAAAAGTAGGAACCAGTCAAATTCAACAAAGCATCGATTCGAATGCGAGAGGTTGGGCAAAGTTGTAGAATTTAATTCTACTCAAAAGAGGGAATTGTTAGATTACATGTATTAGAAAAGAGTGAACTTACTAAAATAGATCTTGAGAAAGGAATGAGCCCATCGAATGAGATAAATCGTTCCAAAGCTGCATCTCGTCAAATTAAATTTAGTACAAATTATAAAAGAATGAACATGTCGGCTCTGATGCGACAGAGAGAAAGAGGGTTATTCAAAATCGGCGATTTTACCCTACGCTTGGATTTTGCCCGGAGTTGGATATGTTGTTCCCTATCACAAGACACGCCTTTTTCCGGCATTGGCAAGTTCACCCGAAATTTTTCCCGCGCGCTACAGCGTTGCCAAGTTGAAAACAGGCAAATTCCGTAAGTGGCATTAAAATTGAGCTATGAAGTTGCGATTTTAACGAAAATTCTCTAAAAATTACGCACTTTTAGAAAATGACCATGTTTTTAATGTCGCATTAATTTTAACATGCATTATTGCCAAATTTCCGATTTTTAAATTCGACAAATGTTACATATCCGCAAATACCCAAAAAGGCTATCTTCAAATTTGAATAAAAAGTTGCCTAATCGATAGTTCGTTTGATTCCGCATCCATCGATAGATTATAGCTCGCTGGGAAACTTTTGGTTCGCGAGATATCATCATTTTTGTGAACAGCTTTATGGAGCGACGACGCTTTTTGAGTCCGGGCGGATAGAAATTTTAGCCTCCAAAAACACCGGGTAGCATTAATTCCATGGTTTCCCATGTAATTTTTGGCGCTGAATCCGAATTCGACCATTTCATAAAAAAATTGTCACCAAGATGTTGCCAAATTTGGCAAAAATTGCTTAAAATCGGCCTTTTTGGCGGATTATAGCCTGTGACTTGCCAGGAGTTGATCAGACGACAAAATTGGTTATTTCCACAGTTAAAACTCGTTAAACTATCTACCAGCTGAGTCAAATTCTTTCTGCTCACGGTAAAATTAAACGCGCGACAAGCAGCAAACTGAAAAAAAGACACCAAAATTGGCGCTTTTTGCGGTTTTTGTCGTAAGTTTCTTGTTTTCCGATTAAGAGAATGTTTCTTGACTATACTAATGAAAAACATGAGCAGAATTTAATAAAATTGAACAATAAAATGAAATCGAACGTATTTCAATGTTGTCAAGCTTAAACAAAATACTTTAATTTTCGCCGGTTTTTTCGATATTATTATCCTATATTCTTTGTTCACCTCTTATTTTTAAATTTTATAAATGTATCTCTCTTGCAAAATAATACAGGTCTGTAGAATAATTTAATTTTCAACTTAGATATATACTAATAACTAGGGTATTTAGTTCAGAGAGGAAAAATTCATAAAATAGTGAGTTTTATCGAATCGTGTCAATAAACCACATTTTGAAACAATAATGGAAAATTTTCTGCTAAACATTAATGAATAAAATGTACTCCTTAGATTGACTTCATTAAAACAAGACAAGACGCATTGCAATATTGCCAAAATTACGTACAATCGTTGAATTTTGGCGGTATTTGACCGTTATTATTCATTACCCTATATTTAGTATACAATTTTATTTTATAATTCTGAGATAATGGAGTTTAATAGAAAAAAGTAACGACACCAAACTGAAGAAGACGCCCAGGAAAGGACAATAAGGGGCTTAAAAAGGAACAAGGGCGCTCCAAATTACTGAGGACCTGTGGGTGGACAAGGGACTATGGCGGTTAGGCGTCGCGGGGCCCGAGAGACCGCTGTTAAAGCGGCTCTTTATCTATACATGTAACAATACAATAGTTTGTCGTTACACTCGGCGTAATTCAGATTTTCCTGAGAAACATTCTCTTAATCGGAAAACAAGAAACTTACGACAAAAACCGCAAAAAGCGCCAATTTTGGTGTCTTTTTTTCAGTTTGCTGCTTGTCGCGCGTTTAATTTTACCGTGAGCAGAAAGAATTTGACTCAGCTGGTAGATAGTTTAACGAGTTTTAACTGTGGAAATAACCAATTTTGTCGTCTGATCAACTCCTGGCAAGTCACAGGCTATAATCCGCCAAAAAGGCCGATTTTAAGCAATTTTTGCCAAATTTGGCAACATCTTGGTGACAATTTTTTTATGAAATGGTCGAATTCGGATTCAGCGCCAAAAATTACATGGGAAACCATGGAATTAATGCTACCCGGTGTTTTTGGAGGCTAAAATTTCTATCCGCCCGGACTCAAAAAGCGTCGTCGCTCCATAAAGCTGTTCACAAAAATGATGATATCTCGCGAACCAAAAGTTTCCCAGCGAGCTATAATCTATCGATGGATGCGGAATCAAACGAACTATCGATTAGGCAACTTTTTATTCAAATTTGAAGATAGCCTTTTTGGGTATTTGCGGATATGTAACATTTGTCGAATTTAAAAATCGGAAATTTGGCAATAATGCATGTTAAAATTAATGCGACATTAAAAACATGGTCATTTTCTAAAAGTGCGTAATTTTTAGAGAATTTTCGTTAAAATCGCAACTTCATAGCTCAATTTTAATGCCACTTACGGAATTTGCCTGTTTTCAACTTGGCAACGCTGTAGCGCGCGGGAAAAATTTCGGGTGAACTTGCCAATGCCGGAAAAAGGCGTGTCTTGTGATAGGGAACAACATATCCAACTCCGGGCAAAATCCAAGCGTAGGGTAAAATCGCCGATTTTGAATAACCCTCTTTTATTTGATGTAATTACATAGGTCCAAAATTGTACAATCGATCGGCTTTAATTTATTGGCACACCCGAATCAGTGGCGAGGCGCGAATGATCAATTATCGATATCTTTCCATTTGAAGCTGTGCTGAAGAATCGATTCGTTGCGAACGCCCTCTCTATCGATCCTTTCCCATAAGTTTAATTGGCAGATCAATCAATACATCGCAAAGTACGTCACGCCACTGACACAAATAAGTATACGTTGTGAGCTATTAAAGCGGACGTATGGAATTTCGCCGAGCGTTTCACCGCATTTCGATGTTCTGATTATATTTGAATTTAAGAAAATCTAGAATTCTAAGAATTGGCGCCAGGTTGTGAATAATTTCGATATTAAAAGAATATTTGACTAGAAAATTTATTTTCAATTACAAACAAAAGCTACAGTTTATTATCACTGAACCCGCTGATACAGAGGACTTCAAAAATTAAAAATTAGCAGCGTATATTTTTCGTATGTTACCTTGGAAGCACAATGGTTGTTGCCGTGAATGTAATTTTTACACGAACCACATGTGTAAATCACAAAATTAAGGCTCGATAAATTTTTCTGAGTTTTGAATAAGTATACGTTCTTTACCATAGTTATCACACATTTAGCTCGTAATTTTGCTATGGGATATATTTTATGATTTTCAATTTCTCTTATTTGTATTGTAATTGTATTTCCAGAGATAAAGATAAAAGTAAAAATTTTTGTTTATCCTTGCAGAATGAACGAGTTTCAATAGTCAATGTGAAGGAAGATGTAATATTATCCTCTTCTTGATGTGCGAAAGCCGAAAAAAAAAAATCTCATAAAAAACGTCGATGGAAGTCGTGATAAGATTGAGCGCCTTCATCTTTTCGTATTGTCAACCTGGGCAGTCTTTAAGCAGGAATGGTTGAATTGATGACACAATCACCGCGGTGTGTCCTTTTAAATTACGATCATCTTATCACAGTTAAATGTTGAAAGTAAGACAAATAGTCTACAGTTTCTTCCTCTGTTATCATATCATCGATCACTTTCATTATTTTGGTTTCACCTTCTGTTTCCTCTTTTCCCCTTTCCTGTTGAAAGACCGACTCTCACGGATTTTGCTTTGGCATAAACTGGGATAGATAGCTGCGGCTGTTCTTTTGCGTTGGGAGTTTTTTCTCCTCCATTTCCATCAACAGATTTTAAGAATGGTGGTCTGCCTCGATATGTATCGATTGTTTTACATACAAATAAATGCAGGAAGCGAGGAACCCTAGTTTTGTCTTCTTGTAAGAATCGCAACTTTTGGAGAAAATAGGGGCACCGGGGAATTTGACACCGTTCAGCTGGAGGGAGGATTCTAAAGAGCTGTAACTTTTATCGACTTGATTACAAAAGCTGAGTCTCCTTCCCAAGTTCTCTGCCACTCATTCCTTCGGTTCCAAAACGTCAGCATTGCCTAGAAACAGAAAGCATATTATTTCATGATGAGCCAAGGTATGATTTAAAGCGCGGGACGCGCGGAGACTCAAACGCGCGGATAGGAAAGAGAGCGTGGATGAAAAGGAGAGAGTTTTACACAAACAAATGTTGTTGTCTCTTTCTTTTACGACAGGTTTTAGGACTTTGTCAATAATTTCCATGATGGAAATGTACGAATTTACAGGCTGCACGGTTATTTAAGGTACCCTGAAAAAAGGCTTGTTACCTACGGGTTCTGCATCCTCGCTTTTTTCCCTAACGCACCTCGCTGATTGAAACAACCCCTTGTGGCGGCGCTCCAAATGGAATTCTGAAGAGACAAAAAGGCTTCAAGTGCCTTCATTTGTGCGTATATGTGACACAGACATCCTTAGTATACGAATGGTTGCATCCAGGCGTTACTATTAAGGAAGTCAAAGTGAAAAGCGCCTTCAGTTGATATGCATGCAACACGGATATCAAGAGCTCAAATAGTTGCATCAGAGCGTTTTATTGTTCGTTACGTCATCAATCCGTCAATAGTTGACAAGTTAAGAAGAGGAAATGTTCGTCTGTGAATAAATCGCAAATTTGTATGCAGTCTCCTGAAATAGTATTCCGCAAAGCATTAAAAATATCTTGAGGAAAATGAATACGCATGGTAAAAATATTATTACCCTGGGGTCCGTGTTCGACCATGGCTTGATATAACCGTTACTTGAGGCTCCTTCGTCAAAATCCCGTACTCCACCGACGTAGAGACCCAAACTTAAGTAGAACTAGATTTGAAAATGAAGAAAATAAATATTAATGCCACAGAAAGGTGTGACGCAGCGCGTCCAATTAGGGCGATCGTAGTAAATTTTGTTAGTTCTTAGCTTTTGATGACAGTTTTCAATTAACATAATCTAGAATGAAGTGAGAGTAATCAACCTGATTTATACAACTTGGCCCGATTTTAACAAACATTATTTATAATTAAGTCACATCAAAATCGCACCAATGATAAAGAAGTTTGAAGTTTTCCGCCCTCAGACCAAATATTACAGATATAGTTTAAAGCCTATTTTAACATTCAAAATATTTTTTTCGCGTTCATATTCTTAAGAAGAGAAAACCTGCGGATTTGTGATCAAGCTGGAAAACTATGCCTCTCACTCATTTCTCCAAAATGTGTCGTTTTTTCTCGCTAATCCATAGTCTACGTATACCCTTTTGTTACAGGTTCAACAAATATGTGCAACCAAAACCTTCTTTGGTCTACAACTTTAAAACATTTTTAGACATGATTAAAAATATATCTGATTGAGCAGAGGCCCAAAATAAGGTAATTTTCTTCTTCTCTCATTTCAAAGCACAAGCATTTATCTCTTCAACGTCTAACTGTCCGGTAGTTATCAACAGTTGCACTTAAAAAAAAAAAAAAAAAACTTTGAATAGGCTTCTTTCTGCGCAGGACATGAAGCTACTTACTGACTGATCAAAAGGCGCGATGGTAGTTCCTATGTTCCAAAGTTTGATTTCAGAATTTGAAAATCCTAGCACGTCACTTAGCCTTGATCCGTGAGCATTTACCATCATATTTTGTTTCCTTCTACCATCAACCATGAACGCTATATCATCTGTTTGTGAAAAATGATAAATGGATCCATAAATGAAATTAAAAATTATTTCTTTATCTTCATGAAAATATTATTTAAAATACTTACGAAAAATATTACAGAGGCTCAGGTCTTCGTGATCACTATGGACAATGGGCATGTATAGTTCATTTTTTGAAAAAATAGTTCAATTTCGACAATAGTTGCTTTTATAATAGATTCAGATAACAATCATACACAAAAACAGCCTAAATTATTCAACTAAAAAAGTCAAAAAACGGGTAATAGAGCTGAAAAACAAACAAAAAGCCATAGACGTTTCGGGGTACTTTCAACCCTCTTTTCAACCAGGAAAAAAGTATATAAAAATCAAGACCCTTAGACCCCCATTTGTGATAACAAAAAGAAGAGAGGTTATCCTATGTCCTACGTCTTTTTGTTATCACGAATGGGGATGTAAGGGTCTGATTTTTATAATTTTATATATATATCGTTTCCTGGTTGAGGAGAAGGTTGAAACCAGCCCGTAACTTTCCAGACTTTTTGTTTGTTTCTTAGCCTTTGGTTACCCGTCTTAGTTTAGATTCAAGTATTACCTGGGGTCCAGATCATAGTGAAGTTATGAAACACATTCCGCCAACCAGATTTTTCCGAAAAGTAAGCTTTTTTCGCTTTGACACTGGTCCCATAGCCAAGCATAACTGATCCTTCCACCGTTTGACTGCCCATTTCTCGCCCATCATCATACTGCAGGTTGAGGTTGCCTCGTGATATGATCCGAATTTTCCCCGATTCATAATACGGTCCATAACTATTATCCGACGGTATTAAAGCCATCTCTGGAAATTAAAAAGATGAGCAAAAATTATTTAGTTGCTTGATTAGTTTGATTTTTCAAATATTTTATTTATTATTATTACTTTTTTGAAGGAGTAAACATATCTGATGGAGACTTTTTACGAAATTGTGAACTATTCATACTTCGTGTAAAATTCGATAGATTTACCTGCAACAATCCAGTCACCAACGGGAAGTCTTGCTTGAACCTCTACAACACCGTACTTGAATGAAAACTTTTGTCTTGTGTTGATTCTTGCCGATTGGGTAGGAGGCAAAATGAAGTAATCAGTGTTCCTTGTACATTCATCATTGATCACCTCACCTGTGCACCTGAAATTATAGTTTTATTTTTTATTTCAAAAATTATTTTAAGGCACTGTCTCAATTTAAGTTGATCAAAGTAAGGGTTCATGTGACTGTAAAATTGTTATACCTTTCAAGGTGTATGCTCCCACTCTCTACGAAGTTGTCATCAAAAATTGTGGGTTGAATATGGAGAGCTCCATTTCTCATGTATGTATTTTCAGCCTTCGAATTGTAAACGGTGAATTCGTAGTCCTGAAACATACAACCACCATTTGTTTGAGAATTAAATCAATGAAAATCATGTTTAATAACCAGTCATGAGCAAAATAGGATTGGGTAGTCATAATATTTAACACCTTGACTGGGATTTCAAGAAGTCCCTTTCCTCAAATTCTCTCTGATACATCCTTGAGTGCTAATGACTCAATGTAATTAAGGACCATGTTCATTGTTCACTTCAAATTTTTGACCACACGCTTAGAGGCACATCTGAGGGGCTTGGAGGACAAGGCGCATAAGTGCAGTTTATGAAAAAATTGAGATATTCATGAACTCAACTAAAACTAGTTTGAAAGTATACTTATTTTTGGGACAGACTGAAATTTATACCTTTAGGCCTTTAAGGATTCGCTTTTTCCCGGAAAAGGGGGTATCGTTGAGGGTCCTTTGTGGATCCACCCTGAATTTCCCATTTTCCAGATTTTCCTTTGAAAGGTTTGATATCAATATAAATTGGTCCGAGTGACTCCCTTACATTCCTAACGAGTATTCCTGAAGTAATTTTTGCTCCTCCGATGAAACTGTCATAAGACAGAGCGTCTAATGCGACAAGCTGTGTGTCACGAAGAAGTTGTGCGAGCCATTGGGGGATGACAATACACGAGAAGAGAGCGGCACACGCTCAGACGACGTGCCGCGGCGCGCGCGCGCTGTGGTGACACGGGATGCGTGGAGACTCGAACGCAAGGATAGGAAAGAGAGCATAGAAGTCATCCGTTATCGAAATCATGTGCGGCGCATCCAGCAAATAGGCAACATCGTTTTTCTCCGTTTAAACCCATGGAAATGTATCGATTCTTGAAGGGGCCTGGTGCTCTGACCAGAATCGATTATTTAATATAGGTTTAATTGGAAGAAATCCGATGTTGCCAAATTGCTGAATTCGCCTCTGTTCCCTCCTCCCGTTGCCGGACACCAGTTAAAATGAATAACAGCTATCTGTAGGGTGAATATTACTCTCATTCACCGGCAAAGCGTCTTATGAACATCATGCGTTGCCAAATTTCTTCCGATTAAACACCGATTCTCTAGCAAAAGGAATCGATTAGGGTCGTTTTTTGGCCCACCCTATAAATTTCCTCAATTCTACGATTTTTTGCTCATCGATCTATATTTTGCGAAATGCAACATTATTTGGTCATTTTCTGTCTCTATTCAGGACTAATACTGACCTAATCATGGGTCTGAACGCCAATTTTGGCGAAAAATCTGCATTTTTCGCGGAGATCGGCCCTCAGGCCCATACTAGGGCCAGTATTAAACCGGAAAAGAGACTAGAGACCATCCGAGAAATACAGACCACCAATGAGAAAAAAATCAAAAAATCGAGAAAATTCAGTGTGGACCCAAAATCGGCCCTCATCGATACTCCACCTTTAATAAAAAACCGCAGTATTTTAGGAAAATTAGTTCGGTGTCTAAATGTTAATTTGTTCAGTTCCGATGAAGATTTTTTTTTTTTTTTTTCACACCTGCCTCCACCATGCAAACGTATCGAATGATACAGCTAATAAATCGAACTACTATCATATTCTCACCGGTTTATCAGCAACTTTGACTTCGTGACTCCATCGGGTGCCATCGAATTTCCGGAAATCGTCGTAGAAAACTACAGAATTCTTGCAAGCTCGTTTCCCATTGACGATGGTCGCCGATAGCTGACAGTTGCTTGTCGGGGAGGGGGTTGTTGTGACCTTCTGCTGCTGAGAGGGCGTCTTCTTCGTTGTTGAAGGGTGTGTTGTTCCTCGAGTGGTACTGGGACCGAGTGTCACAGCTCCTTCATCTACGAAATACCAAACAGAATCACACAGTGGATCGAGTCAATAGGAGAGGTCGGACAAAATTTCGAAATTTTAATCGTTTATAACTACGTCAATACAAAACTTTGAGGTTGTAAAAGTGGTTTCATTGGTTTCCTCGTAGAATATTCTTCCTGTAGTTTTAGTTAATGTCCGACCTCTCTAATTGACTCGACCCACTGTCGTCACACAAAAACCATTATATTGAGGTATTCAAAGTTACACAATGATTCACGATCGATAAAATATGCTCATATTCCATCTCTAAAACTAAAAAGATACGAATAACTTTGAATATTAGTAAACGTACCTGCCAGCGGAGTTCTGTAAACTTGCAGTCTCCAGTTACCACCACACTTTTCACTGGGATCCCCAGAACATTGAGTGTTGCATTCTGCGTCAGATTTACGTTTTTCCTGGGCCGGCTGCCATTTTCCGCAAAAACATTTATATCTGGTGCAAAAATTAAGTTATATCGATCAAAATCTAACTAGAAAGTACGCGTCCGTTCATTGGATAGGCAATTTGCGATGCATAGAAAAATTGCAGCTTATTTTTATACACTTCAATTTTATCACATTGAATTTCAAAAAAAGTTGCTCCTTCAATTGGCATACAAGCAACATGCTTTACACTGCGATGCAGTGGCAATAATTTCTCCACGTAATCGCAATGGATCGCGACGTGTGCTTCTTGGGAGGCGGGCCAATAAAAATTACTTGAGGCAAATAAATTACCGACAGTCTGACAACCGGTCCATCAGAGCATCCGGGGAAATTCGCGGACCGGTAACGGTTGATCAATGTACAGGGTGATTCAAAATTCCCGCACCAATAGTGTTTGACACCACCCCTTTAACTTTCAAGCAATTTGAGGTGAAGACTTGGAGTCTTATGAGTGTTCCTAGGTTAAAGGAAACGACTTTTGAGACCCACCCCCCCCCAAATTTTAAGGGGGTTTCCTTTGAAAATGGGCAAGAAACCTAGGGGTCATTGGGGTGGTACAAACATTTTGAATCACCCTGTACCGTCAACTGCGGTTCTCACTCGAACTTGTACTAGGAGAAGCCACCCACCTGAGTTCTTCTTCAGCAGAGGCTCAAGCTCTGTCACTTGGATGTATTTCAATCAAAAGCAACCATATCCATTCTTACATGAGCCCTGCGATCCACAAGAATACATGCACAACAGGGCTCTTGTGACAATGTACGTAGTTCCTTTTGATTGATATACGTCCACTTCGGATGATGATGACCTTGATTTCGTCGGGAGTGGGGCGGAGGCACATCGCGAACTTCACAGTATTGCCAATTTGTAGGGGCTTCAACGGTTTACCCATAAGAAACAATGTAAATCAAGCGTATTTTACCTTATAAACGACAAAACTTAAGCCATCTAAGCAGATTTGTCTTTCAAGGCAGGAGTTCATGATGCGCCAAACAACAGTTGGTCTTAATAACAGCCACCGATGGCATGGTATGCACTCGCGGGTGTTGGACGAATTACTCTCGAAATAAATTGTTCATTGACCTCAGAACTTGTTTACTGACCGTAAGTCACCCGGTAAAGTGCGGTCTCGAGCTGCTGGCTTACTACAGTCCGTGGTCTAAGTGGCTTACCATCTCATAACAGAAAGGAACAGTTAAAAAACAACCAGCTAAAAGGATATTTTTACACTCTCTCAACAGTTGGCAAATTCTGTACTCCACGTGCGTGGTTCGAACTTGATTAGGTATGTTATTTTCGTGCGTGTGGGTATTCCCAGCTTTCCTCCATCTTAATTTATTTTGTTATTCCTCTCCCCACTATTCTTCGTGTCCCTTTTTGACGATTATTTTACAGGTGGACGTGCCTATGAGTTTTTAGGTACGGCACGTTGGATTGGTATATTGCGTTGAGTCCAGAATGTCGGTTGCCAGAATCCGAAACCACGTATCACCATTTGTGACGTTGCAAACTTCCTGTCCTAATTTATTTTTCTTCGGAAAACTGGTCAACGTAACTTCTTGAAAACTTCCTTGATTCTTCCTCTTTGGCAGCAGAATATTCTATACGAATTTCGAGCTATTAAGTTGACTTGTTCTTCCTCGAGAAAATCGAATGAGAGCGGATTTAAAATACCGCATATCTTTGCACTTCAGCCATCGATATATTGAAGAAGAATCGAACAGAACAACATTTTTTAAGTAATGGGGCAAAAGTTGGCTTGATGTTCTTGAGAGTATTATAAAGCGCTTTATGTAAAAAATTGGAAATATCAGATTTTTCTAATCCATGAGTTGGTTTTTCGTTGTACCTTTGTACTGAAAAACATGAGTTTTCACCTCAATTGCTATCTTGCCAGCCTCTACATATCGCAATTAATATTTCATTTATACGGGCTCGGAGGACAAGGCGCATAAGTGCAGCTTCTACTATTTCGAGAAAAACGTGTTTCAAGTTTCTAAATTATACGAGGCCTTAAGGCGGAAAGAAAGTTCAAACTCACATTTTGGTGCTTAAAAATAGGATTTTACCAATGAATTTTTCACAGAATTCATTTCAAACCTAGATTTAGTTGATATCACTAATATGCCAATTTTTCTCGAGAACTGCACATATGCGCCCTGTCCTTGAAGTCCCTTAATTAACATCAAATCGATCTAATATGTATATTATTTTGTTTCTGCGCGATAGAGAGTCGCCGACATGTGGAACTCACTCTTGGCGCTCGTTGCTTTCCTGAGCGTCTGCGTTCCAGGGGATGCGTGGCGCGTGACCCTCCACGCGGATCCCAACTTCAAAGGTCACGCAGCCGAGGTGACCTCCGAGGGCTGCTCCAACATCCCTGGGGACATCAACGACCTCTCATCGTCCATCAGCGTCCACGGCAACTGCGTCCAGGTCTACGAGCACGGACTCTGCCAGGGCGAGATGCGCGAACTCTTCCCAGGGAGCGCCGGCCACCACGACCTCAACATCCTCAACTTCGATAACACGCTCAGCTCTATCGGTCCCTGTCCCAAGGGCTTCAAGGTCGATGGACTCCTGTCCCTGGTGCATTCAGGCGCCATTTGAACACACAACATCCATTAGTGGATCCAGCAGATTGGCAGCATTGTCTTTTTTCCATTTGAACCTATGGAAATATATCGATACTTGGAGGCGCCAGGGGATCCAACAATAATCCGATTATTTAGCATAGGTTTAACTTTAAATGGAGGCAACCCGGTGTTGCCAAATTGATGGACCCGCCTCTGCTTCATCGTAAAGTTGTATTGGGAGAGAAAATTGTCGCCCTCGCCTCACATACACAAGTAGCAGTGATCGCGATAAATTGCAATTTGATCGGCGAATTAATCGCAATTTTATCGACGTCAATTTATTGCAATATTACAGGATAAAAGTTTTAGATAAACTGCGATTTTATCAATCGATTTTATCAATTTGCGATATAATCGCGATTATATCAACGGTGATCCATCGCGATATTATCGAACAAAAAATCGTCATACATTGAGATAAAATTTTGATTCAGTCGAACATAATATTATTGAGAGAGAATTGCGACAAGATCGAAAATGATCGCTCAGATGTTGATGAGCCTGGCGATTTTAACACAAAAAAATCGCAAAAAAAATCGCAACCAAAAATGTAAAAATATCGCGACTTTCCCGTTGAATAATGCTACTTGGGTCCTGACATAAGGGCTTAACTATAGCCCCTGCAATGAACCTTGTGATTCATAAAATTCGACGATTTTCCGGGCTCATGTCAGTGTTTAGTCGCGCGCTTTTGTTGGCCAGTGGGAAGCATCTCTGACTGATTTAGCTTCTTCATACGACGTTACACTAATTTAAGCAAAGTGTCTTTTTTCAGTGTAAAATATTACAGCTTCAAAATGTATGCAGCTCTTCTCGAGCTTTTACTACAAGCTTCAAACCGCCATTGTTCTCGTTTAGTTTTATCTTTTTTATTTTTCATATCTTTTTGGTTTTTTCCGTTCCATATAGTGTGTGTTCACTGCTCTCCACTTTGATGTCAATAATTTAATTTAGAGTTTTTGTGAACTAAGGTCCCATTGTTTGGCGACAGTCACAATTCAATGCGTAAAAATTATAAATTCAGCCATGTAATAAAGCCTCTGTGGATGTTATTAACTTGAAATTGTAAAATTTAGAAGCAAATAAAACAAGTCTTCCAGCCATGAATTTTAGAAATCACTAATATCAACGTTTATCATAGAATAATCTGCAAAATATGCAACATATAAGATTTAAATACTTGTATTTTTTTTAATAAAAAATAATAATGGTGGAAATTATGCTTAAAAGCTTAAAGAAAAAATCTTATCTCCATGAAAAAATGGATTCCAGGGTTGATAGTTGTCTGGCTATTGAATGACACCCAATTGACGAACATATATTAGAGAGCTCAGAGTCGATCAGTCTAACGTTAGTGGAAGAAAAATCAATTTGCTGCGTCTTTTGTACGCTACAGATTCACTTTGCAATGGGTTTTTAGACAAGATATGAAGAGGGGGGGGGAGCAATGAGCATGTTTCCATTATTTCCTCCTTAAAAGTTCACAAAGTAAACGGAACACAGAACTGGGCCTTAATCGATAATCCTTATCTTATCAGTGTTAGTTATCGATCGATTGCGTTCTATATAACGCTTCAACGTCCCAGGTGCTGGCTAGAAAATACATTCGCGAGAATAGCCACGCCTTCATTTCTTGAGGTAGACATAACGACCTCCTACAAGTGACAATGGTAGTATACTAAAATAATTAGGATGCACGTTTAACTCTTACCCGTCTTGAAGACCAGCAAATCTGAAGCCCATTTGATAGCATATGTTCAAGCATGTTCGAGGCGAGTTTGTCTCGCGGATGTCTGATCTAAAATTTGGTAAGGCTCGCTGTAGTTGACCGCTCTTAGTAGGTTCGTCCTCGAAACAACCAACGAGACGACCAGTAGCTGGACTATCTACACGATACAAAAATAAGAAAAATGAAGGGTTGAAAAAGAGATGTTGAAAATGCACTTGGAATAAGACTAACCCGCACATGAGGCGTGTATTTTTTATGTTTTTAGAGGGTTTTCTTGAATCGTCAGCTAAAATGAATCAGTCTATGTTAAAACTTAACATATCCAGGATATCGAAAAGTTTCTTGCGAAAAATTATTCATTCGGAAGACCTTCTTTGCCCGTCTGGAGAACAAAAGTCCCAAAAATCGAACGTGTCTCTTAGAACAATTTTTTTCATTCGAGTCATTCCATTCAAAAACCGAACATTTCCAAAATTCAGTTTGATCGTAAATCCGATTCAAGTTAGGCAAGAATGTTTAAATTGTCATGACTCACTTAACATACTCTGGAGAACATCGAATTAAACTTGATTTACCTCTTCCCTAAATTTTGACATTTTAGGCTGGTGAATTTTAAATTTCAGCGGACTTAAAATATCAGCCACTGCAGAATATCATATTTTGTGGAATAATTAAAATGAAGAACAGGCATTTTGAAACAATCCAATCAACATACATAGTTTTAGTCGCGCGATAGAAATCATAGAAAATTTATGAAGGTGAGCCTTTCAAGGATTTCGAGGTATTCAGACTCAAATATAGATTTTTGAAGATTTTTTCTAATTTTTTTCCTGGTCACTAAACTATCACCACCACCTCTAACGTTTTGATAAACAAGAAAAGGAGGAAATGATAAATTATGGATACACGAAGAAAAACTTACCTAATTAAATTTTGACATTTTTACGCATAAGTTAAAATGTTTGTGATAATGTAAAAAGAATCATTACCTGTGAGCCCTGTTGTATAAACACTTATTCTTCCCTTAGCGCCACACTTTTTAGAGCTGTCAGCTTCGCAAGAGGTTGAACATTCCTTGTCTTTCACTTTCTTCTTCAAATCGAGTTTCGAATTCGTACAAAAACAATTTTTCCTGAGAAATGGAGGAAAATGTATCATTTAGAACAGCAAATTTGACAAGTGTAGAGAACACTAGCCATTTTTTTTTTACCGTGCGTTTTAGTCTCTCGATCTGAGTTTCAGAGCTTTGCATCTCCGAGCAATAAAATGTGCCATAAAATCAGGAGGCGCAGCACTGAAAAGAACAACGTCTACTTTCTATACCGTGCGTTTCAGTCTCTCAAACCGAGTTTCAGAATTTTGCATCTCCCAGTGACAAAATATCTATTGTGAAACCACCAAACCACATATTTTGGCTTGCAACGTTGCAGACTTTCTATTATACTATATTCTTTAAATGTAGAACTACACCTTAAAAATTTCCGTGATTTTTCTTCTCTGTGCGAGACAAATTCCGAGGAAACTTTAAGGAGTAATGTTAATTTGTTCATCGTAAAAAATTAAACAGGAGTGGAGACTTTTAAACACTTCAAAAAAGAAGAAGACGGCATCCTCACTGTAAATCCTAGCCGTCAAACACGACGACACGACTTTATAGTCTGGTGCAACTATTCTTTCTCAATGTTGCATACACGAGGATATGAAGGCGCTCTTGTATACTTTTCTCATCCTAGCAGTAGCCCGATCACTAATTATCCTGAACAATTTCTAATTTAGAAGTCGAATTTCGTGTTAAAGTTTGAAAAGCACTTACCCTTGGACACCAGAAAGCTTAAACCCACGCTCAAAACAAAACTCGGAGCAGCGCTGTGGAGTGAGCTCTTTAAAACTTTGCTGCAAATCTGGAAATGGGTTTTCAGCGAAGCAGCCGACGTAGAATCCCTTTGGAACAGATCCGATCCCTGTAGGACAAAATTCAGATGTAGCCATCATCAAATACTTTTGGAACACAGGCATCGACGGTGAAAATGCAAAAATGTGACAAAGTAGCGGTAGGGAGTGTGACAGAAAGTCTGTAACGCCGCAAACCGAGATACGCATTTCCCTAGTTTCACCATCGATATGCAGCAGAGCTGAACCATTTGGTCGAAAAGGAGTCCCGATCGATTATGACCGATTAAAATACCCATTTGAATCGTAGTTTATCATGAAATCAATACAGTTTCAGTCTGTTTTCACTGGAAAAAAAATCTCTTGAATTCAGAGGCCAGACTCTTAAAAAATTTGACAAAATACAAATGCTCTTGGTGCATGTCAATCGGATTTTTGCTTGAAACAAAAAGAAATCGTTTTAAATTAAGCGGCTTTGCTCTCGACTCAAGCAAAAACTCAATTAAATCAAGAGTAATTTTTTTGTCAAATTTTTTAAGAGTCTTGACTGTGTATCCATCAGGAGACTTTTTCCGGCATTTAAAAATGTATTAAAAACATTAAACCTTCATGTGTTTCTCGCCTCGGAAGGAATTTGGTTATAAATACAATAGGTATCAAGATCCTAGAACCCACCTGGTACGCGAGTTTGGTAAATGCTCAACTTATTTTTATCCCCGCATTTCTGGTTGTTGCTACCACTGCACGGCAAGGAACACTCCTGATCAGGTCGCTTCACCGCAAGTGGAGGTCTGTTGTGCCCGCAGAAACACTCTGTGCTGCAAAAAACAGGGCAAAACACAATAGGATCAAGCATTTCCACAGCCCTGTCTCGTTATAAATAAGTATGATAATTCTTATGTTTCAAAATGGAATATTTTGGAACGTGGTACCTTTGAGAAACTTGGCTCTTCCGTAAAATCACCTTTCTGCATAGGGAAACCAATGATACTTATGTTGTTTCTAAAATGAGCCAGAAATAATGGTTCCTTATTGCAAAATCTGGTCCAAATACTCTACCTGTAGTGAAGACCTGCAAAAGGGTAGCCGCCTTTGGAGCATAGATCGGAGCAAAAGGTAGGCGACATCGTCGGGGAAGCCTCCCTAAAGTCTCCTAACAATCTATCATTTTCTTGATCAGAATAGCAGCCTAGATAGGCTACGAGTTCCTCGGGCTCATCTGGAATCAGCGATTTAATTTGATTCGATTAGTCTATTGGAGGCATGGAGAGAATATTTCATGATTCCGCTAGGAATATTAAAGAAAAACTAGCTGCTCCGGGCGCCCTACGGGCGCCCTCCACAGCTAGCAATAGTGGTGCGGTAGCTTATTTGGAATGGGAGCGATTAGTTGAATCTATTTAATAATGATGATGATTCTGCGGCAAAAGATCAAGGAATTTAACTGCCTCTCTGCGTTACAGGGTGGAGACTGCCATTCTACCGAAAAATGTTGTAAAAAGCTCGCATTATTAGTTTTCCTTTTTTTGTGTTATTTTTTAATTATTTTTTATTTTTATTTTTTGATAATTTTCTAATGACTATGAGGCTTTTGGGATTTATAAAAGATCGAAGCACCTCTTTGTGCACGATGTTTTTCGTACGGTTGCCTTTGGGAAGAATTTGGACTTCAAAATTTTTGTACGATGTAGCTCGTGAGAGTGCAACATATAGTTGACCATGGCCAAAAACTGTTTGGGGTAAATAAATGCTGACTCGCTTCAGTGTTTGACCCTTAGCTTTGATGATGGTCATGCAGAACGCAATGCGAATTGGAAATTGTCGCCTCTTAAAAGAGAAAGGGAGAGAGGAGTCTGCAGGTGACAAATCAATTCTTGGCAGTGAAATTCTTTCACCGGCCTTCTCGCCGGAAATGACCTGCAAATCAAGACAATTTTCATAACGTTTCCAGACGATCAATCGGGCACCATTCGATAAACCTTTGGAAACGTTGAGAATTCTTAAACGCATGACAAAAACCCCCTCCAAAAGTGTGAGTTTATGCGGTGGTAAGCCACTAAGATTAAGACTGTCCAAGAATTCGAGGGGAAAATTGAGAGCCTCTCCCTCTTCCTCTACAATGAGCCTGTTAACACTGAAGTACGTTTTAGAGACACCTGAAAGAACTTCAACAACCTTGTCGTTAATTTCATTGCAATGCTTATTTTTAGAGGCCAGAATTGCGCAGTTTGTGAAATCTACGTTCGAACATGAGGAAGCTATATTTTCCATAAATTTCAGTAATAATATCAATTCCTTTCAGTAATACTGCTTGTCGGTAAATCAATGAATTCCGGCATGGTCTTTTTTAGCAGAAAGGTAAACACCATCACCTATTTCGAGTTAAAATTTTGCAAACTCCGCTTCGTCTTGCAAAGTTCTCATATTTTGAGTAAGTTTTCTGATTTTGAAAAGAGGTCAAAGTGGTGAGAATTTGATTGCATTTTGCACCAATGTTTGGCGAGAAGCATGCGGAACAACGGGTAAAACCTGTCTAAAATCACCACCCTAGACGACAATTTTTCCTCGAAAAGGGATATCATTACCCATTCTCTAAGACGTCGGTCGATGCATGCCAGAGCATGCGTGATAACCATGGGAGCTTCACCCCAAAAAATGATCGTTGTTTTTCGAATAGTCTCAGCCTCTCTTGAGCTAACCGTCAGACTCGACACAGAATTCTCATTCAGAACCGAAGGAATTTTGAATTTGCTATGAACCGGCCGACCGTTAGGTAGCAACGATGCGGCGATACCTGTCCAAGCAACGGAGATGACGTCTAAGTTTTCCTCTGTACAATACGCAGTAAGACATTCTTAAACGAAAGTTTTTCCCGATCCTCCTGGACCATCAATGAAAATCGCATTACACGTGTAAGATGGATTTTGGATGAGATTAATTATTTCAGAAATAATTTGATGTTGCTCTGGGTTAACGGCAGAAATCATGGAATCATAGTTTTAGGGGGAGGAGAGTCAGGCTTCGACCCTTGAAGATTCAGGTTGATTGGAAGCAATTCCGGAAGATCAATAATGATGATATTGAAATTCCATGAAGTCTTAATGTGTTTTCAATAGCAAAAAGCCGATCAACGTAGTCGACCGACCAACAAAATAAAGAGAGAGGAAGAAACGAAGTATCAAGCAAATTTGAAACAAAGTTGTCAAGAGAAAAGAACAAATAAGAATGCAATGTCCATAACAATACATGTTGTTAGCAATACGTGTGCGCAACGCTGCAGTTAATAAGTCAGGGTCAGTCAAACCGCCAGGATGCCTATCAAGAAGTGGTGAAGCGGAGTAGCCGAGAGATTGCGACGGAATGTGGGTGGTGAGTGACGAACGACAATGCGACCCAAACCTTCTTTGAGGTTGGTGGGAGGAAAGCCATACGAAAGAAAACGGAGATAGCCGAAAGAACGTGGTGGGAGGGGTGGCTGAGACCCTAGAGGGGGTATCTAGGGACGGGCAAGCAGGTAGCGGCCAGATGACCGCTCGAAACAGCTGAACTTTACTCGTCGATAAAAGTAAGAAAATTTGAGAAAATCGAAAAAACAATTACAGCCTGCAAATCTACAGATCAGAAGCTTTCATTTAGAAAAAACCCCATGCAAATCGGTCCGGTGGTTCTCTCAAAGTTAATGTCCCAACATGCGGACTTTAGTCTGAATAAATGGGAGAAAATTTGAGCCCGGCTAAACTTCACTCGTCGATAAAAGTAAGACAATTTGAGAAAATCGAAAAAACGATCACAGCCTGCAAATCTACAGATCATAGGCTTTCATTTAAAACAAAAATCATGCAAATCGGTCCGGTGGTTCTCTCAAAGTTAACGTCCAAAGATTCGGACCTCCGTTTTAATGCATCGAAGAAAATTTGAGAAAATTATGGGAGAAAATTTGAGATAATCGAAAAAACGATCACAGCCTGCAAATCTGCAGCTCAGGGGCTTTCATTTAAAAAAAAGATCACGCAAATCGGTCCGGTGGTTCTCTCAAAGTTAATGCCCCAAGATTTGGAACTTTGCATTTTAATATATAGGATAAATTGCTAGTATGAGGAAAATCGTCTTTTGTCGTGAAAAATTATCTAAAATATAATATGAACCCATGATAAAATTTCACGAATGAAAATTTGACAAGCAGGCAAAAAGACTTTGAATCGATGTTGGAAACTTGACAATTTTTTTTTTTCTTTAAATATCTTTGAATTCAGTAAAACAAACAAGAAAACTGGTGAATTTACCGCCCAAAAGAGGAGTTTTGTAAACTTGCAAGCGCCAGTGTCCACCACATTCTTCTGCCGGAGCTCCCTCGCAAATGACATTGCATTCTGTGTCTGGTCTAGATTTCACTTCGGCTGGCTGCCAGACGCCGCAGAAACATTCATACCTGGAAAATGGAGGCTCAAAGTCAAATAATTGAAATCCCCATCGTAGCCGAGGTACATAGAAGACAAACAAATGTGAATCAAAAGCAATTTTATTTTTTCATGTCACCAATAAGTGTCTAAATTCCAGGTCGAATTGTTCGGTGTTTTTGAGAAAAAAGTGTCATGTATTACCCATCAATCTCTTCAAAAAAACTGGAGAACTGATAAAGCACCGACGTGAAAATTTTTACTTGTTTTCATGATATTTTAGATGAAAAAGGAACCTCGTGTTATTTTCCATAAGGGCTCCAGAAAGTGAGCACTAGAGTACCTGCAGTTTACGGGAGAGTATTGCCATCTCAAGCCTTTTACCACAGGAAAAGTGTGCCGTCCTGATTGGCCGGCTATCAGGGAGCTGGAGCCCTAATGTTGGCCCAATGTAAACAAACAAGATTGGCGAGCAAATTCTACATAGTTCTGTAGACGTGATTTTAGATGTGATAGAAATTTTATCACTTTCAACTTCTGACTTGAGTTCGGATCGAACTTTAAATGACATTTTTCCGAAAATTAATCTTTGAGTGTGATTACCAATCATTTCTCAGCCAATAAGACGTGTTCCTCTAGGTGGGATATGTTTACATTGGGCCAACTTGGAGCTCCATGATAGCCTGAAACTGATGAACCAATCAGAGATCGGCACAGAGATGACAATACTCTCCCGTATATAGGTACTCTGGTGGGCACCAGGCAGGCGTATCAGCCAATCAGAGACGACTCGTAAAAGTAGGGGGTACCACTCGGCTCGCAATTCAAATTGCTGCTCTCGTTTCCTCTTTGTCCTGCTCCCTGAAATTATTTCCCTATACGATTTTACTTACCCTGCTTGAAGTCCGGCAAAATTGAAGCCCATCTGGTAGCAGATATTCATACAGATGCCGGGAGAGCTCACACCTCGCAATGCAGTCCTGAAGTCTGGCAACGCCCGCAGTCTTCGATCATTTTCATCGTTCGGGCCGTCTTTGTAGCACGCTATTTGTTTCCCAGTAGCCGGCGCCTCTGAAAATGTAAATTTCAGCTCAACTTCAGAGTAAAACTTCAGTGTCAACGATGCATGCAAGAGTAAGAGTTTTATTTCTAACAAACTAAACAAAATTGTGTATTTTTCACCTCACGTTTACGATTAGAAATTTAGAGGATTAGTTATTTTCACATGGTTATCCATGTGGCCCTTCCTTGAGTATATACAAATTTTGCAGGATCATGAGAAAAACATGATTCCTCTGAGAGCCGTCCAAAAGTTACGTCAAATAAGCACGGGAGTATATACTATATTTAAAAAAGAGAAATGGAGGTACAGGGGTGCCTAAAAGGTGCCTGATGAAAGTCTCTTCAGCTTTACCTCGGAAGGAGGGAATTCCTGCTCCTACCTCCTGGATGACTGGTGGTGGGTGGTGTATACATGCATACCTGTTAGTCCGGTTGCATAAACGCTTAAATAACTGAGGACAGGAAGAGGTGAGCCACCACATTTCTTCGAGCTGTCACCCTCGCAATTCGTTGTACACTCTTTGCTATCCACCTTCTTCGTCAAGTCAAGTTTTTTGCTTGAGCAGAAACAATTTGCCCTGAAACACACAAAATGACCAGTGACACGGAAAAAGAGGATCGTTGCTCTTGCAATACCCGTGGTGGACTCCTAGTCCGACGAAGTTTTCTTTTAGTAATTACAATGCTACTTCTTTGATGACAATGATTTTGGCCTCAGTCATAATGCAACCAGGCAGCTTTTATAAATAAAGACCGAAGCATTGTTACCAGAGTCGAGGTATTCGTTACCAGAAGCGACTCCGCTGCCGAAAAAATAGAAAGACTGTTGAATAAAACGGAGGGGCAAATTTCGATCGCTTAAAAAATGTCTCCCCCCCCCCCTCTTTCTTTTTTCCCGACTTTCTTTCTCTTTTCTTTCTTTAAATCACCCTTTAAAAGACCAGTACAGAGATCTTAACCAAAATTTGAAGCTTTGGCACTCACCCTTGAAGACCGGCAAGTTTAAATCCTTTCCTAAAACAAAATTCCGCACACATTTTTGGAGTCAAATCGTTAAATTCTTGTTTCATCTCCGGTAGAAGTCTTTGAGCTGTTTTTGCCGTGTTTTCTGAGAAACAGCCGAGATAAAACTCGCTTGGTAAAGCTCCAATTCCTGAAACAATAATTCCCGTATGTGAAATTCAAAATTTTAGTTATTTTATCATACTTTTCTTACTCCGCACCTTATTGGACGAAAATCCCTCTGCCACTATAGCCCATAATTAGAGACATGAGGCATGGGATTTTAACTCTTATATGGACTTATTAGTCCTGGTAAAAGTCAATTAGCAAAATAATAGGAATGAGAGAGATAGGAGGCAGAAAAAAACAAAGCGAGAGAGTTTATTTAGATAGTCTGGTTTCAAAACCACGTATCTCTATCGCAAAGTTTCAGTATTTCCGCGCATACTTTATTTTTTAAAAGGAATAAAACGATTTATCAGTATGACTTCCGCGTTTTCTCCGATTTCGCTTTACCATTTCACGGTCATCTTATAAGGAAAGAAAATCAAGATCTTGATTTGCGTTCCTTCTAAAAAGTGAAGAACGCGCACAATTCTAAAATGTTACAATCGAGATACGAGCATGTTGCTTTCTACGTAGTCTGGTCGCTGATACATTGAATTCTACAGTTTCACTGAAAAATCGAGCAAACATTCCTTTATTTATACAATAATTTTGAACAGTTATACTGACGTGTAAATATTTGAATGGAAGGAGAAGATTTTGGCCGCCTAATATTGCAACTTCAGAATTTATCAAGAGAGTACACCGGACGCTATGTTTGACGCAATGTGTGAAGTATTCCTGCGGTCTTGTAGGCGCTATGCGTTTCACGCAAACCGCTCCTGACCGCACTGTGTTTGGCGCAATGGGTGAAGTATTCAAGCGCAGTCTTGTAGGTGCTAATATGTGTTACATGCCGACCGCCGCGCTGAGGGCTTGTCCTTTTCATCTCAAGTCCTCGTCGTCATTCCTCTCTGAGCTCCAGGCCAAATTGCGTGTTTAGTTCCTCTCTTAACTCGACTAATTAAAGATGCTGTCTCTTGTATCACCGAAAAACGACAAAATTAGAAATTACTGTACTCTCAGGAAAGAGAGATTTTGTCCCCTTCTCTCATTGATAATTTTTTTTCTGAATCCGATGTTTTTAATACCTACATTTAAAAAAATTGCAAAATTAGTCGCCCTCTAAATTTGCCGCTATGGGCCACGGCCCATGTGGCCACTCCCTTAATCCGGCCCTGATAAAACTGTTCCATTTATTTCTGTTCATATTTTCCAATGTGACATCTACACTTATTGTGGATTCCACGCTTGTTTTTATTTCCCTTCTATTTTAGCGTTTTCTTCCGATCAAAAGTTCAAACATTTGATTTTGGGAAACATTTTACCTGATAAGCCAGTCTTGTATACACTGAGCCCGTTTTGCGTTCCGCCGCATTTCTGTTTTGAGTCGCCACTGCACGGAGCTGAACATTCTGCATCAGGTCGTTTTGCAAGTAACGGGGGTCTATTGTGGCCGCAAAAACAGTCCGAACTAAAAAAAAAAAAAAAAAAAAAAAAAAAAAAAAAAAAAAAAAAAAAAAATGCATATTTTGAAAATTTAAAGACAAGAGAGTTCCATGGAATTCTAGAAAGTATTACTTTGACAACAATTTTCATGAATTGCTCCGTTTTCTGTGTAATATTTATTAGTGAAATTAGACGCAGCTCACATCATTGTCACCTCCCGGCCAAAGTATCACAAGCGCCATGCGACGTTTAAAAATTTCCGCCCCCATTTTATTTTTTCCAGATAAGAGAAATTTTTCATCGAAGCTGTCAAAAAATTTCACTGAATGTTCTTTGCGCTGCCGATAAAATGCGATGAAATTTTCAAACAGATTCAACCAACAATTTCTCTGTAAAAAAAAAAAAAAAAAAAAAAATTGGCGGCGGAAATTTTTAAACGTCGCGTGGTGCTTGTGATACTTTGCCCGGAAGGAGACGATATATCTATCAGGAGGCAAAGAGGAAACCGGTGCTTTCAACGTGGTATGGCCGTTGACAAGGGAATTCGATCGCCCATCTGCCGGATAGGCTGTCAAAGTGATAGCCCGATCCGGAAATTTTTAGCGAAATAATTATTGCTTGATACCTTTTGGGAGAACCGATTTCGGTTCTCCAAAAAGGTAAAAATATGTAAAAATTTGATTGGCTGGAAACTGATTTTTATTTTCGGTATTATTACGCACTTTGAAGCGAAATAAAAAAGTCAACAGCACGCAGTGTTCCCAAGCGGTCTCCCATGTAAGTACTATCTACGCCCGACATTGCTTAATTTCGGTGATCGGACGAGAACCGGTGCTTTCAATGTGGTATGGCCGTTGACGATGATGATTGACCGTCATTCTGCCCAATGAAGATCACATGCATGACACGGATTTTGTTAGAATAGATATAGTTGTTTTTTATTTAAATACGTTCAGTTGTGTTTTTATACTTCTCCCGCCTCTCGGCTTCTCCTCCTTAACTGGGTGGAGGGGGGGGGGGCGCCGAATTCGCTGCTACCGGCTCTGCGACTCGCGTCGTAAAAAATAGGAAGTTATGCTAAAATTTTAGAAAAAGTCTCAATTAATTCTGTCCAATTATTTGACAATCAAGTAAGGTCCGTCTTCAAGTGATGAAAAGTTCCATATAAAGTGATATTTTTGTTTTGTCATAAAAACTTGCGAATGACGAGTTCGTGTTTTCAGAGATTACTGCTTTCGTACAGCGTACACACAAAAAGTTAGATGTTTCTGACCACAAGAAAATTTTAACTTAGAAAATCTAATCTGACTGAAACTAACCCAACCTAACTTAAAACCTAAACTAACCTAACAACCAACAATGTAGAAGTATCAAGCATGGGTACATATCGCGATATCAAAACTGAAGCACAAAAGATCCTCACGTCCTACCTCTGCATGCAACTATTTGTGCCTTAGAGATTTTTTTTTATAGAATAAACAAACATTTAAAAGCGCTCTACCGTTTTGGCTCCTCGCAGTAGAGCCCGCCGTTGTGGCTACAGCCGCGGGTGAGGCGGTGAGTGGCCGGAAAGACAAAAACGCCTTCACTCCCGTGAGTATGCAACACGGACATCCATGGAGCCCGAATAGTTGCATCCAGGAGTTAAATCTAGGAGCGCTGCCTACTGTGCCGATGACGTAATTTATTGCTTATTTCCTACAATATGTGCGTACCTGTGATACAGTCCTGCGAACGCATAACCGCCTTTGGAGCAAAGGTCTATACAAGAGCTTGGTGTCAACTCAGCAGACCATTCCCTGACCTCGCCAAGTAATCTGTGGCCTTTTTGGTCTTGGTAGCAACCTAAATATTCCTTAGTGTCACTTTCTCGTTGCGGCTCTGGAAATTTTGAAAAAAATGGTAAGATAATTTTACATAGTGTAAATTACAGGTTTCCAATGGTTTTTGCCCAGCTATCGTTGCGCATTAATAATAGTGGCGAGTACTGGAATCAAAGCGGGTGCTAGCATCGCCAAAAGTGGACATTCCGCTCGTCCAAATCGTTCAAAATTCCCCGTGTTTTTAAATGGATGCCGTTGCTGTTAGTCTGCTTTTCTCTAAATTTTTTACAGTTTTTTAAAGTTTTATTGATTTAATCAGCATTTTAATGCTTTGATCTTTGAATTTTCACAGTTTTGGCAATAATCAATTGGTAGATTTCTGAGGAATTTACCTCTAAAATCTGAAATCCCTCCAATGCCTTGCATATAGACGTGTTTGCGCGCGCTTCAAATCGCGCGACCAATCAGAAAATGGACTATCTACCTCCCAATGCTTTTTTATAGATCCGTGGATAGCCTACTTTATTTTGATTGGTCGATCGCTTCTCTGCGTGAGACGGAAAGGCGAGTCCCAGTACCCGCTTTGATTCTAGGTTACCTTATAGTGGCGAGTAAAAGAGGAAAGAAAGGAAAAGTTTTTTATTCCATTATATGCTCTCACAATTCCCCTACCGGGCCATAACCCAATTGAGTTATATTTCAAGGTTGCAGGATTTTTTAATAAATCAGAAACCTAAATTGCAGAAAAAGAAAGAAGGAAAAGGAAAAATTATTCTCAACCTGGAAGAGGGGTCCGGTAAACTTGGATTCGCCAAAGTCCTCCGCAGGTCTCCCCTGGACCTCCCTCGCACGGCACGCTGCACTCGGTGTCTTTCGCAGTTTTCTCTATCGATGGCAGCCAGACTCCACAAAAACACTCATACCTGAAAATAAAATTTGAATCATTTTAAGGAGCCACAAAACGCTTTTATTTTATTTTATTTATTTATTTATTTATTTTTTTGTGACAAAAAAATCATGAAAAAAAATTGAAGCAAATGGAGCGTATTTGATACATCGAACAGATGAGATTGCATCGATATCGATTGGTTCATCAAAGAGCCTCAAAAGTCAATTGAGTAATTTGAGGTGACGGGTTTTTTGTGATAGATTTTTTATTCTCATGAGTACAAAATGGCAATGAAAAGTGAAACTTTTAGGAATTTTCTCATTTTCAGCTTTTCCAACTTAAACCCTAATTTGTTTGGTTCGAGGTTTTGTTCTTTTGCTTTGATCCAAAGGATACATCGAACCACTATCAAACACGATCTATAGAATTGGTTTCACCCAAAGCAATATACTCACCCAGCCTCAACTCCAGCCCAATTGAAGCCCATCTGGTAACACATATTCAAGCATATTCGCGGTGTGAGAATTTTCCGAAGTTCAGCTCGAAAGTTCGGCAGAGCTCGAACGAGCTGACCTTTAGAATCCGGACCGTCCTCATAACAGGCGTAAGTTCGGCCGGTCGCTGGGATATCTGAAAACACGCCGTATTTATCAATGAAAAGGATTAAAAGGTTCACGCCTTCTTCTGGAAAATATTAGACTCAAGTATATGCAAATATTTCGTTTATTCCAAAATTTTAAAATGTATGTTAAAATGTATCCAGCAAAATATGGGAACGAATATTTAAGATACAAGGACAGATATGACTCCTGAAGATATGTCTCTGATTGTCTCTGTTTATGCAAAATAAAATTTGCTTCTTTTTCCTTTCACTGTTATAAGTAATTGTATGAACAAATAGTTAATTGAACGAATGAATGAATCGATCGATCAATCGATGAAAGAAAGAAAACACAAGAGTTGTTAGAGAAGACTAGCCGCACAAAAAATTATGTTATATTTCCTTTGAATTTTCATTTTTTCGCAAGAAATTGAAATTATCAGACTTCCTAAAGCTGTAAATTGTGGCTCAAAATTGAGCATTCTACACTCTGCCTTAATTTTATGTATTTTAATCTACAACGTCAAACTAATTTGGGATAATATACACCGACCGTCAATTCTTAGCGGCAATTTTTGCAAGCTGGCAACACTGTTTTTCCTCCTTTTAATTCGTGTAAATCAATTATTCATCCTAGATAAAACAGCCTGCTCAATCTAGAATCAATATTTATAATATATATTTAAATGGAAGAAAAATAGCGTATCCAACTTTTCAGAATCGCCATTGGTCGATTTATTTTAGTAGATTCATCAACCTGTTAATCCAGTCGCGTATACGTTCAGCTCCTGTGCACCGCCACATTTTTTTGAGGCATCTCCAGAACACGGTACATCACAACCAGTGCGGAATAAAATTTTCTTGTGGTCAGAATTATCTAACTTTTTGTTCGTACAAAAGCAGTCATCTCTGAAATCACAAACGCGCCATTCACAAATTGTCATGACGAAACAGAAATTTCACGGGAAGATGAAGAAGAACTTTACTTGATTGTCAAATAATTGGACAGAAATAATCAAAATATTGAATATGATTGAGAGGTCATGTCTCAATTTAGTTACTTCCTTTCGCCTGACAATACGCACAAACTTGTAAAATAATTCAAATTAACTGAAAAGTAGGTTTTCTGTTATGGAGACTTAAACGCATGGATAGAAAAAAAGCAATTGGGATTTAATTTAGCCGTCATTGACCGAAAAAGTCAATCATCATGGTTATGGTGAGGATTTATTGCAATCATAATTGCTAATCGAATGTATTAATTTATAATGAAAATCAGTCATAACAGTCATGTTTATAATAATCAGTTTTTTAGATTCGTATAAATCAGTGTAGTTACCATTTCAAGATTTCTTTCTGTCCACGAATCTAATTTCAAGCATACTTAGCTGTAACTCTCAAGTACATTTAATATTGATGTCAGCTTATTTTTCATATAAGACTTGGAAGTTAGATTTGGAGACTTTTAGTCATGGGCACCACTTCTTTGGTAAAATTTTAAGGAATATTTTAATTATCGCTAGTTCGTAAGTTGATAAGTGTGAACGCATAGCTTTATTGTAGAAATAAATTAGTTAATTACCCATTTTGAACACCAGACAGTTTGAATCCATTCTTAAAACAAAATTCCGAGCAAATTTTTGGTGTTAGATTGTCAAATTGTTGATGCAAATCGGGGAGTAACTTGCGATTGTCCTTCTCTGCATTTTCCTTAAAACAGCCAAGATGGAAACCATTGGGAAACGCTCCAAGGGCTTGAGTAAATTAACGGGAAAAAATTATTAAACATCAAATGACGCCAGTAGCATGGCTCTGTACAATCAAACAAAGAAATATACGGAGAGACACACTGAACAATTTCGACAAGATCAATGTAAATAGCTGCCTGCCCCTATGCGGTTTGAACATTGGAAAAAAAAACACAATGGATCTAGAGTCCAGACTCTTAAAAACATCGACAAGAAAATGTACTCTTGATTCAATCAGAATCTAGCTTAAATCAAGAACCAAGCCTCTTAATTAAAGCGGATTTCGTTTTGATTCAAGCAAAAATCCGATTGGATCAAAAGTATTCTTTCTTGTCAATGTTTTCAAGAGTCTGGACTCTAGATCCAATGTGCTTTTTTTCCAGTGGAGGGACAAGTGCTGTTTATTTAAATGTTTATTCAAACATATCTCATCACTTCATTTTTAAACATCCAGACGATTAGTGAAAATTCTCAAAAGACTCAGTCTTTCCTTGTACTATCAAGCCCAGGGCCAGTAAATACCTCTTCAGTCGCTAAAAACTCCACTTGAAAGAAAACCGCCGTAACTTGGCTTTTCATCTTATCAGACGCTTCCCGATCCTTTTTGGAGCAATTTTGGTAAATTTTTATAGGGCACCTAATAACTAATATATTCTTTGAAATTTTGCCCCATATGCTAATTTTTCCTCCCCCCCCCCCCCTATTAAGATTTGGTCGAAAGCACGCCTCCTGTAATGATTTGAACGATTGGAACTCTTGTCGCCGCGGACAGAATATCCTATTTGCATGAAGACTTCTCGGTCCAAAAAAATGGAAAAATATGACCTGTGAAAAGTATGGTCACCTGAGATGCCGGTTTCATAAACGCTTAACCTGAGCTCGCCTCCACATCTCGTTTTTGAGTCGCCACTGCAAGGTCTGGAACATTCCGAGTCCGGTCTCTTCGCGATGAGTGGAAGTCTGTTGTATCCGCAATAACACTCCGAGCTGAAAGCAATCACGAAGAGAGGTGATCAATGATGATTCGCGCTAACTATTGCCGGCGGCCGAAGATTAAAATTTGGCAACACCGTTTTTCTGCATTTAAATGTATGTTAAACAATCGATTCTAGGCGAGGCAGCATGTCTCACCTAGAATCGATATATTCAATGGATTTAAACGGATATTATCAGTATTGCCCAAATGCTGGAATCGCCACTGGTTATCGCTTCGTTATTTTAAAAAAGAAAATGAGCAGTTTGGCCCTATCGTCGAAAAATTTCAGTGAGATGATTATATTGCCGTAAGTATGGTACTGGAAGTTAAAAACGAACATTTTTTGGAGTTTTTTCGACTATAACGTCGTATTTTGACCACTATGCAAGCTAGTATCGCAAGTTTCAATTTTTATACTTTTAGTGTATTATCCGAAGGAAAGATACACTATTGCGTTCTCCCTCATGGTGGGACCTAGACCTGGGACCATGTAAAGAGCACCGATCTCGAGTCGTAGATCACGAATATTTTGGTATTTTACGAAAGGTGAATCAACGCCAAAACCACCTTGATACTTGCTTAAACTCTACTCTCTGGTCGGAAAATGCCATAGAATTAGAGGAAAACCATGAAAACTGACCATTTCTTGCTTCCATACTTATGACTCTAACAAAAGGTCTCACTGAGGGGATTCAATGACAGGATAAAATCGATTATTTTATTTAAATATAAACCGATTTTTATATCGAAAAAAAAAATCAATGGTAGGACAAAAATCGAAAATAGGGTCAATTGCAGCCCTTAACGACACCCTCTTTGAATTTAAGAATCCGAATTTGTGCAAACCGAGACGAGTAAGAGTGAGCAGATAAAATGGGTACACGGACTTTATGTCCACTTTTTTTACGTCCACAGACTTTTCGTCCACAGTTCTAAAGCCCACACTGTTGTTAAGTCCATTACTTAAACGTCCACTAACTTAAGTCCACAAATGTAAAGTCCACTAAAATCAAATTCAAGCGTCATATTTTAGTCCGTGTGTAAAATTATATTGACCATAATGAAATGAGAAAATTAAGAGAGAATGAGGTGTTGTTATTGTAACTCACATTTTAAATGAAATGTTAATTTCTTCTTTTGATTCATCTTTTCAAATTGTCTTTGGTAAATACTTGGTTTCATTTTTATCCTTGAAATTTCCGATATAAAATATGCTTTAAATGTACATTCTTTTTTTTAATGAAATTGATTACTTCATTTTAAAAACATTTACATTTTTAAAACGTGGTAAATATTTGTAAAACCTTTTCCAAGCAATGGCATCGATGTGAATCTCAATGAGCCGTAGTTGTGATGAAAGAAACTATACAAAAATTAATTAAAGAGGAAAAAAACTAAGAAGCAAGCAATTTTTTGTTTTTAACTTATTTGTACATCGACCTCCTTGAGTCAAATACGTCCAATTTTGAGCGTTTGGTTGCGCTTACACCACGCTGCAGCACAGTAAAAGCCCAAAACATGAAAGAATATATTTGAATGCTTTGGAAATCATTAAATTTGATATGGAAATTATATTTACAAAAAACACATTATATTTTCCAGTAGTACATATTTCTTTTTCATCAATTTAAATAAGAATAATTCATGCAGAGTTTTCAAACATTTCAAAATTATGAGTTCAAAAACGCTGACTCCGCGAGTTTAAATATTAGAGCCTAACACAGAGCGGAGCGGCGTGTTAGCAGTGCAGAACGCGCACTGGCGCCTACAAACCTAACGGGATACTTCACGCATTGCGCAACGCGTGAAGTATCCCGTTAGGTTTGTAGGCGCCTATGCGCGTGTCTTGATAGTTGCCTGCCGCGCCGCAACGCTTTAAGCAACTAATTCGCGTCAGAGGCGTTGCACAGTATCCTACAAGATTAAAGGCGCACGAAATAACTAGTTAAAGAGGACTTTCAATTTTGACTGCATCTGTTACTTATTGAGTACATAGAGTCGTAATGTAAGTGGATGAGCTGGCGCCACTTTTAAGCATTTTCCAGGTCCCGAATGCCGAGACTCCTGTGTGACGCCGGGTCACTTTTTCGATACATAATCGATTGTTTGCGATACACGGGTACCCAGCCATCCGATGTAAACAAAGAAGATAGGAATCACCACGTATTCCACACCGCCATTTTGGATCGAGCATGTATCGAAAAAGTGACCCGAACTCGGCGCACACCGGGCTCGGAACTCGTCGAGCAGAACATGGCGCCAGCTCTCCCATTTACATTACGACTCTATGTACCCTATGCTGTTACTGAAAAATGTTTAATTTGGCACTGGAGCGTTTCCTTGGCTCCCGCTTTAGTTTTCATCTTATAATATCCGTACAGTGTACACATGAACATATGTTTTTATCTGCTATGCCACACGTATCAAAATTCGAAGTTCCCTCCCTCTTAATATCCACCCTTTGTGTTCAGATAGTCCAATGGTAGTAACAGAAATTTTAAAACTCTTCAAGAAATTAAATTTAAAAATTTAAAATTGCCTAGTCCCCGACGTAAATAGCCTAGATGCTGATCGTCGTTAACTAAAACTAACTAACTAACTCTTTCATGACTTGATTCATGAATGAAATGTTTTTAAGAATGAAGGTAGTAGTAGTATGCATTTATTTTTGAGGTGGTTCCTGTCATTTAAATGAGAAGAAAAAAATGTGGACATAACATGTCCATAATTTGGACAATTTTGGACATATTCATGGTTGGACATTAAATCATGTGGACTTAATAAAGACTGGACTTAACGTTTAGTGGCCACAAATAGCGGTGAACATTTATTTAATGAACGAATGGTAGGTGGACATAAAGTCCTGGAAGCATGAAATGTAATAATCGATTATTGGTAAAGCAGCTTGCCTCGCCTAATATCGATGTTTGTAATAGATTTAAATGGAGAGAAAACTGTATTGCCAACTCACAAAATTACCACTATACCTGTACTGAGTGCCTGCAAACGGATATCCTTTTTCCGAGCAAAATTCAATGCACCAGGAAGATGTGAGTTCGGCCGATCTTTCTTTGGTCTCGCTCAAAAGTCTGTTCTCCTCCTGATCCTGGAAACATCCTATGTAATCTCCCTTGGAGGCGGAAACCTCTGTAATGTAATATAATAAATGAAAATTAAAATATAATCTTAACATAATCAGCGGCGTGGCGTGCTTTGCGATGTATAGATTGAATTAGTTGAATACAGATGGAATTCTTCAAAGAAATAATTTTATTTTGCAACGTAGCCAGCCTACCTCATGCAGAGGAGGAACATTCTCAAGCTTTAAACCGTTCGGCCATTCCTCCAGAAGTTTCCAACTTGATTGTTAAAAGGATTTGAATGTATGTTATAAATCGTCAATTTTATCATCCCCGAATCAAGTAACGCTAATGGACGATCTGAGTGATTTTTTTTGCTGCCGCATTCCGGGGACAAGAATAGGCTATTATTAGATTACCAGCAGCCTAGTTCGGTTCGATGTCTCCTCCGGACTGACAACAAAAACAGATCGACATACCTGTCTGTTAGGTATCTATAGGCAAATTTTCGCGACTGGATTCGGTTAATTTTTGTAAATTTGGATCAATCAGAATCGAGTATCTCATTTTCAACCGAATCCTGAAGAAAACTAGACAAATTCCGGATTAGGTTAAAAAAAAGCGCGCCAATTGACCTCTGCGATATAATTTGTATTATCGCATACAAATGACACATATAGCCCGTAATTTTTTTTCAGTGTAGACTATTCTGATTTTTTATACAGCATGAGTGTGGAAAAATTCATCTTATCCGGTAAAGGCACGTCTTATGAAATCCGTTTATCTTTGTTCTCACGATCTTTCACTCGACGCCGATTAGGTACGTCAATTTACACATAGGTCGATATAATTACATATAGTGAGATAAATCTAACTTTAAATATTGCGTCCGCCGTAAACCGACAGAAGTTTAATCACGAGTCATTTTTTGGTGAAGCACTTGTATCGTAAGTATTGGCGATCTTTTTCCAACATCACGCACTTCAAACCGCTTATATTTTTTAACCAGTATTCTTTTAATTCGAAAATTTAAGAGATTAAATTCAAAACCATTTTCTGAAATCGCTGTAATCTAGACGAAAAAACGTTCCTCTACCCCAAACTTGCAAAAGCGGCTCAATGAATCAAGTCTGAACATGACTGAGCAATTTTATTCCAAAATTTTGCTTATTTTTGCGTGTAATCACAAGAAAAATCACGATACCTGATTACAGTCAGGGACGACTGACCTTTTCGTAAAAATAAATTCTGCAAGGAGATTTTTTGCAGCGGTGAAATGCTGTTACGTTCTTCCGTTTGGGAAACTACGTTATTTTATTGTAAGTAGAGTTTGAACTTTTGAAAAACTTTTTCTCAATTGTGATACATTGTCGCAAGTGAATTTTTGAACACTCCGGCTGCTTGACTAGGCACAAAATAATAAGAAGATTAGAGCCTTAGAGAAAATAGGAAGATAGTGTATGATTTTACGGTTCAGTACCTTTTTGCACACCGAATAAAAATAAATAAACACCGATTGAAATTAAGCACCGAAAGTGATGCATCGCGAACGATGCGTGGCAGTGACTAGTCTTGAAAATATGGAAAACAAAGCATGCTTGGAGTCAGCTGATTGGAGGAGTTGAAAAAAGCGACCAGTGGGAGATCGGACTGATCAACTCTGAACTTCACAGTTCATTCAGAATTTGCAATGTCCAACCGGTTTTCCCCATATGATGGATTCCCGCCTACAATCAGAGGTTAAGGTTAAACAGTCGGTGTTGCCAAAAGTCAGTGACGCATCTTGAAAGTTAGCAACACATGGGTCAACTCTGCTCGTTTGAATGAGGGGCTTGGGGGACAAGGCGCATTAGTGCAGTTTTTGAAAAAATTGAGGTATTAATCATTTACAGTATGTATAACTAGTCCGAGTGCATATTCTGTGGAAAATTCGCTTCCAAATTTCAATTCTGAGACATCGAAAAGTCAGTTTGAAGTTTCTATCTGCCATAAGGATCCATGTAATTTCGAAACTTCAAACACGCATTTTTTCGAAATTTAACAAAAACTGCATTTATGCGCCCTGCTCTCAAAGCCCCTCAAGTGTATTTGTAAAATAATCAATTTGCTTTACTGAGAATCGATTATTTATGATAGATTTGAAGCTAGAAAAACGGTGTTGCCAATTCTCGAGAATCGCCACCTCCAACAGTGGTATAATGATCATGTTCACTTAGCAAAAGAAACTTTCAACTATGCTCGGAGGCCTTCCTGGTAGGAATTCTTAAAACTTTAAAAAGAAAAGGAAAAAACGATTTTACTCAAAAATCTATCGAGTAAATTTAAATTTACATAATGATTTAAACTATTTTTTAAAAAGTAAAACGAATGGTACTTGACGCAAAGCCTTTAGAAAGTTAAAGGTTTATAGGTCACATTTTCACTGAAATTTTATGACGTTGCTTAATTGAAATACAATTACTGTTACTCAATGTTAAAAAATAAGTAGGTAATTTATATTAATTTTTAATTATTCTTTAATCGCATTTTTTAAGTTTGAATATTTTGAAGGCTATTTTTAAGCATTAATACTGACCTCGAGATTTGGATTATATTCCCTTAATGATTAACGATGAGGTCAGGTATTCAAATGACGTTACAGATGATAGTATAAGAGGATACGAGATATCAGGAAGTAATCTCTCCGTTCAGAATTCTAGTAAAATTAATTCCCCTCATCGCAAATACGTACTGTACAGATAAAGCGGATTTCCCCATAAGGAAGTAGAGATGCTTTGGGCGTACCGATCCATTTTCTCACATATGTATGAGGTGGATACATGGAGATACATATATTGGAATTTATTTCATTTTTCCCCTTAGAATGTATCTTTTATATGTTTTATCACAAATTTTGGAACAAGCTCACTCTCGGTTACATTTCATAATCACCGTCGTAAAAGTCGCCTTCAAATCGATGAGAATACCAATTCTCAATAGCTAGACCTCGCCTCGCTCCGGAAGCGGATCCAGCAATTTGGCAACACTGCATTTCTTCCATTTAAACCAATATTAAATAATCGATTCTGGTCAGCGCATCAGGTCTCTCCAAGAATCGATACATTTCCATGGGTTTAAACGGAGAAGAACGATGTTGCCAATTCGCTGGATCCGCCAATGTCTCGCTCTGGCATGGATCAATTGCCGCAGGTGACCTCATAGAAAGTAAGTATATGAGTGCAACAAGAATTAAAGGGTGAAAAATGGGAGTAATCTATTTATCAAGCTATCATGAATTAAATTTTGAACAATTTTTAAAGCATTGCTTCCCGCAAATTGTTCTACGCGCACTGAGCATTTTCAACAGTGTGCCGGCAACATTGTCGAGAAATATTTTCTACAATAAAAATTACCTAAACGTAATGGGCCGCGTCTAGTGGAAAGGAACCGAGCCACATCAAAACAATTCAACAGAGCACTTTATTTTTTACAAGAGAACTTTTGTGCGGATTTTTTTGAAAATTTTAAGGAACTTACCTCAGTTACCTCGCAATAGGCATGCGGAAATTCACTGAAATTTGCACAAAAATCCGCACTACTGTTTTCATGTAAGAAATTAAATTGCCCAATTTTTGGCAATGGCTGATGTGGCTTGGTTCCTTCCTGCTTAACGCGGTCCAAATGAAGTTGAGCCTGACAAAGGAAACATTGCATAGATTAAAGTAGGATTTAATTTTGAGGAGGCGAGCGCAAATTTGATTTAAATCGTAGGGGAACTCGATCCACAGGGGAAGAAATTTAGGGCGGAGCAATGAAAGTGTTTTAGGGTGCTTTGCAGTCATTGACCACCTCACAAACTGAGTCAGTGAGCCATCGATTCCTTCCGCTGATAAATTAACGACGAGGCGAAGACGATAAAATGTTGAGGATACCTGTCTGTCTAAATCTAAATTTAATTGCCGTCTGGATCAGAGCAGTGCGGTGCTTCGATCCGAGATGTCTCTTCGTGTGTTATTAGTTTTGATTTTTGGTAAGTTACCCTTGCATTTCACTCTCCTATTCGAGATCTTAAAAATTTGATCCGAAATTCTTTTTTGGTACGTTAAGATTCGATTATTCAGGAAGAAAACAGGACATGAAATTGGTCCAAAAATCCTGTAAACAGCGATTGGAAAATAGGGGATCAAGACTAAAAATTTGAGGAAAATTCACAACAGTATACGTTTTGAATGTCCTTATTAATGTTAATCAGTATGATGGAAAAAAAATATACAAATTAGTTGGGGGTTATTATGGGAAAAAGGTAAAAGCGCTCTACAATGGAACCAGGAAAGAATGATGATAAACTTAGTAGTTAATTAATTAATTTATTGTAATTTCTAATTTTTGTTGTATTATAAATCGACGGTGATATACCGGACCACGTATCTCGATTTGCGACGATGTAGATTTCCTGCCATACTAAATTTTAGAAATGTAAAACTGCTCAACGTCAATTTTTGGAAATCTCCGTGATTTTTCATTTCCGTTTGAAAAAAACTCGGCGAAAATTTCAAAGAATGATAGTTATTTATTCTCCTTCAAGAGAATGAATGGAGGTGGGGGGAGGGATCTCCAAACACCGCAAACGCAATACGTGATTTGGTATAGTTTTACTGTCTATGTGCTGCCCACAAATGCGATCTAATGGTGATGAATTGATAAAAATGAAATTTAGAAAAAATGAAACATGAAGCGAGGTCAGAATTGTAAGAAACACTTTTTCTCCTAAGTTCATCATAGCTGTTCGAATGTACTTTATCAAGTACATGCGCGTGTAGTGAAGTCAGTTTCTTCACTTGGGTACATTTCGGATACAGAACTAAACGAATTGCATAGTAAAGCGTGGAGTATCACGGGTGATATGAAGGCGCTCCCACCCGGTACCATGATTTTAAAGCCTTTTATCAACAAAAGAATGAATTGGAAGCGGAGATTTTTAAACACCACAATCAGGATTCGTGATCTTCAATTATTTACAGTGAATTTAATGCAAATTATCCATGTCCTCCGACTTTTCTACTTGAAAAAGTGCATTTTAAACATTTTGAGCGGCACCAACGAGCAACATTGCATTTCAACACCAACATACAGTCGAACAAGATGAGGTGCAATATAAGATAGACAAATTGGACCGCATTTTGCAATTAGGAACTAAAATTCCTGGCTCAGTGGCTCATGTTATAAACAGTATATGTGCGATAAGTTTCCTTACGCACATGGGAGCTTGTATGGGTAAGCCTAAAATTGTACTTCCCAATTGCAAAATGTATCATAATTGAGTGGCTACGTCATACGCTTTTTTACCATTAAAATATTGAGCCCCCCTTAAAAATCGCGGCAAAGCGATCGAAATTGACTCATTGTCAGTCTGTTTGCTCTGGATAGCGAATTTAGGGAATGTTGAATGACGTATGATCGCCAGATCAGTCAAAGCGCTTAAGTAGCCAGCTTTCTCAATGTTCATGATTCATTTGCGCGATGTTTACAAGTTTCAATGCGGTAGTGTTCGCGTATGAGTGAATTTCTATGGTAAAAAATGTAAAAAAAAGTGTGTCCTCGCATTACCTTAACACATCTGTATGACGACTGCTTTCAGCAAAAATAGCCACATCCGCTCACTATGGAAAATATACAGAAAAAATCTATCTGAGGCCGTTGCTTGACCGGCTAGGATGCCGAACAAACTCGACAGTGCCACCCAGCCGAGAGGTTACCGTGGAGAAACTCGCAAAATTGCGTCATGAAATGACCGAGAATAAAATCGACGCGTACATAGTACCTTATGCCGATGATCATCAGGTAAATTAATAAATATGTGCTCAGATTCACCTTTCAGCTAGGACTACGCACGAGTTCTAAGTATGATTCGTTTGGACAACATTTTGCAACCCGAGTACTTCAAAGCAACGAAAATATTAAAGTAATTTTGCAAATCGATGGTGAAACTACCAAACCACGTATCTCGGTTTGCGACGTCGCAGACTTCCTGTCATACTTTATTTTTTAAATGAAAAACTACGTGATGTCCAGTTTTGAGAATTTCTGTGATTTTTCCTCTTCGTGCGAGGAAAATTCTGTGAAAATTTCAAGGAATGATATTGATTTGGTCTATTTCAAAAAAATAAAATGTGAGCGTAGATTTTTAAACATCGCAAACGAGATACGTGGTTTGGTAATTTCACCGTCGAAAGGCAATTTAATGCAATGAAATTGCAATCTCTTACCATACATTCCAAGACACACACCATTGGGCCTACAATTAGCAATTAGGAACTAAAATTTCTGCCTCAGTATTTAAACAAGTTCGTACCATTAGTTTTACTATGCACACGAGTGTTTTTACGGATGAGCTAGAAATTGTAGTTCCTAATTGCGAAATAAAGTCCATTCGGTCAATGAATGCCAATTTTAAATGGTCTAGTAAAATGTGTTCCGTGAGTGAGAAAGGTAAGCAATTTCCAATGCAAAAAAATGCAGCTAATTTCAATTTTATTGCGACGATTTTCAATAAGAGGAGCCCCTTCAATCATTGAATAGACAACATGCATAACACTCTGATACAAAACCTTCTGATTGCTCTTTATTGCAGCCTGTACTACACGGAAATAAGAAACCACAATTTCTGATTGTTTTTAAAAGTAACTTAGATTTTAGCAATTTCCCTGTCCAGATAAGTGCTTCTGTAAATTAGCATAAATAACAGTTCCAAAAAGTATTGCAAAATGCAGTCCATTTCAAAATATATGACGGAATCAGGCAAATTGTGCCTAAAGGTGAGGTAATAAAAATCAGATTAGGTACTATACCGCAGCTCATAGGGTTTGACTCTGCATCATTAAGCGCAAAGAATACAAAAATTGATTACTTGGTAGGAATTCAAAATTTGAGGACAGAAAATGGGAAATTCGAAGGAAACGCTTTCAAAGTTGAGCGCTTCGGTAGTTAATAAAGTCTCGTAGAATGATTTTCTATTGTCAGATCTGGCTGATTCTGAATCTCTAATGCGACTTGAAAACTTTTCACAAATACAGAATGAATTTGTGGCTTTGGCTGACCGTCGGCTTCAGTACATTAGCGGATTCTCTGGAAGCGCCGGCAAAGCGATCATAACCGCCGACAAAGCTGCCCTTCAGACGGACGTGCGCTACTTCGAACAGGCTGACCAACAGTTGGACTGTCAATGGACACTCATTACCGAACAGGGTTGGATGGCCGTAAGTTTCTCAACCCCTCATTTCCTCCCTGATAAAAATTTGCGATAAGAGCTGCGTTTTAAAATACCATAGGAATTCTTATAGCCGGCTAAAGAAGGCTACAGAAAATCATATAGCTGGCTGTAGAATGCGGCGAAAATCATCCGCCGGGGTATACAAAACGATAAAGAATTATGCAGCCGGGCTTCAGTTCCTATAGCCGGGCTTTACACTTTATCGCCTGGCTGTTGCTTTTTCGCCATCGATTATAAAAGGCTATAAGAAATTGTATAGAAATTCGTATGTGCTTTGAACATCATTAAGTTTGATACGGAACCACCTTAATATTTACAAAACACACGTTATATTTTCCTTAAATACATATTTTTTTTCATTAATTAAAACGAGAATAATCCATACAGGATGTGCAAACATTTCAAAATCATGAGTTGAATAACGCTGACTCCGCCAGATTAAATATTAGAGCCTAACACAAAGCGGAGCGGCGACGAACTGGCGCCTACAAACCTAACAGGGATACTTCAGGCATTGCGCAACGCGTGAAGTATCCATGTTAGGTTTGAAGGCGTCAATGCGCGTTCCGCGCTGGCTGCCCGCCTGCCGCACCGCAGCGTGCCACGGCGCTTGAAGTAACTATTTCACACCAGAGGTATTGCACAGTATCATACGAAACTGAAGGCGCTCTAATATATTAGGAATGGCAGGCATTCATCAAAAGTACGGAGCTTTCCCCGCAAAATAAATCAAGATACTACGGCCCAAAAAGAGAGCAGTGATCCAAAAACTCACTAAGTCCTAGCATCTGTAATTAGTGACGTTCATCATACACTTTATCGCCTGGCTGTGAGTTGCTTAGTCGCCATCGGCTATAAAAGGCTATAAGAAATTGTATAGCCGGCTATAGAAGCTATTGGAAATCTTACAGCCGGCCGTAGGTCTGGTATTTTGGAACACAGATTCTACTGCCAATTTTTACCAGGGCTATTCGATTTAAAATGGTAAGCTCATAGGTAGCCCTAACGCCAAAAATCTCAACGCGAAAAACCTAACTCTGGGCGTGTCCACTACCTTATCCAAACCCTTCCTTCCTTTCCCCTTCCACTGCAACACCCCTACCTGCGCATTCTACGCCTGCTTAATCTGCTATCAGCAGCTGTCACATGTACAGTCTCCAACTATACAATTGGACGTATTTCTGCCAAACGGAACTATGTGCATTAAGACATGAGCTCTGAGACTCATAAGAATATATGCGTAACAGGGCTCACGTCATTATGCAGATAGTTCCATTTGTCGATCAGAAATACCTACGTCCAATTGATATATTGTGTGCGCATGCCACTGCCAATGCCGATTTGATCACAACGAGTCACTGATGAAAGGGAAAAAGAAAAGCAACTATTTGCCCCTTTGGTAATTTCAGAGGAAGCACAGATTTTCATTTAATATCCCGATTGCGACCCGAGATTCTTAAAATAGACAATCAGTTTTGTTACAATTTGATATTTTATGCGTAGATTGCAAAGTGGCTATTGGAAGAGCTGGGGGAAGGTACAACTGTTGGTGCGGATCCAGCAAAGATTCCGGCACTGTCTTGGATTCAAATGGGAAAATTTTTTGGTAAGTTTATCTTCTGGAGCAAAGTAGTGACAGTTCTTTTAATTGTTATTTCAATTTAAAAAATTGTACATAAAGAAAAAACTCGGTTGTAAAAGTACATTTATTTCAGAAATTTGATATTTATATTCTTGAATGTACCTCGTAATATTATTATGTAAAATTACATATTCGCGTCTTTCACAAGCAACAAAAAGATGAGCGAAATGAGTGGCAAGATTTTTCTGATCTCCGATTCACTTTAGTACTCGAGGTATATAAGATGGCAAAAGTTTTTGTATAGTAAGTTTCCTCTTCTTTTGTGGAATGTCACACGGTAAGGTGTGGGAGCTTTTGTTAAAAACCCTAATCTGATCATCAATCTGTTACATTTTTCAGCGCAAAATAAGATGACCCTGAAGGTCATGACCTACAATTTTGTTGACAAAATTTGGACACATCGGCCATTTTACTCGAACTCTTTGGTCGGTTTCCATCCAGTTCAATACGCTGGTAAGTTTACAGATTTGACTTAAGAAATTGCAACTCACGCTTCTCATCCAAATTGAAACATTTGTTCCTGCTATTGTGCGATATCATTATCCATTGTATGTATTAATGAACGATATAGGGCATTATTAAACAAACGTGACTAACTCAAATCTTCATCCATCATCAATTTTAGAACTCTCGCTTTCAATTTAAATGCTTTTAATGCATGGGTAGTTTTTCCTTTTTTTCCTACCCTGGTAAAAATTGGCAGTAGAATCTGTGTTCCAAAATACCATAGACCTACAGCCGGCTGTAAGATTTCCAATAGCTTCTACAGCCGGCAACACAATTTCTTATAGCCTTTTATAGCCGATGGCGATTAAGCAACAGCCTGGCGATAAAGTGTATGCTAAACGTTACTAATTACGGATGCTAGGACTTAGTGAGTTTTTGGACTACCGCTCTCTTTTTGGGCCGCAGTATCTTGATTTAATTTGCGAGGAAAGCTCCGTTCTTTTGAAGGATGCCTGACATTCCTAAGATGTAGGAGCGCCTTCAATTTCGTATGATACAGCGCAATACCTCCGGTGTGAAATAGTTGCTTCAAGCGCCGCGGTGCGCTGCGGCGCGGCGCGGCGGGCGGGCAGCCAGCGCTGAACGCGCATTGGCACTTGCAAACCTAACAGGGATACTTCACGCATTGCGCAATGCGTGAAGTATCCCTGTTAGGTTTGTAGGCGCCGGTGCGCCGCCGCTCCGCTTTGTGTTAGGCTCTTATATTTAATCTCGCGGAGTCAGCGTTTTTCAACTCATGACTTTGAAATCTTTGCACACTCTGTATGGATTATTCTCATTTTAATTGATGAAAAAAAATATGTAGTAAAGGAAAATATAATGTGCGTTTTGTAAATATTAAGGTGATTCCGTACAAACTTAAGGATTTACAAAGCGCAAGAATTTCTACTCAATTTCTTATAGCCTTTTATAGCCGATGGCGAAAAAGCAACGGCCAGGCGATAAAGTGTAAAGCCCGGCGATAGGAACTATAGCCCGGCTGTATAATTTTTTATCGCTTCGTGTAGCCCGGCCGTATGATTTTTTCCACTTTCTACAGCCAGCTATGTGATTTTCTATCGCCCTCTTCAGTCGGCTATAAGAATTCCCATGGTATTTTGAAACGCAGCTCCTATCGTCAATTTTTACCAGGGTAATTAAGTAAAATTACAAAAATTGCCAAATGAGAATTGAAATAATATACGGAACAAAGTTAGGTATGAATTCTCCCATTTAAACAATTCAGCTAAATGTTCAATTTTTCATAGTTCATTCTGAAGAGCTACACAGTCGATTTCCAGGATTTGTTTTGCTATATCGAGGGTATAGTCCCTAGATGAGCCAGCTCAATTAGATTAACTCACGGGGACCGGTGAAACGCCCTCTGGAAGTTGAGCAGCGTAGCAGCCAGGGGGTGCACCCCCTAGTTTTTAAATATGCTCATTGAGTGGTGCGTAAAATGCTTACCTAATATTTTAAAGGAGAACGATGGCAAAGTAAAGTGCGGCGTTTGCGAGATTGGATGAAAAACGAGTCGTTGGACTTGCACGTGGTGACAGCCTTGGATGACATCGCCTGGCTTCTGAATTTAAGGGGTCGCGACCTGCCGACCACCCCCGTTTTCCACTCTTACGTCGTCATCGACTTATACTCAGCCTACATGTATTTGCCGAGGCCTAAAATCACACCCATTCTTAAGAGCTATCTCTTCGATCCACCGGAACAAGTCAAGTGAGTCGTCCGTAATAATACGGGGGTCAAAATAATAATCGGGGTTTGATATTGTGATCTTGCCGATATTTCTTTATTTGAGGTTACGGTAAAGAATAGATTAGGTAAGAAAGGTGTCCGTTGCAAACGCCTTGTTCATCGATCCTTTTCCACAGGTTTAAATGGCAGATCAGTCGAAACAAGCACACCACGCCACTGTTGGTGACTGACGTCATCCATCGCGCAATAATGTGAGCTACGGTTTCCTTTGCCTTGGATTGAGCCAAACCTGGGAGAAATCTCGGTAATTCCCTATAAAATTCGCAATTTATGGAGAACAATTTGGCAGCGTCCTCATTATTCAGAAGGCATCCTTATTATTAAAATTATCACTTTCTTTAACAAGGATAAAAAATTAATAAATGAATAATTTTCCTCATTGCCGCACTTCATTTCCAAAGAAAGGAAATCGATCAAGATACCCTTTGTTAGTCTCGCCAGCAATGTACGCACAGTCAACGATGATAAAAACACCTGCATGCAACTATTCGTGCTCTATGGATGTCCGGGTTGCATACGAAAAATATGAAGGCGCTCCGGGATTTTTGTTCTCACTCATGCAATAATGATACGCGAAGTGTGCCTTAAAGATCGATGGATAAAAGAAATTATTTTTCTTGGGAAACTTTATATCAGTATCCCAGAGCAAATAGGTACCTAACTCTCATCTTTGATAAAATCGAGTTAGTGTAGTTTTGGAAATCTCCAATAACGGTTCCGTTTGGTAAACCTATATTACATCGGTTATGAGATAAAAAATTTCAAGAATTGCTATTTATATTGAAGTCAATGGGGCCGACGCATGGTTATTCCCTGATGTTTCGGAATTACTAAACAGGTGGTAGGTACCTTTTGACTCTAAGGTACTGACATATTTTTGCAAGAGTTTAAACTTTGATTAAAATATTTTTCGTTAAATGGAGTGTTAGTTTAAAATTTCTTGGTATGATATTTTTCGTGTGGATCCAGTCCATAATAATAAGCCGATGTTTCCTTAATTTCAGTATCAAACCGTTCGAAGAATTTTGGCCTGACCTGGCGAATTTTGGCAAGAATGCTGTGAATGTATCTCTTCCAGACGATTCCAGTTTTCTCATTGCTGCCTGGGTAAGCTCTTTTAAGGCTGATTGTTATTAAACTGTAACTGTACTGGTACTGCTACTAAACTGATTGATGGCTACTAAACTTTCTGGATATCATAAGTAGATAAACAGTCTTATTACAATAATTTATCATCCCTTGGTTCCATTCATCTCAGTCTCACACTGGAAAAAACAAAACATAGGATCTAGAGTCCAGACTCTTGAAAACATTGACAAGAAAAAATATTCTTGATTCAATCGGATTTTTGCTTGAATCAAAACAAAATCCGCTTAAATTAAGAGGCCTGGTTCTTGATTTAAGCTAGATTCTGATTGAATCAAGAGTACTTTTTCTTGTCGATGTTTTTAAGAATCTGGACTCTAGATCAAATGTGTTTTTTTTTTTTTCAGTGCATCAGTTATGAATCTAAACTAATTTTTCAATAATATTGACGAAAAAAATTAATAAACGAGATTCAATAGTAAAAACACGATTCTGATACCTACATGAGAGGCCGACCTGCGTTGCCGGAAAGGCTAGCATAAGACGAAAGCAATGGTTAATGCCTAACAATTTCTAACTGTTTGCAGATACCACCCAACAAACGGCGTTTCTCATTATCCCCGATTGTGAACATGAAAGCTTACAAGAATTCTGTGGAAGCCGAGGGCATGAAAAACGCACACATATATGATGGCGTGGCTCTGTGTCAGTGTTTAAGTTTGATTGAACGAGGGGTAAGATTTGACAACTCTAATTTCAGATTTTTTTAAAATTGTTGCGAAGAATTATGATATTGTTTGGATCGAGTTCAACAGCAAGGAACCAAGTTTTTTGAAAAAAGAGGCGGTGCGCTCGGCTCATTAGTTCCTCGGAAGAACTCCTTAAAATCACTGTTCCGTTGCAATGGCGTGACGTGCTTTGCAATACATCGATTGATCTGTCATTTAAACCTATGGAAAAGGATCGATAAACAGGGTGTTTGCAACGAACACCTTAAGAATCGATTCTTTACCATAGCTTCAATTGGGAAATATCGATAATAATCAATCATTCACGCCTCGCCACTGTCCGTTGGTTCCTTCCTCGCGGAGGAAAACCCCGTTTAAAGATCCAAAATTAGGCAAATTTCTTCTGTTCAAACATACTTTTTTAGGAAAGTTTGAAATATTATTTCCTTGTGATTATATTCAATTGCGCAGAAAATTCTATAAAACTTTAGTAGGTATAAGAGCTTACAAGTTTCTCACTGAATTCGTATATTTAATCAGAGGGTAGGCAACGCTTGAGTGTTCATGCGGCTTTTTCCTTCAACGCTGAAGAATACATATCCAAGCGTACGACTGTGTTATCGGTAATAAGCCCTTAATTGATGCAACTATTCGTGTTCTGTGGATATCCGTGTTGCATGCTAAAAATTGAAGGCGCTCCGGTCGTTCTCATCCATGAAACAGTTTTCGCAGCGACGCGGTGTCACGACTCGGTCTGGTTGTGGGATGTAATACCCTAATACGTGAAAATGGTGGGAAAAAATCCTTTCCTGTCCTGTCATCTTAGTTTTTATCAGAGAGTTTCTTCTTGTCACTTATTCGCTACGGTGTGCCACACACTGTTGGCTGTTGCGGACATGAAGTTTTGATTAAATAAGTAATTAAGCAATTCAACGCAGGTTGCAGCAGGAGAATATTGGGATGAACTGAAAGTGGCGGCCACTTTGGAGGTCCTACGGAACGAGCAGCCTCTAGCCCAAGGGATCAGTTTTGATAGTATCGTTGCGTTCGGCGAACATTCATCCATGGCCCACTTTATGCCGTCCTTGAAAACGAACAAACAAATTGATAACTCTTCCCTCCTCATGATCGACTCTGGAGGCCAATACTTAGGTATGAAATTTTTTTAAGTCACAGGCTAAAGTTTAAAGAAAATTATTGAAAATAAGGCAAATTTCCAAGTAAAAGTAAAGACTAACGTTACAAAAAAAAGTGTACCTACGGATCATAAATTCCAAAAATTCTAGAACTTAATCAACTATTAGAAAATTAAAAATTTCAATTTTATACTACTCAACGTCAATCCCTAAAGTCTTCCGTGATTTTTCTCCTCTGCGTGAAGCAAATTCTGAAAAAAACTTGATTGAGTGATGTTGATTTGTTCTCCGTTAAGAAAAGAATTAAACATCAGGAACAAAGATTTTTAAATACCGCAAACCCCAAGTAGCATTTTTCAACGGAAAAATATCGATATTTTTCAATTAAGTTGCGATTTTTTTATGAGTTTTTGACGATAAAATTGGTATATGATCATCAACATCTAGGAAATTGTCCTCGATCTTGACGCAATTTTATCTCTACAAAAATTATGTTCGATAAAATCGAAATTTATCCTAATTTATTACAATTTTTTGTTTGAAACTATTGCGCTAGATCGCCGTCTATAAAATTGCGATTTTATCGCAAAGTGATGAAATCGCAATTTATCGGAATTTTTTGTTTAGTTATAAATCGACGTCGACAAAATCGCGAAAAATTCTTCGATCAAATCGCAACTTATCGTGACCACTGCTACTTGAGTACTTAGTTTGGGAGTCTCGCCGTCGAATTGCGACGTTGTTTTGACGTGTTTTTTGTTACAGACGGGACGACGGATGTCACGAGAACGATTCACTTGGGAACGCCGACGAGCGAGCAACGTGCCGTCTACACGGCCCTCCTGAAGGGCTGCATCAACTTGGCCACCACAAAGTTCGCCCGCGGGATGAGGATCTGGGACCTGGAGATCATCGTCAAAGCACCCTTGCATGAACTCGGACTGGATTACAGCCACGGTACCACACACGGTATCGGCAGCTTCTTGAACGTCCACGAAAGTAAGTCAACCTTCTCAAAAAGCACAGATCTTGCGCGTCATTTCACACCCGACACGCTTCCAAGAGCAAGGGCCGAGGACTTCCTGCTCAGTGCGCGCGGGAAAGACCCGGCGCCTGCCAGCATGCCACTAATCGTGCTCAAAGGATGCCCGTATTGCATACTCTAAAATTTGAAGGCGATTTGTCCTCCTGTCCTGCCATGACCCGCGTTGTGCCTTTCAAAGACGCTGGAGACGGGATTAGATTACGCCTCAATGCTGGTGATAAAGGAAGACATTATAATAAGGGAGACTATTCCAAAAAAAGAGCACACTATGCATCTGTCGCTGCTGCGATTGTTGAGCTTTCAATACGTTTTTTGCCAGTCAGAGGCTTTTAATTGTATTTTTTTTCTTTCCTTTTTTTTGCCTTCTAAAATAGTCTGATTTTATGAGGTGATTTTCCGGTATATTTAGCGCATGGTTAATTGAAGTTTCATTGGAATAAAGCGAAGTTGTACGATCTTAGCGACACTGGATGAATACGTGTGCCCAAATGGTCCTTCATCTCGACGGTGAAACTGTAAAAATGCTTATCTCGGTTAGTGGTGTTATAAGATCTCCGTTCCTGGTTCATTTTGAAAGGGAGGCTAACCAACAACAGGGCTGACAAAAAAAAAAAAAAAAAAAAAAAAAAAAAAAAAAAAAAAAAAAAATTGAAAAGAAATGTTCATTGGATCTAATCCCCATTTTTGAGAAATATCGAATTTCAATGGTTCTCACAAGCACTGCGGGAGAAAGTATTAACGAGGGCCATAGTGACTTTCATCATATTCATCTCAAAAGTGCGTGACTACTCTTTCAGATGAACCACATCGCGGATGCACCTCAATACCTCTTAGGGAAATACCGTTACGCTCTGCCAAGCGATTATCCCGCGTAGGTACCTATTCCTTTTTTGCTCTCAGTCCAGCTGGGAGACTTAAGTCCTGTGGGTCATGAAGGAGACTTTAACGCAGAAACAGAAAATTAAGAGATTTGGTGTCACCTCATTATAGGTGTTTTTCTCCTGGACACCCCTCCCTTCCCTTCAGTCTTGTACTGGTAATTATTAGAACTCAAAATTGTTGCCACCAATTGAAATTTTTCAGCTTTCTGACCTTGTTTTCCCCGCAAAATAGAGTGGACCCAGCACTAAGTTACCACCTTCTTGTTTATCCATGGATTTGCATTACAGAACGTGCCCGGGGAAATTTGGTATGAGAAAACTGAATTCGGCATTCGTTTTTCAAAATACCCCTTTTTTCAACATTGCTGCCTACAGAGATGGCGGTTACTAACAATAAATAAGTATATGAGCTATATACCTATCGGTGGTTCCCCATAGAACTCAGAAATTTTCACAGAATATTCTTCACGTAGAAAAAAAAAAATCACCGAAGTTTTCAAGGTACCACGTTCAGCAGTTTTCTTTGTAGAAACTGAAGAATGACCGGAAGTCTGCAACGCCACACATGGCCCTCTATGGCATGAATTAATTTTTTGATCTCGGATTCTATGGGGACACTAATCTGTTTTGTACCTTGCATAAAAAAAATAGAGTACACATTTTTTTTCAAAATTCTAAAGTTAAGAATATAATTTTTTCTTAAGAAGAAAAAATAAATGAAATTATGCAAATAATAATGGCACAGGGGAAAGATTCAATTTTTTAAAACCCCAAATATGCGTTGTAACGCATTCGTAAAGCTCTGCCATAGAGGGTTAAACTGCGATACACATTTACACAGTTTCACTTTCACCATTGATATGTGTTCAACGGATTGCAATCGATTGTTGACGGACGATATGAAATATCGTCCGATACTTATGCCAATAATTTAAATATACGATATACTAATTCTAAAGCCCGAATTCGCCTACTACTTGCTGACTGACATCTTGCACGTTATTCCAAAATTCTATTTGTACCTATTTTATCCTCTTCTTTTTCCCCTTCTTTTTTAAATTGCTAGGTACTTCACACCTTGCAAATCATTCACAGATCCTGTTTGTATTTTATCAATATTTTTAATTTCTAGGGTTCAACTGGACGTTCCACCCAAACTTTTTCGGAACTGTTGGTAAGTTTCATTTGGAGTTCATTCAAAATTTCCACTTCTTTTATTCCATTGCTAACTTGGAGACATCATCATGAAAGCAGCTAGAAGGAGTCGAGGGAAGGGGGCAGAAAGAGACTGTTGCCCCCCTTCCTTCTCCCAGAGCCGGATTTAGGGGGGGGGGGGCACATGGGCCGCGTTCCATGGCGACAAATTCTGCGAGTTTTTAAGAGTAGGTTTCAAAAAAAGAGAGAAATAAATCGGATTCTGAAAAGAATTACAAGCGAGAAAAGGCGACAAAATCTTTTATTTTCTGACAGTGAGAATATAATAATTTCTAATTTTGTCGTCTTTCCGCGATGCAAGAGACAGCATCTTTAATATAATTCGAGTAAGGAGAGAAACTAAACACGCAATTTGACCTGGAGAGGCGGAGAGCAATGATGACGAGGGCTAGAGATGAATAGAAGCCCGCGGCGCGGCGCACAGTGGATCGAGTCAATCAAAGAGGTCGGACATGAAATTTTTGGCTAAAACTGAAAATTTTGATGTATATTTCGTCACATTTAAAACTTCGAGGGATGCATGTAGAGGAAATTTTCATGAGGAAACCAATAAAACCACTGTTAGTACCTCACAGATCTGCATAAACGGAGTTATGAGCGTTTAAAGTTTCCTAATTTTGTCCGACCTCTCCTATTGACTCGATCCACTGGGTGGCGGTCGGCATAACACGCATATTAGCGCCTACACGACTGCATGAATACTCTAAGCATTGCGTCAAACTCAGTACGGCCAGCGGTCGGTCGGCGGCGCACAGTGGATTGAGTCAATAGGAAAGGTCGGACAAGATTTGGAAACTTTAAACGCTTGTAACTCCGTTTATACGAAAATTCGAGGTTCTAAAAGTGGTTCCATTGGTTTTCTCGTGAGATTTTCTTCTAAACACACCCCTTGAAATTTAAAATCTGACGAAAGAAACATCGAAATTTGTAGTATTGGTCAAAAATTTCATGTCCGACCTCCCTAATTGACTCGATCCACTGTGCGGCGTGACACGCATTTTAGCGCCTTCAAGACTGTGGGAATACTTCACGCATTGCGCCTAAAACAGTGCGGTCAGCGGTCGGCGACTCGGTGTAATACGCGTAGCTATTAGCGCCTACAAGACTGCGGGAATACTTCACGCATTGCGCCTAGCACAATGGGGTCAGCGCGGCGGCGGAAGCTTAAATTATTAATCCACATTTATATTTGTTCTTTCACAATTTTTTCATTTATTTCTCATGAATGGAGGCCTCGTCCACACAGGGATAAGTTTACGGAACTTAACTTTCGTGCAAAGTTACGTGAACTTTTGCTAGAGTTGACAGGGCTTTCACAAAAAATGTGACCAACACGAGTAAGCGCGTCTTATGCAACCACCCCCCTCCCCTCGGCCACGTCCATTTGATGGGTCTTTTTGATGTTTCAAAACGAATGAGAAGGGGGCGGCAAAATACAGGCGGCCCATGCCATGGACGGCAAATGGGTAAATCCGGTCCTGCCCTCTCCTAGAGAAGGCTGCGATTGTGGGCAGCTCGCAACACCGGTAGACCCCAATGGAGCCGTATGTGATCTTCTGCCTGACTTAAACCTGAGTGGGTAAAAATAGGTGTAATTTTTAAATTTTGTAATATGTTTAAATTTCTCGATAAACCTATCGTGTTTTGTACAATATACTCGTGGATACCAATATCGTCTTCCATGTCTACCCGCTCCTGTACTTGGAGTGCGATAAAAGCACAGAGGAAAATATAACTTACCTTTACTTGTTTTTCTTATATATTACTTTATTTTAATTATTTTTCAGAACCTGGTTACTATGAAATCGGTCAGTGGGGCATGAGACTTGAAAATGTTGTGCAAGTGGTTCCTGCTGAAGTCACGGTAAGCACACCAAGTTTCCCTGCCCCCCCCCTTCCTCCTATCTCTTATTCTACTTGTTCATGACAACTTTCTCTATATTCTTATGAGGTCCCTTTCCTGCAGATAAAAGCAGACAATGATCTTACCCAGGTAGCATTTCTCAACGGAAAAATCGCTATATATTGCGATTTTATCGGCGATAAAATCGCCAGGATCATCGACATCTGAGCGATTTTCCTCAATCTTATCGCGATAAAATCGCGCTTTTATCGCCCGACCATTTATCGCGATATTTTCGAGATAAAAATCGCCATAAACGGCGATTTAGTCTCGATTTTATCGACAAAAATTGATCACGATTTTATCGAACCAAAAATTGCGATTTATTGCGATTTACTCGCCATGTATCGCGATTTTTAATACGATAATATCTCATTATATTGCCATCGATATAATCGCGATAATCAACCGATAGAATCGCTTTTCATCGCGATCACTGCTACTTGGGTACCTATAGAGAGAAAGTAGGCGATGAGTAAGTTTTTCGAACAGTCACGATCATCAAAGTCATGCTGCAGCTGAGGTTTTTTAGTCTCTCAGTTTCTAACTAGTGTCCATTTTAAAGAAAAAGAACTTTTGGTTTTTTCCCCTCCTCTGTTTGACGATCATATATATCCATGGTAAAAATCGTATCACAAGTACATATAATGCTCGCCATATTGCAGATTCCTGTTACTTAAAATTTTATTTTTTCAAAGGAAAACCACTGAGCATTATTTCTTGGAACTTTTCCGACTGATTTTTCTCAACCCTGTGAAGAAAGTTCTACGAAAATTTTGAATAATACCTAATGCTCACTGATTTTTCTTCAAAAAAATGAAAAAACCGCAGAAATTGAGAAACTTCATGATCAAGATACAAGGTATGATCACATAAAATAATGCTCTGCATTATCCTACTCTAACAAGTGTGAGATTCAATGATACATGCTCAAATGATAAATAAATTTCTGAAATGCCTATTTTTTCATTTTTCTTGATTTCAGTTCAAAGGCAAAAATAATGAAGTTCTTGCATTTGAAACAGTGACCCTCGCCCCTTACGACAGGAAATTGATTGATCTCAAAATGCTGGATGATAAGCATGTAAGTTGACTACTCAATTTCATTGACGCGATTGCTTATACAGCTTTGAAATAGAATGAATCGGGCAGACATTTGATGAAAATCAAAGTAAAGTCGCCCAATTTAATGGTGTTCTTTTACATTTTCCTAATTCTAAATCTCCTCTGCAAAAGAGGTTCCAAGAAATCGTAAATTGACTGAGTGAAGTCCAAGTAATTTTTACTTGGCCATGTCTTGATCTACAAGATGCTTCTGCACATGCTGATGGCACGTGGAGTTTTATAAAAATTTCTTTATTTTTCAGGGATATTTTTTTGTGGCACCATGTAACATTATGTTCTTTATCTGACATTGTAAAAAAAAAATTTTCTTCTTGCTTTTAATTTTCCTCATTTTGCATTTTTATTCATATTCAATCTGAACTTATTACTCTGAGTTTAAGAGAGCTAGTTTACTGCTAATTGATCCAAGAGCGATTCGAGGTGTGTCACTAATATCAGAGGGTTGAGTTTGGTAGCATATATGTAATAATAGACAATACAACGCCTCATTTACGACATCTTGGAGGGAAACTACCCTTGCCCTCTTCCATTCACAGGTTAGTTTGAAACCCATTTCTCTACAAAACAATACAACCTAACTTTTACAGCTCTTAAATAATTCAGTCGAAAAAGGACCGTTCCTTGCAAATAAAAGAAAACCAGCCAGAATTTATTACTGCATAAGTTACAATTGTCATTGGGCAGACCGTGCTTTTCAACAATGTTAGATATTGATTTTTGCTTGAAATTTTTGACAGATTCGATGGTTGAATGAATATCATAAAAAAGTAAGAAAACTAGTTGGAGCAAAATTGATAGAAAGTGGAAGGAAAACTGCTTACAAATGGCTAATACAAGCAACTGAGCCCATCTACACAGGTACCTACTTACTTGTAATGTAAAGTACTCCATGATTCCCTGACAAGGATGCAAGGTTGCGCAATACAATTTGGATATTTTAGATGGGAATAAGAGCTGATTTTTCAGCTTTATCTGGCAACGATTCCCTGATTTTACCTTCACAAAATAGGCCAGCATTTGTACACACTGAAACTCCTTATTCACTCATTGAAAGCATGTATTCACAATTTTTGTTTAGGAAATTTATGAATTGCATTCAACTGAGCGAGACAAAACAAATTGAATTCCGTGGATCTTCTTGGAAAATTTAAAGTAAGATATTTCAGTGCTTTCAACAAATAATGTGTCAAAAATTTCAATCAAACGTTTAGCTGTAGTTAAATACTCTGAGTGTAAAAATTTATCGATAAATCATGATGAATTCTCATTATGCGCAATGCATTCTAGGTATGATGAATCTGCAACACCCCTGTTAACAGATTCGGTCACCCTGCAAGTGTTTAGAATATAAAGAAATTATAAATTAAGAAAGAACAAAAAAATTGAGTGAGATATGAATGAGAGTTCCATGAGTAATTTTTGTAAATGGTGCAATTTTCTGGTGTGACAAATTTGTACCATGAATACTTATGCTAAAAATGTTAACTTCGTTTCTTTACATTAATGATTTTACTGAATCTTAGATTCATATGATCTCAATTGCTGATTTTCAATTGTTTCAGATATATTGGCTTAACAAGTACCATGATAAAGTCAGAAATACCGTGGGCAAAATCATCAGTAAAATTGGACGCCGAGTTGATTACGAGTGGTTAATGGAAGCGACAAAACCAATTCCATACCGCACAAAAATTGTAACTCTCAATTTGCATGATTGAAGCAGGAAATTTGGAAAGAACATTGAAGAGAAGTGTTAGAATCACACTATAATTACCGTTGAGTAACAGGCTAATACTACAACCCTATGAAAGTCAGTCCGAGGCCTTTTGGAAGAAGTACAAAAATATGGCTTCGTGAATGATACCAGTGATGAAAATTCACAAGGAAGAACCAAAAGAACACTTCTTTGTTTTGAGCAACCCCTCAGCCCTCCCCCGTTTCAGATTTGAAATTCTAAAATTACAACTCTTTGTACGGAAAAGATATTACAAGAAATAAAAGAATGTTGAGATGTGCGGAACGTTGTTTTTATTTGACAAAAAAATGAAAATCTTCTCATCCCTTGATAGTTTAAGTAAACAGAGATTCACCGGAAAATACTGGAAACAAATAATCAAGACAAAGCAACATATTTTAATATGGTATTTGTTGCATTTTTGCTGTGTACTGCTGAAATTTAATTTTGAGTCTAAATGACATTGCTAAAAAAATTACTCAGCATTCTTCCTTATTTTTACACTGCTGATTTTTAGTTTTAGCTTACAGAAAAATAAACATTGATAAAATTACCATGTGAAGGGGTAGAACAGTGAGGGGCAATGATGCAGTAGATCATTATATTCCAGGTATTCTTGTGGGTGGCGAAATTAATATGACACCGTCACCTCTGACAAACAGCATTGGTATACTTCGCTTGGTGGTTTTGTAAACTTCTTCGTACGTTTCTTCATCTATTTCTATGGTTGTGACTGTTTCTTCAGCCTCGCTGAGAACCATGTTTAAATGTTGATCATATGCCTAGATGGATAAAAAATGTAATGAGATCAGGTTGATAATTATATATGAGTCAGATGAAAGCTCACCTCAGAAAAGGCAGTTTTGAAAGATGACACACAACTAAGGCAGAGCCAATTCGACTGAAAGGCGAGTATAAACTTGAGATTTCTAGCAACATTATGAATTTTCACCCGCTTGATGCCTTTTCTTTCTAATTTCTGAGGATGATTTGAAATTTTTATCATTTTTTATTACTTAGTGAACCAGTAGGATTTAGGTGAGCAGAAGCATCATTTCACAATGTCTAATTTTCTCTCATATTTTATTTTTCAAATTGACATCTTAATAATACAACACCATGAATTTTATGTAGGTTGTAAATAATATTCTTAAAAAGTTACTGGTCAAACTATTGCTTCATTTTTTGTTATAAGAAAAATAAATATGAGAGAAAAAGCGATAGTATGGATTGAAATCTGGCTAATTTTGGTTGACTTGTTTTACTATGAAAAACATCTTCTCCTACGCCTCAAACATCTATACAGTCTGCTTTGAAAAAGAAGTATTCACTCCCGAATTCTAAAAGTAATCAGTTGAAATTTTTCTAAGGTAGAGACCTGATTTCCTTCTAACCAGACTATTAGATTTTTAAATGTTACTTAATATTCGTTTGATGCCAACATACGGCAAGTGTTTTAATCCCTTCATGCATACAGCTTCTTCTTGGGCTACATGACAGAGTCTTTGAGCGTTATATTACATGCTTTCTTCAAGCTTCAAAGGAGCAAATTCAAATCTACCTTCTAGCTTCTAAAAGTGCCCAATATGGTAGAATCTCCAATCCATACCTTTGTAGGCTTTCTTTGGTATGGAAAGAATAAAATATAGTGGATATACTTACATGTAATCTCCCTCGAAGTTCACGATCATGTCGCATTTTCACATAAATCTGCTCATCCAAACTTAAACGTAGGAGATCCAAAGGCTCTTTCACTGTTCCTGTAATAACCTAAAACAAAGTACACAGATTAAAACTCAGGATTGGCAAAATCAATCATTAAAAATTTCATTTCAAAGTGATACACGGCCACATAAATGTATAAGCTGAGTAAGTTATACTTTCCGGGATTCCTTCCACTGAACGTAGCATGTTTAAGAATTCTCCTCGTTCATCTACCTACGTGTTTTGTTAGTAAATAACTTGCTGACAAACATTTTTCAACAGAAACTCTATAGGTTTCAGCCTAAAAGATTTATAATGTTATGAGCCAGGTATCCTATGGATACGATTCAGGGTTCCTTGAGCGTAGAAGTTGGAAATCGATCAACTTCTGTGATCGCAAAATGTTTCTTGTGATCAATAGCGATTTGCTGAAAATCTTGTCACATTTGATAAAATTAGAACCTATAGAGGTGTTTCGTCAAGTCTGAGTCGTTCTCTGATTTGCTATTACTTCTTTTCGGTTTTCATTGAGCTCTTAGAGGCCAAGGTTAACAAACCTTCTTTCAACTGTCTCTTCATAGGAGAGATGCAACTGCCTTTACTGCCACAAACACAAGCCATTGCATCCACTAAATACCAAGCTAGACTCATGGTGACCTCATCAAATAAAAGTAAGCTGATTGCGCTACTGGTCGTTTATTCATCAATGACTTCTGTGATCAAAACTGAGCGATCGGCAAATAAATTTTACATTGCTCAACAATACAAATAATTCAGATTGGACAAGAAGCTTTCCTATCTTTTATAGTGGAGGCAGCTGCACTTCTTCCGGTTTTTTAATCGAAAGTATGGAAACAAACGCTGATTCATACGGCTCGATCTCTGAAATTTAAAGACATTGGAAAAAGATGACAAACCTGTTCTGTTTCTTCTGCCATTTGTGTGATTTAGAAAACAACCTACTAATGAAAACTATATTACAGACACAGGGGAATGAACGATTTTAGAAACAATTTCAATTTTTATTCACGACGTAAACCACGTTTTCTGAAGAAACGCCGCAAGCTGTCGTATTGTTTACATACAAACTCCTAGAGAAAACCCCATTCAAAAAACATTGACTCGTAACCGCTCAACCGCTCGTAACCTCGTAGCAGACCTCGTAGGTTAGGTTTATTGAGTACACATATTAAGTGAACAAACATTCAAATTACTCGGTAAAACTTTATTGTCAGTGACCAGTGAATTGAACTTCAATAATTTCTAAACTGTGTTTTTGTTTTGGGTGACCTCAATGGAGGAGCTCCAATACCATCTAATCATAATTAGATGGTATTGGGAGCTCCCACCAAACGCGACCTCTAGCGAACAAAATTGGTAAAAACTTTCGGGTAGATTCCAATTCCTAACCAACAAAAAAAAAAAAAAAAAAAAAAAAAGAGCTTCTTGAGGAATACTAATGGATTCTTTTCTATTTTTTGATCTAATGAAATTATATCAATGCGTAAATCTATTCTATCCTCCAGTGTAGTTATTAATTTTTTTCGGTGTTGCTGAACAGTGTCTCCTAGTGAGTGAAGTATGGAGAGCACAGAGCTCTGCGAGGCGAATGCCACCAGCTATCTTCCTGGGGACCCTGAATTGATTGACAAAATTGTCTTTCAGCTCAAACTTCAGGGATTATTTGATGAATTTCGGAAAGAATGCCTAGCTGATGTTGACACCAAGGTAATCTACCTTAATTTTCGTTCATATTATACATGCTAAACTCCTGAATGTGATTCGAAGATTCACGTATCCTGACTCGCTCTGTGTGCATGAGATGAATTCATCTTGTTTTTGTTGATCTCTTCGCCACTTCTTTTAGATCCATATGTAATCAAAACATTCAAGTATACAATGGTTGAATGCACTGAGCTTTAAACTACAGGTGGAAGGGCAAACATGCCTTTGTACATATCAGTCCAAGATCCTAAACTTGCGTTTGGAGAACCTGAATCCTGACATATGAGTGCTGATTCACTCTGATGACGAAACATGTCTCTGCTTGCAGAAGAGTCTCATATTCATGAAGTATCTTCACATCCATTAGCTGAATTATTTCAGCGGAATCTCTTTGCTCTGCTATCAAAGGTGATCTCGACTGCAACTTGTGCACTGCCTACATTACTGAATAATACATATTGTCTGCAATTCTAAAGTATCCAGCAAGTAAAGATATCAGAAAAATTTGGAGGATTTTGATTTTCAGCTGAAAGTGATTTGTCAGAGTTTCTGACATGGTAGAACTGGCGTGCGATATATTGGACTGATTATGCCGAAAATCTTGGTACCTAGGTTTAGAACTTTTAGTCAAGACAAGGAGGATAGCCCTTAGGCATTTGCCTAAAGAATCATTCTAATCCAAAAAATTGGCAAAATTCAGAGAAATGGAAACAGAGCCCTGTTAGGAAACAAAACCTTGCATTCGATACTGTTATCGAGTTCTGTATCGACTGCAAGATTTTTTCCAAACAGGATTCTGCTTTCTTTGCTCTGAATTTTGCCAATTTTTTGGATTAGAATGATTCTTTAGGCAAATGCCCAAGAGCTATCATCCTTTTATTGGCTAAAAATTCCAAATCTGCTGAGATTCTTCACACAATCAGTGCGATATATCCCATGCCACAAACAGTGACAAACCACCTTAAGTTACAAGTATTATGAACAGTCCCATGTTGAATGAAACAAAAACTTGTCATAGGTAAAATTAGAATGAAAACTATACTAGGTAGTCATTTATTTACAATATCTCTATATTTATTTGGTTCCTCCTAAGTATTAAGTGCTAAATTTTAATTACTAACTGTCTTGGTTTATTCCCTCACAGCCTGCTTATCAAAATTTGCGACAACGTGTAGACACTTCAGTTGAATCATTTCTAAACAGAACAACATGGTGTGCAACTTTGAACAAGAAAAATGTCCGTGAAAACTTGAGGAAACATGTCTATGAGTAAGTTTCGTATAAATTTTTCGGCAAAAAGTCACTATTTCTTCTTACTTACAATTTTTCAGAGGGTTTTTGGTGAATCAGTCTGGAAAAAAAGTAACATATTTTTAGTTATTAGGTACTGTCTCTGCAGCTAAAATTCGCCTGAGTGAATAAGTCTGGCGTCTTGGAAAAATCACCTTGTGGAGAATTCCAGGGGCTATCAGTTTTCAACCGTAAATAATTTCTGTAAATTATCCCCAAAATCCTGAACATATAATTAGTATTCCACTTTTTTAGATTAATATTAACACTACCCTTGGCTACCAGTTTTCAACCATTTTGTTCAAATGAATTTTTATTAAAAACTATGAAAAGAAAAAAATTCCCCTTAATCTTTAAGGGGCTGTACTTCAAAATAGTCCTCTCCGCGCTGAGAAAAATGAAAGTTTGAAATCAAATCAAATTGCACTTAATCCTAAATCACCCTCTAAAGTGTTGCAAACATAACTTTTAAGTGTTTGACTATTGAGTTGAAGTGACCTTTCTCATCTCATCTCTCACCTTCCTCATTCTCCAGACAAATTTTCTCTGATTTTATCCTTGTGTCATTTTCCATCATGCTGTTATGCATTGTTATTAATATTTTGAGCTTTTTTTTCCATGCATTTGCGCAGAAGCTTTTGCATAGTTGTCTCATGTGGAAACCTCATTTGCACAAACAGATTGCTGATATGGTAAAGATCAAATTTACATCAATCCTGTAACGCCTTAAAATTACTTTAAACCCTCATGGCTTAAACTTGTAATTTGTGTGCTCTTCCTGCCAATTACGAATATCTGTACCAGTGCGGATTGTAGAAGAACTATGCTTGGAGCTCCCAATTTAAAATCCTTTTTACTACATTTCAGCTGCCGATTCCTGGATATGGGGCTGGAGCGAATAGTGGAGCAGGTAGTCAATCCAAAAATCTGCTCAGTTTTCATGCCCAAAGTAGAGGAGGTTGTTTATAAATTTCTTGGTATTCCAATTGAGGCGAAGCCAGAAGCAGAAAGCACCAGCACCTCTAACAAAGGTAAATTTTCGTTGCTTTTCTCTTTACTTCTTGTATTGTTCAGTTAATGACAAGAAAAAAAATTGCACAACAAATCAGTCTCAAAATTTTTGCCAAAATTTAGAGAACTCATTTTCAATCGAAATTTGGAGTGGGGAGACTCAGTCTTTACAGAGAGTTCTTTCGAAGAAATTTTATGAAGGGAACAAGTTTTATTTTCACCCGTAAAATACGCTCCCCCAGTCTAGTAGTTCAATCCTGGGACTTAGTGTATAAAAATCAGTCAGTCAATCAATCAACTTTTCCACGCTTGAAGAGATTCAATGTCAATGCACGGTAAATACGCCCTTAGAAAAAAACTCACTGTTCACGAAGAGGCTGTTTCTTACAAAGATGCTCTCTCTATGGATGGACATTGCATGTAATGTGGATCAAAAAAATTCAGCACTTAGATAAAATTTTCTTCTCGACACTGATATTATTTCAGTGTCATGTTTGATTCATGTGGACCTTTTGTGGTAGGTAGGAAGTTTGAATTCACAAACACTGAAAACTCGCTTACGAGTTGAATTCAATGCAACTGATTTTGTCAAATTTTAATGTAGTATTATGTACTCCGATGGTTGATCGCTAACTCTGTCTAGTGATCCATTGTCAAAGCATATATTTTGAAGCGATCATATACATATGTTTTTAGGCTGTCTATATGAGCTGAGGTTGCTTAAACTTATGTAATGAGAGATAAGATGTAATAAGAGATAAGATATGATACGAGTTTGAATGAATCCAGCCATGATACTGCAAGACATTGCTCTGCTCAGTTTTTTTCTCAAAAAAATCAATGCTTCGAGACTCCTCTCTCTTACATTATGCGTATTTTTGTTTCTGAGAGTGTTTTTTGGTGTTGAACTCTTTTTCACGCTAGAGCCCCTTGTCTCAATTTATATTTCAAGCATTTTTAACTGACTCATGTTGTCTTAAATTATATTTTCAGGAACTGAGAAAGGAAAATCTAGTCGCTTTAAAGGGGAGCCTCACAATCTTTTGCCAGAAGAGCTCGAGCCAATCTCACCAGACCACAATGGACTCAGTGATGGTGAGGTTGCCGACAAATCTGAAGGCAAGCAAGAAGACACAAACCTAGAGGAAGAAACCAAAGAAATTAAAGAAGAAATACTCTCTCCCTCGCGGATCAAACAAGAAGCCAAAGAAGATAGCAAAGAAGACGATACTTCACCTATGTTTGAACCGCATCATGGGAAGAAAGACAGTGACAGTGAGATGTCCGGTATTTCGGATATGCTAAGCCAGAGCAGTTTGGAAAGCCCGAAAAAAACTGACTCTCCGGAGATGGAAGTAGCACAAGTTCAAACGCCTCAAGATACTGAAATCAAGGTAGAAATTGAAGCTGTTTCACAAGATTTCAATGTCGAGGAATCTGAGCCAATGATTGATGCAAGTGCCATCTCACCGCTGACATCCTCATCTGTCGGGTCACCAGACTCGCCGCGTGAAAAAATGTTGTTCAGTGAGAAAATGTTCGACGAGACGTGTGCATCTTATATCAGCATAAAGAGCGCTAATGAAGGCCAGTTTGATGATGAATCGTCAGACAGTGATGGGTATGAACGCGTAAGGATCACCTACAGCCCAAAAGAGCATTTTGGACCTAAAGATAGCAATGGTCTAGCCGATGGCAAAAAGTCTAATAGTGATTTAGACACAAGTTCGATAGAGAGTCGCATTGGTGGGAAAAAGGACAAGGGTAGAGAAGGTAGTCCAGGTGTGCAACTCTCTCAAGAAGACGATGAAGAGTTGAGCCTCCCAAAAACGCCCACCATTCACTACGACAATGCAGAGTTTGAGTCTGTGAACGAACTTCAAAAGAGTATTAAGAAAACGCAAGAAAAGTCTGTAGAAGAAAGCTCCCTCACATCATCTGACGACTGTCTTTCAAAGTCTGGAGTGGTCAAGGACAGTACAGAGAATTCAAATATGTGCTTCAAGCAGACGGAGGAGTCCAATCTGAGTATCGACACAGAGAACAGTTTGTCGGGGAAAAAGAACTTGACTGAGCAAAAAAAGCGAGAGACACAGAAATTGTACGAACGCAACTCAAAAGAGAGTGAAAGAAAACACAGTCATAGATCATCACACTCTTCACGCAAAGACAGTGCAACAAAAGAACGTCACAGTCACAGTTCTAAGTCGAGTAGAGATGTGTCTAAAGAAAGCAAAGAAAAGTCATCTAAAGATGGGAAAGAATCGGGCCACAAATCCAAAGATTACAAGTCATCTAAAGACTCCAAAGATGCAAAGGTTCAGAAGGACAAAGAAACAAAACCCTCTAAAGATGACTCTTCAAAAGACAAACATGAGCACTCATCCAAAGCACATCATTCATCTAAAGAAAGCCAGGAGTCGAAAGATTCAAAGCACCATTCACGAGACAGCAAACACAGCTCCAAGCACCGGTCCAGTGATAGATCATCCAAAGATCACCATCGCAGCTCCTCAAAAGATAGTCATGACAAACACAAGTCTTCGAAAGAAGTAGACAAGAAGTCTAAAGATGAAGGCAAGGAAAAAAATTCTGGAGACAAAACAAAAGAGGAAAAAAAGACTGATAAAAACCACAAAGATCGCAAAAACAAAGATCAGTGTTCATCCAGTACAAGTAGTCGTGACAGAGACAGCCGTCGTTCATCAGACCGAGATAATGACGGCTCCAGCAGTACACATCGTAACCACAAATCATCTCAGATACACAGTACATCCGAAACATCTCGCAAAGAAGATCCTCCCAAAAAATCCAGTCACAAGCATTCAAGCAGTTCGTCTAAATCATCAGATAGCAGTGATTCCACCAAAGCTCGCATCGTCCATCCGGTTTTGGAACATCCCCTCCCAGATGTCAACCTGCAGGACCCTCCAGCTGCGACCGATGTCTCAAGCCAAAGTCTGGTCACAAAATCTGAATTGCAGCAATCCTTATCGGACAACCATCTAGGAAACACACTCATACTGTTTGACAAGACACCTAAGGTCATTTTGGAGCGTTGCTCATTAGATGGACTTCAAAGCCCACCTATGAATGTCTCTGGTAGTCATGCCAGTATTATTTCACTCGCTAGCTCATTCAGCAGAATCAAAGAGGATACAGATTCATTGCGTGTGAAAAAGCCTAGAAATGCTGCTAATTTCCTTGAGGCCAAAAAAATGCTAGAACAGCATATACTAGAGAAACAGATGTTGTCAGAGCAATCTAAACGCGACAAGTGCCTTGAAAATAAATCTTTGCAGGAATCTGTCGAAAGTAGTTCAGTAGCAAGCAAGCAGATTACGGCTGATGAACCTGTTTGCTCTGAGCCACCAAGTCCTAAAAAACGCAAGATAGCTGCAAACATATTCCAGTCGCTAGACAGACCTAATGAACAGAAAATCTTTGAGTTATCGGAAGAAAGCGAAGAAATTGTTTCCAGGGCGGAGTGTGTAGCCGATTTTGACAAAACAAATTCTGGATCTGATGGACCAATAGGTGATGTCTCTTTGGTTAACACACCTGCAGGAGAAACCAGCAAATTTAATGAGACTGTTCAAGCAAATGGAAGTGACCTAATTAATTCTACAATGAACCGTGTTGAAAGTGAATTAGAAGTTTTGACAACACCTGAAAATAATGGATCCACAGTGGAAACAGAAAGAGATCAAAGTATACAACAAATGTGGAGCGGTGAAAATTCAATAAAGACTGAAAGCTACCCAACTAACCCTGAAGAGGACCCTGAGAAAAACTCAGATCGAACAAATAGTGAGGCAAATGCTGTTGAATTACAAACTAGTGAAAGCCAGAGCGAAGTTCAGCACACTCAGTTCAGCAAAGAAGTAAATATTAGTCTAAAAGCAGGAGAAATGGACGTGGGGCAAAATATTGCACAGTTAACAGGAATTGAAACAAAAATTTTCACAAGTCCTGATGAAAAAGATCTCGCACAAAGTAGCTCAACACCAGAAAACCATGGGTTCACAGCAAAGACTGCTAGTTCTAAAAACGCAGATGAATCAGAGGGAAGTGTCAATCAATCTGAGAACAATATGCAAGATAGTTTGGAAATAAAGGGAGAGGAAACTTTAATTACGACTGAAAATAAAACAAAAGAATCAAATCAGTCAGTAGTTGAGGGAAAATCTGACAAAAATTCAATGGAAGTAGAGTACGAACAGAATACTGACAGAACAGAAGTTTGCACAGTAAAAGAAAACGTAGAGGTGCAGGAAAGCTCAGATAAATCACTTCCACAAAGAAATGAAAATTCTGTGAAAGACTGTGCTGAGGTTATGCTGGACCTAGAAAAGGATGAAGATTTGCAGCCATCTATGACTCGAAACGAAGGACAATCGAAAGGCCTCTCAGTCAATTATCTGGAAGCAGAAAAAACAGCCGAGATCTTGCTGCCAAATACTTCACAATCAGAAATATTAGGAGACACTGAACAGAGCATAGTAAAAGAAGAAAACCAGCCAGTTGCTCTCAGCGTTGCTACCAGAGAAATAGGAAAAGAGGCATCAGCAGCAGAGATTCTTGGTTCTGAATCAGCGCAAGCTGAAAGTATGGATGTAAACTTTGAAATAAGTGACGAATTAAAGGCTGACCCTAAAACTCTCTTTACCAAGTTCAGATCCTTCTTAGTCTCCCGATTTCAAAATCTCTCCACTACAGACACCAAGAGCTTAGAACAAATTCCTGCACAGGACCTGATCAATCAACAGTTCCTAAACTTCATGAATAATTTTGAACTTCAGATCAAACCTCTAAACCAAAAAATCAGCTTGACGTCTGACTATGTTGACATTGACTCTGATTTAGATGAATTCCTCCGTCTCAATAACTTCCAAGTTCAGCGCCAGTATTGTGTTAGTGTTCCAGAAATTGGTTTGCCCTGTTGGGTGTACGATGAAAAGCATGACTGTTTTGTTTTGAAAGAAGAGATATCACCTGTGGTTTCAAATCTGAAAAGGAAGGGGGGAGCAGCCAGCAGTGAGGAAGCCTCAAATCAGATGAAAGCGAAGAAAATTAAAATTTACGGCATCAGCACAGGTGAGCTTCAGGTCAGCCCTGGTTCGCCGTGTTCTGGAGAGTCCTCCACCAAAATTCCTCATGGAGCTGAAGGGTCAAGGAGCAACCAGGCATCGACCAAATCAAACATATCAGATGTTCCTAGCTTGTCTACAAGCCAACTCAATGACAGTGTTAGTATATTTTTTCCCCTAACCGTTAGTTTAAGTAACATAAATGAAATACATAACAATTAGTGTGAAGTGCTCAAGAGCATACTTATTATTTTGTCTGTCTGAGTGTAAATTGCATTGAACAATCGGTTTACATTCAGCATATTTAAATTTAAGCGCTGTGAAATATTCTATGCTCTAGAGGTGTTGAATGATTCTTTGAACTGTATTATTTTACCCTTTTTCTTCTCTAACTTTTACCTACCATTCGATTCTGTAATTTCAAAAACAAGAGATCTCCACTCTCTCAAATGATATAGACATCCATGTTTAAAATTCTCTTTCTGTAAAAATAATCATGAGACCTCAATGAGTTCTATTTCAGAAAAGTGAAAAACTCTGAACATTAGTAGTGAACATTAGTAAGTGCATTAGGTTACAAGAGGCTCAAAGAAAAAAAGGCAGGCCATTTTGAAAATAACCGGTTCATTATTTCGATTGTTACGGGAAGCTCTTCACACTTAGATGCATTTTAAAGAAGGTCTGATGAACAAAAATTGACTCGAATAGAGCTGGGTCTCCTAGATTAGGAATATTGATGCTGTAAGGTTCTTGGTTCTGGAAGTTGCAATTCGCAAGATGAAGGAGAGTTTCAGCCTTAAAATTTGTGAATTTCATAGAAAAAAAATTCCCTTTCCTTTGGATGAGCCTTCCAATTAATTTGCTCTATTTTCACCTTAATGTTTTTATTTATATTACAGATATCACCATCAAAATATGATGGTGATTGTAGCTTTGACGATAGTAGTATTTTAACCACGCCAAACAAAAGTTTGACTGCACAATTGATTGAACCAGCTCTGGAAAGTTTGCTTGCTGAAAGTGGCCTTGCTCCATGTAAGTATTTGCAAACTGAAATTTCTTTCTCTTCCCTATTCAATTAAATTATCTTTTCTTATTTATCTGATTCACTTATTCTGATATTGAACTTGACACCATTTTTGAATCGTAATTAATTTAGAATAAAAAAAAAATCTAAGTTTGATGAACATTCTTTTCATACAATGTCAGACAGAGGGAACTTTTGAAAATTGGGATTTTTTTCAACTTCAAAATCGAGGATTTTTTTGAGTGGGTGGTAATTAAAATGTTGGGAATTCAAAAAAAATTGTCCCCTTTACATTTTGAAGCATTAAAAAATCCTCAATATCACAGTAATTCCTACATTGTGTTGCGAGGACTCTACTACACAACTAAAAATAACACAAGCTGTGCAAATGCAATCCAGTTTTCATCATTTGTCCTTTAAAAATGTTTTCTGGCTCTTGGTAATTCCTTGATGGTTTTACTCATCAAAATTCATGAGGGAAATCTTATTTATAAGCTTCCTAAAATGTTGCTTAATTTTTCTCCCCAGTTGTGCCCGGTGGAAACGTTCCAAGTCCCAAGAATGCAAGCTCTGAAGAAGCGTTCAGTCTGCCACCGACTCCAGAGAGCGAATCGATTCTAATTCACTCCAAGCCGCTCAAGGGGAGCAAACGGCATTCAGGTGAAACAAGCAAACGACCACCCCCTCGAACCTACTTCCTCCGATCCCGAAAATCCTGATGGCCTTTCCTTTGTCCACTCCCTCCAAGTCCAACAGAATTGTTTGTCTTACATGGTAGTATTGGCAGTACTGAAAATTCCTTTTTTATTTAAAAATCAACCCCATATCAATATGATTTTCGTTATGTCTTTGATGAAGAATACATCAAGTGTAAAATTTTAGTTAAGATCTTTTGTTTTACAATATTAATTTCAGTGGAACCTCGTAGACTGATCAATGAAACCAATCCCTCCCTCTCGGTCTTTAAGTCCTGAAATCTTTCTCCTGTCCATTAAACGTTCCTCCCTCTCCATCTTTAAGTCCTGAAATCTTTCTCTTGTCCTTTAAACGTTGAAACTCACTGAAATCTTTTTATCATTCGTATTTGCTACAGTAATTAAAATGCTTAACGGTTCGGAAAACGGAAATCCTGTGTCAGACAGAGGCTGATTAGTTTTCCTTCTTTATTATAGTTGTGAATGTATACCGTGTATTATCCATGCGCTACATAGATATTACGCAAATTATCTATGTAGCATAACATGAGATAGTTGCGCTAGTCACAGAATCGTGTTTTGATGGTTTGAGTACATAAATCAGCAAAGATTGATAAAAACTATCTGAACGCCAAGTTTCTATGCCCAAAATTAATGCTGATATTGTCCATTGAAAATATATCATTTAATATCGTCCACTGTGGCAGTGCATACCATGGTTTCTTACATCTTAGCTTCACCCGTGTTTCAAGTCAAGGAACCACTGCGAGTGTGTGTTTTATTACTGATAAACACTGCATTGAAACAAGGTGGAAGAAATCATGGTTTGTACTACCATGGTGGATGATGTCATACATCGTGTTTCTCGAAAAGCGATACTTATCTCTGTCAATTTTGGATTTAGAAACTAGGTGGTTGAACAGATTTGACCATTTTTTGCTGATCTTAAGTTCAAACCATCAAAGCACGATTCTGCGATTAACTGTACTGATCCATTGCCACTGGGAGCAGATCTGGAGACAGTGGAGAAATGAAGCACCCTGTAGAGATTTGATTCTTAAGTCAGTTCATTTGATTTTGTTTGCTATAAAATTGGTAAACCCAATCAGGAATTAGTATTTTCACCTACATAGGGTTTCCATCTTGTGATTAGAATATTTTCAGAAAAACAGAAGCTGCCTCTATTTTCACATCTGTGCTCTTCATTTTCAGGAGAGAGCAATGCTACAGCAAAGAAAAAATCACCAATCAGTGGGAAAACTACGCCGCCCATGAAACAAAGAAATGCACTTGTGTAAGTACTGTTTTCTTTTTTTTCAACTCGTTATGTATTTTTGAGACTTGGATTGTATCAAAAACAGAACTTTGAAATTACACTGAAGAGAAGCTGTATCACTGTCACTGCATTGCAACAGACCTCTGGGGTCTTTCGTATATAATTCATATTTGAAATTGAATTTTCTCACCCTTATAATTTATTCCAAATAGTTTTGAATGGGCTTGTGCTCATTCCCAGCGAAACCTAAAAAAATGTTTAGGCAAATGTTGATGGTGGAACTCCCGAACCACATTTCTCGTTTGCGGTGTTTAAAAGTCTCTGCTCCTATTTTATTTTCATTGAAGAAGAACAAACCTGCATCATTCCTTGAAGTATTTCCAGGATTTGTTTCTTATAGAGCAGAGAAATCGTAGAATATTTTAAGAATTTTAGTCGAGCATTTCTCCATTAAAAATTAATGTACCTATGACAGGCAGTCTGCAATGTCGCAGATATATTGCTGAAATCACATACTTTAATTATAATATATTGAAGGAAAAAATAGAAATTGCAGTCTGTTTTCATACTTTCACTTACAGAAGCTTGAATAAATTTTATAATAGTTCTATTCAATCCATCTTCATGCTTAAATTTTCTTGAATTTCAGGGAATCCTCTCAGGGTAAGCTGCAGAGGTATGACAGCAGTGACCTGTACAAACCCCGACCTCTATTTTCTCAGACCTCTCGACGAGCTAGAAGTAATAATTCAAGTACCCGAGATTCCATAGGTAATCATTTTTATGACTTTACAGATCTAATTTATAGAAAAAAAGTTAGTCTTTCAGTAATCCAATGCAAATCGGAATAGAAAACTTCTCATGCCGCGAATTTATTTCATTGAAACATGTAACTGTTGATGAAAAATAAGGGTGGGTAACCCAGTCGGTAACAAAGATATGAAAATGGAGTGTAGTGTGGAAAAGTTAGCTGCGCTGTTCTGAATGGTACCTTTTGTTTAATCAAAGTACTGGTTGCTAGCTTTCATTTATTTAAATTATGGCAAAAAAACTAAGTAATTTTATAATTTTAAAAAAAGCAGAAATGGTTGCAAGGTTTTTGCTTCTTTTGCAACCAAAATTTCGTCAGCAGTAATGTTCTTTCATACCTCTATATTTAACTGTCATTGACCATATCGATGCGATGGCTAGGATATGGTTTCCTACATCTCTGAAATATGCCACCCAGCTCATCAGTAGCACTCTGCATTAAAGTTGTAAAAGATTCTTACCAAATTCGTGAGAGAGTTCAATTCTTTATTAATCAAATTCTTGATGCCAGGACAGGGCTTAATTCAAGAACTTTGCACTCCTCATAACCTATCACATTACAGTGAATTACATCAGAGAAGCAATGTAATGTTACTCCTTCTCTTACTTTGTAAGAGTTTTTCTCTTTCTGTTGGATAAGAGTGCCGAATAGGTTTCTTCTGATTAGTTATCAAGGCAGGCTTGTCCAGAACTGATTACAAAGTAGGACTTTTACTGATAACTGTCAGAGCTTGCTAGAATGAGGTGTTGCAGTGCACATAGAGGATGGACGCTCACAGCAACAATGCAAGGATTCAGAACTTAAGCTATTCCAATTGAACCGGCCTCTTTGGATGACAACAGCTTTATCGGAGTCCATCCATACTATTGAATCAAGTTGTGAGGATAGCTTTTCGAAAAGGATTTGATTGAGCAACCATACCTGTACCCTTCAATATGAAGACATGGTCTCATTTATGTAATAAGAATGGTTTGTTGCAGGTGTGGAAAATGAAAGCATCAATGCACTGAACTCAAACATTGTGACGAAAAAAAGGTGATCAATATTGGAGACCAATGTAATAGTGCCTGTACATACTGTTCAATATCTTCCCGGTGAAGTTTCCTGAACTCCCTTTCTGCCATACTCCGAGCTTTAGTAATCAGTTTCCAGAAATAACTCTGTAATTTTCTTTTGTAAACTGATCGTTTATCAAAGGAATCTCATTTCCTTCCACTATTGAGCTGTGATTGTTTCTAAGTTGGATATTCCAGCAATAAAGTATTACCGTGTTATTTTTTGTTAATTCTGTTGCGACGTCATTTTTCAGTGACTATTACTCAGTCAACTCCCCCAGCTGAAATTTAGATTCGAGTCGGTGATACTGTACTTTTTGGAGGAAAAATTCAGTTTCAGATAACTGGATCTTTGAAAATCAAAGCAATTTGAAAAAAATAAAAAACATCAATTTTTCAAATTCTTGATGTCATGCATCACCAGAATTTGATGTCAAAAAATTTACCTATTCTTCAGTGAAGTTGAACTAGTACAGGTAAATTTACCTATTCATGAGTGAAGTAGAACTAGTTCAGTGAAGAAAAAAAGTACATACCATCTGAAAATTGGTCAATTTTCAGATGTGATCAACTTTAAAATAAAAAAAAAGAGCATGCTGACTGAGAGGCTTTTATGACTGCCTGCGTCGATGTGACCTGGCATCCAGGATCTCTCAATCCCCAATTTTCTGCAAGCCCGTGTGGCTGTTCCACATTGACTGGCCCCTGCCCCACAGAATTATGTTTCTGAGGTTTGAAAAATCGGGATAGATACCCTCGAGAAAGTGAGCCTTTTTTCCCAGCATCTCAAACCAAGAAGAGTACAGCAGTACCATGCACCCAACAGTTCAGCTGTAATTTGAATTATAATTCCGAGCAGTTGAAAATTATAAAAGTAGGTATGAAACCAAATAAAAATAAAAAATAAGGTAAAATAAAATAAAAAAAATTTAATGACTTGTCATTAAATACAAAATCTAGATCCAAACTGAACAAAAAGCAGTTGATCTTAATCTTATTGACTAACCAATACGAGAATCAAATGAAACTGCTACAAAAGATTGGTTTTCATGAAAAATAACGAATTGCTAGGCTTTAATTACTTAGTCCCTTGCATTTCTTTTCTTTTTTCTTTTTTTAGACAATTTTGTTGCTAAATTCAAGGGTCAACAATCAACTGTATGTACTAAAAAAAAAAATAAATAAATAAAGCTTTCAACTGTCCTCGTCCAAACTGGACACATTAGCATCACTCCCCTTTTCTTGGGGCAGTGAAGAATAGGTATGAAAGAAATTAAGCACAGCTGTTCGGGTAATAATAAAAATCAATATTCTATACAACTAACTCGAGTTCAAAGATAATTTACAATAATTACATAAATTGTTTAAAACAGCAACGATTGGAAGATAAATTTGTTTTCTAAATATTATTTCTCATTGTTGAGAGCTTTGATAAATTCTTCTAATTTTTCTTGCACCTGCCGCACACGCTCTGGAAAATAAGAGAAAGATTATATTAATTTTAAGTGTGATTTGTCGACAATTTGGTTGCTATCACAATAATTGATGATGAATGGCGTAGAGACAGAACAAATACAATTTCAAATGGACCTCCAGACAAGGTGCAAAAAGTATTGCCTATTGGTAGATGTTTTCTTATCAAAATTTCATGTATGTAGAATACGATTTGTGCAACTGAAATAATAGAAAGTAACTCATAACCAAAATATTCACGTTTTCTGTGGCATAAATTCAAACTTCCCCCTCATCTACTCAAGGTCAATCGTCACACTAAACCTTATTAAAATTGTCTCTGCAGTATGAAAATATGGCAACCTCAAAGTCAGCTTTTCAGCTCAGTTGTAAAAATAGAAGTGATTTGGTGACAATTTTGCAGTTTGAGGAAGACAACAATGAATGGCATGGTTGAATGAGGTATTGAACTTACTTAATTCTTCTGCTAAGGTGACTCTCCGGCCAGTCAAGAGCTGTGTTTTCTTCTGTTCATCTAAACTGTACTCTTCTAAAACTTCTTTGATCTCCTTAAAAAGTCTTCGAGCTGAAATAGAAACAAGAATTAAAGGATACAGTGAGTTTCAGGAAGCATTAAAATTCACAGAATTTTGGTGATTTTCAGAGAGGAAAAATTCAACAACAAGCTCGAAGTGATAAAAATTCCATGAGAAAGAGCTTTTATTTTTGCTCTCTTAAAAGTCTGCAACAAGCGCATCACCATAAAAGGATCAATTCACTATTTTTCTACTTCGTTCTAACTTATGACCCTCTTATCAATGTTTCTTCCCCTTTTTAACCTTAAAAAGATTGATGAATATAGTATATTGGGGAGGGGAAGGTCCAAGCCACAGTTGAATTAGGAATGCAAGAGCAATTACTTTTTGCAAGTAGATAGAAATAAAAATAATCTCCAGGAGAAAAATTTCTTGTCAATTCTAGATTTAGTTCCACTTTGAGGTAGTAGCATCGCTTCAAATATTTTACAGGACGCAGTTTTGAAAAGCACGTAATTTAGTTCAGGTAGGGCTGAATTCTCTGTTTAAGTAACAATTACATTCCTATAAAGCCGCCATGGGTCAATTATTTTTAACATACAGTTCTCTGTGGAGAGTGTTGGTCCATAATCAATGAATCAATGTCTGTACAAATGAGGCAAGTTTCTACAAATATTTTCGATCTTACTCTCATACCAGATGAAATGTAACTCTTACCTTCTCTGCTGGTAATCTGCTGCCTTAAGGCGTTTGCTGATATATTCAAGAGGTTCTGCAGTTTCCAGAAGAAGACAACATTACAGCAATCCTGGAAATAAAAAATTGAAAGAGAAATGAAAAAAAAAACCAATGTGCCTAAGTACAAATCTGTTTACATACCATAGCAGCGTATTCCATCAATAATTGAGGATTATAATGGTTTCAAAACTAAGCATTAACTGGAATCAGCCTGGCTCCTTTTTTCATTGAAAAACGTCCTCTTGCGTTTTGTTTCTTACTCCAAAAACCATAAACTACAAAACTTTTTTTGAATTTACCTTTAATCATGAAGAATACATTCAGGAAGTTTCAGTGTAAAATGTTGCTTAGTTTTCTGTCAAAAAAATGAAACGTGAGAGGCAACATATGATGTAGTTAAGCTGATTTTGTTTAGTATTCTTTGCTTGAAAGATTAAACCTGGTCACAGTGGGTTAATTCCATATCGACAGTGAAACTGCAATGCATGTCTCAGTTGCGATACTTTGAAATCTCCACTCCTATTTAATTTTTTTTAGAAGGTGACTAAACGTACATCACAGTTTGAAATTTTTAAAGAATATACTCCTAGTAGAAAAGAAAAATCAGGTTTTCAAGGAATTACATAGAGTAGTTTTCCATGTAGGAAATAAAGTCTGTAATGCTGCAAACTCCAATGCGCATTTCTGCAGTTTCACCATTGATATGAAAAAAGAGCCCAGTTCTGTCAGGAGAGTCTTCCTTTAATAAAAACATAGAAATACCTGACACAAGATACAATAATATAAATTGACACATATTAGATAAAATAATATAATAAAATAAGAGCCATAGAGATCAAGTTTCCAGTAACATGGTATGCAGGAACTCCGTCTGGATTTGTCATTGAATTTTTCGGCTAATCCATGAGATTAAACCATAGAAAATTGATTCCGTGACTCCCAAGAGTATAAAAGCACAAGTTTTTAAGAAAAACAGAATAAAATAAGGATGAAGGCTGTAAAAACCCCCTCACTTCTAAATGTTTTTTCTCTTTTTTCCTGTTTAATTCTTGGAGATATAAAAACAGATTATCTCACCTCGCTACTAATGCCAAACTGATATTTGGAGAATTCTTTTTCACAGCCTTTTGCTTTCTGTAAACAAGATTGCAAGAACTGCTTTTTGAAGATGATGTCCCAGACTTCCTTTATTAGTGCATCTTCACACTCCATTCCGTTTTTTCCTAGATTTTGTTTGATTGTTATCATTTCATCTCGGGATAATATTGATCCATGATTCTATAGGGGAAAAAGACAACATCATCATACAAAAATGTGATATTTGTGACACTCATATTTTATCTTGAGGTACTGTGCAAGTAAGTGATAAGATTTAAAAAATGAAAAAAATAATAAGAATATGTAACAGTAATTTTTGACTTTTTCTGATTATTATGAAAAATTTTGGGGGGCGTCTGTCTGACGTCTATTCCGACTCTATTGCTCTATAATTTACCACGACGCACACTAAAATGAACATATTCCGTTATGAATTTTATTCAAGACCACTGGACACTACTTTTCCTTTTTTTCTTGCAAAATTTACTGCCTCATGATGATCAAGTCATAAATCTCCACAACTTCTAAAAATTAAGATGGTCAGCCAAGATGGCTCTTGAGATTCTAGGGCTAATTTGCAACAGTCAATTTAAGAATTAACATCAAGGAAGAAGGTCAAGTTGATTTTACTTACTTCATTTGATTTTAAATACTGCTCTACTTCATACTTCACAGCAGATCGAACTTTCTGGATATCAGTACGATAAGACCAGGTCATCCACTGTGACATAACCCCGGGTCCAAACATTTCTGACATGGTTTTTTCTATTGACTGTGGAAAAAAAATTACCATTAGGTGATTATGGAAGAGAATCATAAGTAGAATAGATCAAGGCATGGAATAGTAAACTCAGTTTTATTTCTTACTTTTAGAGAATTTAAAAACATCTGTTTCACTCGTTGTATATGGGCAGAAAATTATGCATGGGAGTGACTGCTGAGCATTTGATTAACAACAAATCAGTGAGCGAAACACAAAACCTTTTAAAAGACGACAAAATCCAAAATTAGAGTTTTTTCCCGTCATTCCGTTTTTGAACGAAATCTTACGTTGCTATTTTTCCATCAAAATGTAAAGGATTTTAAGAATAAATGCTACTTTTGACTGCATAAAGGCTGGGCTCCAATGTGATTTGTTTTGCTAGACAATCATTTGAATCATTGTCAAAATGAACAGCACCAACAAAGAGCTTTCCTCATCTTTTATCGGAATTTCATAAATTCATAAATTCTCAAAACTTATATAGTTCTGCTTCATTTTAAATGATCATCTTCTTCTAAATTACTCACTTTATTTCTCCTTGCAAGAAAAATAAGATTAAATTACACTTGAAGAAAAATTGATCTAATCTCATAATTTCCAAAGAAGTGTTACATACCTATTATTTTATTGTCAACTACAGAATGTAGAAAAAAAGAAGAGAGAAGAGAATGAGGCTAGACGATCAATACTTACATTTAATTTATTTTCTACGCTAGTTTTTAAGAACTGACAAGCTGCTGACCAACTGGACTTGTCGTGGACCGTCGTTTCATCCAGAGCGTTCCTTTGGAGTAACTGGATCATTTCATAACCCTAAAAAAATTGAAAATTAAAAGTGACATTAAGAACTTTGGGCTAAAAAAAATGAAGAAAAGCTATTAACATAGAATTAAAAGCTGACCCTTCTCTACAAGAGATTGTCATGAAGTAAATCCATCATTTCAATACCTCAAACTGGGTAAAAGATACAACCTCAAACATGGTGGACCCAAAAATGAAGGATAATAAATGTAAATAAAAACTTTGGGAGGAGTTCTCAACAGTGAGGATGAAAATTGGCATTAGCCAGTCCGGAGTCCTTAAATAAAGATTTAAAATAGTGGAGGGGGAGTTGAAAATGTTTTTAAATTTTACCGATAATCAAATACATGGATATAAAAATAAATATAAACCATCATTATAACCTCAGATAAATTTTTAAGAAATCATCTACCTAAATACCACTTATTCGTATATTTTTCTTACTCTCACCAATAAAAAAAAAAGATTTCTTCATGTTTAAAGTTACTGAAGTTTTTGTCATCAAGAGGTATTACAAATTAAACAGAATTAGAATCAGATGTAAATGGACCAACCATTCCCGCTGCTGATAAACACACTTATACTGCACTAAATGACGCACTTGGGCATGCAAGCATAGCCAAGTAAGTATACATATTGGAATGGCGCTTCAAAGTGACAGTGTTAGAAAAGTTGGAGATGAAAAAAATGTTTTAACAAAATTTCCTGTAAAAAATAATTAGAAGATGGAGGCAACTTTGAAGAGGGTAACCTAGTAAATTACAGCGCATTCCGAAATTGAATTTTTCTTGCAGATTTTGTCAGTTTACCTTGGATTCCCAGGAATGTCTGCGCACAGCCTCTTCGATGACCGCATTTTTCAGTTCATCAAAAGTCGTATCGTGCTCTTTCCGATGTTTTGCTTTGTCCATAAACTGAAGCAGCTCCATTCGTAGTGCTTCCCAACCGGCTTCGATCGTTTTTGTTGGCATCTCTTTACCCGCCCACTGATTTAATTTGATATCTACTTGAGTAATGAAGCTTTCTAGAAAGAGAAGAGGCAAGTATCATCATCAGTCTTTTATAAAATTCAAATAAAATGTTAAAAATGTAATGAGTTGGAAAACATAGAGAAACCTGAGATGTGTTTTTGAAGCTGAAAGGGTAGATTTTGACCTCTCACTTTAAAATCTTTATATTTAAACATTCTGACTCAATTTCAATCTCTGCTCCACTTGTCTCTTTTCCATAGTCAATCTTCAAGACACGGAGGCAGCTCATAACTGAACATTTTTAATTTTTGTTTCTTAATTTATCCTGCCAAAAGACATGAATGTTTCCGAGACAAAATTGCCTTGGCTCTCATGAGTTCTTAACCCCCTTTTTCACTTGAGTTATGTTATAAAAATTACAGTTGTTTGTGATGGATTTTTAGGGATTTGCTCCCAAAGTACTTCTCCTCTGTGTTGCTTTTCTTACTGTTTTCAAGAGATTATTACTTTCATTCTTTTGCACACCAAGAGTTCTTTGATTCCAAAAGAAACATGACGGGGGTTTTTCCTCCTCCTATTTAAAAAGAAGAGCTCTTTTTATGGATGACATTTTACGGAATTTTATGCATGAGAAGTATTGTTTGCTGGTGGTAAGAGTGATTCCTAATTGTAAAATGTAGTCCAATTGTGCAATCGTTTAAAGTAGAAAACAAAAAGGATCAATTTCTTAATTGGCTGTTGACATGATAACCAGTCTCTGGGACTTTCAAAAACATTTATGCAATGTCCCAAAAATTAAGGATATTAAAGGATAAGAAAATTTAAAAACAAAAATCAAGCATTTCGATGCTTCACAAACCTTTTTAAAATTGTATTTACTTACTTGGATCTAAATTCGTCTGCGCTGCAGGAAGGAAAATATTTTCAAAAATCTGTGGTGAGATTCTATCCCACAATTTATGGTAGAGTAGCTCTTCCCACTCCTTTGGCGTTAGTTGACTAAGGTTCACTATTTCATCCAAAATTTCTCCTCGTGCTCTCTCAAAGAGCTCATCTCGATCCAACTCTCTGACGCTACAGACAATACAGCGCAAACATTAGATAAATTACTTTAAGCACACTTATTCAGTTTATTCATTTCAGTACTCATCACTTACTGTAGTATTTATTTCATTTACGAGAGCTAAATGTTAAGCCCAAAGGATCTGACAATATTTATGAATTGATATAATTCTATATAGAAGAATTTTTTTTTGATGGCTAATTAGATTATCATACTGTAGTTAGTTGAGAGATATACGTTGCAGAGGTGTGTGTGTTGTTTAATAAATTACAATTTGTTGGATATCTCCACAGGATATGAATAATTTTCACTACATTTTAACCTCAACTCATACTTTGCCGATGGGCAAGCAAAGTGTGTATCAAAGGATAACTGAATCTACTCATAATCATCAATCATCACTTCTATATCATCTAATCATATCATGTTTGGGAATTGATTTCTAGACTTCCTATTTTGCGATTCTTTTTTCTCGAGCTATTTTGAGGAGAAAACATATTGCGTGGTGCTTTAATTCAAAATTTGTCTAGAGGCCCATTGTATTCCAAATTGTTGTGAAATTCTATGACTTAGATTTCTTCAGGTGGCTGGTGAACTTCACTAATGATTCTCAATCGATATGAACAAGAGATAAGCAGTGACAGACTAAATCATCCCTTGACTGATTTTAATGAGGTTAATGCAAAAGGAAATTAAGGAAGAGAGGAGGTTAGTTCTATCACAACTTACTTTGGAAATTTATTTTTCCATTCTGTTTTAAGGTTCAACCGAATAGCTTTTAAAGCATCGGCTTGCTGCTCCACCGTTTCTCTCACCATCTTCCAGAATCGGTCAGAAACAGCTAAACTTAAATTACGAGTGGTAACTTGACTAGATAGGCTGGGATTACTCCTGAAACACAAAGAAAATCTTGAACAATTAAGGACAAACTTTAACTCTACAATGAGATGAGTCTCTAGTTTTAGTCTGAAGAAAATTATGTTGACAATACTGATATTTTCAGTTTAATGCTTTCATTCGAAAATAATTTAAGAAATTACATGAGCTTGATTCTTTGGAAAACAAACATTAGAGCTAAAAAATTTTACTAGAAGAACTAGAATCTTGATACTGAAAATGAAATGTCCCGAGATATTAGCATTGCCTGATTTCTGCTATATGGTAGTTGTAGCCCTAGCTTTATGATCATGACGTCTTGGCTCTGATTTCCAGCCATGCAACCTAAGTGTGATGATCTCAAGCAACAGGCCTGGGGCAAGTTGTTGATTAGGGTATGAAGCTTTGACTGTAGGTATAGGATCACCTCCCCAAAATACTTGAAGTCATTTAAAAAAAAAATAAAAAAAAAAAAGGTTTGCATTAATTTCAAGTAAAATATCTATTATTTAAAGATCATTATTGAAAGTATTATTAGCTATAATTGGCTAGTATCTTAACATTACTTACCCAAAAAGTTTGGAATTTCTGAAGAAATTTTCCTCATACTTTTTGATATCTTGGATGGAATCTTCTTTATTTCCTCTACCAGTTACAACGGCAAAATATCCTAAGGCTTTCATTGGGAAAAGTTTCCCCGAGAGAATTTTTTGAATCTGTTGGGCACAGAGAAAAATTTGTTAATTTTTGTGAAAAGTGGTAATTAATTAGATAATTTAACACACAGTTAGATTGGAACTTTAAAATATTAACAGGCATTTAAGTGCATTACATTTGCAAATGAGAGCTGCAAAAAAATTAGAGTATAATTTCTTTGTACTCCTGCTCTACAACCACTGACTTCTAACAGGTACGGCTGTATTAACCTCTCCATTACCACGAACGTGGCATCTGTATTCAATAAAGCCGTATCCTTCTTGCAGCATTTCCACCATTACTCAATAACATCTACTCAGAAGTATTCACATTTGTAGATCCATCTATGAAGGAAAATCTGACCTACAACTATAGTCACTTTCCAACAAAGTGCGCTCTAATTTGTTGGTGTAATAACAAATTTCCACTAGGGAGCATGCATACACAGAATCCAGCCTGGTAATGAAAAGTTTAATGCTTGAACTGTGTTTGAGGTTGAATAAAGAAGCGCATAATAGACAAGAACATGCTTCTACATATAGAGGTAATATCCACCTATTGAGTTTATGGATCTTCTCATCAGTAATCAAACTGTTGGAGCATGATTTAAAGGTGTATCAGTGCTTAAAAGATACCGATAAAAAAAGGCATTAAAAAGGGCCAATATTTCTATCGATTAACACTTATTGAATTATACATGGTAAATTTATCAAAAGTTTGCTACAGAGTTCTTTAAAACTGCTAATAAAGATGCAATTATTTCATTATAAATGCATTCACTTTATTCTGTCAGAGATTGTACAGGTAGCCATGTTATCTGTAAAATACAGTTCGTAGAAAGAATAATTGCGAAATTGTTTGATTACCCGGTCTGGATTAGCTAGATTCTGCTCAGCTAAATCTACTTTGGTAAGGACAAAAATGGTGCGTTTGCCCTGAGGGTCCACCTGGGACACGAGATCTGTTACGTTGCTGCGTTCAGCATCTACGGCTCCATCCTGGATGCACAGAATGATTGCGTTTGGGTTGCTCATGTATGTCGTTGTCATCTCCCGAATTAGTTCTTTTGTATCACTTTCCATGTCCTGTGTTGTTGTCTGAACAAACAATGCACAAAATTGAACAGTCTAGTCAAACATCGGTTGTCATGTCAAAACTATACAGCACTCCCCATTCTGAAATACTTTTATACATTTCTATTTCTTCTAAAATCAAATCATATTCAGGGTTGCTTCAGAAATTAGAAAATGAAATGCGCTGGCATTTCCCTGATTTCCATACGAGTTTTGATAAAACTCCCTGACATTTGATGATAAGCTAGACGGTTGAAAATCACCCCATTTCAAAGTTTGAATATGAAAAATTTGCTGTTCAAAACATCAAGCAGATTCTAGAGATCAAAAAAGAGGGGGTTTAACAATTTTTCCCAGACTCTTTTGCCATTTTCCCTAACATTTAATGGTTTTTAATGACTTTTCACAATTCCCTGACATTTCTCGATTTTTCCATTTATCCCTGACTAAGGCAACCCCGCATGTTCATTACGTTTCTCAAACCTCCTTTTAAAAATGATACAATAAAGGTATATTGATACAATTTACTGACTTGCTGACGTTACCAAGAGAAAAAATAAAGATAACTGGGGAAATTGCTGAGATAATATAATAAATAAATAGATAAATTACTCACACTGATGATTCCGGGAAGATCAATAAGTACCATCCTACACAAGCCAGGACCTTTCACCGTCATTGAGATTACATTTTTGCTGATCGTTCGGCCACCTTTCACACTATGAATCATCCTCAACTCAACCTAAAAAAGAAAGCCAAATTATCAAACACTGAACACTAAATTACCTACAAAGATCACTGGAAAACTTGATATTTAGCACAGAATTGAAAATGTTCCTACAAAAACTTGACAGAAACTATAGTGAAAATTTTGAGAATTTCTAAATTAAGTTTAAGTAAGCAAATGATTGGTGTTGATCATTTGTGGTAGAATCAGTCAACTCAAACATATCTTACACAAAAAAGCACAAAAATCCAGTGAGCCCATTGTAAAATCGAGTAAATTTGAGAGTGATTGTGAGTTTAGAAAATTATCATGATGGTTTTTAGACAACTTTCCTTCCTTCTCTAGTAGATAGTTCTAGTGTTTTCAAGAAAAAATCAATACATGTAAAAAGATTGCTGCATATATCCACACACAAATATCTGTTTGGTAATCAATTTTATTTAAGTTGAATTTGACTCCTTTACAATCAGAGAATTTTAAGTAATGAGCTTTATATTATCAAATGTGCACATAAATAGCCATTACATCATTTACATTTTATAGTTGACACTAAGGCTTGAAACCTTCTAGAAAATTACTGCTGTTATGGCTTAAATTTGCAAATGAAAGAGGAATATTACCTCTTTTCTCAGATCTGCTAGATCACTTTCTTTTGTCAAATCAAACTCTCTATTACTATCTTTAAACTGAGCAATATGGTACGGTCCTTCACTCAGCGTTACTTTCACAGGAGACCGGGTCATCATTTCTCCAGCACCCCTGCAATGTAAAAAGAATACATGACAAAAAAATGTAGGCTTTTGCATAATTAAATAATATGAGTAATTTTCTTTGTTATTTCATTGATTTCAAGAGGAAAAGCTGTTTCTTAACTGTACTTGCCTACCTAAAAATTCGACAAAATATTCTTTAAAAATATGACAAAGAAGGGGTATGATAAAAGGTGTTCTTGGGTCCACCCTGAATTTCCTTAACTCTATGAGTTTTTGCTAATTGAAGGTCTATAGTTTACAGAATGCATCATGATTTTCGATCATATTCAGTCTCTTATCGGGTATAATACTGGCCTAAAAATGTAGTAATAGTAAATGAAAGTAGATTTTGGCGAAAAATGCTGATTTTGTAGGTTTGAAGTCAAATGCCAAAAAATCTTCGTTTTCCGCTAAAATCGGTCTTCAGTCCCATGATTAGGCCAGTAGTAGACTCCAAGAGAGACAGGAAATGACCAAATCATGGTGCATTCCGTTAAATATAGACCTTGAATGAACAAAAACTGCAGAGTTGAGGAAATTCAGCTGCAGCCGGTCAAACAACAGTTCTTAAACTTCCAATACCTACCGATACCTACGAATTCTTCAAAATCAGTTGCAAAAATTAATAACTTAACTTCAAAACTAACAATATTATTGTAACCTTTAAAGCTTCTTTGGTAAACTTTTTTAAAAAAAAAATACTTTGATTGTATTTACTATGATAACAGAGTTCATTTGTATGCATCATAAAGTGCCTCTTCACAATGTAGCACCACTCAAAGTTGCTATGCATTCTTTTAATTTCTAAAAGTTATCATAAGCGCCTGCGGAAACCCACACCAACTATTCGATTACTAACAGTCAAAAATTGTGAAGCAGGTTTTGCACAGGAATTTTATTACCTATGTGTAGGTATTGTTAAAATTTGCAAGACTTTTTCAGCAGCAGAAAAAATCAATGAGGATTATACATATGCAAGGGTCTATGATAACCACTGAGTCAGTTCCGGACCACGTAGAATTTTAACTATTGGATACTATATAATTTGGAAAAGGCACTCACCTTGGGAAGATCCTTGCTTCAGCTATCATTTCTAGGACGGAGGTTTTACCAGCACTCTGGTCTCCAACAACAACAACTTTAGGCAGATGATCTTGCGTCTGGTAACTTGCATCAAACTCGCTGAGTTCATCCAGCACCTCTGAGTACATGTCTATCAATGATTTCTGATGTAGTAAAAAAACAAATGAAATCAGAAATTTGAAAGCAATTGTGGAAAAAAGAAAAAAATAATGAACCGAAAGACATGGTAAGACATTAAGCACCCCTGGTTGCCACAGACTTTAGACAATTAAATTCTTTGACATTCCCTCAGCACAGTTTGCTAAAATTCCCTGACAATTGAGGGTGGGCCTGCAGCCTGATTGCTGAACTTGTGAGTTCGTCGGGTAGACATAAATGACATAGGTTAAAAAGTGGAGCGTGATTGGTCATCTACGTCTTATTGCTGCTTTATCGTGCCTTTGTCAGGTGGATTGGACAGCATACTGTCCGAAACTTAAGAGGTACCTTTATCTTGTCAAGAGTTCCACCCGATATAGGCACAACAAAGCAGCGATAAGACATAGACGACTAATAACGCTCCACCTTTTAACCTATGTCATCTATGTCTACCCGACAAACACAAAATTTCAACAACCAGGCTGCAGATGGTTTAAAAAACATAATTTGAAATAGTTTTCAGAAAAATGTGTTGTTCGAAACGTCAAACTCATTCTAAAATGCTATAAAGATGTCTTAACAATATTTCCCTGACACCTCCATTATTTTCCCACTTTTAAAAATTCCCTGACATTTCTCAGTTTTCCTGGTATTCTCTGACTATGGCAACCCTGATAAAGAAAGAACAGTTGCTTGGTTACTCATTTGTAATTAATGTGAATATCACACTTGCCTTGACTTTTTTTAGTTGACCGCTGGAACTATTTTTCAATAGAAGTTGCTTCCTTAGTTCCTTATTTTCTTTTTCTAATTTCTCTAGTTCTCTCTGATACTTGAGTTGCACTTCCATGAAATCTTTGGGGTTGGACTGAGTATTTTCGGTTTTCCCAAAAGTGATAGCTTGAACAGTTGCTGCTTCTTTCAGTTCTGGATGAGACAAAAATTGAAATGAAAAAACAGAAATATTTTGGTGAACCTTGCAAATCAAAACACTCAGTTTCATAAACTTGACCTCTTTGACAACCTTTCCCGGTAGTTGTGCTAAACTTTTTAGTTTTTAAAATGTGTACTTTCATCAGAAAATACCAACTTCTTCATTACTGTGACCTCTTGATCGACAGGCTATTTAGCGTCCATCTCTTATTTCCTTATTTCAATTAGAAATTTGGGAGTTGAGAAGGAAAGAGCATTCACGTTTCTTTTCAATATATTGTTTCACTTTTGTGAAATACACTTCTCATTAATAATGAAAACTGGAGAGAAAAAAGAATAATAATTAAAATTAGAATTTACAAGATGATTGTACATAAAATGAAAACAAAATTTACATTTAGCAACAAAATGAAAAAAATAATTAAAACTCTGGCAGCAAATAAATAGGTAATTAAATAAACGGGGGAAAAACCTTTTTTTTAAAAAATGAGAAAATAACCAAAAAAGCAAACACACCTGTTGCCAACTGATTAACAACATCCGTAACGTCCTCCAAACCTGAGAAAGAGAAAGAGAGAGAGAGATACTAAATTACTAAAAACTTAAAAAGTAGGATGGTGATCTACTGCAAACCTTTTTCTATTTCAATCTTCGATTTTATAAACCAATATTTTCTGAGATTAGCAAACGCTCCTTGGCTACCCGGTACCCTCACCCCTTACCGCATGTAAGAATTGGATAAGGACTTTAGAGAATAGTGGAAACAATACTTCCTTTACCCGTAAGGGCAGTGAGAATGTCTTAATAGGATGGTGGGCAGGAGAGGGTAAAGCTGAACATTTATTCAAGGAAATTATTCCCTAGAAGGCTTTACCCATGACTTAAGAACATTACTTAAAAGCATCATTATCGATAAAAATAACATAACTTTACAGACCACTCAAATTCTCAGATCTAAATCCCTAAAATGTTCCATAAAAAAATAACGCTAAAGATTGATGAGGAAACTGCTTTCGGCTTCCAATCCAAATAGAATCGAGTAATGGCAAGGAGAGCAGATTTAATTAATGTTCTAACTGTTTTTAGTTAAAATCTAACAGTCCGACAGTAATATTTTAGTTGCCTATATGAAACTCCTTGACAAAACATGCAAACATGTTCTCAGCTTTCTAAGCCTTGTTTCCAAGAGTACTTTGAAAGGAAGTTAATGCACAAATTGGCAACACACCACATACTCTGGCAAAAGCATAACCCCACAAGGACAGGCAGATGGAAAAGTGAGTCTTACCAATTTAACTGTCTTTCCATAATACAATCTTAAACTTTTTATTTTCAATAAAAAACCTTGGCAAAAATATCTATGATTATGGTGTTTCCCACTTGTTCATCTCAGTGGCACTATATGTATTTCACATAATTTATTTCGCAATCTCGAAAAAACAATTTTGTAAAATTAAATCAGATTAGCTCAATACAAAGCCCCATTGGATTCTGATTAGAATATCATTAAATCTTTTTAAAAGAACTCCATTAAATTTCAAATATAACTGTTCCGATATGAACGAAACGCTTCTGGGAAATATAAATGGCAAAAATGAATATGTTAGAAGGAAAAAAGATCTCTCTCACTCTTTCCCTATTTCGATTCTGAGAGACTACGTTCTGTTCCGACTTTAGTGTAGTGGCTCTGTTGTAAAAATTTACGACTTCTGCTGACTGTAAACCCTATTTCTATAATGTTGCAAAAGTCATTTTCCATAATTTAATAACCAAAAGGTTACCCTAATTATTCAATAAGTTTGAAAATAAAGATCAGCGTCTTCCATGTTACATTGAAATATAAAAAAAACCAAACCTAGAAAGATGTATCGGTGTCTCATGCACTTGAGACTAAAACTGGTGCGTGAGCAAAATTACCTCAAATTTTTGAGAGCCTCTTTAATTCACATGAACATCACAGTGCTCAAAACAAAATAAGGGGCCAGACTCTAAAATTTTGCATGAGAAATAAATAATAAATATGAAGCAAAAGCTAAAGGGAAAAAAAGGATCCATTGAAAACAAGTTGAAGAGAAAAACTCACTGAGTTTCTCAGCTCTCTCCGCTTGTCGTTTCTGGGCCGCAGCATACGCCGCTTCCCATCGGGTGTCCAGCCAAGATTTCATATTTTGGTACTTGGACTCTGCGACCGTGCGGAGACGAGGATCTGGAAGAAACAATAATTTCATGCAGCAATTTAAAAAATATGATAAAAAGTCTAGATAAAGTTGGACAGTTAGAAAGTGCGTAAACATTTTACGAGTTTTTTGGTCAGTACCTAATTTCGGACACTTCAATCTGTGAATTTTCTCAAAGGGCAGAAAACTTTGAACAACATTGCATTTTTAAATTTCGAGACGAAAACTTTTGAGATGATGACTCTTCAAAAACAAGGAAATTCCAATTTTAAAAGCTTTAAAGACTAAGCTACTTTCAAAAATTCGGGATGTGCTTGTTAAATAACAAAAACAAGTTCATAAAAAAGTTCAATATTCAGAAAGATCTATCTCCATCCACAATGTTTGTTAAGTAATTTTCAAATGTTGCATTTTAGAAAAGTAGAGAGTGCGCTTAGTTCACAGGAGTTATTCTGGAATTTTTTGAACAATATCAACCCCTAAAAAAATTAAGTTCAAAGTTGCATATTTGAGCCCTCATCACCACCGAAAAGCCATGGTGGCGTCCGGAAATACATATCAAGAACTCTAGTAGAGGCAGATTTCTTACGCTTAGATCCATCTAACTTCCTTCCTCCTTTCATTGTTGCTTTTTAAATTGTTTTTATCTCCTATTCTAATGAAAAAAAGAACTGAATGAGTGGAATTAGATGGCTATTTACCAATCTCGACATCCTTCAGCTTTCCTGCAGCTGTCATCATTGAATCTCGGACAGAGTTCCATTTGTCTGGCTCGGGAAACAAATCCTTCATCCAGTCAACATCAAACAGAGAATTTTTCCAGTCTTGATAGGTCTATTGTAAGAAAATTAATTTATTATTGAAAACAGAGAAATAAGGAAAAAGTAATAAAACCTCAAGCATGGTCAAGCCGAGGAAGAAAATCATGATTTAGTGGAAACTTAATGAGTAAACTGGGGAAATTTGCGGACTCAGGGCTAGAAAATTGCAGAGAAACCTATCATCAAACACCCAGCAAATGGAAAAGCGGAATTTTACATTTTGTCAAACGAAATTATGTGCCAACTGAATGTGGCACTCATGAGCCATGGGCATGAGCCAAGAGCGTTGTGGACAGGGCTCAGGAGTTAAAGACTTCCAGGCAGAGCTGCGGCAGCGGCTTCGTAGCCACTAACGTCACCAGCGCTTTATTATTCCCATTCATTCTTTTGGCCCTCTACCAACAAGCACATACCTTCTTCCCCGCCTGTTCCTGGTTCCGTTTAGCAGAAATACGTCCAACTCACCTTTTGAAGCTGCAGCCCCCCTCCAACTGCACCTCCAAGGACAAGATAGCGGAGCTTCAGCACATTTTTGAGGACTCTGGCAACGGCCATGTAGATGCCACGCGACGAAGTTACAGTCAAGGGGACAATCTGCCCTTGGGGAAGAACACCTGCAGCATTCCTCGAGAAGTGATGGTAAGCTCGCTTCTGCTTTGTGGTCAAGCTCTGCTCATGTAGGGCTAACAGCACGTGCGACTGAGAATGCCTACATTTTAGGAGAGCCAAAAACTTGCATTTATTCAGACGATTTGATCGGCGAGCAGTGTGACTAGTAAATTTGTACAGCGTTTTCCTGGACAAAGACAAAAAAAATGAAAAATGCAATAAAAAAAACGTGGAATTGAAAGTGCAGTTACCTATTTTACACAAAATTAATAGATGCCCGACACCAGTCTTCTCTAGTTTTGAGAAACTGAATTATTTAACTCTAACCCACCACTGAAGATTAAAGACAGACACAACAGCTAATTTAAGAGGGCCTCTGTCCGTAGTAGGGTCGAGTCCGTAATTATTAAGCAATAAATTCCAGATTAAAGTTACTTAGTTTCATAGAGAGGGCATCTGACATCAGCAGAAGTACCTCTAATTGTGAGGATGCACTATTAACTTGGAGTACCCATCGCTATTTGTAGCCAAACCTCGTTTTTTTTCATGTGAGATAATTGTTTCACAGAGAAGCAGGAAAGCAGTATCAACATAAGAGGAATTAAATGAAGGAATCCATTTTGAAAGTTGCCTGAATTACTTTGATGAATACAGGGTGTCTTTTACAATTTATAAGTAATTTCTTCAGCGAGTGAATTAACTACAACTACCTTTCACAGCAAAGCTAGAGTTTCAAGACAGATTAACAGTTTAGTGAAAATTAGATGGATGGATTAAGATTAAAGTGACTAGTAAACAAATAAAATTTCCTAGGGTTTGTAACTCGGCATGAAGTCTTAGCAGCCCTCTGACTGGCAACTTTTTTTCTTAGGGGCCAAAATGAAAAACTGCCCTTCCGAAATACCCCATTGAATAGCCCAATACCATGATGATAGGACAAGACCCGATGCGTCACGAAATTTGACAAGACGGAGGGGAAGAATTGATATCACGACACAGCGTGGCACCTTGCAGAATTCACCGAAAAATCCCGAAATCGGAGTTTAACAACAATTTTCATAGCGGCCAGGCTTGGGAGCCAGTTTCATTTCTTAGCAGTCAAAGGCAATTTCTTACCGGCAAATTGCAGTTGGACCGGCAAGAGTCACAATCACTGATTGAAATGAAACTATTAAAGATTCTTACACAACCAGACATGATACGCAAGACAATCTGCCATATGCAGCTTCATGAGCCGTTGAGGTACACTGGGGCATGTAGGTTTAGAGAATGATACCGATATGTTTGATCGGTGCATTTTCTCCAAAAAATGTCTTGTAATAGTCTTGCGTTCAAGAAAAATCTTTAACTGGGAGTCAATCATCAGCGATTACAAGTTCGCTCTGAAACACGCTCTCTGCGTGGATTAGCAAAATGCATCCATCTGATGAAACTTATTTACCCTAAATAAAACTTGCTTTCTTACTACTCTAGGATCATTAGAAATTGCGGCAAAGTAGAAATTAATCTCATGTAATATCAATGCAATAGTTGTTGTGTCCTCAGAAATATAACCTCAACTTTTCTTGGTTACTAGAAGTACAAGACTTACCCAAAGTGTCCACGGGCTAGCACCTCCATTCCTTATAATTATTTCTTACACAATTTTCTGTAGAACTGCATGCAGCACAGCTTAAAAAAAATGACATTAAATTAAGAACATTCTTGTTGAGAAACTATTCGCATGAGGCATGAAACTTTTGCTCCGACCAGCGGCTCTTATCACAAATTTGAGGTAGATTGCTCGAGATCTTCGTTGATTGGCTGTTAGCGAATAGTTTGAGAATACTGACCAATCCCTAAAAAGCTATAAGGGCTCTAACCCAATCAGAAATTACCAAAATTGAGCAGTACTTTACCAACTTAATGATATCTACAACCCTGAAATCTGAAACTGATATTCATATTTTCGGTTGAAAAATTATTTTCCGCCATAAAAATATGAATTCCCTCATTGAAGATTTTTTTTCCAAATTGAATATGAACTTTGATGACAATTTCAAAGTTTCCAATGCTGAAAAACTATTAGACCAAATTCAGTTTGAGAACACAACAGTTGCGTGCTTGCTACTTTCTTTGTTTACAACTTTTAACCTCAAAAAAAATCTTGCAGGCTCCCCAAAAACGTGCAGCGGCGAAATCTGAAAATCCAATCGCTTTTGGGTGAAAATTGTGTGCTTTAATTCATTCTTTTTTCAGTTAGTTCGCAGTCTTCGTTCCTTACAAAATGGCTCTTCACGTTCCTAGAGCTCCCGGATTCTCTTCCATGCTCAAAGAAGGAGCCAGGGTAAGCACTGCATTGATCATCATCAAGCTCTCCCAGCATGGTTCTCTTTATGCTTACCATTTCTTCTACCACTCTTCCACTCGCGCCTTATCATCATTTCCAATATCCGATCTAAGTAAAATCTTGAAGGAATCTATGGTTTTTCTCTCATGCACTGTTTTTAAGTAACAGGTGGCCCAACTTGTTAGGTGACTGACTGCACCGCGCTATCAGTTGTATGACATGAAAGTCATGTCATATCAGTCAGTGGCTGACTTGGGCTGGCTGTGGATCAAATACTAGTAACTATGTCGCTCTACATGCCACTTAGTAGCGATGGTATGTAACTAACGCAAGTATGGATTTGACCAATGAATTATTGATGCTAAGTTGGTGAGCTCTGTCGGTGGATTCACCTACGAACAATCTTGAAGCCAATCACTCTTTCCAAAGATTTTACTTATCGCTGCAAGTCTTAATGTTTTCAGCTTAAATATTTAGAAATTTGAGATATCATTGGTCAGCATTTGTTAATTGCTTTACACTTTCTCTGAAAAAGACAAAATGTGGAAAAGAAGAATGTCTGGACATCAAATGCTGTTTGTGTACCAATGGTTAAATGCAATAAATGGGTATCTTAATTGCCACATCTAAAATTATCTATTTATGTTTTTTTTGTCTGTTAACTTTTGTCAATGAAACTAACTTTTTTCAATGAGGAAGGAAATTTACTGAAAAGGACTACCGACAAATTCTCAGGGGCACAATGAACTTTTAAAATTCCACTTTGTGTGTGTCAATCTTGGAAAAAGCTAGGCTTTAAAGTTAATTTTTCAACTTTTTTACCTGCTTTATTGAGTAACATTGTTGCAACACTTAATTGGTGATTGATCTACGATGGCAGGCCATCAACTTTTTTACCTGCAATATTGAGTAATATTGATGCAACACTTTATCGGTGATTGATCTGCGATGTCATGGCAGATGCAACTGTAAAGTCATCTGCTCAGCCGAACAACAAATTCTGTGTTTAATATGTCTGTTTAACTTTTCAGCATTTCTCAGGTCTGGAAGAGGCAGTCTTCCGAAATATTAGCGCCTGTAAGCAGTTTGCGGACACAGTAAAAACAGCCTATGGTCCAAATGGTATGAACAAAATTGTCATCAACCATATTGAAAAGTTATTTGTAACCAATGATGCCGCTACTATCATCAGAGAACTTGAGGTAAGTTACACTTCAAAGAAAGTTAAATGAATGTTGCTTGAAGGGCTACCTTTAACTCTTCAATCATAGAAAAAACCAAAATTTCTTGTTTTTCCAGGGGATGAAGTATGATAAATATTCCACAACTTTAATTATTACTATTTTCAAGTAGATCTATTGTGATATGTTTAATATCTTTTACATGTTTGACTCCTTTTCCCCCTAACTTATTCTAGGTCAATCTGCACAATCTAGCTACCTCTATCTACAATGAAGGGTGGAGGTGGTGAAAGTTTTTCACCTATTTTAATTAATTTATTTTGTCTCTAAACTGAGACATGTTTTAATAATGAAACTACATAAGTGCATATCTCAGTTGAAGTGTTTCATAATGTCTCGGTAGGTACATCAATTTTCTTTGTTCAAGAGAAGTTTCTTTCCCGACATTTTCACACAAACTTCTCTGCAAAATTCTGCTAAAGGCAAAGAATTTACATTTAGTAGGAAATTTGCTGTTTTACAAGCTGAGATGTATACATGGTCTCATGGTTCCACTACAAGGCTTATTTCTATCATTTTAATCATCAGATTATGAAAAATTTGAATCCCTTTGATGAAATGCCACCTCCAGCGTTGCGTCTATTTGTCTGAAGCTGAGATTCTCTGGAATTCTATGAGGTTGTTAAGATTAATTTCTTACAAATTTTTCATTTAATGAAGTCCTGTCAACCTCTAAATTTGCTCGATTTTTCATGAACCATCTCTGAAAGTTTCTTTACCCATTTTTCTATCTTTTATCCATCTTCTTTTTAGATTGAGCATCCAGCCGCTAAACTCATGATCCTTGCCTCCGAGATGCAAGAGCAAGAAATAGGTGATGGAACCAACTTTGTAATAATGTTTGCTGGTGCTTTATTAGAGAACGCTGAAGAGCTTTTAAGACTGGTGAGTTTCTTACACACATAAGGTTACGGACAAATATGAGATAATTGATTAAAACATGATTTATGATTCGTCAATAAAAAATCAGAGAAAAGAAATCAGTGAAATAGAAGTTCTCCCAGTTTTATTTTTTCTCCTTAAGCTCAGTAGCATTTATAGATAAAAGTGAAAAGTAAAACAACATTTCAAAATAAATGATTCATACCTACTGCATTTTGAATTGTAGAAAATTTTAGTAAGGAACTACATTCTTCTTGAAAACAAGTTCGGAGAGAAAGCATTGCTTGGAAATCAAAGTCTCGCTACTTTTTCATTTGAAGTCCAATTTAGTATTTTTGAGTTTGAAATCTCGTAAAAAACTGAAACTTTACAATGAATAGTCTATGATGTACTTTGAAATTTAAGTATCATCAATTTGAAAGAAAAATAAAAAATTGCATCCTAACATAATTGAAGAATAGAGTAAGGGTACTTTGAGTTGCTGAGCCATAAAATGTCAATGCAATTTTTGCTGGTAAAGTTTAAGTAGCTACTCCTGAAGTGAAAAGAGAGTGAGATAGAGAGAAAAAAAAGTGAATATTTCCAGTTTAATAGTTGATTTTGATCGGTAGTAACATTTAATTTTCATCTCACCCCTTGTAACATTATTCGTATTTTATTTTTCTTAGGGATTGACCCCAACAGAGGTTTCGGAAGGGTATGAGGTTGCTCTTGCAAAAGCTCTTGAGATTCTTCCTACCCTGGTAGTCGATGAAGTGAAGGACCCCCGCAATATCAATGAAGTCAAAAGAGCTATGAGGACATCCATTATGAGCAAACAGAATGGCAATGAAGACTTTCTTGCAGAACTTATCACCAAAGCATGTGGTAAAGCAGTCTATTTACAGCAGATTTGTAGCAGATTTTCCTCGAGCTTTGACTGGAAGTTCTATCTTAAAAACAATTACAAGTTTTGTTTTTACCTACCATACTTTTAACAGTTTATTTTCTTTCAGGGTTTCCAGCAGTCTGGGAAACCTTGAATGTCTGAAAATCTATTGCAACCTGGAAAAATTAGGGAATTTGAATGTTTTGGAGTCATTTAAAAGCAAAAAAAGTCAGGGAATTACAAAATGAAGAAATCCTCAAAACCCTAACTTTACCTTAATGTGCTTTTTTGTATCACTGGTGAGACTCCAAAACAACGTATCTGGTTTGCGGAGTTTAAGAATTTCAGGTCCTATTTTATTTTCTTTTACAGGAGAACAAATCAACATAATTCCTTGCAGTTTTTTTTATAATTCATCCTACACATAGAAGAAAAGTCTCGGAAGTTTGCAAGAATTGTTGTTGGGAAGTTATCCACATCATTAATGAAGTATGACAGGATGTCTGCAATTTCGCAAACCGAGATACGTGGTTTTAGAGTTTCACTGTCGATATGTTTTTTTTTTTTACATGGATAGCGACTTTGTTGAACTTTTAACTGATCCTCAGACTGATTACTTTTCATTCTGTGAATTTCTAATTTTTCATCAATGTTTCCATTCGTTCATCAGGGTCATCTACCTCCAAACACTGAGATAGGTTGAAAACATTTTCCTTTGCAAAAAAACCTGACCCCTTCCATTTTCCAATTTAACCTCTCCATTCGAAAAAAAAAAAAAAAAAAAAAAAAAAACCTTTTCCCCAAAAAAGTTCTGAGTGATCACCTCTTTATTGCTCTATGTGCCAAAATTTCTATGCTTTTGTTGAAAAAACATGTGATTTTCACTGTGTTTTACCTGCTTTCCCATTTTTAAAACCTGCCTCTCTGGCCTAACTTTCTTTATTTAATCAGCTCATAATTTATTATGTATTTCTCTTTTCATTTCAGTTTCTGTGTTACCAGAAGAGACATCTTTCAATGTAGATAACATCAGAGTTTGCAAAATCTTGGTAATTATTTTCACTATTTGCGCTTTTTAAAGATGATGCGGTTAAAAAGGAGTATAATCTGAGAGAGGTTCTGAACTCAAGAACACCACCAAAATGGTCATTATTGAACCATAATTGACGCATCCTTTGAAGTTGCATTTTCTGAGGCTTACAAAATGTCATAGCAGCAATCTCTGCCATAGAGTTGTGACTCAAAATTTACCCTTTACTAGCAGTGTCAGTAATAGTAGCCTCAGAGGATTTGAAACACAATGAGATACTACCCTCTTTTGATAACTGGATGTATTTATTGAGTTCATGGTATTCTGCGTCTTGCAAGAATAGAGGAGAAAAGTAACCTCAAAATCTTTCTTTTTGTATGTAGGACGTACAGATATTTGTAGCCATTCAACCGTTGAATTACTCTAACTTAGGGCTATCATAATTTAACAAAGCCTGAAAGGAAGTCCTAGCTCTGGGAATGGATGGTAGTCCATGATCACAAGTACCTGTAGAGTAATCATATTTTTCTAATAAGCGATCGAAAATTTTACTACTAATACATTAAGAATTAAAAAGTTAAACCTGTACCAATTAAGTAATTTATTTTAAAAACTTTTAGAGAAGTCAGATATTATTTGAGTTTGTCCATTTATTTAGGAAACGGAATTATTTAATGTTTACGCTAAAGTCAAAGGTAGAGGGGCACAAAATGGAAGGTTTAATTTGACCTTATCCTACTTTGCTGCCCATATAAATTGGGTCTGCGACAATTCCCTAAAGAAAAACAGTCATAATTTTGGTAGAAAATGTAAAAATGTTAAATTTTAAGTTTTCTTAGTTGGAAACTATGCATAATAAATCTCAAAGGTGGGAAATCTCTTCATTTTAGGTCCCCTTTTCCCAGGCTCTGGTTTATTTTCATGGTGAAGAGAATTATTCAATGTGGATTTATTTTTCCAGGGATCTGGTTTATTTAGCTCAGAAGTGATAAACGGAATGGTGTTCAAGCGTGGAGTTGAAGGTGATATCATCAAAAAGAGCAAGGCTAAAGTAGCTGTGTTTACGTGTGCTGTTGACATTGCACAAACAGAAACAAAGGTATAATATAGAATTTCTACACTCATTATGAGAAAATCTGATACCCATTGAAACTCAAAACTTAATGGATGCATCATCTCAATTGTCATAAAAGTTCCTTTTTTGGAGCAAGCAGGGATGCAAATTTTTTTCAACCAAACGGTCTCGACTACATTGTTCAAGTGTCAATGCCTTTAAAATTGTGGAGGCTGAAAGTTTTTTTTTTTTTGTTGTTGTTGTTTGGAGGTTTTCAGATTTTCAACTCTTGCAGAATAATGCAACTTTGACACAAAATAATCCAGATATTCAACAAAAGTTTGATCAGTGCGTTTTACTGATCTTTTTCCAAAAACCCAGCCTGTTGCAGAAAATTGCAGAGGCCTAGAATAGTTAGCACCCCTGGAACCAAGAATAAATTAAAATTTTTATCTCTAAAAAGAAGGGAAAATTCCAGAGAAAAATTTGTATTCAAGAATGAACATTGATCAGATCTTGAAAACGTTGATCAGGAAACGTATTTTTATGAAAATCTCTTTTAATTATCAGGGAACAGTCTTGATCAAGACCGCGGAAGAACTGAAAACATTCAGCCGTGGAGAAGAACACATCCTAGAGGAACAGATCAAGGCGATCGCAGATGCTGGTGTGGATGTCATTGTGGCAGGAGCCAAGTTCGGAGACATGGCGCTCCACTATGTTAACAAATACAAGATGATGGCAGTCAGGCTGAACAGTAAATTTGATTTGCGACGCCTTTGCAAAACTGTTGGAGCCACAGCCTTACCACGTCTGGTGAGTACAAATATTTAATAATTTTATCAGAATTCGCGTCAGAAAAGATGGACGTTTTTTACTTTTCCGACATGCTCAGTCTGATTAATTTGCATCCTCTACAAGCGGCAGCAGTGTCACAATTGGTCGCCACTGCCAAGATGGTGACAAAGATGCTGTGCTTTTAAGATGTAAATTTGTTGACTGTGCACTCAGTCAAAAGGAAACGATGGCGAACCAATCTGATATCAGTTCCAAGTCCAAGTTCTTACAGTGGGAGTCATCCCATAGCTCACAGAAACATTCATAAACTGTGTCCTCCAAGTAGCAATCCTCACAAATGGGGTTATTGTCTCTCCTTTTTTTTTTTTTTTTTTTTTTTTTCGAGTTTTGTGGCTTCTATTCCTTTGTATTGTTTAGATAGGAATCTACAGCCATCTATAGACAGAGGGGGTTATATTAATGATACGAGGGGTTTAAAGAATTGTCTCTCCTTATACTTCTAAACTTTTTAAATCTGTTTTCTATTTTTAAAGCCACCATGAAGAATCCATTCCATATGACAGTCTAATTCAAAAATTATTGATTGCTTCACGTACTATTAAATGTACAAAATCCAGTGTTGTCAAATTGGAAGAATTGCCACTGTGTCTCCTAAAGGTTTACTTTTTTTCAGAAAAACGCACAAAAGTACTGATTTTTATCTGAAATTTTCTGTCTATTTAATTTGTAAAAGTTTCCAGTCGGGGGAATACTGAGAAATGTCAGGGAAATTTAAAAAATCAGGCAACTATTTCAAACTATGTCTTTTTAACCATCTAGTATATCTTCAATTGTCAGGGAATTCTACCAAAACGTGTCCTGGAATTTCATCAGGGGTGCACATTTTACTATGCTTCCACAATTTTGCATGATTAGCTTTTCCTCTTCCACAAAATTTTTTTAAAAAATTTCCACGATTTCGTGACTCCTTCCACAAAAAGTGATGACTTTTTTTTTTTTTTTGGTAAAAAATATGAGATTCAAAGTGCAGAGCGAGAAAAGAAACGAAAAGAAAGAAAGGAAAAAAAAAATTCCACAAAATTTGGGACGCTTCCACATTTTCACGCAATAATTTATCGCGTGATCGCGCTTCCAAAAATCGGGAAGGCCTTCCACAATTTCACACGATAATTTATCGCGTGATCTAGTTTATTGTGCACCCCTGAATTTCATTTCTTTATTCTGTGGCAACCCTGTACTTGGAGTGAATGCTAAGATCCTTTTTCGTGTTACAGACGGCTCCAAATAAAGAAGAGCTTGGATACGCGGACAGTGTTTATGTAGATGAAGTCGGCGATACTTCCATTGTAGTATTCAAGCTGGAAGGGAAGGAGTCTCGCGTTTCCACGATTGTCATTCGAGGGTCAACAGACAACTACATGGATGACATCGAGCGAGCTGTTGATGATGGAGTCAACACTTTCAAAGTTTTGTCAAGGGTGAGTGAATTCTTTTGTCTCACAATACTTACCCTACTAAAATAACAGCCTCAGGCTCCAACTTCTACCGTCAACCTTTAGCCAAGTCAAACAAGAAGTCAAATGTTTGCTTGGTCCTGAGGAATTTTCGCAAGGCTATTAATAATAAGTTAGGGCCTCCTCGAACTGTGACCAAATTATTAGTAGCCGCCTAACTTGAACCAATTTCTGAATGCCAATGTTTTTTTTTTTTTTTTTTTTTTTTTTTTTAAACTTATCTTTAACTATTTAAACCAAATTATAGGAAGCGCGAAGAAAAGTGGTCATAAGTATTATCTTATCCAAATAGTGATATGGGTGAATCAGATTTAGTGTTACCAAACACCAAGCAGAAGTCTTTGTGCATCAGTGCAGACTGAGATGAGAGGTCAGCTAATGCTTGTATACTTTTAGAAAAACCACTAAAGAACAACTACTCTGATTTAACAAATTTTAAATTGCATTTCTCGCAAGTTAAAAACTCAGAAATTCTCCGGTTCACTCTCAGTTGGACCAACGTAAGTCTGCCCCCCGTGCAGAAATTCCTATAAAATTGTAGGAGTCAAATTTTGGTAGTGAAACTTTGACTCTAGGGGTAGATGCCTATGTTCAGTTTTCAAGGTTGAATTCAAATTTGACCAAGGGTTGACTGTACTTTATTTGCAAAATTTCAGAATCTTACTTTTTCTTTTACCTCTCAACAAAATCATCATCTTTTCTGTGGCTCAACATTCTAGAAGCACTTTTCAATAAGTGGTGAACATTTAAACACATGCGTCTCTATTCTAGTTTTTCAAAATTTTAGCATCTATTTCTGTCTTGGTAGGATAAAACCAATATCACCGTCTGAAATTATTACAGAGTATTCTGGGGAAGGGGAAAAAATCAGGAAATTTAGATTAGTTTTTCTTTGAGTCAATAGGTACTCTTGGGAAATTTGCAATGTTACAATGCAAGGTACTTTTTTTAATTTTTGTGCATTAGAGCCAAAGAAAGGTAACTAACAATTTTGGAAAAATCGAGATATTTGTATCTTGGACGTACTCAGTAAGTGATCTATCAATGTAAAAGAATTGATTATTAGCCGTTCTAGGCGCGCGCACGTCTAGCCGGGGGGCTGCGCCCCCTGGACCCCCGGTCACTCGCTACGCGAGTGACATTCGGCTCGCTTTGCGAGCCGATTTTGTAGTGGTTGCGGATTTTTTATCACTTTATTATGAAGATTTCATAGAAAACATTATTAAATTTTCACTCCACAATTAACTTGTAGAATAATAATGACGGGGCAAGAGATAAACTGTATCAGTGATAGAAGAAAGTGAGGAACCATCTTTAGCCACTTTTTGTTTTGTTTTTTTTTTCTTTCCGGAAAAAAATTACTGAAATTTTAGTTGCGCTTCCTTAAATGATAAGTATTAATATAAATTTCCCCTTTTTACAGTGTTGTTAAAATAATAAAAAGTTACCCAGTGGGAAATTTCATTTATATTCCTGGTGGGCCTGCTACTCAAAATTTGAATAAATTTGCCGTTATTCAATTGAGCTGGGCCTATGAAATCCCACAAACCCATTAGATTTACATTGACAGGTCGGGAGTTCGTCTTATGACGCACAATGTCAAAAAACAAATGAATTGTGTCGTCAGACAACACGTCCTGCAGCGTCATCAATTGAAGCTGGATTCATGCTTATTTTATCAAAAATATCCTCAGAGAACAAAGGATAGGAAAAGAAATATTAGAACAAAAAGGGAAAAAAAAGACAGAGAAATACAGAAGAGATTCAAGAAAAGCACAGTATAACAGAGAAAAAAATAAAGAAAAATAACAAAGAAAACGACTCCACTAGGGTAATCTGAGCTCAGCTGCGTGTGAGCATTAGCAAGATAAAATATAAACAGATTTAAGAAAAACACAGGAGAGAACCAAGGAAAACACAGTAAAGCAGAGAAAATGTACAGTCAAATAAATAAAGACAATTACTATCGAAGAAATTCTAATTATTCGGAAAATAATTCGTTGGCGTAATCTATGCGTAGCTGCGTGGAAGCATGAGCGAGATTTATCATTAACTGACCGCTGGCCGCTAAGTACCCTGGTACCTGGGTGGGCGAGCGACAATGCGTAAGCGGTGGCATGGTTTGATTGACAGAGGAGTGGGGAACGGTCAGACATAGGGGAAAGGTTCAGGCTGAACCGTTCAGCACAGCGCAGCGTCAGTCACCGGGTGGGGAAGAGAGGCGGGGAGGGGACACTTCCCCTCGAGTGAAATAGAAAAAGGTAGAATCGCTGAAAGTCTGAATCCTTCGAAGTTTATATTAATGATGATACCTAACACTAGGACTGAAATAGAGGGTTTCTAAATTTGTGGTATACATTCGAGGCATAGCTCTTCCATGGTTTTCTCTAGATTTCTTGAATCAGTCCAAATGTTGTCACAGTTCTTAGGCTACTGATATGACATGAAGAAAGGAAACATTCAGTAAACACTTTAAAAGAGAAGCGTGTTAGTTTTAGGTTTTTACTTAAGAACTTATGCTATCAAATCGTTCTTCAATTGTTTTTCAATCCTCATGTTACTTTTAGGCAGTTAATCCTCTATCATTTTTAGATGCACACTCTATTTTAACAAGTTAAAACAAATGTTTTTCACAACAGGATGGACGGTTAGTGCCAGGAGCTGGTGCTGTGGAAATTGAACTAGCGCATAGGATAACTGAACATGGAAACACACTCTCTGGTTTGGAACAGTATGCTGTGAAAAAGTTTGGTACTGCCTTGGAGAGTTTTGTGAAGACACTTGCCGACAACTCTGGAGTCAAATCGAATGAAGTTATCTCCAAACTTTATGCTGCCCATAGCGAAGGGAATAAGAACGCCGGTTTTGATATTAATGTAAGTGTTGGTTCACTGTTACCCTATGGGTTTTCAAAAATCTCGCAAGTTTTACGCAACTTGTGAAAATGAGGTCCTAATGGTATTTACTTAATTTTTTCCATGTAATAGGGTCCACTGTCCTTATCTAGAGTCCCAATGGGCTCTAAGTAAAAAATTAAGAAAGTATAGAGAAGAGTAAAAAGTGCGTTTGTGGTGGGAAATTCCTTGCAATTTAAAGTACAAAAAAATGTGCGTGTCCATATCTGATGCAACCCTCCAGGATTCTGTCTGAAGCAGCAGATTGTAAGGAATAGCTGAAAGAGAGAAACATAAAGTAGATGAAGAACCATCGAGGACGGATGATCGAATAAGCCATTTTGAAAACAACCCACCTTCATTTGTTATCTAAAAATGTAAAACTTCATGGAGCCGAAGACGTAATAATATGTCAATTTTTTCCACTGAAATTAATTTTTAGGCTCTTGGACACTTTTCATGGTAATTCAGTACACTTAGTATTGGGAAGAGAAAATAGGGAGTCAAATTGCCAGCTATCCCTTATTACAATTATATCTTGTAAAAGAAAGTTTGTGCTGTCGCCGACCTGAGAGGAGAAAATGAGATAGAAAGAGACATGCATGAGAGTCAGAACTTTGACATATGTTTAATTTGCATAAGAGAATCTGATCAAGGAAATGATAAAAAAAATACTACCTTCCAAAAAAGACAGAAGGAGTGTTCTTTAAGAAAAGGTTGGTCATTCCGAAACGGCGAACTAAGTTATTGATAGGTGCCTGATCAGTTTGTAATAAATGAGGTAATACAGTTTGAGTCAGCTTTTCCCCAATCGCAAAATTTGCACACTTTTGCGGGCATATGAATGTTTCTACTATTCCAGATAACCAATAAATCAAGTTATTCAAGTTCCTCAGTTTATTCAAGAAAGAGCAGCTAAATTCACCATTAGTTCTTACAATTTTCTTAATTAAAGTATGCAGCCAAGAGACTTGGAAGTTTTTTCTTGGTCTGTAGGATTCAATAAAACTTGCAAGAGTTGTGCGATTGATCAGTTTTATCCATCAGTTTTTTGCAACGCTTTTACCAGATTGGATAATAGGTATTCATCAATCGCTGGGGAGCTTGTAGATTACCTAGCTCAGTCAAGGCATTGCAAAGAAATGGAGTGTCACAATGACACAGACTGACCAATTACAAAACTCTATTTCAACTTGATCATATTGTCAAAGAAAACATTCTAACAATCAGCCCATTCTGTAACAGAGTTTTACTACTCAGAGAATTTCAAAAATTTCATTTCTAGGATTTCAGAATTTTGTAAATTGCTCCTCACACTGCTGGCTTGTACTGTAGTAGATTCTAAGTATCTTCTTCTTTTTTCAGGGTAACGGTGAGATTCTCAACTCCAAAGATGAAAACATCCTGGATTTATATTTGCTGAAATTTTGGGGCTTGAAGTATGCCACTAACGCTGCCTGCACCATTCTTAAAGTAGACCAGATTATCATGGCCAAGCGAGCGGGTGGACCTAAACCTAGACAAGGTCCAGCAGACGAGGATGATTAGATCTATTGAATGAAACTTACCTCTGCCGACTTCAAAGGTCATCTATCTCAAGTCTGCGTGAATGTGTAAATAGCTTTCTCTTCATCACTAACTCTTTACTCATTCTGAGGCATTTTCATCAATTCTTTGGATGAGAGAAAAAACATGATAGTATTTTCCGAAGCTTCCTAACTATTTTTCTAGTTCCGCACCGTAACCTGTGATTGCATTTATTCCTTTAATCTTTTATGAACAAATGTGTTTTCCTTTTTCTATCAAACATAATGAGTTTTAAGCTATCTCTTGAAAATTTAGCTGTAAACTATTTTTGGCATTAATAAGGGAGGTGCAACAGTTTTCTCCACAGAGGAAACGCATCGCAGAATAATTGTAAAATGATCTAAAGGAAATTTCAATATTAGTCAGCTTCATGAACTATTCATCTCCCTTAAAAAAATTGTCCATAATTCTTCAAGAGAAAATATCAATCTCGGTTCTCCCTTCTGTAATATGAAGCTTATTTTTAATGAAATGCCCAACATTCAATTGACCTAACCGTACACATGTTATGAATGTGCATCTCTAGGTGTTCCTTAATTGAAGCTATCTCTCATTTTGCACTGTGTGTACGTTTTTTTTATAAAAAATAGTTTTCCTTTGTATTTTTAATAAAATATTTATAAAATAAAAAGACTGTAGTTGATTTCATGGCTGCAAATGAACCATTAAAAAAGATACGAATTTAAGCATTCTGATTTATGCTTCCTCCTCAAAATTTTGTGTAGAATACAATTCGTGCAATGAAAATTACTGAAACTGGTCACAAAAAATTAGAATTTCCTCCTCGCAAGAAAAGGCAGAATTTATATCCATCAAATTGCGCACTTAGACATTTTTTTTTTTTAAATAAGAAGCAGAATATTCTTAGATGCAAGGACTTCTCTTTGTGGAGCTTTTCATCTTAACACCCAATTTTTCTGAGGCCTAAGGCCTCCTTGAGAAAAAGGAATGGATGTTTTGTGGAGGTAGAAGGTAGAAAAAAGGATGACAAGTGCATTTAAGCCCATTTCAATGGAACCATTGTGGTACGATCCTTCATTGCTTTTGATGGTCCTTTTACTTGCGCTTACTTTTTTTTGCAGAAAATCTTGTAGAGGGAAAATTTGATCAAATGCTTGAACTTAAAAATTGCAAAGAGGTGCAATACGAGAAGTGAAAGAGACTCATCTCCAAAATTAAAACATCATTTCACCCTTTTATAATTACCAATACTCACCAAAACAACCAGAATTGCTAAAATTGCTCCACAATAATTCTAGAAGGAATAAAAATTACTAACCAAGGAAAAGTGAAGACCACCAAAAGAGAGGAAAAAAATGTAGCATAAACAGATGAGCATTCCGTCCTGAAACATGATAACACAAGGAAGCAACCCACCATCCGAGGAATCGAGGCTTAAAAGTAAATAGTCTCTACATTTTGACAGAGGGATTACAGACAAGAAAATGAACTATCTATTAAAATTGCTGTTGCCAATTAGCTTAATTTACGCAATTGCCTCATTTCCTAATGCCAGAATCACATTGGCATGTTCAGACATCGAACTAGCTGACCTCTGAACTTACTTCTGAACCAGTCAATCTTGATTCACTCAAGGCTATTTTGCTCAAATATTGGTGAAACTTGATCAAATATTCATTTTATTTTAAAAGAGACAATGGAACATACTCTAATGGTTGCTATATTTTTTGACAAAAGACAAAACTAAGTGTAGAACAACTTCTTACTACATTAAAGAATCTACTTACCTGGGAGACTTGACAAATTTCTATCTTGCGCACGCCCAGATAAAGATAAAAAATATAAATGTCACACATTCACAAAAACTGTGTTCGTAAAATTCACTGATGTACAGTGTGTTTTAAGGTATCCCTTGCCAAAGTTCTTTGGTTAAAGTTTGCTGATGCAGGTTTTTCTCTTTTGACCCTCAGACAGTAATCACGCTAGTATCTAATGCTGTGGCTAAAAACTTTCGAAGGCTTTCAATGACTAACGATGAATCATCGTTTCTATTTGACAGATTGAGCTTTTTCAAGAGGTACTGAGATAATGAAGGTTTCCTACGTAGGAGATTTGCAAATTTCATTTGGCCAGAAGCCAACAGGAATAAAAGCTGCATACCATTGTATGCCTTTGGAATATTATACTTTGAGGTGATCGCGAATAGATGACAAAATGCAGACAGTCTATCTTGGTACCTACGTCTACGAACCTGAGAATTTCTGAGTTCACAGGAGGTGGACTGAAAAATATTACTCATCAGAAACTGAAAACTGATTCATGCTTTCGTTAAATCTTCATCCCTTTCTCAGCAAATATGAAAAATGTTTGCTTTCAGCAGAAGCAACTGAATTTTTATTTGAAAATAGGGCATTTCGATTTCAGATTGGATTTAATGTAGCTTTCACTTTCACACAACAATTTGGCTGAGTCTGTAAATTATCGGTGGACGCTCAATTATCCAGCAATAATTTTTGATGACAAGGTAAATCTATAGATCTGGGCACTTGACTGATTGATCTTCGAAAACTGATCCCTCCGTTGATGATAAACATTAGAAAAATGCATGTCAATGGCAAGACTCCCAAACCTTGTATCCGGTTTGCAGTGATTCAAAATAATTAGCGCCATTTCATTTTTGTGGAGGAGACCGATTCAATGTGCTGACATCAAATTTTCACAGAAGATTCCTTGAGTCCGCGTTAGGTCGTTTATCATTTAAAGAATAAAGTATGACAAGAATTCTGTAACATTGCGAAGCAAAATACGTGGCTTGGGAGTTTTACCGTTGATATTATGATTGAATATTTATTATCAAGCCTATTTACTCTCCTATCATAGAGACATATTTTAAGAATATGGAGACAGGTTACCAAGGAAAGTTAAATAGAGTCGCTCTCATTGTTTTTTCCCCTTTAGCATTGTTCAAATGACTTGACTTGACTCCGCAAAGGAGACATTAAGATTGAGACATAGATTCACAATCTAGATAGGCGATGGAAGAATGAATAGTGTGGATCATAGAAACTTGAAAAATTACCTTGTCAAAATGTGCATAAAAATAAAAAAAAATTTAAAAAAAACTAGGAAAAATACATCACTTGTAGTATCAAGCCATTAAGAGTATAAAAAGAACGATTTTAGCAGAGAGCAACCAAGTATGTATTAAGTAATGTACCTTAAATAGAGCAATTTCTAGAGAGTTCTTAGCCCCCCTAAATGTAGATTGCGCAAAAATGAAACCTTAGGAGTAATGTTCTTTTTTTTAGTTTTTTAGGTTGGTGCTACTTTTGGGAGCGAGATTGTAGTAAATTGTTTTATTTTTCAAGCTCCCTAAAAAGATGGAGAAAAATACAAAATCTTAGCCATTTCCTACTGATGAAATTGATTGATTCCAAGGAGTTTTAACGTGATATAGTACAATTGGCTTAACTTTGCTGTACCGTTTGATCTAAGAGTTAAAGGCGGAGTTCTCAGAGAAGTATCCCCGAGCATCAGCTTCCTTTACTGCTATTATTTTCCAGGGAAGTCACTTTTTTACAGAGTGTGTAAAAGGGAAGAAGAGGAAAAAACTGAAGAATGAGGATATGGAACCCATTATAGTTGAAAAGTTGATGGAAACTCTGCTAATTTATTAGATCTGTCTTTGAAATTCTCAGGTAGAAATTCCGCAATCTGCGAACAAGAGGTGGGCACCCTCAACTTCAAGTTAGAATGGAATTGGGCGAGAAAATTCTCGGTAAAGGGCATTCAAGACTTAACAGGGACAAACGGCAAAATATGGTTTTCTCAGGTTACATTCAAGAACACAAATGAATAGGTGGGAATGAGAACATACCAACTTGGAAATGAAAACGTTCGAGGGGACAATGAAATACGCAGAGGGTGAAGAAGTTGATGTAAGGAAAAGCTTTTTGGTGCTAAAGGACAGATACTTAGAAACTTAGAGAGGCACAAGTCGACAAAGGTGCGCCATCCATCTTCAATTTTCAAAAATTAAGCATCCTCAATGAAATTTGGGCATTTTTAAGTTTCCGAGTTGATATGTTTTCATTCTCACAGATTCAAAAGTCAATGAAGAGGGGAAAGCACTTTGCATTCAGAGGAAAGCTGTCTAATCAGTCGAAAAGGTACTTAAGCGCAAGATGATAAGGCACTCAACCTCAGGTTAGTTTACCAAGAGCCAGGTAAGCAGGAAGTTAAAGTAAATGAGTAAACATGATTTAATTATTATACGTTTAAGTTTATTCAGCTTGCTTTTAGTGTACAAAATTAATTTGACAAATAGTAACCAGTATTCCTTTTACAACGTACCAAAAATTGTTGCATCTGAAAGACCCTACCTTAGAATAATAGAGATAGCCTTCTTTCAAAACTCTACGGAAGCTTGTAATTTACTCTATTCTCATCAATACCAGAAAAAACACTCTCAAATTAACTTTAAACAAAAACAAAAATGCGCCTTAACCAGTTTTTTCTCCGTGTAAAAATAATTAATGGAGATAGTTTCATACATTATTAATGCCGATACTACATAACAAATGGACTTCTACAAACAAAGGCACTGCTATGTTTACAAGTGCTAAATGATTGAGCCTGAACTCAATGATCATTACATTAGAATTCTTACACTTTGTATTAGTCGAGTTACGAGAGTATAATTCATGCTTCATTCAAACAAGGCACAACATCTTGCTTTGAAAAAAATCCTACATGGTCAGGGCAAATAATGCTGCTAAATTGCGTCTACTTCATGGATCTTTTGGTAAAATTATGGCTGAGAACATCTCTCTTTTTCTAGGCATGATCAATCAAATGCAACATTTTTGAGGACATCTTTATACAGTCCAATGGTCACGCAATTTGAGTTTAATCAGGATGTCCGCTTTTCAAGAGGTTACAAAAGGGCTGACAATTCCTCAGCAGTGTACACTTTGAGATTAGAAAATGTTCACTTGGGTTGTGTTTCGATGATTATAAACTAAATTTTTGTGTTCATGGAACAAGATTTTTTTCTCCCTGAGAATTTCACAATGCAATGATCACACTATCCATGAAAATGTTCTACTTTACAAGTTCTTGTACATTTTGAAAAGAGTAAATCAAGACATAGGAATTAATCTTCTGGTTGTTAGTTACTAGACACTCAAGATCAGCATAAGCTGCACCTCATCTCCTACTGACAATTTGGGCCAAAGATTGAAATAGTGTTATGAGAATTCAAAGAAATAAAAAACTGCAAAAAGGGCAAATTGGCTTAAAATTTTGCAACGCATAAAGAGTTACTTTGTACAAAATGAAGATAAGACAGTTGTTGGTTGATTGATACATAGCATTAAAATAGTTGTTTTCTCTCCCTCAAAAAATGAATTTATTGAATGAATTAATCAAGTTTACCAACTCCAGCAAAATAAAAACCTCCAAGGCCTCTTTTCTCACATTCCATGACTTCTGTCACATCACCGCTAAGCCGTGAAAAAAACACGCTCTTTCAACAGCATGTTCATGTTTGATGCAAAACTAAATCTACCAATAGAATGGGTGGCACTGATTACTAGCATAAATTGTCGCTTTAAAAATAGGAATTTAGGCCATTCATGCACAGGGGCAATTCACTAACTCTGATGTGTAATGAACATTGTCTCTTTCAGAGAAACTGTTCTTCCTTGAACACGCATTCACAATTGAAAAGTGGACAACCTGATTTCACATAAGGTATCTTAGTTGAGAACAATTTTGACAACTTAACTAACAGGATGCAACAAAACGGCACTTCATTTCACAGGAAATAATTGATAAGGATATTTTTTGTTTAAGGGATCAAAATTATTTGACGAGAATCAATTTCGACAATCAACGATGATGTTAGAATCAATAAAATCAATGCTTACTGGTGACTAAAAATTTAAGCATGAAAATTCATGCAGTTAGTTGTCTCAAAAATTTTAAAATGATGCAGTACAGAAAAAGGGCCCTTGTCTTCACCGGGATGATCATTTAATTAAAGTTACTTAGTCTCTAAGGAAGACAAACACTTCCTGTGCACCATTGCCTGATGTAAAAAAAAGTCAATACTAAGTTTGACTGGAAGGGTTTAAACGAGATGAGATTAAAGGAGATGAAAGTGCCATTAGGTATTTCATCACAAGGCGACAATTGTTGAAAAAAAAGTAACTCACTTTGACCAAAAAATGACAACATTACTAAAACCGAAAAATGAAAGATTTTTGACAGACGCATTTAGGAAAGGAATAAACAAGAGAATTTGTACTCTTGAAACCTTTATTAACATGGTGCATTTTAAATTGTTTGTCTTGCCACTTAAGAGAACTAAATATGCTGACTTTAGATGAAGGATATACACTTGCTATCGCTGAGTTGATTTTGATCTAGCATTACCACTGTCATCAAATTGAAACGAATTCAGCTTAAATCCTTTGCATTAATTCCATACAATTTGATGAATTAGAAAAATAATCTAAGCTAAAGCTCTCATGGATGTCAGACTTGTTAAAACTACCAAGGTGATGTTAAAACCAGAATAATCTTCTCTGCTAGGGATTTGGGGCTGACTGAAGGACCTTCTTCCTGTTCTGAGTCATATCAGTTAAAAGTTTTAGATTACAGGGCTTCTCAGAGAAATATTTTCTAAAAACTTTCCCTGCAATAAAGGAATTTCACCTACTTCCTAAAATGTCTTACAGTTCAGAAAATTTCTCTCATAATTTGTACATATAAGGGAAGGAAACAGCTCTAGCTCGAAACTCCTTAGCATAAGCTATCAGTCTACCAGGGATTTTCAGGGCAGATTAAACATCTCTGCATTCATCTGTCAAATATTTTCTTTAGTGAAATCAAGAGCATTTAGGTCCGTTTGCATCACTTATTGGGTTTCCCACTTCTTTTACATTAAATGTGGTACAAAACTTTTGAGAGGATAATAATTTGTGAAACCCACTGAACCCCAGCTTAACATTAACATTACTTAAGGCCTCGGCAAGCAGTTCTGGTCACTTTTGTTGCTTCCTCCAATTCTCTAATCAGAAGTTAAAGCAGAGATAGTGGAAAAACATTAAAAAAATAAAAAATAAACAACTCAAAGAGCATTGCACAAACACGAAGGACATCACATTCCTGATGCCCTTCGTGTTCAAAGTATCAAATACCAACTAGCACTCTACAGGGAAGCAAAATATTTTCATGAGACAGGGTTGAATATAAATTAAAAACTTGTACAAGGATAAAGTAAGTAAAGTTACGTTAAGTAAATAAATAAATAAATAATATATAAATCAAATAGATACAAATGTGCATGTATAAGTTTTGTGTGTGTGTGAATGTGTGTGAATGGACACAGTGAGGAGTCACTCCATGCAAGACTTGGCAGATATTATTCGGTGTGATGATATATAACACCTAAGGCAAAGAGTCACCTTACAGAAGCAATGTTGGCATGAAATACATTAAACTGATTTCATATCTCATCAAATCTGTTAAAAAGTCAACCTCTTCTACAGTTAGACACCATGGAGTTAAATTTGGAGGTGGCATTTTATTAGTACTGGATTTGTTTTGACGGTAATCGAGAGTTCATCCCCCGATTGCAAAGATGTACTAAAATTTCTTCTCAAGGAAAGGGGTCAAATTTTAAGGCCAGATGACAGCTGCAGGACTAAATGGTGTATAAATATTAACTTTGATCTCATGAATACAAGAAATTGAATAACTCATTAATGCTTCCTACAAGTTGAGATTGATTTCAAATATTCTTTGAAAGAATATACCCCCAAAATGTATCAATGTAAATGATTCTTAAATAAAACAAAAATTTAAAACTTATTGATTAAGTTTTGCGTTGAGATGAGACGCTTACCCAACACGTGAATAAAGTTCTACAAACAAGCAAATACTTGAATCTTCTGGAAAATCTTGGGAGCTTGCTCTCTAATCCTAAACTTTTATGAATTTTATGGATTTAGGAAAACAAACTAAAAAGATACGACTTTTAATAAATAAAAGAATTCAAATGAAATCTTAGAGAAAAAGGAGCATGCGGAGAATATACCAAATTTAAATATTCATGGAGTCTAAAAAATTCCGAGAAAAAAGCTAACTTGACAGCAGGGAAGGATGTCACCAGAAGTCTCAAATATAGGGTGAGCAGAATAACAGAAAGTACAATTTTTACTGCAGTTCAGGAGGCCATGTTAACTGCTTCTTGGAACTGCCTCTACGCTGTTACTGGTAAATGATGGTCACTTAACTGGGCTCAAAATGCCTCTCAGGGTATTCAAATTTACGCACGTAGATGAGCCTTGGTAAAGAGAAAACATAAAGCTATGTCCGAGCAGCTAAGTTTGAGAAATATTTTTTTTCATTCGCTCAACAGTGTCTGAAAAATGTCCGTACTTCTTTAAAAGAAAATTCAAAAGCAACGCATTTTTCAGCTGAAAAAATTAGGGTGACAAGTTTAGAAAGTTCACACGAGAGGCAAGAAAAAAGTTTCATAAGCAAAGCACCCATGACACAGCTATGTACCTAATACTGGTAAAGACAAATGAATTTTGATCAATGTGGATTTGACCTCCTTTGGAAAGCAGATATCTAAAAAAAATTCGAAGTTAAAGAAAAACTGGATTGCATCTTGAATGCTACCGAGCAACTAATGTTGATCGTGGGAAATTCTAGTTCTTTAAATGCTGATGATGAATTTTTGAGAAGATGTCAGAACTGAGCACTCAATCAAAGAACCACTCAAGAACATGATGGATTGTGAACTCGACTCAGGATGCAAGCCATCTTCTTCTTCAATTATTGCCAAAATCACTGCCAGCTCCTATAAAACGACTCTTACCTCCAACTTTAGATGCCAGCACAGTTTTGAAGGATCCCTCAATACAGACAGATATTAAATTTTCATCAAAATAACTGCACACACTTTGTTCAGAATGAGTGGCGATCTAACTTAAAGTTATAAATATGTGTACTGCGCTCAACAGCACTTAGAATTTATCAAAAATTAAAGTCTACATAATACAAAATTATATCTTTAGATAAAGCTACTAACTACTCAAGGTAATTATTATAACGTAATTAACGGATATACTTTGAATAATATGCGTGGACCGAACGAACCCAAAGAGATGAGGTCACTGAGGGGTTTAACAAATTACACCATGCTAAAGTAATCCAACTCTACGCGATTGAACAAAGCGATCTGGACAGCTTTGCAGGTAAGGATGGCTCATACCAGACGATGCATTACATGAATGATGTTAAAGAGTCGAGTGGTAAATTAAATCTGAGCGGTAAGCCGTAGACTCTCATATTTGAGGAGTGGTTCTTTCCACTGAGTCGAACATCAGTTGGCCCCTGACAATTAAGACTTAAATCTGTAAGCAGAGGAACTACCAAAGAAAAAAAATCCAGCTTTGAAACCGCATATCAGCCCGAATAGTTACACGAATTTCAGGGAAAATTCCAGTCTTTTCTGCTGAATTCTCAGACCATTGCCGGTTATTCAGTCATGCAGACACCTCGGTAAGGAACCAACTAAGAGGCATTGGTCCAAAACTCAAGTGCCCTTAGTGGCCTTGTACATGTACCTGCTAAATAGGATGAGAATCAATAGGCTATAAGAATGAGTCAACAATGAGAATCTATACACTCTAGGCAGTTGCTGCCTAAATAAAAACCTAGTCGACGCTATCATTCGAATGAGTTTACTAGACTGAGGAACTCGACACTCTGGGGTGGGAATAAAGAGGGGGTTCGCTATCCGACGGCCAAGTTTATGTTACAACTGAGAGGATGTTGGTTGGAGGGGGCGGAGGCGACAAATGTATGTTTGGTGGGGGAGGGAGAACAGGAAGGCCCACCTGAGTGCCAACACTGACGCTATGCTGTTGTGGCTGTTGAGCCTGCTGAGGGGGGTGCGCTTGTTGCTGCTGTTGTGCATGCGCCTGTTGCTGCGATTGCGGCTCAGCCAAGACTATTTCGCCTACACCTACCTCATGCTTCATTAAGTGCTTGAGCATAAAGCCATCCTTACCAAAAGCTTTGTCAAACTGCGTTGCTGAGAATTGTTTAGCGTTCGTGTGGCTACGTCTGTGAGTGACCAGATGGCCTTTACACATGAAGTCTTTCGGACAGAGGTCACAACGGAACGGCCGGTCCGCTGGGAGCCCCTTTTGGTGGGAGCGCTGGTGAAAGAGCAGATTACCTTTAAGCCGAAACGCCTTTCCGCAGTCGGAGCAGACGTATGGGCAGTCGCGAGGGTGGGTCTGCATGTGCTCGATGAGATGCTCTTTAGCTTGGAACGGTTCCGAGCAGATGATGCAATTGTACTCAGCTCCGCTCACGTGTTGCCGCACATGTCGCTTCAGATGCTCTTTCCGTGTAAATGTTCGGTCACAGAACTCGCAGGCATGCGGAGATTCCCCTGTGTGAATGCGAATATGACATATCAAGTGTTCTTTACGTGTAAACGATTTCGTGCAAAAATGGCAACGATGAGGTGACTCACCGGTATGTTGTCGGACGTGGTTCGTGAGGTGTTCCTTCCGCGTGAATGCCTTCATACAATACGTGCACTTGTGCGGTGACTCCCCAGTATGTGTTCTAATATGATTCACAAGGTGGTCTTTGCGTGTAAAAGCTTTTGGGCAATACTGACAAGGGAAAGGTGTCTCCCCTGTGTGCTGTCGCTCGTGGTAAATCATGTGGTCTTTGCGGGTGAACGACTTAGAACAGTAGTTGCACTGATGTGGTGATTCACCAGTGTGCTGTCGCACGTGGTTTATAAGATGCTCTTTTCGCGTGAACGTTTTCGAGCAGTAGTCGCAACGGTGAGGTGTCTCCCCTGTATGCCACATCACATGGTTTTTGTAGTGGTCCTTGCGAGAGAAGTACTTGCCGCAGATTTCACAATGGAATGGTGATTCAGTGATGTGGGATCTTCGTTCAGGTAAATGTAACGGTGGGATACTACGATTAGGAGCTGGGATAGTCCCGACACCTACACCAACACCGACTCCGACACCAACACCAACGCTTACCGGTGGTTCTGCAACACAGAAATAAAATTTCCATGAGTTATTTATCCTTTTTTATATCTTTTTTCTATTCAAATTTTCGCGCATCACTACAATTTCTATAAAATGCCTTTTAAGCAAACGAAAAATGGTGTCTGAGATTTTGGAAACGAAAACATCTTGATCGTGACAGAAATGTTGTGAGCTTCTTTGGCTTACCTTCAGATGAACAATTTGTGGCAGGTTTAAGTAAGTGGAGGCTCTAAATTGAAGGCGTAAATCAGCTTTTGGAGAAAGAAGTTCTGCTTTAAGTTAAATATTAAGTGAATATTTTTCTCGAATCAATTTTCTTTAAAAAAAAAAAAAAAAATTAAAAGAAAAGGAGAAAGAAGTGCGAATACGATTTCAATTCTTAACACTGTCCATAGCAAAACAGCAGTGTAGGCTACATACAAGTTTTTAAATTGTATGTTATCAAAACTCATTTGTACTTAGATTGTTTTCCTAAAAGAGAGCAAAAAATTACTCATCAAATTTTTTGGCAGTAACTTGAAATGACAAATAAAGATTGCACTTGTTTCTTGTATGCAATACTAAGACATCTTTTCATCTGTCACCATTGACATAAATTTATGAAAGAGTCAAAGTAGGTACTGTTGGAGGAGGTGGAGTGTGAATTTTAATTTAACATGATGCGAATTCTTCTTACCTAATTTAGCAGTAGCCGAGGCTTCACCGAATAAGGGTATATACAACATTACAGCACTTGTTCAAATTTGCAAATGTATTAGCCATACAGAAGTTCATTAATCTGGAAAAAATAGAATTGACAGTAATTAATCAATCTTGTAAAATACAATGACAAGTAGTTCATATGTTCCACAACTAATAAATTATGTTACTTCAGGAAAGAGGCTGGTCAAAGTGCCTGAAAATTGCACTGAGTAGCAGGTTTTAATTCAATTTTGGTGTGTATCACCAGGGTATAGACCAAAATTTAATGGAAATACATCAAGTTGTATCAAGTAAGAAATGAGAAGAAGAGGTTTGAAGTTAAACCATTCTATCTCATGACCAGCATTTAACACCCAAAATTAGAATTAAAAACTTCGACAGGAATGTAGGATAAAATTGAAAAAAGAATTTGGCCAACTTATGCAAATTTAAAAATTCAATTGAGTTCAAATCTTTTGGAGACTGCATTCAAAATTGGAAATAGCAAGCGCATGACTACCCTGGTTCTCTCTTTTGGCCAAGGAAGGCACACATGTGAGAAAGACACTCCCATTTATTGAAACTGGTGGGTATTATAGAAGTAGGAGTAAGGCGAATACTCTTGAAAAATTAGGACATTAAACATTTTGCATTGAAATCTTTTCGGGTACATTTTATGAGGCTACCAAATACTAGAGCTTTCTTTTGTCCCCTTACAACCTTAGTCTAAGATCCCTCCGGTAATTTTATTACTTTGGACACGCTTTCTTTTAATTCAAAACTATGACACGTGACTCCTACATCCAAAATACCATTCACTTGAAGATTCAAATACATGAACATTTTCAGTGACATTTTAGGAAAAGTTGATTCATTGATTCTATGATTGGGGCTTGTGTTCAAGCTACTTATTCGCAGCTACTACTAAGTATTTCAAAGTCTTATTGTGCTGCTTTTAATGTTCAAAAATCTGCCCACTGATAAACCATTACAGCAGCTGGTAAGATAAAATTTTGGTCATACTTGGCTAAGACAACCTTTGATACATGAGAAACAACTACTGAACAGAGCCAAAACCATCAATACAGGAGCATTAATTTCCATATGCTCCCTGATGATAATCTGGGAAGATAATGCAAGAGATAGCCTGAGCTGTTGGAGAGTTGACAAGACTGATAAAAAGTTTTGAGCATGAAGAGTTGTTGCAGAATAGCACAGGAGATGTTGACCATAATAGCGACCAAGTGCTCCGAACCTTGGAATGGGACACTCCAACAGTGGGATGTGAAAGCCAAGATAAAAGAAGGATGAGAATATTTGGTCATAGCTCAAGGTACAGGCTCAGCTTGTGCCAAAGAGAGGTACTTTAAGTACACATACCAAATTAAGATGGATACTGATTGCTGATAAACAAGTGATTGGAAGCATGAATGGGGCTCATTCAGCCCATCATCATAGGGCAACTGCATGCTAGGCAGCAATAAAACATAATGAATGAGTAATTTGGCCTTAATTACTGGGTGAGGAAATGCCAAAGACAATTCTAGCGCAAGTGAGACAGAAACCGAAAAAAATTATTCCATACCTTCCTTAAAATGCTGAATAATAGTCAACTACCTCGCCACAGTAAATAATGGCAAATTGATGTACTAGCCCAACAACAATTAACTGGTATTGATTCGGTTGTTTCGGAGGAAAACTAAACCGAAAGTCATGGGTTTCGAAGAACACAAGCACCAAAAAGTAGAAAATACGATGATAGTTACGACTCACAGAGGAAACAATGATCCGACAAAAAGAAACGCGAGGTGAGACAATCGACGATGAAAATTGAGCGGATCTGACCGAACAAGCCTAAAGAAATGCGTCCGAGGAAACACTTACCTTTGGCACAGAAATCGAGATTCAAAAATGAAATATAAACTTTGATAACCGGGCGAGGGTGGGAAAACGAAACTTTTCTCGGGGAGGGAACTTTGCGGGCAGATACGGGAATCGAAGCCGAATCTCTTGACGACAAAATCGACGCGATCACTCGGTAGCCATTTTCTTCCACAGGACAGGCGGACTGCGGAGAGCCGAAAGCTATAGCACTACCACTCCGCTCCTCCGCTCAAGTTCAATGAGAGACAAAGAGGAACAACCTCCTGTACGTGCCTATGGGCGTTCAACGACATCGTCTCACTCTTTCTCTCTCTCTCTCTCCCATTTCTGAGGCGGCCGGCCCCGCCCCCACCCCACCCTGACGCGAGGCGCTGGCGTGCGGCGCGCCGCGGCGCGGTACGGCGCTTGGGATTCTCTCCTCTTCAGCTGGCGATTGCCTCCCGTTGTTGTGTGGGTCACCTCTCATGAATTCCAAGTACCCATCGTTTTACACGCTTCATATTTCGAACAACACAAAATCATGGACCTCACGGCTCGCTTTGAGACTTCAGGCAACCAAAACGAAGCCGAAAAATGTTAGTGGTCCATAGAAACCCTATGCTAATGGAGGGAGGGGTGGGGGAAATGCAAGGCAACTCTAATGGAACAGTTTTCCGTTCCCGCCATTAATTCGCGAGAGTCCCCCGAAGTGCCCCCCGTCATAATTGGTGCACCTAATACAAAAGAATGCTCAAAAAATCCCTCAATTGCGGATTTTTTAAATCACGACCTTTGCGCTCCATGTGTTTCCCCAATCGATTCTACTCGATTCACGGGCCGAAAGACTCGCCTATAGATTAGGGAGGAGGGGGAGTGAAAAAAGGAATTTGTTAGTAGGTACTGGAATATCATGCCAGTTTTTTGGGCCGAAAGTCTAGACATTCATCGTTCACCTCGCCGGATGTAAAAGAGATAATCTTCGTTCAGTAGAACTGACGGATCTCTAAAAGTTACTGATTTTTTAATTAAATCAACGACGCACGTTCAAATGTATATTTCTCGAAAGAAATTACTGTGAGATTGGACAATATGACAAATTCCTCTTGCGATATTGACTCTAATTAGAATTTAAACTCATTTTACAATCGTTTTCAGTTCATATTTCAGAAAAAAACAGGCAGTTTCGTTACAGTCGATCGAATTTTCATCATGGTTAAAAATTTCCCCAAAAGATTCCTCGCCCTCTGAGGAAAGAATGAGAGAATCCTTCAAAAATTCTTCCCCCTTTTTTATTCTCATATTCTAACTTTTTTTTTTTTTTGACGATGCCTTGAAGAACTATTTCTTTTCCGTTTCACTGATCATTTAGTCTTAGTTTTGGTTTTTTTTCCACGGATCAGGATGTTTCCAACATATGCCTGGAGCAGGTAAAATGTTAACGGAAGTATCTAATTTTCGACTAATCATGGATGAGGATTGTTCCAGACTTCCGTGCCGCGTTAGTGAAAATTTCGACACGGTAGACAAAGCTGACGAGCTACAAGAAGGTTTACGGGCATTACGGGGGGCAAGCACCGTAGTAGCAGCAGACGAGGGGAGGGGAAGATCGTGGGCCGGGTGAGGGGCCGCCATGAGGGGAGATGAGGGGCGACAGGCGGCGTGGCCGCGCACAGTGAGCCAGATATGTAAAAATTCAAAACCACATGAAAAATTGATTTCAGAGCTTACAGCACAAAGCGTATCGGAAAAAGCTCGCGGCAGTGGAATATTAACTTTCTTTTGTTTTTATAAAACGAGCACCGTCTCATGAAAACTGCCGTTCTGGCTTTCCCCATTGATGTTGTAAATGTTGAATGTATGAAAATAGTTTTTCTGGAACTCTGTGCGGCGAGACCAGCCGAGACCCGAGACGGCTGTGGCCGCGCGCCGCGCCGCATTTAGAAGGGAGGGGTTTGAGAGGTTTTAGCTCCCCTCCCGCCGTAACTCGATTTGTCGTCCCTCTCCTTCCCCTCTCATCAATACAAAAATGCCCCGCTCGACAACAATCACCAGAAAGAAAACTGCCCACATTCAACGGTCAACAACCGTTGACAGAGGTTAGGTTGATTGGCGGGAAATTTTGCTTCAGTTTGTTTACATACAAAAGTTTCGGACAAGACACACAACGCGTAGTCATGAGATTAAATTTTATTTTTCTTTTCGGTGTAGTTACCATTTCAAGTGATATTAACAAATCATCTCGCTCTATTTGACTTGTAATTCATATCGTCTAACAGCACTGCTTTCAAATCTTTTTTCATCCCTTGGACTCACCCTGATCTCTGCAGGGCAGGTACCTACTCGATGGACAATTTGTTTACCTATTGCACCATTAAAGATTATTTTAAGAATGAAGTTTTAACATTGCATTGCCCTGCACCTGAGTACTGATCTATTTAATACTTCCAATAAAGAAGTAGGTAGCCTTGGCAGTGTGTAGCTCATAAACAGACAAATTATTAAGGTGGAGCAGGCGCAGCCTTATCATCATCATTCTATGGAGATGCTCGTTGCGCGTTCACGCCAATCCATAGAATTTAAAAGCTTAATCGCTTGTTCAAGACTCTCCTAAGTTGCAGAGATTTGTGATGGGTGTCCGTGTTTCTGAGCATGGGGGGCTCTAAGGTGCCTAAGGGTTCTCCTTTATCAGTAGATCGATTTTGGTCATTTTTCTCCCTCACTCTACTCTGCTCTTTAGTTTTTTTCTTTCTTATGTGACATTCAAATTTTTCTGGTTTGCACCATATCTGTGTCTGTTTTAAGTGATTCAAGAACACACTGGTTGGATAGTGAATGTTTTTGCACTCTCTCGTGAATTTTCTATGGGAGATGTGGGACAATAATTGTACATGTGCGAGTCTTTTTCCATGATACTCTTGTTAACTATACCACAATGTTAGGGTTATGTTTAGGACTAAAAAGTTAAAAAATGAAGTCTCGAATGGGAGCACACTTAGAAATAGTTCTCAGGAATAGTTTTTACTACTGCAAGTATATTCAGCTCAGGGAATGCTGCTCTAATTTAGCAGTGAAAGGGTTCATAAAAAGAAATTAATGAAATTCAATTTTTCCAGGTAAACTAATCATGGAAGACTATGACATCGCGTTGCTGGAGGAGAAAAAGAGAAGCTCCATCCGATATTTGGATAATATCTTGTGTAAGTTTGCAAGGCTTCAAAATTTTACTATTTTATTTATATTAATTTTGGACTTGGCTTCAACAAATCCTATCTATTGCTGCAATCACACGCTGAATTTGGCTTGAATGTGGAAGTCATCGGCCCGATGCCTGAATTTTGCGCGTGACGCGCATAATTCAGCAAGGATTCTCATCAACCATCGGACTAATGTTGGATTTGTCTGAACTATTCAAGTAGATTTGATACACACCTGGATGAAAATAACTCAAATTTGCGAAATTTCAGCCCTTGGGCGATGACTGTTGACTTCCACATTCAGCTGCTAAATTCAGCGTGTGATTGCAGCATATCTTGTAGCGTTGCATTGACTTGCAAACAAAGGCTTGGCTGTAAAAACAGTGGTGTCAAATCTTCTCAAGAAAGCATATCGATGGCCAAAGTTTGACTCAACGTATCTGTAAGATGCCTACTTTTCAGTAGAGCCAAAAGACTGTTTTCCCTTCTCATTTAATATTAACTTGGTCCAATGATGCTATGAATTTCCTGTGGACAATTCTGTTCGGGTTTGTCTTTCCATTATCCAACCATATTTTTATTTTATTTTATACAGTATGTAAAAGAGGGCCAATTGCCTATGGTATAGGTCATGAATGAATCCAAGTAGTAAGAAAAGCATATGAACTCTGTTAAATACTAGCTTAAACAGTTCAGCTTTACACTTTTTAAAATATTTTTCTCCTTTCTGATATATCGACGGTGAAACTACCAGACCACGTATCTCGGATTGCGATGTTGTAGACTTCCTGTCATACTTTATTTTTTTGAAATGGAAAACTACTAAATTTAAGTTCTTGAAAACTTCCATGATTTTTCTTCTCCACACAAAGGAAACTCTGTGAAAATTGCAATGAATGATATTCATATGTTCTCTTTCAAATAAATAAAATGGGAGGGGAGGATAAATGGGGGGAACATATGATATTCATCTGTTCTCTTTCAAATAAATAAAATGGGAGGGGAGGCTGCAGTGTTTTAAAACATTGCAATTGAGATACATGGTCTGATAGTTTCACCATCAATACGACGTCTCAAAAAAAAACGGTACAGGAAAGAAAAGTATGAAAATTGTTGGAGGTAAGTATGCATAAATATTGAAAAACAAGAATTTTAATTTTTGGTTTTCTTTTTTTATTTTATAATTTATTTATCCTCTCGCTTAAGTGGGCAAAATTTAAATTATTGTCTTTTATGAAAGCAGTGCGAGTAACTTTTCATTGGAATCTTCAATACTACTTTACTGCTTTACGTCTTGTCGCAAGGGCTCAGTTAGATCATTATCTATCCAACATTTTTGTCATAGGACCACCCCAACTTCCATCTTAGATCAGATACACAAGGCTTTCATGTACCTAAGAAAGTTTTCTGGTGTCTCATTTTAAATTCTGATGGTTTCTTTTTTCCAGCTGGTAAAGATAAAATTGGTAGCTACACAGCTTTCAGTAACAGCTGTGAAGGATTGGTCGAGCTTGCAAGGGTGGCAGGGCTGGATGAAAATGATCTGCTGGAAATTGCACGAGTTCTTACAGATCCTAATTTAGGTAAGTTTGTCTCAGTTAATCTGACAATCAAGGTGTCTACAGGTCATACGTAATCATATGAAGTCGTATAATATTGCCACATTATTCATTTTGGTCTTAATTTTATGAAAATCATTTAAAATTGCAATATTTAAGTTTCATTTTTTTTCAAAGTGAAGAAAACCTCAAGTTTAATGCTTTTTAAATCACCACATCTAATATTGCCGATAACAATCTATTGTTATTTATATCAGTTCATAATGTTTATTTTTTGAAATCATAACTTCCAATCAGTATTGCTGTAATGGGTAGATATTTTCCCCACAAGCTATTTTTTAATATGGACTAAACATTTTTTATTGGTTTTGTGGTCGTATTTTTTTGAAAAAATGGTTGTTTTAAAGTGTTATATTTTTTTTATTTTATTTCTGATGAATTCGACAATTTGATCCCTAAAACATTACAATATCTTGTGTTGTATAATGTTTGTTTTTCAGAATATTTTTATTCATCTTGACTTGCCAATCTAGTATTTTATAGTTATTAAAAATTCTTTAAAGCGGTGAAGAGTCTGTACCTGGCCATCATTGAACATTGAATTTCTTAAAGGGCAAAGATACTGGAGACAAGGGAGGTGAACTAATATTTTAAGCACCACTTTTAGTAAGCCTCCCTCATTTCTAGGTGCAAGAGCCAGTAGTTTGCATTAATTTTTTAGCTTATCCCACCAAACACCAAATGTTTATAATCCAAATTTTGTCACCCTTTGGCTATTTCAGGATAAGTCCCCAGATGTTGTAAAAGATCATAACATGTATAAAAAACTTATCATTGGAAACAAGCACTACCGCGTCTTCAATCTTTCTAATTTATCTTTATGATTAACCTAATGAATTGTTTGTAAAATTTTTTGGGAATTGTGATTGTATCACTGGTCACGTCCAAAATTCTCTCACATGCTCTGTTTCTCCCTGAATCTCACATTAGTTTAATAAATTAAACCTCAAATCTTTACACCCTCTAGGAGCACCATTTAGAGAGTAGGACCTTTGTAACATTTGTATTCATTATTTGTCTGCAGAATTCAGACATTTTTCATTCTTACTGGAATCCTTAATACCTGAGCAAAAAATGTCGGAAAATGTGGTTGATGTAATGCTACGGTGGCTTCTACAACATTGCTGGGATGACTCACAGGCACCCAAGTGCAATGTCTTGCTTCAATGGTTCGCCAGCGGCATTTTGAATGGCTTGATTGAAAAGGATTTCTTACAAACTTACTTCCTCAGCATATTTTTTATCATCAAGAAATTCAACCTGGTAAGTCAGTTAGTGCCAGGGCCTAATGGTATGCTGAAAGTACAAATTTCATTTCGTCTCAAAACTGGTCATTTGTATATCGAGTGTCTAAAAATTACCAGGACTGGCGCCGTAATTAAGATACTTCCTAAGCAATCAATGGAGCTCATTGAGACCAGTATCAAATTTTTTTCACCAAAATTAAGCAAGTTTTGATAGTTTGAACATGGCATAGATGTCAACTGCCTCTTGTTTTTATCAACTATTTATCCTTACCCAAGTTGGCCCATAAAACTTTTTAAATGCTCTATTGTCGATGAATAATAATGCTTGACAACATCAAACACAACTTGGCATCGATTTTATGAAAACATTGACTTTTTTTCATGCTAAAATTGCGCAATGATTTAAACTGAGACGAAATTAATTTAATGTTACAGAGCAAGGCTGTGTGTAGTGTTATTTCGCTCATAGCAGAATGTGATTATTTTATGGAGTCTCATATTGACATGCTTCTAGCGCTCCAGGAAAAATGTACCAAAGCCAAGACACCACCAATGCACTTTACTTATCTTCTGAGGTTAGTCCATTTTCAATTTTTTCAAAGTTAGTGATCAATTAAATCCACCCATACTTAAACTTGTCGGCGCGTTACTTCACAAAGTGTTGATCAATTCTGATAAATTTTAAAATGAAAGAATATCAAGAGGTCTTACAGGAGAAGTGTCACAGTAATAGGCTGTGAAAGATTGTGTTAATGGGTCAGAAGCAACCATCATTTTTAATTCACTTTCTGACAATATAGAGTGAACCAAGCTTCCAGGAATTTTTTAGGTTTTTTTAACACTAAATAAAGTAAGCTGGTTTAGAAAATTCCAAAAATTGGACTTGTTTAAAATGATAATTTTGGTGAGCTCTGATGGCCCAGCCAAGCAGGGAAACAACATATTCTGATTGGCTGACCTCAGTTTCAGGCATCGCCCAGCTATCAGTGTCTACTGGACTGTTGACTACTGATTGGTTGGATTTTGATTAGCTTTTTCTCTTCATAGAAATGATGTCTTTAACTCATTATTAATTTTTTGGTTTTTTTCACATAACTTTACGCAAAAAAACTGTTCTTCAACTCTGTTAGAGTTCTTTGCCTTTGCCCCATTATTATCTTTGTCTCTTACGGTTGAAGGTAAAATTATTTCAATTAAGGATACCTCAGTTTAAAAAAAAGTAAGCAGTCTAGTTTTTTGCCAAGACACTTACCAGTGATTGTTAGGCTCTTGAAGCAATTAATACTTTTATACTGACTAAAATCCTAGGTATCATTATTCAAAAACATTCTACAAGAACAACTGCTCTCTCTCATACCCCCCAATCATCCTTTTTAATGATAATTAAAATAATGGTTGTTTTTTATAATTATCAATGTTGCCTCTTCACTTTATTTTTCATCAATACTATTGACTTTTCAAATTGAAATCAACTGAGAAATGGCTTCAAAATGCTAATTTATTAACTTTTTATGCTCCAGAGGAAGAAAAGATCAAGTTTCTTCAGTTTGATGAAAAGTGAAATTTTTTTATTGTCTTGTTATGAAAATTCAGCAAGTTACATGTTTTAAAAAAGTCTGTATCAAACCCGCCGCGGTAGTTATTTTTTGTTCTGTTTTTTCTTCCTTTAAAGGTTTATAAAAACGGTGAGACCAGACCTAGTGCCTTTTGAAGTGAAGAATAGAGCAGGCCTCACTGCGCTATTAGACAAAAATAAGTTCTATGAGCCAATGCAAACTGCGAGACAACGCATCACCGGTGAAAGTGTTTTAGATTGTCTTGACATTCCCTTTTCCAACCAGTGGGAAGAAGAGTTGGACCAGGATCTCACTGTTAACAAAAACATCAGTGTATATATGAATGATAGAAACAAGGTACAAATAAAGGCTGCATTTTTTCAAACAACATTCATCATCAGAAATATTACGATAAATAATATTGTTCAATTTGAATGCTAGAATATAGATACATTGTTTCCAATGAGGGGAAAAAAATCGGAATTTTAGATTCTGTTAGGAAATTCTCTTCAGTGGTTCAGTCTTTATTATGTCAAAAAAGGGTGAAAAGTTACAGTATAATTCCCTGAACATGACACCTGGAATATTAACAAGCTTTTTCTCAAAGCTTTGTTTTTTGACCTGCAAATTTCAATGTATCATGACAAGCTTGAAATACCAAACTCTCGATACACTGATTTTGAGAAAAGCAAGGCTGAATAATGAATTTTTTGCCATTTTCACTCGCATTTTCTTATGGAGGTGTCGCACTGTTGCTGTGTCAGATCAGCGAAACCGTTAATTCGAAGCAGGTTCCTTTTTCTGTCTTACCTTTCCACCTAGCAAGAAAAGCAGAGCTCTCCTTGATCAACAGGTCGATGTTGCGACGTTTTTACTAGTTATTGCATTGAAAAATGCTGAAAGATTCATTATTTAACTCTGTTTTTCTCAAAATAACTGCATACGTAGGAAGTTTGATTTTTAAAGTGTATTGTACTCAGTAGGTCGTAAGGAAAATTTTATCAAATAATTACAAAATTTGACTGACACAGAATCCCATGATTCTATTTGAAGGGTCCTTTGGAAGCATTAAAGTCGGAAAATTTGAATAGATAATCGATCATTTCTAGAAGCTGACTGATATGCTAGATCAGTTGTGATCTTGAGGGTTTTAAAGAAATTTGATGGAAAGTGAAATCCAAGTAGAATCAATATTTTAGAATTTTCTTTCCATTCATCAATGGTATTTTCTATTTTCTTTCCACAGCGCCAACAGATAGATACTTTAACAGCTCAAGCATTCTCAAGAGCTGCTTACAAGCCAGAAAGCTGGAACAAGAGAATCAAAATCTCAGATATATCCAGGTACTTATACTTCATTTTTTTTAATTTTCGAATTTTATTTTTTTACAAATGTCATCAAGTAATTACATGAGATTACTAGGGGGCTACGCCCCCTGGCCGCTACGCGGCCCAACCCCCTGAAGGCGCTCCGCGCCATCAATGAGCCGCTTTGCGGCCCTATTTTTACCCTTCTATCAGTGTTAATTTTATTTTTCCCCTAAAAAATTACGATATGAGGTATACTTTACTTTTAGAATGAAATAATTTTTGGTTTTGATGAATAAAGAAAAAAAATTTTTTTTGAAGTCAGAAGGACGCGTTTTGGAATGACTGCTTGATGAAATATTGCAGTAAAACAACGAACATTGATGCTCAGATACCAATTAAGAGAGTCAGGAATCGGGAATCGAACCCACACCGTGAACATAGAGGACGCGTCCAATGTCTTAGACGACTCGGCTACCGCTCAGTTGGATGATACGCCGTGAAACTTGTGTAGATAAGTATAGAGCTGATGCGCAGGCTACACAGCTACTGCGCAACCTCCTCGACTACTGCGCATCCTCCCGCGCATAGCGGTAGCAGTCCCGGAGCATTCCGTAAATTCGCTCAACTTTATAACGTGATTTTAAAAAAACCTGGGTCCTATTTCCAAAATCTGATTAGAGCGGGCTCATCTAGGGCCTATTACCTGTCGATTTACGCAAAGATCATAGAAATCGGCCCGGTAGAACGCTCAAACGAACTATGACAAAAAGTATAAATTTACATTGTTTAAATGGGAGAATTCGCAACTTTACCACGTAATATAACAAAACCTGGGCCATATTTTGAAAATCTGAAAAGAGTTGGCTTATCTAGAGACAATTGCCTGTCGATAGCCGCAAAAATCATAAAAATCGGCCCGGTAGGACGCTGGAACTAAGCGTTACCAGTTACGCAAAATTAGGAGGTCTTGGAGCTTATAGTATAGATATCAAACCAGAAATATTAAATGACCATGAATTCACTGGCCACAAATTATTTCAGTCAGAGATGACAAGAATTAATGAAGTAAATATCAGATTTTTTTTTTTTTTTTTGAAAAAAAATGAAATGAGTGAAGCGGATTAATCATTGGAGACAAATTCATTTTTTCAATTATCAATTTTTATCAATTATTTAGTGTTAGCGAATACAACCCTCAAAGAATATGACATTGCCCATACACCTTAGACCAAAATTTGACCGGCATTGTTTGATATTAAAATCTTAACAGAGTAATCTAATGGTTTAAGATCCTGAACTTGTAATGACGATGTGCTGATACATGAAAGTTTCATAAATTTATTGTTTTATAATGTATATGTATGCATATATTCTAATTTGGGTTTTGAAATTGTGGTGAGTTGGCATTGCTGAAGGAAGCAAACCAATAAATATACAGGAAAAAAAGTTTTGGTCAGAGACACAAGATAGGTAGGTCAACTGATATTACCACACCTGCCAGTAGGCTTCTACAACGAAGGTGTGTTTCAGCCCTAAACTGGCAGATGTGGGACACAAAAAAGTTAGGCTAACCAATTGACCGTCTTAAGTCTTTGATGCAAACTATTTTCACTGTGTAGATATGTAAAAAGTTCTCTAAGTATTAATCAGTCCTGCATTCAATTTATTACAGTTTTGAAGAACTGGGGAGGAATTGGAATCTCCTTATTATTCCAGATAATGCCATCTCTCTTTTGCGAACAGAGTATGGTCTTTTTGTGCTTGCTTTTGGCCAAGAACAATTGCAGCAACGCTTTGCACACACCCTGTATTGGAGTTTACGTAACCGTAAGTATTCGTAAACTATTCACCGTCAGATTTCATTCCTTTATTGTTTTTGGTCATTTTCTATTCTTGTCAGCTCCTGTATAGGTAGACTAAATCTTTTGTGGTGATTAAAAAAAAAAAATTGTACTTACCACTAATTCAATAGTTGATAAAATTGTCTGCTAATAGCAGTAGGCTGGAAAACATGGGTAAGTTGCAGAAATAATGTTTACTCATAAATTTTCCAGATTTCTACAAAAAAGACAAGATTTTTCCAATAGGTCTACTTTTTTCTATATCTAAATTTTTATACGACTACCAGAAAGAATTTTATAGGAAATCAGTCATTTTACCCCTTCTTTTTTGTTATTGAAAACCCTATTAAAAATATAAAAATTGTAATCGCATTGCTAGGCCTTGAAGAAGATTGTATTGTTCCACAGGCGTCTAGAAAGTCTTTTAAGATTTGTCTAAGTTACATGGACAGCCAGTCAATGCTTAGCTCCTGAGCAATTGTTTGTGGAAGCTTTACAGTTCCATTTCGTTCATGACTTTAAACAGTTTTTTTTTAAAGGACACTTCTAGCCTTGTATTTGGAAAAATCACAGAAAATTCAAGTTCAATAACAGTTCCTCATCAAAAATGAATTTACCCATAGAATTTCATAGAAAGTAGGAACAACGTTTTTGTGGATTTTATCCCAAGATAATCACAAAATTGTCTTAATTTTCTAATTTCAGACATTATTCTGAAGCAAGCATCTTCAGAAGATGTGAAGGTCCTTCTCAAATTGTTGGTTCGGTGCGTAACATTCATGCAGCAGGGCCTGTCAGTTGTATCACAATTTTTACGCTCATATCTTCTGTTCTGGAATGGTCTTGATTATCGACCTCTCATCCTCAAATTAATTTCATGGATTACTTTTGACTCCTATGAAGGTTTGTCCTTTTTCATTGACATCCGTCCAAGAAGAATACATACACCATTTCAATGTGCACATTGCACTTAGCAAATTCGCTTCAATTAAGAACTGTGTTTGGATTTAACTGGAATTAATATCACAATTATATTTTGGGATTATTATTTGAATATTAGATGACCAGATCCTCAGGAAATGAATTCCTATCCGAAGAGTGTATTATCTAATTTTCAGAAGCTTTTAAAAATGAACTTTAAATTTTGGTATGATTTTCACCAAATTTTGTGGAATTTTTTGTCGAATTTTCATTGAGCTCAGAACTGAAGTATAAATATATTTGTCACATTTTTATTTGAATAACTGTAAAGTTTGGCAGGGCAACATTACCTCTTTATTCAATAGATCATAGATTAGTAGGTTCCATGACAGAATTTCAGTTTCAATGACAATTGAACTAACATCAGGTTTTTTCTTTCTTTTTTTTCCAGAGCTGGCTCGATCTTGCCTTGGGCCCTTGTTCAATTTGTTTTTGACAACCCCTGTTGATTTCAAGTGCCAAATACTTCAGTGTTTAATTGACCTTTTTACAAATATGGTAAGAATTATTCTTCAATGAGTATTTTTTATCTGTTGTCTCTTATGGCTATCCTGATAAATCAGTGACCACAAAAATGCGAAGTAAATTTATGGTCTGCACAGTCGTTATCAATGCATCACCGCAAAATTTTGTAGGTATTTTCAAAAAAAAAAATGAACAATGAAAAATATTTTGGTCGGTAAAGACAAGAGACAAATATATTTGTCTCTATTGGAACAAAAAGCCCTCTGTTATTCTACGATACATTTTTAGATGATAGTGGTTTTATTCATGGTTTACTTTTACAACTGTATGTATTTTTCCCCCCAGATTAAGCACACTCTAGGAAGACACCAAAAAAATGTGCCGTATCTTTTTCTACCGGAAACATCAGCGCCAATGTGGATTTCAGAACCCCAAAGTGTAATTTTAAATGTTATTGAATTCGTAGAAGAAATTATCGTAATAGCACTCCTGCAAGAACCTGGTGATATCGTTTTACTCAACGCAGTTTATGACTTCTATGAGCAGGTAATTGGCAACTAATCTTGAGAAATAATTTAAGTTTTTCAGGTATTTCCTCGAAAGATAAGCCATTAAAGGCATTTTGAAACAGTGGTAATTAAACATGAGGAAAGACATTAAAAAATCTCACTGAGTCAAATATTACTATTTTTTAATCGTCTTGAAGTTGCAGGTGAAATTAATAAAGTTTTTACTTTTTTCCAATTGAGAATACTCCTTATCTTCGAAGGAAGAAGCAAAACAAATGCAAGACATCAGTCATTTGTTTGATTTGACTTGTTATACTGGCCGGACTAGCTTTTAGTCCTAAAAAATGTTGCCAAAACTCCCCATATTGTTTCCAAAGGAAGTATATCTATAAGGGTCGTTTTTAAGCCCACCCCACCTCAGCTGAATTTCCTCAACTAAAAAATTTTCACTCATTGAAGGTCTATATTTTATGGAATGCTTCATGGTTTAGTAATGTTTGGTATCATTTTAAATTTAATACTGGCGTAAACATGAGTCTGAAGGCCAACTCTGACAGAAAATGCGGATTTTTCGGCGTTTGATCGCAAACCCACTTAACTCGCATTTTATCGAAACTGGTGTTCACGACCATTTAGGCCAATACAAGACCCAAAAAGAGACTAGAAATGACGAAATCATGATATATTCTGTAAAATGCAGACCTCCATTCTGCAACAAATCGTAGAGTTGAGGTAATACACGGTTGGCCCAGATCAAGCAGCCCTTATCAATACCCCTTCTTGCTGTAAAACTCTTCATTTTTCATACCACATCTGTCAAACCTCCCTTATTCTGTGGAAGAATTATCCTCCATTTTTAGTATTACTCTCTCCAATCTTTTGGATCTCATGTTTGATTGACGGGGCGTCATTTCAGATTATTGCAGTGCCAGGTAAATAAATGACGAGGTTTTTTTTTTTGCTCAACTTCTCACTTTGGAAACGGCCAACGTGCATCTTGCAAACTCCCTCTGACGATTTTCCCGCCTTTTTTATCCTTGCCTGTTTCTTTTTCCGGCCCGATTCCAAAACCAAATAGCGCTCCTGCTCATTGACCTCATGAGTCGGTCTTTTCTATACCCCTGATTATGAACTTACTGTGAAGAAGAAACTGCCAATTTTTCTACGTTTATTTAAAGGTAAATATCTTTAGAATCTCATTTTCTCTCCGCCCTCCTAAAAAATGAGTCTAAGTTGCCAGTTGTTTCGTGTGTCTCTTTTTTCACTTTCTATCTACGGTACATTTTGACAACGCGTTTTTCCAGGTGCATGAACTTGAAGTGGAATACCAGCTAGGAACAATGACTGTTATTCCATCGTTTTTAGTACATCAGTCTTTACTCAGCAATACTCTTGAGCTTCTCAACAGAGCCGCGAAACTTCTATTGGGGTAAGATTGGCATATATATTTATTTATTTATTTGCAGGCAATGGTTGTCTTCGCTCAGTCAACAATGACTGTAAACGTATTAATTACAACTTTTAAATACAACCTAAATGTAGATGATACCCGGGGCAAAAACCGTTATTGTCCGAGATCCAGTCTTTCCCCATAATGCATATATTTTTCTGATTTTCTAATCGAGAATATCTTTATACTTAGCTCACTTGATAATTTTTATTTACCAATGAAATCCACCTCTTTTCATGCACTTGTGCACTCTCTGTCTGTCAACACTTTGGGATTCCATTGCATCCTTGTAGTAGGTAGCTCTGATGTGATAAATAATTCGAATCACCAGGCCATGATTTTTTTAACTGGCCTTTCCTGGTTTGACCAGCTCAAGCCACCTGTGATTCATATGTTTCCTCTCTGATTTGCTGATTCCACTGGTTCTGAGGTCTCGTTCCCTCAATTCGTAAACTGCAGCTGAAGGAATCTGGGCCCAGGGCTGTGAACAAAACTAAATCACTGCAAGAAACTGACTATAAAGAGAAGGCCTATGGAGTCAGTTTATGAGTGCTATCAAGTGGTAACATCTGGCAAAACACCCCCATTTACAGTATTACATTACGTCATTTAAAGTGTGACTGACTTTAATTTTTTGTATGTTGCATCTTCAGTTACAGGAAAACTCTTGAAAATACGGATCTTGAAGTCTTAGCAAAAGATTTTGCTCAACAATCAAAAGTAATTGAATCAAACGTCAAGGACATTTATTACACTCTCACTAAGTGCAAGGTATACAAATGTTTTCTGATCCCTACCTTTCGAAAATTTATCTCCAACTCGACTACATTTTAGAATGAAGAACCTTAATTTCGGGCTTATCCTAAAGAGCACTTGCCTGCATAAGAAAACTAATTGCACATATGTTGTCTCCAAATGAGCCAAAAATTTGTGATAATTCCTTTTAACAAATTTTGGTCTCATCGTAATTGTCCATGGATAAAGGAATCTACGTACCAAGAGAAAGTTTGTTCAGGATAATACTTTTTCGCCAAGTTAGATTCCATTGTCTGAATTGCAGTTTTCGACACAGAACGCTCATCATTTTGAAGAATAAAGTGCAAACCATTTCAGACAATATCAAGTTTTGCTCATGACAGATAGGAACAGTAAAATTTGGTTCTCAAAGTTATGTTAAGTTTATCGCAAATTTCGAATTTTCGTACCTTTAGTTTGACTTGACTTTGTGAGGCGTTTTTTGTGCTAAAATGCCAATGGTGCATCTTTATAGAAGGATTACCTTAGTCAGAGAATATTGGCAAATGTCAAGGAATTTTAAAGAGTCAGGGAAAACGTGGAAATGTCAGGGAAAATGACAAAAGTGTCAGGGAAAAATCGTTAAGTCATCTTTCTAAGTTCGTTAAGTTTGCTTTCTAGTATGCGTTTGACATTTCACGGAACAAATTTTGCCTAAAAACTATTTCAAATTACATCTTTTTAACCATCCAGCATGTTTTGAATTGTCAGGGAATTTTACCAGAATTTGTCAAAGGAATTCATTCTTTGAATTCTGTGCAACTCTGTCTAGGCAGTGAGAGCAGACAGACAGTGTCTTGGCTGTTGAGATACCTATGAATTTGCAACGAATCTAGAGTCGCTAATTTTTTAGTCAAAGTATTCTTACTCTTACTAAGATGACCATTTGCTCAACATGTTCTATCATTTCTCCTTTTGTATGGACTCGTGAAGAGAAATAATTTAGACTTGTTCAGGCAATACAAATGAAAAGAATGTCATAATAGTCAAACAAATAATTTAAAAATTTATCAAATAATTTACACAGAGACATCTCCTAGAAATTTTTCTCCGTGTACTAGTATCATGCAGCAATCTTTTTAAATCTAGTCTTTTTCGCAACATATCCGAAATTAAATACATTAGCTTATTCCAGTTAACGCGCTCCCAGTGAGCAGGCCCCTTAAATTAGATTTATTTTGACAGTAATTTATGTCATAAATGTTTTATGTTGATAGGCCTCAAAAACAAAGCTGATTGATAACAATGTGAGAGATTTAGTGCCTGTCAATGTCGATGAAGCGTTAGCACATCCTCCAATGCTGATCCCACATTTCCATTATTTAAAGGAGTCATCTCAGACATTTGAGGCTACTAAGGATTTTGTAAGTATATAATTATTTCTGTAAGTATTTAATGTATTATATTATGTTGTACATAGATATTGAGTTAAGAAAAAAAGCAGGTGGAGGGTTATCAAACGCTGAACAAGACCAAAATGAGCTCATTTAGTTGAGAATTAACGAATCCCCAGTGATTTTAGGAGGATTGAGGCAAGTTTAAAAAGATCCCTCCAAAAATTTTGGTTCTTGATGTGGGTGTACTCGTAAGATGATTACCGCAAGAACTAAGGATCATCAATGATGTATGTACACTCATGAGGTTTTGAAATCTTTGAGTCTGCTCTGATAACAGCAAAGCAATTTCCTAGCACCTTTTTTTCACCTCAGTTGCTGGAGGTAGGATTGCGTGTCTAAATAGTCAGCAAATATGAGACTTTTCCATGACCAGCACTATGCATCCTCTGCTGAAATTATGAAAGAAACAGCTGTAATCAATCCAAGATAGTGTTCATAGAGTTTTGACAGCCACTTAAACTTCCGTAGAGATGGTAAGAACTTATGGAGAAAACATAATATGTGCTTGAATCATTCATTGGGGGCAAGAAGCCTCTCTTGAAGGCCAGGGGTCAGTGCCTTTGATTCCATACAGGGCACAATAGAACAAGCTTTCAGGATAGGTTGGACATTATTATTTTGACCGAAGCTGCAAATTTTGAAGTTAACTTCGTCACACTGTAAATTTCAACAGGTATTTCACAAGAAAAATTGTGCAAAAAAACTGTAGAGCCACTTTTAAATTTTTACGTTCGAATTATCAGAGGCGTAAGCTTTTTAAGTGTCAACATCATGTCCAACCTACCCCATTGACTTTCGCTCCATTTGTAGTACCTTTTTGTAATTTGTAGTTAAGTCTTTTGTTGCAAATTTTACCATGACACTTTTGCCTCTTCTTTTGCAGAATGGGCTGGAGGTTTTCGAAATATACGCCAAAGATCTTTACGAGCTTCTGTCTCTGTGCCAAAGCAACAATGTATGAGCTGATAATTAGGTATTTTCTCTCAATTTTAAAAATTTCTCTCAGTAGAATCATCAATTTTTCTCTTAGTACTGAAAATCTAAGGTCAATGTATCGGGGAAAAAATGGAGATTGTTGTGCCTAATGTGAGTACAACACTGGAAGGCTAAAAATTGCTTTGCTCTCTTATCTTCCAGTTCTTATGTTTGTTAAATAGAGTTTATTAATGATAGAATTTTAATAATGTAATAATGAATATTAGACACGTCAGTAACGACTCTTTTCTTTTATTTTTTAAATAAAATCATTGTCAAATTTGCATATGAATAATTTGTTTTCAACGTTCACTTTTTTTCTTGCATTTCTTTGAAGTTGACTTAGGATGAGTTTTACTCTTCGCTGCTCCCATGCTTATTTCTGGAATTAAAACAGACAATGTTAAAGACTCATGAACAATTTTTAAAGTGCAGGGCCTTAAATTAATTATTGGAGAACTTAGTTTCATTGTTTCTTAGTTTCATTTTTTAAGTTATGAAACAATCACATCTCTCTTTTTGAATAATCAGTCAGTGGAATTTAATGCATCTTTTTAGGGTGCAAGTGGGTTAAAAGTAGAAATTTTGATTATCATAATGGGAAAATCTTGCAGTAAAGAATGACTCTACATTTGCAAAAATTTTAAGATGCTCTTATTTTAATAACATAAAAAATACTATGTGATTTAGTCCTTGCTACAAAAAGTAAGAGGTGAAGGACAGAGTCGGGTGAGGTCTGCACTTCAAGGGTTGATTTACCTCATCTGCATGGGCAGGGTCAAAACGCAGATAACAATCCAGGTGCACAGCAACCTAAAGACCCTGAAAAATTAGACAGAGCTGCTCCTCATTTGTCATTTTTTAAAATTACTCAGATGAAACTTGTAACAGCAGGTATGCTTCGTTGGAAAAAATTGATTGCAACGGTGAAACTCCCAAACCACGTATCTTGTTTGCGATATCTAAAAAAATGGTGTTTAGACCAGGGAAATCCGTGAGCCATGTGGGATTGAAAAATTTCAGGGAATCTGTTCCAGAAGCTGGGAATTTCTTCCTCTACTGCTTTGAGGTTACTTTCTCGCTTTAACCTCATTTGAATTTTCTGAAGGTTATCTTCTTATTACAGACATTTGCCGAACATTTATGAAAGCGTAATACATACTGAGTTTGTTTGTGGAGAAAAATAATTTGGACGTATTTCTGCCAAACGGAACTATGTGCATTATGACGTGAGCCCTGTTATGCTTATATTCTCACGGGTCTCAGGGCTCATGTCTTAATGCACATAGTTCTGTTTGGCAGATGTACGTCCATTTGTGCTACAGAAATTTAGAAAGTACCTATTGTTATTGAGATTTATGTTATTACACCTGAGCCGCCATTGATGACCTCTTAAGTAACATATTTTTACCTTCAAATCATCAGAATAATAGAGAATCTCTTATTGACCACATAATATGAACATCAGGAACGCTTTCGGAAATAAAAGTTTAAATGTACAGCGCTGAAGAATCCGTTGGAAGATGAAAAAAAATTGATATTAATAATTGGAACTCAAGAGGGTTGCATCGTTTTTCCCAAGGAAATCCCAGCAAAGTAGGAGAAAACTTTGATTTCCTTATCAGGGAATAAGCTCCTGAAAATCAGGGGAAAATCAGGGGAAAATCAGGCAATAAGCATGGCTAAGAATTCTAGACACCATGTTTGAAAATCCCAGCTCCTATTTTGTTTTTTTAAAGGAGAACAAAGTAACATCGTTCTTTTGAAGTTTCCTTGAAGTTTTTTCAGATTTTGCTGCACACAGAGAAGAATAATCATGGGCGTTTTCAAGAATTGACATTGAGTATTTCTCCATTTAAAAACTAAAGTATGAGAGGAAGTCTGGAATGTGAATGAAACCGAAATACACGGTTTGGGAGTTTCATCGTCGATTTGCAATTGCCTGTTTGAGTTGACCGAGTCTTGAGAATGATCTTCCTCTTCAGGGCCGGTTTAGGTTTTACTTTCGGCTTTGTGCGTTTCGCTTTGTCCTGTGTTTCTTGCTTGCAATAAGTGTCAAGATCTCCTGTTGATGTACAGATAGACCGCCTCTCTATCTTGACGTTACCATCCTTTCCGTTCCAACTTTTAGTAGATTCTGGCTTCATTTGTTTATAATTTTTAAGAGGATTGTATATTTTTTGCGTCTTTTGCTTGCAATAAACGTCAAGATTTCCTGTTGAAGTACAGACAGACCGCTGTTCCCTCTTAACTTCAGCAACTTTCCTGTTCAAATGTTCAATAGTCTCCAGTCCCAAACATTTTTCGATTTTGGAAGGATTATTTAGCTGGTATCCAAACGAAATGTTAGGCGCCATCACGCCGGATCCCATGTTTTTTCTGACCTCGCGGTATTGCTCATGAGTTGTTATAAAGATACAGCCTCCTGGTCCACCTAAAAGATATGAGCAATCAGTGGGTAGAGCATGGATTATAGGAGAATGGAAATCCAAAATACCTCCAGCACCTTCGAATTTAGTGAAGGTGGTTCGTGCTGGTTCCTCCCTTCGGCAGAGCTGAAAGGCCGCCTTGTCATAAAATTTTCATAGATAAATTCTCTCTGATCGTAATTTTCTGAAAAAACAACTTTAACAAAGAAAATCTATTGTCCTAAGAATGAAAATCCGACCCCCCCCCCCCCCAAGGTATAGGTGACTTATTAACAAAGATTTTTTTTATAAAAAACAATGGACTACCAGAAAAGGTAAGAATTCAAGCAATCTGATACATGTCTCTTAACCAGAATTTAACGTAAGCCACGAATCGCACAACAAAAATTACTGAAACCAACTCCTAACGAAGATATTGACGTTTTTATTTCACATTGGTTACGAGGAGTTTGAACTGCCCGCTCACAAGAAGCTCAAAGCTGTACGTGAGTCAAATCGCGCACTACAATGGTTTCAGCAAGCTTCTCAATCGAGCGATGTTCATTTTCCACCATGTGTTGTTCAAATTATAAGCAATTTGCTGTAACTGAGCCAAAGCGTCAAGATTAAGGTTGCCAGATTTTTACATCGCAGAGACTGTCATGATAACGTTTAGCGCGCGATGTGAAACACGCAGAGCATTGAGTTTTAATGAGCGGATGGTTTGAATTTATGCATCAGGAATCATTAAATATCTTTGTAAGGAGTTGATTTCGGTAATTTGCGTTGTGCGCATTGTGTTCTACAGGAAATTTTGGTTTGTAAAACATGTATCAGTATGCTGAGATTCGTACCTTGTCTAGTGGTCCATTATAGTTTATTACCGACCCTTTTCAAGTATGTGTTTGCCTAAAGCTTCGTCAGCAGATAAATTCCTTCTCCTTTATAACATACTAATCGATGACCAACATGCGAAACTACGTATCACCATTTGGGGTGTTGCAAACTTCCCGTCATACTCCATTAAATCTTTGAAAAGTCAACAGAATTTCTTGAAAACTTTGTCAATTTTTCTTCTTTGAAAGCTCTATTTTCTGTATAGATTGCAAGCATGAAATTGGCCTTTCTTTCTTCAAAAAAATAAAATGGGAGCAGAAATTTTGAAACATCACAATGAAGATATGTGGTTTTGCACTTTGGACTTCGAAATATTATACTTCGGGGACTAGATTGTCATTAAATGAGAGAAAAAATTGGTCAATTACACTAAATCCTACCGCAGCACTGCACAATGGTCTTGAAGCAAAAAACAAAAATGCGACGAAAATGTGCTCCAAAACGGTTTGCAGGAGGTAATTCTGGTACGTGTGGACTTAAAATCGCAAAAAATCGAAATCTTGGCTGATCCTCATCTCGATATACAACGATTTGAAATTTTCACAGTATATGCAAGTTTTCCACTGATATTGATCCGCTTTTTTACTTATTTGTCCATCACATCGAACACTTACCCTCTCGATAGATGCAGACTACCTATCATACTTTTTTTTTATAACTGAACAATTCGCCTTCTGTTGCGTCTGCAGCAATTGTTGTTACGAATATGTTGTGCGTGCTGATCTCAGCTCATTACATACTTGACTCTCTGAAGGCGTTTTATGTGCGCAAGTAGCGCAGTCTGTTGGAGAACAACAGAAGTGAGATTGAATAAATCACTCAATCCCTACTTCGTTCGTTTTCCGACAGACTGCGCTACTTGCGCACATAAAACACCTTCAAAGAGTCGAGTATGTAATGGGCTGAAATCAGCACGCACAACATATTCGTAACAACAATTGCTGCAGACGCAACGGAAGGCGAATTGTTCAGTTGTAAAAAAAAGAGTATGATAGGTGGTTTGCATCTAACGAGAGGGTTTGTATTCGATTCAATGGACAAATGAGTAAAAAAGCAGATCAAAATCAGTAGAAAACTTGCATTTACTGTAAACATTTCAAATCGTGATACCTCAAAATTAGGATCAGCTAAGATTTTAATTTTTCACAATGTTAAGACATGTAGGTACCATAGATTCACCCCCTACAAACCGTTTTGAGGTACATTTTTGTCGTATTTTTTTTTTTTTTGCTTCAAGACCACTATGACAGAAGATCATTAACTTTAACTCATTAATGACTCTTATTTGGGTTTGGGCACAATGCATCAAAAGGGAGCCGAATGCATTGCAACATTAAAAATGTTGCGCAAGTCATATTTTCACGCAATGAAAACTGACGGAATTAATGAAAGGAAATTTCCTGTTTCCATTTTGTGAGTAGACATACCCTCCGGTCAAAAGCTGTATGCAATCCTGCCTCTCTTGTAGGTTTAATTTTGTTTATTTCGGTTTTTCCAAGTTTCCTGTACCACATGAGGTAATGTTTTTCACTTGGGAAAGACCATGATGATTATATTCTGTAAATGTTCAAGCTTTGCCCAGAATAGAAATAATAATAGAAACTTTGGCTATTCCCGGGTTTGCTAGTGAGCCCAAAAGAATAGGTTATTACCCTATCCTCCAAGTAGCCTTCTTTCACTTACAATGCTCGACAGAAATTCTAACCTTACTTACCTGTGGAATGTGTGACAGAGTCTAAGATTTTCCCTGTCGTTTCCTCAACATCAAATTGGATGACGTTCATGATAGAATTTCTCAATATTAAGTGACTTATGCTTTGCTCTCAAGAATTGTTTCGACGGGATCAAACAGATAACTTAAATTAATTGAGCTCTCAGAGAGCACCATGAGAGGGTTCCCATGGTTTCAATATAAGCTGCATCTCCGAATGTTTACAAGATGCAATCTTCATGCAAGGATTCAATACCTATTCAATACTGTAAGCGTCACACAATTTAGAGTTTTTTCTTTAATCAAAATATTGGCTTAGAATTTTTTATCAAATTGTTTCTATCTTCCTAATCTGAAAATCTTTCAATGCCACTCTTATTTTTTCATTTTTCTATTGTTGAGCATAATTTATTCTTTCCTTTTCTTTTTAATTTTTGGCACATTTCTATTGATCTCTATTTTTAAGGTTTCAATGACCGATGCATTGTTAAAGCACCTAAAAATTAATGTTTTAACCAACCAACCATGCATGATGAGGACTACAGGGAGTTTCTCTACACTTCAGAATTAATGCAAATAAATAATCAAAATTAAATGAAAATCGCCTGCCATCACAGAATTAATAAGAAGGAAAGACACCACAAAATAATCCGAGAAAATTAGACAGGAAGCTTCAATTACACAATATTTTTCAATATACCCAATACATTTATCAGTGCATTGTGATGCAGTAACAGATCCCCCCTGAAGAAAACCACAAGTATTGCAAAAGTAATGCAACCTTTGGACAGAAGAAATAAGACAAGGAATTCTTGTAGGATTATCATACAGCTTTGATGTTTTACGTTTATGGTTGAACGTTTCAAATCCCATGAATAAATCAAAAAGTTCATAAAAAGTTCAAAAAACCATTTCCAAGGGGAGAAAAAGCTCATCAAAATCGAACCAATCAGAGGCCGACAGTAGAGTTGATGTACTTATAACAAGGCAATGAAGGCCTAAAGCTAAGTTCAGCCAATCAGCAAACACTCTTTCCCCACCTGGCTAAGTCATCAGAGACTGCTCTACAGACACTCTAGACACTCTTGTTTCAACCGGGTCCAATTTTTGGAATTTTCTAAACAGGTTTTCCTTTCTAATTAGGTGTAGAAAAATCTGAAAAAATACCTGGAAGCATACATAGTTCACAACGTTATTTCAGAGAATCAATTTAAAAAATTGGGTGCTACTGATCAATTGCAACTGTAATCTGATAAATCAAAACAAGGAAACTAAAGAAAAACATGAACAGATTTTAACTTCTTAGAAATTTGTTTTATTATACAAATTGATTTATTTACATTTGCAACAAAAAATAAACTATGTATGATTGTACAGTATAAAAATTTATAGAGAAAATATTGTCTTTATAATGACTGGAGCAATATTAGGTGAATTTTAATTTATCAACTGATCGCTTAGAATTAACAATAAAAACAATAACAACAACAAAAACAGCCACAGAGCTGAGCCCAAATTTTGTAGGTTGCAGCCGTCGGGAACTCATGTATAAAAAAATCTGTGGAATCAGCCCATCAGAGAGTTCGCATACAAACTTCATGATCAATTTGAGCCATACGCATCCTGGATAAAGCGAATAACAAAATTTGGGCACAGATCAAAGGCTATTATTTTAGAATCATTGGCAACAGAGCAGTTTTGGTTATTGGTCAGTTATTCATCTGTTACTCATACGTTTTAAGCTTTCGTTACATAACAAAACTAAAAAGCATCGATGACCTGAAATTGAGGAGAATTCTGGAAGAAGGGCTCCATGTAACATGGAGGCGTTCGGTATTTCGGTCCAGCTCATCAGGTGAAGCAGGCAGCAATGATCTCAGGTGCGATGCTGTTTGTGCAAATAACAAAATCCAGGAGCCCACCTGGACTATTATAAGCCTTCCTTCTGCAAATTTTACCGCTGGTATATGAGAGGGCTGGAAATGCTTACGATGATCTCTTAGTTTTAACAATCCATTTCTCATCGATAACATTAATTGAACATCACAAAAACCAAAAATATTTAATTATTATGAAGAGCCACATCATGAAATGCTCGCTTTGTCAAAAGTTTTGGAAATTCAAGAGACAAAATGTGATAGTTCACAACTGTTCTTAAGTGACAAAACACAAGATAAGTATGGGGAACAGATGAGTAAATGGTACAGTAATGGATAAAAACTAATCTACAGCAATGGTTTAATGCATCAGTCACAAAAAATGTATTTTTCTTAGGGATAGGTCATTAATTACACACATCTAATCGGAAGCATGAACAATAACCGTGAATTTTTGTGACTCATTCAACTACGTAAGTGATTCATGTGAATGAAGCAAGACCAAAAGTCAAGTTAAGGCAATTTCAAGGCAAGGACTTGAACCACTTCAGTGAAGGTTAAAACGTGAAAAATGGAGTGATAACAGGAAATTCAGGTAATTTTTCCTGAAACATAACAACTGCAAAATATCTATTTCATGACTTCTAAATTAACTATCAAAGCCAGTCAGTGATCACTGTGGTCACCCTAAACCACCATAAAATGAGCAAAAAAGTGCACAAAATATTTTTTCGGCAAAATTTTCAGGAAAATGTCAGATGAGGACACAGTGTTGCCGCCCAATTGCAGTCAAGGAATCCACCAAATGGACACTGGACAGTTTAAATAAGAGTATGAAACAAGGATAAAGACCAGTGATGCCATCGTGCAAACCCACAGCAGACCTATCACCATCTGACACCTATTTCCGTGAAATCACCTATGAACTCTCATTAAAAATGAATAGCTATTCAAATGATAAACAGTTTTTATAATATATTTCTTCTTTTGGAAATGAAAAAAAATTAATAAAAAATTCTTAAAAAACATTATTTTCATCATACCGGCAATGTTCTACTTCCTGTTTTATTTGTTTGGAACAAATGCAGACATTTTATAGATGCATTGCAATCATATTGTTTCATGAAGAGCTTGGTCTGACTAACATGAGAGGAAAAAAATTCACATGATGAAAGAAAAAAAAGAAAAAAAATTAAATAATAGTAACAACTAACTAAACAGTAAGAAGCTCATCTATGGACAAACTGCCTACGGAGGATTCATTGTCAGTTGAAACAGGAGGTTGCTAATGGTTATTCAACATAGTTTGTAGCTTGTGATATTTCACGCTACCGTTTCTTTTCTTCTTCACTTATAAACAAATCGAAACGCATATAAAATTTTTTAGTTCAATAATTTGATTTTCAATCTAAGTTTACAACTTAAAGTAATTTTTTTACATGAATACATGAATTTCTAACATTTTACATATTGATTACATTTTAAATAAAATATATATGCACTGTCAGTATTTTCATACTAATTTGTTTTGTTTTGAGAAAACCTTGGTATAAAAGCATGAAAAATTCAGAGATAATAGTGAAAATTAAATAAGCTGCCATTTCCCAGACAAATCAACTCCCTTTTCGAAAACGCTTTTTACTGCTCTCCTGTATTAACATGAGTGACATAGTTTTTATTTGTTAAATGAAATATTCTTGTACTTGAGCTTAAATTAATTTTTAGCAGAAAGAATGGAAATTAGAATAATCCATGTTTGAGGGAGAGCATTAGAAATAGTATCTTAGAAAAAGAAGATGGATCACTTCAAAAATGGCTGATTACAATTAGCGGTCACTGTATTGACTCAGTCTTCCCGCTTTCACGACAATTTCCTTGTGGATGCTTTAATAAACTTGAAGATTTGTTACAAAAATAACTCATGATAAATTTAGTTAAAAAAGAAATATCTTACAAACAAAGAAGTGAATGGAAAATTTGTTTCTGAATTTATCTTTTAATCAGAAATAACGATTAGTTTTGTGCAGGACGTAATAGTTAAAACGAGTTAACTCCCTTCATTTTAATTAACAGTGATGATATTTGCTTATAAGAAAGAATACTACTTAGTTGACAGGGACAGGAACCAATGCCATCGTGATGCTCATAAATAGAGAACAATACAGAGATAAACATTCCTATTTACCAACGTTGCGTTGAAAATATAATTAATTCAAGAAGGCTTTTCAAACCTCCTTAAAAAAAAGATGTCTCTTTATGTTTTTACACATGATGGCAAACATTTTCCTTCAACTTGACTTAGTCCCACCGATTAAATGTTAAACTTTTTGATTACTTTGGCATATAATAAGGATGACCTTCTGTTTTCAAAGTCTAGAACATAATACTTTCTTAAAGCTATGCTTAATCGTCCATGTGATGAATATGCTTACTATATAATTTTGAGTATAGGAGACAGAATCTGAAGATTATTGAAAGAGGGTGTTTTCAATAAAAAAATTAATGAAACATTGCTAAAATATGTGACTATTCTGGTTACATAAAAATCAGAAACTTGAATGAGCAATTAATCTTAAAAAGAATGAGAATGAACATGTTGGGAAAAACTTTCAATTTTTCATCTTAAAATTTTCTGCGTTTCTAGTATAAAATTTTTGGTTCCTATGAATAATTTTCTCTGGGTAATTTTAGAGAGAAAAAAAATTAGTTTACAAAACATTTCTCTGCAAAATGGGCTTTTGTGGGAGCATTGCTTGATCATTTTGTATCAAGCAGGACCAAAATAGGACAGAAAATCTATAAATATACGAGAGATAAGTTTGCATGTTTCTCAGTTGAACCAATATTTTTCTCAAGGGCCCCAGTGCCAAAATCCAAGTTTCAGGAAAAACTGTACGTTCAATCTTTTGAGCCCAAAAAATGTATGTTGAAGAATATTCACTGCAAGTAGGCTTAAAAGATTAAAAGCTTGCTCAACAGCACACTTTGTTCGGTTTTTCTTGAAAGTTGGTTTTGGCCTTGAGCCGTTAGGAAAAGAATTGGTTCAATTGTGGAAGAAACAGCTGTCATGATATATCTTCATCAAGGGGAAAAATTCCCATCCCCACAAATGAATAGGTTACACTCAATGAAAGGAGGTGAACACTAAGCAACTCTAGTGTTACTCTTTTCCACTTTCAGGAAGGCCTTTCATCTAGGCTGTGTGATTTAGGGATATTCAAACTCTTCTGGCTGGTAAGATTAAGTACATGCTAAAAATAATGGGAAGGGCATTTGATCAATGGTAAGAAAAAATACTATACAAAGAAGTTAAAAAGATTCAGGGAAGAAGTTACTATAATGGCAGGGTACTTAGCTCTTGCCTTGATGAGCGTGATGGTGGCCACTTGTTTTTTGGGCTTTCTTCTTGCGAGCGGCCAGCATGTCATAGAACGGATTATGACTTATGCTTTGCCTGAAAAAAAAAAACCAGAATGAAAGATCTTATTCATTGATTGAGTCATTGACTGGGTATTTTTGCAAAATGATGCAAAAATACACAGTGATGTTGCCTTTTGAGGGAACATGACTCAATAAGAAGATACAAGACTTGAATTCGTGTACAAAAGCAACTTTAATGCAGAGATAGAGGCAATGCGAAATAGGAAATCCTGCGTCAACTTAGAGGCTTTTAGGAAAACTTGGAATGTTTCCAAGACGTCTTTGATTTGGAGTTTTTCTTACAATTGAATTACTTCGTGCGAAAGCCGCTTAGTTACATTAATCTAACTTTCAGTCTTATGGTGTTAGTAATAATTTTCAAGAAACGATACAGCAAGGAAAAGTTTTCTATGACTCTGGTTACATTTTTATAAATTGTCACCTTCTGGCTAAAGTAACACGAGTGGCATTTGTGCTTATACACATGTTGCCAAACTTCTCAAACTTGTCCGTATTCTTATTGAAAAAATAATACAAAAAATCATCAGAAAATTTTGTCATCAACATTCATCCTTGAAATTTTCATAAAAGTATATGCGACAGTTTTAAAAGAAAAATTGATAAAGTATTATTGAGATGTCCTGCAACACAGTGTCTGAGCATAAATGGCATTTGTGATACTTTGGCCAGGAGAAGACAAAATGTGGATCCAAAAATTAAACATTTCTAAGCCACGATATAATATAGAACTGCAATTAAAATTGCTCTGTTCAAATGTAAAATTTGACACTTGTGCATAACTGTTAGCCATAAATGTTAAGAAACCATTTTAATTGTCTGAGTAAATTTCTAAATTTTCATATGAAAAGTAAAGATGGGTGTTGAAAGTTTACAGCCTTTCAGAGGCCAAATTTATTTTTCTTCCATGAACATATGCAAAATTGATGAATTCAGACAGAGTATAGAATGACAGAACTTCTAAAAGTAATATTTGAAAGTGGAACACCAATTTTTATAAAGATTCGATGATGTTCGGTGGTTCAAGGCAAGGAGGACAAATAATCTTGTTCTCTATCAATGAAAAAAATGAATATGCTTTCAGAGAAATTATTAAAAGGTCAAAGACTACAAAAAAATGTACATTTTTGAAACTCAACTCACCTTAGACAGTGAATCCATTCATCCTTCTCCTCAGACGTGGCAGCTGACATGCGGTATACCGTGTGCTTCCCTGTAAGAGAGGAACAATAATAGGCTTAAAATAAATTTTAGATAAGAGAATCAATCATATTTGGCAGATATCTAGGAACAGGAAGTAGAAATCTTGCCAAAGAACACCTTCCTAGGAATAGTGAGGCAGAGACCTTGCTATGAAAAAACACCATATGAGGCATTCAAATGTAGCCAAATTTTTTCCTATGAGACATTCATTTTTAAAGAAAGTTATACATAATTTTCTCTAAAATTTTTGGACACCATAAATTAAATCGTGACTAAAATTCTCAGAAAAATTTGGGAAAAAATATCCAAAACTTTCTCGAAAAATTCGCATTTTATTGAAGTAAATTTGGCAACGCCTGAAAGCTCATATGACATTCTTCCTTCGCACGGCAAAATAAGTATTCTGAAGCTACAGTTGTTTCAAAATCAACACTGAGGGACTCTTGTTATTGCAACTCTTCACTAGAGAAGAAAAGAATTATACATCATCTCCCAGTCAAAAAAAAAAAAAGCCCATAAAATAAACATTTTGCTTATAATAGAAAAGATTATATTTTTGTTTCTGAAAATTCAGGTGCTACCTGTATTCAGAGTTGTACAGAAAGAGGAAATGAAAGTAGTATTTTTAAGTTCTTAAATCTGTCACATAAAACATTCAGGAAATTAATTACCTTCGACCACTTTGCCTTCGCTGTCCGTTTTGCAGGCCTTGATGAAGTCTGAGCCTGTGGCGAAAAGCTCGAAGCAGTGTGGTTTGTGCCTATCGCTGGCTTCTCGCACTTGGATGTTTTCTAGAGGAATAATACCACGAGGCTCCTTGTCAGTCGTGTACTCAAAGTAGTACAAACAGTTGTCATTTAGGATGAACCAACGTCTCTTCCAGCTCTTGTATCTACCACCTACAAAAGATAAGACACGCTTTAAGACCTAGAATTTTCATGGCTGATATTTTAAGTGTGCAAAAACACATGTTTGGATGACAGGGGGATGAGAAGATTATTTCACTGCACAAGTTTTACCACAGGATTAAGAAGGCTAAAAAAATGTATTTAAACTCGCTTCACAAGTAAAATTCTGGTCCAGACATGTTACAAGATGGTTGGCTGCTGTTATTATTGGAATGTTGATGGAACATTTTGGTGACATCAGCTACTAAAAAGTCAATACAATGGAAGATAAATGATTGAAAAATGTGGGATTTTTTAACTTGCAAAGCTTTTTAAATAGAGGAATCGCTGCAGGCACAATGTAAAATTGAAGGGTTGAGAAAATTAACTTGGATTCTGTCAAAACGGTTGTAAGACCACTTTTCTTGTGTTCCTCTTGGGACAAAACAATCAATATGACCAGTGCCCCCTTGCAAAATTTATTCAACTCCTCAACACTAGCGTTTTCCTGGCTTCACAAGTATTGAACACATCGAGCATCGTCTCGGCGGTGAGTAGTCAAAAAATGTGTAAAAAAGAGAGGAATGGACCCGTTTAGCAAATAAAACCTACCTTGTTTCCACAACCAGCCTTCTTTGTCTGGGTTGAAGAAAGTGTGCATGAGGTCATTTCCATCATCCTCTGGTATTTTGAAAGGCTCTGTCTTGATGCTTTCATACAAACTCTGTGGTAAAAATATGATGATGTGATAAAAATTAATTTAGAATTTACGAGGAAATTGCCCTAGATGTTCAGAATAGAAGAGTAAGAAGAGGGGAAGCGAGTAAGGAAATCTGTGTGGAGCAAAAGGCAATGAGTCAGTTGCGCTGGTCACAGAATCGTGTTTTCATGATTGATTTTTGTAGATTAGCTAGAAGTAATAAGATCCGTTCAAACCGCAACTCTCTATGTCTAGTAATAACTGAGATATCGCCCATTGAAAAGTCAGGTTTTTGATGTCATCCACCGCGGTAGTGACACCCTTGGTTATTTCCTCTTTTGTTCGATTAGTGATGCAAAGGGTGCAAAGCGAAACTTTAATGACATTAGACACAAACAAACTGTGGTGAACTGACTGACTGCTTAATTTCTCCGCGTGGAGCGCGTTATCTCCTCATTAGAGGATTCTTGAAGCGCAAATCCATCTGTTTCTTGAGTCTGTTTATGTTTAATATCGTTAAAGTTTCGCGTTGCGCCCTCTGTATCACTGATCTAACAAAAGAGGAAAACCAAGGGTGTTACCACCGCGGTGGATGACGTAAAAAACTGGACTTTTCAAAGGGCGATATCTCTGTTAGTGCTGGACGTGGAAAGTTGCAGTTTGGACAGATCTTATTATTTTTAGCTAATCTACAAGAATCGATCATCAAAAACACGATTCTGTGACCAGCACAACTGACCAATTTCCATGAGATTCTAGCATTACTAATTTGATATTTTTGGGGAATGGAGATTCAGCTGAGCATCTAAGATGGTCCGTTAAATTTGGTGGCGGTGTTACTTGTTTCAAAAGTCTTCATTTGACAATAGAATTGCCGAAAGCAATCCTCTTTCAAAAAGGCTTCAAAAAATTACAATTAGAATACAAAACACATTCCCTTCATTTTTGAGTCTTGTAATTGTCCACTTTGACAACAACAAACACTCTAGGAATAAAGAAAATACTATGAGCAAAATTTTATGGAAAATTGGTGAAAACTCCGGTAAACGAGTTCAACGTTGGAGATTTTACTTGAGGGACACAGTAGATGGCAAACCCTTTGAATTTATTAAATTGTTTTCCTCTAATGCCAACTTTACTGAGTTTGAAACTTTTTTTAATCAATTCCATAAATTTTAAATTTACTTCCTACTTTTGACTTAATCATTTTTCCCATTAAAACCAGCAGAGATTAAAATCATTATTTTAAAATGGGTGTATACTGCTGACGACTTAGTAAACTTACGGACATATCAGTGATAATATAAAGGATAACTTACGACGAGAAGTTCTCGGGGAAGATCTCCTCCATTGTTGATTCCTCGATTCATTGAAATAAACTGTTCAACCGATGGTTTGTCCTTCACACTTGGATTGTGTAAACTTGTATTCAGCATGATTATTGCAAATGATAGTACATAGCATGTATCTATTCAATACAAAGAAAATACATAGATGTTTAGATGTAAAACAGCTTAAATTAACCAACAGTTTTTACCAACTTTGGTGGCAACCAGTGATTTGCGTCGCAACATTAAGCCTGGTGTCTCCCTGAATTTCAGAAGAGAAATTTTCCTATTTTTTCAGACTTTCTTACATCAAAATTACAATATGCCATTTTTTGACCTATCCACTTAACACTCTTTGAGGAAAGAAAAAATAATGTATAACAGAAAATTCACAACAAAGCTGCTTTTAATTTCAAAAATCTCTGTTTCCCTTTCTTAATATTAAATTTTCTAACATCTTTCCTTTAATATGAGCAATAAAACAAAATTAATTTTATTAATGTTTTTAATATGACCTTGGTGAGAGGGTCTAAAGGACTGTAATATGCAAAGAGATTAAAGTTGCTACTCTACAGGGGTGCAGAATCTTCCGAGCTTCCATATTCTCACGCGCCCGCCAGTCAGCTTTCCACATTTTACTCATCAGTTTTCCACAAAATTTCAAAAAAGAGGGCCTTCTTTCTCTTCTTTGCTTTGATTTTCGACTTTTGACTCTTAAAGATGAAGGTGCGTGATCAAGCATTTTCTGCACCCCAGCTACCCTACAGCAGATTAAACATCATCTTTCTGTGGAGAAAATAAGTTAGGGTTGCAAACAGCAACAGATGTGAATTGCAGCAAAACACTTACCAGTGTTAGTGAATATATTTGGATTTAGCTGACAGTATCGTTGGGCAAAGCATTCCATCATCCTATCAATTTTTTGAGCTTCACCTGGTAGTCGGAAACTCCACAGAAATTGCCTAAAAAGAAAAACACATCTTAATAACATCGCCTATTGGAAAATGATGAGGAACAGGATGATTGAGAAACAATGTTTTACTGGCAATCATAAGAATTACATGAGGAATGATATTTGACGTCCCATACTTACCTCTATGTTACAAACCCTTCCTCACTACAAGAAACAAATACACCTAAAAAAATAACACCCATAGATAGGCAGTTGCCTCTTGCTATGGCCAATCTGAGGGGATGAAAAACTGACTTTTGTGCCTGGAAAAAAAATGCCGAAATTTTCAAACACTGTGACTGGGCAGTCAAAGTTTTAAAACACCATTGTGATGCTAAAAGGTGGATGGAGGGCATCCAACAAGGGATAGAGATGCCAGCTTCTGGAAATCCTTCACCTTAATAGATTCCAGGCAATTGGACATTGCAAGTCACCCTAGTGCAATGTAAAAGTGACTAATACATACATTGTAACGCAAAAATGTGTGCTTGCTTTAGCTTGAAAGTTTGGCTGAAACCTGCAAATTTGAATACGAGAGCCAGAAAAGTGTTTTAAAAACGTTCAGACAACATTCAAGTGACTGTGCCTGGACAATAGAATAAAATTTTGATGAAAAATGAAGGACAATGGAAATTTATTAAAAACTTGTTGATATTAAGGGTGGGAAACGTTGCTAGCTACTATACTTAACACAATTAAATTTGGGATAAAGAGGAGACTGAGATGACTGACCTCAAAGCTTGAACAAGAATTAAGTCCGTGAAGTCATGGAGCTCAACAAAAGACTTTAGGACACGCTCATTAAATTCATTTCTTTCACCCAAGTAATCTCCAATGGCCGTTTTGTTGAGTCCTTCTCCTTTATACAGGAATGCAGCCACGTCTTCTTGCGTTGGTTCCAGCAGCCCATGCTCCACCAAGTATTCAATACCTTTCTTCGGGTCCATGTTGAACTTTTTCCGTCCAATAGACATCTGTTTAGTTCTTGTTTGGTTTTTACTGTAAAAAGTATGATTGAAATGTGTTATTGATTTTAATTATTGGGATACAGATAACTTTGGAAGATGTGATCTCTGCATGCTTGACAAAAAATTCAAGTACTTTCAAAAAAGGCACCCCACCCGAATTGATCTTTGAAAACGCAACAACCTCTCACGTAACTGTGAGTTTAGTTCACATACTTTTTCTTATAGCGATTTTGTCTTCATCTGCATGAATTTTGGGGACAAATACATTGCCAGTTCTTGGGAATGAATTACAATTGAATGATAAAAAAAATTGAGAATAAATGAGGCATTTTTTAATACCTGCTGATAAAAGACAATCTTGATGAATGGGTCAGATAAGCTGGTCATGAAATCGTGTTTTGATGGTTCAAGCTCACAGATTAGCATAAAATAATGAGATCTCTTCAAAAGTCAAGTTTCTAAGTCCAATAATGACAAAAACGCGGCGAATGATACCACCCATTTATGGATAATGTCATGAACCAAGTTTTTCAATGGGCAATACCTCCATTAATATGAGACATAAAAATTTGATGTTACAACAGATTTTAATAATTTTTGCTGATCTACAAGATTCTGTGACTGGCCTAGCTGATCTGCGGGCCGATTATTGAAAGTTTAAAGCAGCCCGATAAGACATCGAATTTCGATATATTGCATGGTTAAGATAGGGCTATGTCTTGCCGTGTCAGGCCAACATAGTTTCAATAATCGGGCCACTGACCCATTGGGTAATGGCTTCTCCGGGTTGATGAAGAAGAAGAGAAATCGCAGCTTTTTTACTTAAATTTTCTGATGATAATGGTATATTTGCATTTGTTTACATTAGCCCTGAGTGAATCTTTTAAAAGAATCAAAGAAAAAAGAAACAAATTTTCATACCTGAACCAACTAATCCATTTATTGGTAGTAATTAAAGTTGCAGTAACCACATTCATCAATTGTTGATAAATTTCCTGTGCTAATAGAGCTTTGCAATACAGAAAATTAAGGGCATTTGTCTACACGTATGTGATGAACAAGGCCAATTTAAGATGGTGAAAAAATTAAGTTTTTTCCTTCCTTTTTTTTTGAGAAAGGAGGTATTTACCTGTCATCTGCAGCATCCATGTTCTCCATTTCTGACATGACTTCTCCCAGTTCATCTTTCAATTGCTACATAAAGGACAAATAATAGAAATTAAAAATGGGCAATAACATACTAAATAAATCATTGCAGGATCAAACTTACTGCTGCTCCCTACATTTAAAAATCTCAATAGCATTATTTTTCAAATTAAAGCTAATTTACTTCAAATGCTACAATTTTCAGGATTATTAGACTTAGGAAACAGATAATTAATCTTCATTATTGTTCCTGCGACTTGAGCGAGGTTATAAATTTCATAATAACAATTATATTAGTTTTTGCCTGAGGCTGGTTGTTGGGTATCGACTAAGGGAGGATGGGACTTTGACTGAAAACCCAGGATTACCCTCTCGAGGATATTTGAAGTGAACAAAAAAAAAGACATGCAGCAAATAAGTCTGAAATTTAGATCAACTATTGCCAAACATGGCGTTCAAATATAAATACCTATAGCTTTGAATCTTTGTCGCATCTTTGCCACTTGAGCAACATTATCAAAAATTGCCATGGCTCTTCAAAATTAGGCTTGTTGGCTGAGGGTTCCTATTATTTTGAGATGAAAATAGAACACTGGACATGAGAGAACATTAAAATAAAAGCCCCTGCGGCCTACTCAGAACGTTCTAGAGAATTTCTGACTCCAGCGGGCTGATTTTTACTTTGAGGCAGCCCGATAAGACATTGAAATGCAATATATTGCTTGGTTAAGATAGGGCTGTGTCTTGTCGTGTCCAGCCGATATAGTTTCAATGATTGGGCCACAGATGCCTGGCTAGAACTGGGGAAAGAAAAAAGAGACAAAAGTCACATCAGTCTGGATGCATCAATCATCAGTTGGCCCATTGGTTAGCATGTAAATATCTGATGAATGGTGCCATTTTCGGATGCGACATTGGTCTCTTCTTTTCTTTCCCCAGTTCTAGTTATAGACTGTTACTCCTGAAGTTTGATGGGTTCCAATGAGTTGATTGTCCAGCCAGAAATTTACTTTATGAGCGTTTTCTTTTATTGATCGGCGGTACGACCGCTCACCAAACTGCGTTCTTTAACTCACTGATTGGTGTTGACGTCGACCGGTGGATTTGCGCCCACAAATTTACCGCTCGGAGTTACTTTCAATCTACTGGTGGACAATCTATCTCTCCTTCAGCCTAATCTCAGGCCAAAAATAAACAAACAAACAAATGAGAAAATGTGGCTATTTCGCACGCCCCGCCGCTGCTGAATCTGATGGATCTGCATTGTCATTGTTGTCTATGTATTGAATTATGTAATATTCAGGTTTTTTTAGTGTTATTTTTCCTTGTACTTTAATTATGGCAGAAAAGGAGATGATGATGGTACATTGAGTACATATTTACGCTATTGCAGTATCATTGAGGTAAAGGTTTGAAGAGAGGAAGAAATCCATTTGTTTACATTGGTGGAAAGTGCGTACTTAAACTCCTGACTGATCGCGGGCAATTTCGTAACAAAATGGCAAACGGTGGATTTCCACTTGTGGTTCTGCCGATCAAAAGAAGAAAACACCTGTAGAGACTATCTATCTGACAAAATGTGTGCAAAGACATTGCCTTGATGGTGTTAGGGGACAATTTTTGCACTGATTTTCCAGACAGGTGATGAGCTGGGACACTGGAGTCAAAGTAAAAGCTTGAAACGACAATACAAACCTGAATCTCAAGCAGCAACTCTGCTTTCCTTCTCCTGATTTCAATTAGCATTTTCTGTTGATCAGGTGACAAATCTGAAATAGAAAAAGGAAATGACTAGTTTACCTCTTATATTCTGAATGAATGTAGTAACCAATAGATTTAATACTATGCTTGAGAACTGACCGCAGAAATGAAAGAAGTTTGAAAATCTTGGAAAATATTAGGTTCAGCAGGTGGCTAGAGGCACCAAGCTATGATGTTCTTGTATCTGATACACACTATTTTTCCTCTACTTGTTTGGATGGGAATAGGTCCACTAACTTCCTAAAACTATGCTCTAAGAGAACCTTCAACAAACAATCAAATTTTTAAGTTAATTTAGGTATATTCAGTCATGAAGGACGAAGAAGATAGGCATCTAATGATAATTTTATAGGCTAACTCCAAGTAGACTAAGGTCCAAATAGACAAGCCAGATAATACTACACCCAGCTGATTATATCCAATTTGCAGGCATGTGCATTATTGAGAGGAAAACTAGGAGGATTAGGGGGGAAACAAATTGAATAAAAGTTGGTCTTTAGAATTAGCAGATGTCTAACTTAGTTAAGCCTCTGGGCGGGTAAAAGTTCAAGAAGCGGACAATTTCAGCATTTCAATAAACAAACTATGCCTCCAATTCAGTTAGGTTCTATTAAGATAGAATACCCGTATTCTTACACTATTCATTATACCCAAAAGATGTTTCAATGAGAGTACCAATTACATCCTGTTCCAGTGAACTCTAACCTTCATCTCCGATGAATGCGAAATGAAATAGAGTGAATATTTGCGGGTAAAATTTTCCTTACCGTTGATATTGAAATTCTCTGAATTGAGGTGATTATTCATGATGTCGTGGAGTCCAGGACCTCAACATCTATGCGGGAAACACATGCGTGCAACTGTTGGACGCTCGGTGACAAGATTGGAGCTAACACTCAAAAGAGATTTTACTTTAAAAAAAATTACAAGAAGTCATTCAGAATTATGAGCTAGCGAGATAGGGAACAATATAATAATAGAACGACTGGGGAGTCAAAGTCTAGAACAGAAAGGCAGAATTATGAAAATCAATGGATTCTAGCACAGACACTGTCCACCAAGACTGAAGTGGACACACGGATCGTCGAACCGAACTTCGGATCTCTCAACCGACTGCACTGACTTCACTAATGAACATTTTAATAATGATTGATTCACGAACGGTGCAATTTTGCGACATTCCAAACTGAATCTTCCAAAAATAACAGACAAAAGAATGGGCTTCCCCTTGGCTAATCACCGTTCAGCCATCATTGAAAGATTTGGTGTATGTAAATAAAGGATGACGTCATTATCCAGGGATACGTCACTATATGAAGACGTCGTCGATGATTCACTGATTTCAACACTGGCAGCGCTCTGTCGGCAAGTTTCAAAATTAAAAGTCTTGAATATCCGCGGCCAGATAAAATATCCGCGGTTGGTGAAAGATTTTCCTGACGTGCTCTCACTTACTTGCTGGGTGGAGAAATGGGTCTAAATTCGAAAAATTTAGTCGCAATAACATGAAATCTCCAGAAGAAATAAGAGTTTCAATACTGGTCGAAAATGGTGTGGAGCTAATTCAATTTTTCACATTAACATTACTAATTAGTATTAAATAACTTTTTAAGTGGATTGCATTTTGCAAAAAGGAACCAGAAGAATTACGATGATGCTAAGATTGTGCATTTTCATCCTTTGCAATTAAATGACTGAAACCATGACAAAATATGAAATTTACATTGTAATTTTGTCTTAAATTTACAGTTTTTAGCTAGTTAAATAGAAACTGTTAGTGGATAATCAGATTTTTCTTCCAAGACAAAAGAAGTTGCACAATCTTAGCAACATTGCATGCTCCTGGTTCCTTCTTGCAAAATGCAATCCAAATGTTCTCAGTCTCCTCAGTTCTTTCATGAACCGTAGCAAAAAATGTAGATCCTTTTATTCTCTCTGCTTATTTGAATCGGCAATCCAAAGTCATATTGAGCTGCTTATATTGATTGTCTTTCAGACTGTCAAGGCACAACTTTTCCTAAAATTGAAGCACTGGTAGCCTAATTTAGCTTTAAGTTAGCGGCACAAAAAATATATATATCTGTTATGTGAATCAATTATTGAAATCCTAAATTTTTGGTTAGTAGCTCTTGTGGTTTCCATCCATTTCGGTCATCTTTTTCCGAACACATTTTTGATACTTTGTGATACTATAGGTAACTCCTAAATGAGTCCTTGTTTCACTCAGAAGATCGGAGGGATCTCAAAACCAAAGAGTAAATTCTTTTACTGTACCTACAAAAGAATTCATGATAATCAAATTTAAGAAAGGCAAGAATAAGAGCTGCTGTTCAATTGACAAGTTAGCATTTATTTAAACAACGATTAGATCAATGACGATAATCATAGGTACAAAGGATAGTTGAATTTACTATAAAACCTACAAATAAAAATAGTGATAGTATATATTTATGATAAAATGACATCAATATCATTAACACGTACATTACGATAATTTTAATTGTGATAAAACATAAAAACAAAACTGAGTCTTTACAACTTAAAACATGTATTTACAAGGTCGAGAGATTAAAGTTGATTGTACTGACTAATAAACGTGACACTCAACAGGGACCTAACTTTCATCCAGCGGAAACAGTAAGTACAAATCTAACAAGGAATCTGAGTGCCTGCGCAAATTTCCAATAGCATCACACAATAAATACCTACATCACAACCAATTTTTAGATTTGCCGCGCTTGAAGCAGGAACACAAAGCCAAAGTGATATGAACAAGAATTTACCAGCAACTGCGAAGAATAAGACAATCGTTGCTGTTGCTTTAAAACAAGGGCACAACTTAAGGTTAAAATAACCTTCTACCCCGCATGTACTTAGTAATTCGCTATGCAGTCATTATAACTGATTATTACACTTTTTTCTTTTCTTTTTCTCATTTTTCTTTGTGGTAAATACAGGCAATATTCCAGTACACATGGAATTCAGAATGATTTCTGAAAAATTTGCAATGCACTGAGGTTATGACTGAAAAGTTAATTTACAGGAAGGAGAAGCCTGAGAACCTCCATGCAAAAAATCAGCTTAATAATTATTTGTGTGGAGGGAGAAAAGTTTACAAAATATCAAAGTTTCTAACGATTTGAAATTCCATTTTCTTTTTATCTTGTACCATACTTTTGCCGTAATGTTAGAGGGGAAAATTAATTTATACATCTAAGTCCTACAAAAGTGATTTGGGGCCAGATTCTAAAATGTGAACTCTGTTTCTGACACTCGTTTTCAAGGTACATAAATTCAAATGGAATGAAAGGGAAGGAAGATTATTCTAACCCAACATCGGCCCAGTTATTGAAATTATACAATGATGTTTCTTTCATTTTGAATAGTTATTAGTAAAGAGTTTTTGTGGGCGAAACTAGGGGTTCCTTGTGAAGGGAGTAAAGAGAACAGCATACCCTCCTGTATCCCTCGACAAATATATTTAATTTCTTGGTCTTAAAAATTTTCTGAAGAGCGCTGAGAGGATCTTTAGGCCCTTTAAGGCCACCCGCTAGTTCCACCTTTGAAAGTTTTTTTTCAAACAACAAGAGGGGAGAATTTTCTGAGTCATGAAGTAAAAAAATAGATCTTAACTGACAGCCAAATAGTGCAGTATATAAACTCAATTTTTGATTTGTAAAGTCCGTTTGGCCGGTAACTTCAGCAGGATTTGCAAGTATTAATCACAAACATCCTTGAATTTTTTACAAAAAAAATCCGATAATTATAACTCCACAATTCTTCCAAAAATGTTGCATAGTTCAACAGTTATAACATGCCTCATGTCTGACAAGAAACACGGGTTTTTCTCCATAAAAGTGTGCGCCGATTTGTTTTTGCTACGTTTTTTACATTTAATGCCAATATACCAGCTGCAAATTCAGAAAACTTGTGTTTTGGTGGATTACATGGAAATATTCGTAAAAAATACTGACAAAGATTCAACTATCGAATTTCCTCATCATTTATTATTAGAGATGAACGGATGAAAAAAGGATGATTGCACATATCGCCTCTTAGAAAACTTGATGACCGGCTTTATCCCTACCACAAGACTTGGTCGAGTGCCGCAATTTGAGCAAGCAGTGCAAATATGTACATTGTTGATTAATCAGACCAAGGTGGAGAGAGCCCTGGGATAGGTGTTTGTAGTAAATAACACGATTCGATAAGTTTCTCTATAGGCACTGTTACCATTTAAAGGGTCGTAGAAGTTTGGAATTTCGATCAGCATAATTGGTTTTTGCTAATATGAATCTAGGGTATCAATCGAAGTAAACTTTAGAGCTGTTCAGCTGGGCTGATTGTAGGCTCCAATATTTTTAGGGTTAGAAGTGTGAAACAAAAAGTCAAAGAATTATAAAACAACCGGAAAGAGAAGAGATGATGTCTCTGTTCAAAGTGTTAACTGTTGCCACACCCAGGGCTCTAGAGGACAGCAGAATAGAGGAGATAGTTGTACCGCCATATTGAAACTAGAATGGAGGCTTCAACTGAAAATCGGTTCAGTTACTCCGAAGTATACCATCTTTTGAGTTCAAACAGTAAAACAGAAAAAAAAATAACTAACGGTGAGAAAAAAATAAATAAAAAAATAATGTACAAAAAATAATCATAAAGATAAAAACAGTTTGGACAGTTCCACAGAAAATAAAAATTTCAAATACTAATTATATTTTTGGGATGTAAGTATTTTTCAAAGACAACTTCTCAGTGCTGGAATACGTCTGAAACTGCCTACATGGTCAATTCATCTCACAATCAGATCTTGCAGGGTCTCTGAACAACGGCCAGGCATGTTCATCAAAAAATTATGGTTTGATGGAATATTCTTGTCCAAAAATGAATACTAATAAAAAAATTCTGCTAACATTGAATTTCGCCTTCATATACCAATTAGATATTGTCAACCGAAAGTAGCACAGAACAATATTCACTCAAGAAGGTAAACAAAAATCTGCCAACTGTTCATTGAAATTCGGTCTTCATCGAAGGGGTGTGGTATAACTCAGCTGAAATGGTAAAGCTTTAAAGGTTGTTTGAATCAGCTAGCTAAATTTTTTTTCCTCGCTTTCAACCCATTTAACACAGATTATTGCTTAAATTACCAAAAATACGAAGTATACATTGATAAAAAATACAAGTAAAAAAAATGAATAAAGCAGGAAGATCTAAGTTGAGAGCTTTGAGCAGAGTGTTTTGTTTTTAATCACATCTGGCATGCGATATGAGTTCTGCGGTTAAAATAGAAAAACTCAAGAAAGTTTCTTGGTGGTGGATAGTATTATCCACAACATACATTGATTGGCAATATCTTAGATGCATATAATAAACACATTCGGTATTTTAAGTAACAGTTCATTTTCTTTTACTATAGATAAGAATCAACCATCAAAACACAATTCAGCAAGATGCACCCCTGATCCAGTTTCAAGGTCTTGCTCTTGTTACCTTTTCCAAACTTATCTTCCAGTTTGCATGACTGTCACTTTCAATGATTTAAAAAATAAGAAATATGTTTTATTCAATCCGTTGTCAATCCTTCCATTCTGAAAAAAGCATGCTCTCTAAAAGGAAAAATACTTATTCCCGAATGCAACAAATGACGGCAGATCGAATAAATGTATTACTTCTCTTGGTTTTTAAACATTTGTGAGTGCTGCTATTCCAGAACTGAACATAATAAATTCTTCTCACTGTTCACTTGCTCTAAAGGGACAAACAGACATCAAACAACTAATCTTAACAAGTTCGTTTCTGACAATATATGAATGCATAATACTGCAGAATTCTCCAGCTGTGAGTGCTGCATAATACTGAGTTAGTTCCAAAAATACACTTTGAGGGGCTTTATTTATTAATGAGATTAAGATCCAAGCAGAAGAAGTTCACTAAGGAAGAGTCAACTATTCCAGAAGCAACTGGTAGTATGTACTGGCAGTTCTTGTTGCTTTTAATGAAAATTCTACTCACTTTGGACTAGAGAATGGGCTCTATATTACACAAAAATGTTCCGCCTGCTAAAAGTGACCAGATGTCTATCCTAAAATTCAACCATGAGCCATTTTGACCAAATCTGGGATCAGTTTTGTGTGTCTCGATTTTATAGAGAAACATTCCGATAACAACAGCTGATAAAAGTTGTCTTAAAGGACCGGTTACATTGAGCTTATTTTTTGAGCAAAGAAGAAAAATTGATACATACTAATTCATGCAACAACCACTCAACCTTTCTATCTCAGATGCTTGTTTATTCTGATTCCCTCTGTTTTACAGTCGGATTGTCTCTAGATATTTTATGATTGTATAAACATGTGCAGTTAAAAATTCAATATTGCTTGTTAAGAAAAGTCTGCTCAGAAATTAGCTCTGGGTTAGAATAGAGGTGACAAGATGCAATTATCTGTTCAGCTTGATTGCTTATTTGGGTTTGCATGACTTTATGGATACTAAAATGAATACTAAGAGAAGAAGACAGTCTTAAATTCTTCAAGCACTTCTACATCTTCCTCTTAGATGCCTGCTGGATTTGGAAAATGTAATGGATCCATCTGATCATCAAAATATGAGAATGGTCTCTTAAGCCAATCAGCAGATTCAGAAATTTCATCTAACAGACCTACAAAAGGAATAGATCGAGTGGAGAATGGCAGAATACAGGTCTAAAAAAATTGACCATGTAGAATATGACTGGATGCTGACTGACCCTTATTCGAAAATGACGAGAGTATTGACATTAATTCAGGAGCACATCTGATCTGTCTCCACATTCTTGTGGAGAGTCTAAGAGCACATAACTCTTAAAAATAGTGACAGTAAAATCGACGCGAACAAGGGGGAGGAACATCACGAAATTACACAAGAGTTGCGACCGACGCAGTTCTTACTTTGATCTATTGAGTTGGAGTTGGACGGCGTTTGTATTGATGATTGATGCGACGTGACTGGATGGCTGTTGCCAAACCTGAGTTTCTTGCTTGATGAAGATTTTATCGTGTGCTGATTCGAAGATGAGGCAGCTGTTGTGTAAGAGGTCATTGTGTATGACTTAAGATACGATTTGATAGGAAGGGGAAGCGGTAACTGGTCAATTCCATAGACAGTAGTGCGCGCCACTATAGCTCGACAACACAACTCTTGCAGCGACAAAACTGCAAAAAAAAAAAAAAACAGAGGTTGAGGTTTGATCCTACCTTAAAAGAACAGCTATTACGACAGAGAAATAAATTGCAAAAAAATGTGCAAGGTGCAGTTTTTGTATTGAAAGGAAGTGTGAGACCACTAAATTGTTGTGTATGTCTGTATTAGCAGCCACTAATTTCCACTGAAGAATACAAGGGACATGGTTATGTTTTGGCTTTCTTGATCGGGTCGCATTATTACATTTTTACTTACTTTTTCGCCCAATGTAAAATTTTTACATCGGGCAAAAAAGTAAGTAAAAATGTCTATACAAGGGACTTTCATGATTGGCATGGAAAGTTTTTGAGCTCGCTTCAGATAGGCTACCACATTGTCCGCCTGTTGCTTTTAAACCTACTTTCAATTGTTTTTATTTAAAATTCACATGTTGTTTTCATGACACAAGACAACAATTAAATGTTTTGAAAATGTTGGGGGCAAAGCTTTAATGGTGATTTTACCAATAAGGGTTTAAATTCAGTCTTAAACTAATGTCTCATATTAGAGAGAAAAGGCTCATCCAAGCACGAACTTTCTCTCAAGAGAGTTATGCTCATATGTTGAGACATCAACTTTGGATTAATATAAATGCACATTGGCAAAAATCACCAACTTGGCTAAACGACCCGTGCATCAAACTGCAATCTAATTGTCGAAGCTTTACAGTCTGAAAAAGAAAGAAAAATTGGTTACCTTTATTCGACCTGAGGAGACGTTCCATTCCATTCCTATGTAATGCTCTCCTAGAGAGTTCACTGAAACTTTCTCGAATATTGAAATCACAGAGAGGGCTCACTTCAAAGAAAGCCATTCTGTTTTTTGATGCATATTGCTCTGCATCCCGAGTGGGTACTTGTCTTTTGAAAGCTAGATGTAGCCGGTTCCCAATCAAAACTTTGGGGATTCCAGGAGCATGCTGCAAGCACACAAGAGAGGTTTTAAAAAATTACATACGACTAACACTTTTGATGGTATACATGTGATATAAATGAGCATCTCAGTCAGTTCCACAGAGGGATTAATGCCTGAAAATCAGACGAAAGTGCAAGTTTATTTATGCATCCCAAATGAATACTTTATTATCTTTTTACCTAGCTACATTTGACCAGTTCCCAATCAAAACTTTGAAGATTCCCTCTGGGGGGAAAATGCAAAGATGATTTTGATGACGAACTATTATCTGACTGCCAGACAAACCATTCATTGACGTACACTACAATCTAGACCCCACATTAGGAAATTTCGGCAAGACGACAGGCAACCTGGATTGCAACATGTGCCGAGACAATGGAAATGCCAGTCTTGCCTGTGCCATTGCCTGGCACGCTTCGTATGTCAGGCTGTATCAACTAAGCTGAAGGCGCGTCTATATCCTGATTTACCCCCATAGCTGTCTTACCTTCCCCGCCTAAAGTCGGGCCTAGTGCGCGGTCTAGATTGTGTTATAAGTCAATGATACCATTCCATCATAGCTCATACGCCATTTTTGAGTGGCCTAATCTATGTGACCAGGAAGCTTGAAAACTGAGAACTTTTGTAAAGTGAAAAAGTTAAAACTCATACTTACACATAAAGGAGTAATGCCAGAAAAAACCCGAAATAAAAATTTTCAACCAAAAATGACTTATGACTCCCCTTAAGATTTTTAAGAAATCACACGAGATAAAAATAGTAAAGAATGGCATGGTTTCAAAACTCACCTCTTCCACCTCCTTTAGCCACCTGTCTATTCCATCAAAGGACCATTTATTGGTGATGTCATAGACTAATAAAATGCCTTGGGCTCCTCTTGAATACGAACGTATGATCGTACAGAATCTACCTTGCCCGGATGTGTCCCATAGTTGCAGCTTGACTCTTTTCCCATCTAACAGGATAGTTGTTGTTCGGTAGGCTGCAAAATACATCAAGAACATAGAAAATTTAGCATGATTCATTCTTCTAATGAAATACATTGAGCTAATAAATTGTCAGACCTGTCACAGACCTTCTCGACCCTGAGATATTGCATACAATTGGAGATTTCGCCAGCTAAGTTGGCACTTTTTTACATTCCAATTTCAAACAACCACAATGCAATCATCTGGTAGGGATAGAGGATTGACTACGCTGGCCGCGGTCAATTCCTCGATCGCTTGCAAGCGGAATGTAAACAAGTGCCAACTTATCTAACAATACCTCTAAAAAAATAATAGATAACCTATGTGAGAGGTGAAAAGAAAAAAAGGTTGTGACTTACTTAGAAAAATTCAGGAAAATGGAGGGTCCTCAAAATTAGAGAGCCAAAATCTTTTTGAGTCAGACGCATTGGTGAAACCAATAAACTTTCCAAAAGCATTACCAGTTGTTTTGGCAGACCTGTGTACCCCAAGTTTATTCTGATTTCCAAAAAAAGGGCTAGACAACCTTAGCGGAAAGGTAAGCATTGAGCGAATTAATGATAAGTAACATATGAATCAACGCTCTACAGGCCCTTGATCTATTAAGTAAAGCACCTAATTTTAGTCGAAAACGCAGTAAGCTACAGAACGTAATCAAAGGGCAGAAAATGCACATCAAAAGAAAACCATCCAGAATAATTCTGGGTCACTTCAATGCAACGAGTTGTCCTCTCCGCTGTAGGTGATCAGCACAGAACTGAGTGAAGAACCTTGCGTTGAACTTAGAATGGGGTTATGAAAATCCAGATGGATGTTCTGGTTGATAATGAGGATATACTTTCAGTCCAAAGAAAGATGTAGGGAGGAAGAAAGAGGGCAGTACAGGCAGGAGACTAGAGAAAGTACAAAGTTACTTAGACTTGAATAAACAAGGGGTTGGAACGACGCAGTAAGCAAATTGCTATATGCCTATATCTGCCGATGGCGTAGCTCAAGTCTACCGAAAGAGGTACATCACCAGTGTTCGCTGAATGCGTGAAACTCGTTTCCGCATTGAAACTGCCTCAAGACCGTGACAGTTTCTCATGATGGCCTGTGGATATAGCACAGATTCAAGCTGGTCATGCCTAACATGAAAGACGAGAGGCTCTTTCAAACACATGGTGGTATCTGGAATATAACTGGAAACTCGAGGCTGCATTTTAAGCAACGATGATGCTCAACTGTTGTTCTCAGAGTTTGGCCGAATGAGGTAGACTTAAGAAATGTGCAAAACAGAGACAATGTGTGGTCACTGCTCAGCGGGAGAGTTGAGGCTATGAAATGTACAAATGTGAACTTACCGCTTCCACTCCAAAATGGGGATTCCGCAGACCCGTCCTCCATGCCACTTAATATTTCTTGCTTCCCTACATCACTGTCTCCAACAAGTAGAAATTTTAAAAGATAATCATACTGTTTCATGCTTTGACAAGTGGATACTCTTGATTCCACAGCCATAACCATTCTCCCTAGGACTTGCTGGTTTTGAAATTGTGAGAAGCATAATAAACTCTAACGAGGAGTGCAAAATCTGCGAGACGATTGGAACACATTTACTAAATCACCATACGAGTTAAATGATAAAAATTCTGAAAAAATATAAGGGAAATCACAACTAACTTCATTGTATTGTTTTGAGTTTTTTTTTGTATCAATATCAATTGGAGAAAAGGAACACCACAGATGAAGAGTTTCAAGTGACGTCAGGCGGCTGACCAACAGGCTGACGTCACCATGGGACTAAAGTTGATCAGCTGATTATTTATCAAACGGCCGTAGTACACGAAACAGTCCGGTATGAAAAATTGCCGCATCTTGAATTGCAGGCGAATTGAGATTTTTATTTGTTATCAGTTATTTTGGTTATCAAGGTTATTATAGGTTATGTTATGTGATGTTATCTGGTGAACTGGTCTTTCTGTTGAAATCATGTGAGCACATTGTGCATGTGTGTTTCCAAAGATAAATCACGACAAACCGAGATTAATACTTCTGCATTCCATCGAAGTGTGGTACAAAATCGATTAATTTGATTATAATTAATTTTTTAATTGGTTCATCCATATCATAAGCACAAAAACTTTCCAAGTTGGTATGTGTTTCAATTCACGCACTGTCATGCAATGGTGTTTTTACTCAGTTTAAGAACAACTTTCCAAAGCCACCACAGTCGTTTTCACAAATTTTTCCCGTATTTATTTAAATCCCAATCATCTATTCCAATCCCCCTGAACAAGAATCAACGCTGCACTTCCTCAGCATTATCGTAAGTAATCAGTAAGTATTAAGTTCTATGCGCCATCAAATCATCTGACCATTATTTCATATATTTGGCTCGTAACTGATTCATTATTTCAAATGATAGATCAAAGGTGCATGTTTATCGTGATGGGCTGTGTTCTCATCTTAAGGTTCTTGATGCACTTGGAGAAGAATTTTCATTCACTGCTCGTTTCAAAAATAAAAAACCATGATGAAGGTCTTGTAATTGCTAAAAGAAGAACTTCCCTGCCTTTAATTTATATCTCTGAAAGACAATCAATGAAGTATTCACATCTTATTGCCACTTCAATCCACTGTCATGAAACTTAATTCTACTTCTTTTGGTACTGCAGCTTAGTTTTAATTATAATGAAAAGTCCTAAAAGAAGAGAATTCGGCAAACGACTTAGGTATTTCAGTTTATTTTTTGTCTGGTATCGTAGAATAATTGTGCATTCTGTAGCTCTTTCAAGCTTTTGCTAAATGAAGTCAGACTACTCTTACGAAATAGCATTGAGTCAGACATGGTGAGCAACCTTGAAATAATTGTCTTATGTAAGTAACATCTTTACTTCTGTTTTGTTATGCACAGAAAACCCTCTCTCGTTGGATCAATGCAACTTGTTATGTATCACTGTGTCAAATCCAGCATCATCAAGCTGGAGACTTGCTTTTATTTTACTCTTCTGTCATGAGAAATATCGCTAATCATTGAAATTGAATTTTTCAGGTTCCGAAATTTTTCTTCTGGTCGCATCATGTCAAGTCAAGAAAATCTTATTTTGAAGGGAAAGCTCGATCACTACAATGGCATGACCATTGACTGTGATTCAGTGCCTGAAGAGGGACTTCCATTCGCCCAACGACTGGAAGGTAATTTATTGCTCGCTCAATTTCTCAAAGCACCACATCAACTGGAGTAAAAAGCATCTTCCTTCCAAACTTCATCTGCACATTTTCGTAGAGTTCTGAGACGCATCATTTTTTTTCTTCTCAAAATGCATAGACATCACGTATGTAGGCATGTATGCAGACACTACAATGAGGAGCTCTGCTATCTAGTTAGGAATTTACTTAAATAAATAACTAATTTTCTGCACTCAGAATGCAAAAAGAAAAGACAAGCAAATAGGTAGGGAGACGTATTGCTGTTGGGAATATTTGAAAGTGCTGGAGCGAGCCAAACAAGCTTAGTTTCGTTGCAACGTCACATAGTTTCATTGTCAATTCATTCATTTAATAAAGTACGGCTGCACGTTTCTCTACAAAATGTTTGGTGAATTTTCTGTGACTTGACAAAAATAATGTATTGCAAGCTGAAATAGAATCCTTTTTTTTCCTCTTCTTTTTTAATGGAGGCTTAAACTTTAAATTCAAGTTAAACAAAGTATCACAGAACTATTCCTCTTCTCTAATTTTTTTTCCTCCTGTTAACAGAGTCATTGAAAAAGTGGGCAGCAGAAAATGTGCGAGGAGTATGGTTTCATGTAAGCACCAAGCGCGCTGACTGGATTCCAGTTTTAGTGAAGGTAGAAACTTAATGTTATTTCTAAGTTCCTTATGCGATTTGCCTCAAGATTTCTTCCAGAATGAATCAAATAGATATAAAATGATAGTATCAAAATTATCTAGAAAAGTGAAATAATCTGTCAAGAGTGGGGGTGTTTTTATATCACAGGTAAACAAACATTGAGATTTCAAAAAAATTTAGCTAGAATACCATACAAAGTTTTTTCAAAAGAATTTATAACTATTGTATGAGTTTTGTAAAATGTTGGCCTTACTAAAATCCCCGCCATAAAGACTACTAGATGAGGACTGGAATCAGGTGACTAATCCTTTGCTTGGGTGTTGAAATGCAGGTATATTTTCTCTTTTAAAAAGTGCTGGCTTAACGGAGCCAATCAATCCTCAAACAAAGGATTGAGCAGTGGCTTGGCACTGCTTCTAATCTCCCAGTTATTTTGAAATGGAATAAAATACTAGTTTTGTGATAATATCTTACAGAAGACAGAGCAGGTAAATGTTTGTATCAACAAGCCTTTTTAAGTTCTCTATTTTTGTAATATCTCTCTAATGTAAGCATGTAAACATCTTATTTTCCTCAAAAGTTCCATCTCTAATCTTGAATTACTACCCCTTTCAGAATGGTTTTAATTTTCATCACGCATCCATAGATACTTCAACTCTGACACTCTGTCGCTGGCTGCCTCAAAATGCAGCATCACACATTCCAGTGTATGCACACACTATGGTTGGAATAGGAGCGGTTGTTGTTAATGAAGAAAATGAAGTTTTAACAGTGAAGGAGAAATATGGTCAAAGAATACAGTGGAAGCTCCCTGGAGGCTATGTTGAACCTGGTAATAAAACTGGTTTCTTGCTTTTATTTTTGTGAACACTTTTTGAGAACATTTTTTGCACGATCACTGAAGACGAGGGCAGATGAGCCCTCAAAACGCATCCAAGAAAATAATAATTCATCGTGCAAATGAGTCTATTTTAAAATATTGAAAGTTATTTTTTTTTAATATTGCCTCTAAAATTTTCATAGTCTAAACCTTGTTATCTGAACTAATACCTACCTTTATCCGAAAGCTATGAAAATCATGAGAATTTTGGAAAAAATTGAGAAAGTATTTGTTCCAGAATTTTGATGGGCGAATTACCTATCGACGGTGAAACTACCAAACCACGTATCTCGTTTGCGGTGTTTAAAAATCTCCGCTCACCTTTTATTTTTTTGAAGTAGACCAAATCAATATCATTCCTTGAAATTTTCACAGAATTTTCTCCGCACGAAGAGGAAAAATCACGGAAATTTTCAAGACTGGACGTTTAGTAGCTTTTCATTTAAAAAATAAAGTATGACAGGAAGTCTGCGACGTCGCAAACCGAGATACATGGTTTGGTAGTTTCACCGTCGCTATGTAAAGTTTTATTGCTTGATTGGCATTAGCTCTATGATACACACATGATCTTTCAGCGCCTACTGTAAAATTTTGAAAGTAGTTTCATATCACTTACTCTATGAGCTGTCTTCATTTGATCCCCAGGTGAAGATTTAGCTGATGCTGTTGTGAGAGAAGTAATGGAAGAAACGCACATTGAAACAAAATTCGTCTCCCTCTTATCTTTACGACACATGCATCAAGCAAAATTTGGTTGCTCAGACTTCTACTTCATTGCCCATCTTGTTCCTCTATCCAAAGACATTAAAAAATGTGATCGAGAAATTGAGGACTGCGTCTGGATGAAGGTACAGCTTTTTCATTCTAACAAAAAATAGATAGAGGTACAACGCAAGAGTCGTTTGGACAAGTGTGTTGGCATTTAGTGTTGTACTGAAGTTTAACGCAGGTTGGCAAAATCACACACTTGCCCTTATCATTCCATGTCCATTTGTGTCAGGCAACTTTGTGTTTTTTATGCATCATTTCATTATGTTCTTACGCCTCACTTTCTAAAATCTGAGACAGCCTCAAAGAGAATGGGAAACTTCCAAATGCCTTACATAAGTCATCATTTTCCTCGTGAAGAAATGTTACTACTTTTTGGCGCTGCCAAATTTTCCCTCAAAAATTGTATCTTTAGCAGGAAACTGTTGAACATTTCTTAGTGAAAAATTCAATGATTTCTCTTTCTATTACATGCAAATATCGGCAACATTTTAAACAAAAATTGCTAAGTCATATTCTATAGTTAAAAATTGAAATTTTTGAGTCAAATTTGACACTTCGGAATGGAATTACAGTCCTTCATTCGAGAAAAAACTGAATGAAACGAGATATTTGTATAAATCTTTAAGGAGTTCTTCGCTCTATTCTCACTGAAGTTCTTACTGTATAGTAAGGGGAAAATACTCAATTGTTTTGTGTAATCGGCTGCTGTCGCTGCAGAGAAAAAATGTTGCAAATTGAAGACACTGAATGATGGAATTAAAATATGTCTGTCAAATGAAATAATTTTAGAATGTTTAGAAACTGTTCCGATGATGTTTGAATTTTTGTTATTTTGTTAATAGTCGCTGTTATAAGCACGAAGTGCTCTTACTTAAAGATGGTGTGTTTTGCAAGCGAAAAATTTAGCATGATAACGAAAAATTTAACAATAAACAGAGGAGTTCATTCGAGTATAGTTCTTTCTCAGAGATGTTGTCTGCTACTATGTGCTGTACTTTTAATTGTGCTGTGCTGATATTGAGACCAACTAAACCTGAAGCGAGCTACAGGTGGTATTCTGATAAGTTGTAATGAGTGCCTAATTCCCCTCCTGGCCCTCCCTACGTTTCATAGTCGCTTTTTTTGGGGCGAATGTTAGTAGATTTAGATTTATACAAGGATGGAATTTTCGGAGATCTTTTTATATGTACCTCCAAGCAATTTTTACCTCCCCTAGATGTGAATGAGAAAAGGCCCCTAATGCCAAACAGGATAGTGTTCTGAGAAAAAATTGCATTTGAATGAGCTTTTCTCCTCCATCATGATATTCGTAAATTTTACACTAGATTCAACTAAAGCACATTATTTCTTTGTCCCGGTCAAAATTGGGCAACGATCATTTTACCAACCTTCATTGCATCTTTCCATTTATGGATTAAAATGGACGTTTCATTGTTTCAGATTGATGAATATTTAAACCATCCGGAGGTACACATCAATAACAAGTTTTTCGTGCAGAAGTATGTAGAAAACAAGAAGAATAACGTAGCGTTTATCGGTAAAAAATCGCACCATCCTGTAACGAAGAAGGAGCAATACATTTTTGCAATTGAGTCAACGCAATGAAAGCCACTGAGAGGCTTGCAAAGGATTTGATCTGGTCGGTCAGAGTTTTTCAAACATCCCAGAGACCTGTCAATGTAGCCTTAATTGTATTTAATTTTTTAATTGCAAGAAATCATTAAAAAGGTATTAAGGTAGCATTACAAAACCGAAATATTTTTGTTTCAGAAAAAACACTTATATTTTTATTAATTTCCTGTCCTAAGTTACCAAAATAATACTAAGGGTTAAAAAACTGGGTCCAGAAGTTTTATTTTAGTTATAATTTTTTAAATGTGTACATCCGGCTAGTGACAAAAAAACAATAGACCAATAGACAGGGTAAAAAATTAAGAATCACAATGTGTGTTACCTCTTCAAAATTTTACAAACTATATGATGGACGTATTGAGACTTTCCAAAGTCAACTTAAAAGCTAGAAAATAATGGTTTTTGTCTATGTCAACTCAGACATCTCGTTTGCAGGTAAACCACTCAAGTTGAATCAAGCACTGATTTGATTTCTGTAAGGAAGGAGTTTCTTGCGCGCTAACTTTTTTTCTTTTGAAAGATTGAAGGTATCTTGTATCAGAAAAAGGAGAAAATGCCTGTGAAACCAAGCTCTAGTTATTTGCCCGATGTACAAAGTGATTTCACTGCGCAGTTTGGCACACATTGCCTATGGTTTTTTTTTTTTTTACAGTGAGGCACCGATGTCTATTTCTCTTTTACGAGTTAAATTCAGAATTTTTCAGTATGTTTAAGTGTTCTAAGTTAAATTTTGTTGAGAAAACATGTACTGTAGTGCTCAAATGTTTACCCTGCCAAGTAGTCCATTTTTTATTCGAAAATTCTGAAGGTTCTGTGGAAGATCATGAATCATCTCATTGAAAGTTTTTCTTTTCAAACTAATTCCAAACAAAAAATGTTAAGTACTGCAATACTGTACAATAATTATTGAATCTGTTTTTACAACTATCTAGCATGAAAAACAATCGATAATATTTCCAAATGTAAAGATTTATTAAATGATTCAAGTGTAACAGAATGAAATTTTGACTTTTACGGTCTCATCTCTTAAGGTAAAATTGATTCTAATGCAATAAAATGCATAGAAGAGGATACAAAGAGAGAAAAATGTATGTATTAAATTAGGAAATTGCGGAGTAAAACTTGTTGCAAGATTATGCTCTCTGATTGCAGATTCATGTGTATAAAGTTAGGTTTTGGATATGAATTTTTGCTTGAAGGTTACTCTTTTTTTTGGGTGCTGCATTTTAGATACACCGACATTAGAACTAATACTAATCAATATTAACTGTTAGATTCTTGTTAAAGCTTGCCACGAGTTGACAAGTGGCTGTTGCATTAGGAGATTTCTGGATAATTATAATTAGTTGCAGGAGCTGGCACCTTTTTCAGAGAGGAAGTGCAGGTTATGAAAGTTTAAAAAATTGTTACTGCTTAAGAGTCGAGATTTTTCAGTGTGTAATTCAATGTTTTAAATTCATGTTTTGGGATTCATAATTTAGTCTGCTGACAAACTTTACAATTAGCCTTGTCATAATTTTTCAAGGCCTCTCACTGCGGGAGAAGCCAATTGTATTTGTCCCAGTTGCATTATTTTTAAGACAATCAACAACTGTAACATTTTTACATTACGCTGAAATGCTTTTTAAGGTTTAAACATGGTAATTGCAGATGGAAAGAATGCAAAGGTTTTTTTCAAGCACACTGCATTTGTTCAAATGTGATATTGATTTTAAGATTTAAATTAAACTTTCATAGAAGTTTTAATCTTGATTTTTTCTTTTTTATCACTTATTTATTTATTAATTTAGCAGCTCTGAACATGAGGAACAGTCTATAACGTATATCAACAGTGAAACTACCAGACCATGTGTTCTCAGTTTGGGATGTTGCATATTTCCTGACATACTTTTTTTTTTAGATGGAAAACTTCTCAATGTCATTTCTTGAAAACTTCGATGATTTTTCTTCTCTGCGCGAAAACAACTCTGTGAAAACTTTACAGAATGACACTGAGTTGTTCTCCATCAAAGAAATAAAATGAGAACGGAGATTCTTAAACAACGAAGGGAGCTGTTTAAACAGAGAGGGAGGTTCAAGCCTTTTTAACGTTTTAAAATGAGGAAAAGTAGGTGTGAAACACTGCATTACATGACACCAAAATTTGCGGAATCTTCTGTTTTTTTGCACCTTAAGCCATAGAGAGTAAAAAAATTTTTCACAAAATGTGTGTACTTTCACAGCCCCCTAATCTAACATTTTAACTTTGACTCATAGATTTTATGCACATCTGATAATGCAAAAACATGTTTTTGCCATTTTCCTAAAATTCAGAATTTTTGAAAACACATATCCAAGCGTAGCAAAATTCAAACGATAATCAAAGGTGGAGGTTAACATAAGCTTTGCACAATTTTTGAGGTCGGTTTAAACTTGTATTAAAAAGAGTTGAAAAAAAGGAGTAACAATATTAAGAATACAGCTTTAGGTTTTTTTTATAAATGATCTCTTTGGATAACTTGTTCTTTTGGGATTAAAAAACTTGTCATTAAAAACCATGACAAATCTAAGCATAAAAAAAAACTTTAATACACATACGATACAGTAAAATCACAGATAAAAACAGAACTAGGACTGACAGTTGTGACAGATAAAAAGTACATTTATGAAACAGGGGTCTGACTGGTTTGAGGACTCTCCTCAACTGGAATTGCGGATGGGGAGGGAACGAAAACGTTTGATGCAAAATGCTCTTTAAAATACTCCATTCCCTTTTCCTCATATTCATTCACACTTATACTAAGTTTTGCAAAATCATCAGACAGAGCCATCTCTTTCGCACCAAACCAACTATCCAACATCAAGTTGCTTGCTTCACTAATATTAAACGTTGATTGGAAGGGTCGAATTTCCATCAACTCTTTCCGCAGCCTGTCCTTTAGACCAGGTAAATTTCCGCATCCTCCAGTGATAAAAATATTTGAAACTAAATTTGTTGCCGTTTCCTCATTAAACTGTTTTAAGATGTATTCAATTGTTTCGGCAATCCCTGCTTGAGATACACCGATCATAGAAGGTTGGAATAGTACCTCCGGGGCGCGGATATGTTCAGTTCCGAAATGTAGTTGGTGCGCTTCTTCTGGGTTTAATTCTTGCTCGTTTGAATTTTCACTGAAGACAGGGTCGTATTGGCGCAATACTTCTTCTAGTTCTATCAGTTTTTCTTGCTCTTCTTCGCTATCACTATCCCCTCCATCCTGAAAATGGAAAATAAAGGCACTTGATGTTAGGACAAGGAAAGCCTTGACCGCCGCCATTATTTTCCTAGTTTCTGACGTTACAAACTTCTAATCAGACTGTGTTTTGATGACAGATTATCAATTGTTTTTAATTTGAGAAATTCAGTATGCTTTTATCTGTACTGGATTTCAAATATCCTCCAAAGATTTCATGTCAAAATGGTTTGATATATTACTATTTTGGCAGTCTATTTTGTCTCTATTTTAAAAAAAAAAAGAGAGATGAAATGGAAGTAAAAAATGTTTAACTCAAGGTCCATTATATTTTTTTTCCAACATCAATCCACAAAAAGTTGATGACTATTGATTCTACCTCAGTATTTGATGTGCAAATTTAAGAGACGTAAATATAGCAGGATCTATGAACGACCTTATCTTCTGGAAGATGGCTGAAGTACAAAAGCTCGTAACTACATTTGCAACGTTGCTGACTTCCTGCTAGACTTTTTTTCCCCTCATTGATCAACATTAATTCTTGAAATCTTCCTTGATTTTTCTGCTCTGTTGGCAGAGTATTCTGCATAAATTTGAAGCTGTAAATTTGGCTTCTTCGTCTTTGAAAAAATAAAATAGGAGCAGACATTTTGTAATACTGTAATGGAGATACGTGATTTTGCACTTTGGCCATTGAAATGTGAGTGCCAAGGGTAAAATTAACTCAAACAGTTGGATTTACCTTGTTGATGACTTTATAGACGTCCCAATCCTCGTCTCGCATCCCAAAATCATCATCTCGTTTGTCTTTTTTGTTCCCTGCTAGCTGGCTAATGATTCTCATTCTTTCCCAAGATGCTGCTGTTCTCCTTTTCGCCATATCTTGCTTGCGTTGTTTCCGTGCTGACCGCTTATCTAGAATTCTTTGCCTGATAAAACGAGAAAAATGTACAGTGATAAAACCTGCAAAATAGTCTAATGTAGCTTGGGCTGCAAAATGGTCTAAAGATGCTTTTTCAGAATTTCAGCCTATCACTTAATTGAATGGACCAAAAAAGCAGAGCTACTAACAAGCAAATCGATGGTTAGGAAAGAAAACAATCCAATGCAGGATGAATAGCAAACTGTTAATTTTGGAGAAAATGAGTTGGTGAATTTACCACATTCCATAGGATAAAATAGGCAAGCTGATGTTTTAGTTTTTTCAATTTCACACAGGAGCGCCGTGACGTATAAAAAAATTTCAATTCTTTCCAAAAATAGCGAAGTTTATTCTTCGTCCTATAAAATCGTCAGTTCGTAGATAGGCAGTATTGTTCCTTAGCCATAGAAATGTTAACTGCCTCTTCGGCTTGCCTCGGAGGATCCCTTCTTATTATCGTTTCTCTATCACTACTTTGCTACCTCTAAAAATTTCAACAGAGATAAACAGCAAAAGATTTCTGTTGGCTTTTTCTTTCATTCTTTTTTTCTCAGTCATGAGATAGTTACAAAAACGTATAACCGTGCTAGTTACAAGTCAGACGGTGATTTTAAAACAAATGAGGATTTATGACTTCGAAACTGAAAAGTTGCTTTCATTTGTTCAAGTTTTGTCGATTTTAATTCCGTCAAAACATACCTCTTTTCTCTGAGATCACTGATCCACTTTTTCATGTCTTCATCCTTCTTTGGCACAGGCATTTCCTTCATAATCTTCAATTTTGGCTCCTTAATAAACAATAAAATACAACACAAGTAGAAAATAAACATTCCTCTTAATGAAAAAATAAAAAGTTGAATAGAAAATTGGTGAAAAAATCTTATTTACTCATCTGAGAATGCTCAGTGAGCCAAGTTTGCAGTATGTTTTATAATTGTTTTCTAATAGGGAAAATTGTAGAAAAATAGATACGATAGGTAAAGGAAGAAAATGTACCGTTTTTTGACATTATCAGGTGGCATTTCTTGTTTATACACATTTACTTTAACAGATTCTATCTTAAGTCATATTTCCTCCAATAATTGTTCGAGTTAAAAACCAAGAATACTCAGTTTAGTTAATAGTTTCCAATTAAATATGAAATTCATTAAATTACAGACACCTGCAAACTCTCCATTACACCCATTCACTACGAACCGCTACAAGTAGAAGAAGAGATTTTTTTCTGAGTAATTAAGAACTTAAAGAAAATGTTAATTTGAGAGGTCTAGCCAGAATAATCGTCTCAATCTGCTTATTTGTTTTTAGAATCAAATGACTTCATGAAATACTGAAATGAGCCCGGACAGATTATGAAGGCACTGTTTTGGAAGCACTAGAAAGAAAAGAACATCACTTTGAAAATATTGGAGACAACAAGTTCTTGAAAATGGAGAGGTTACTTTGAAAAATGGGATGGCCAGGAACTGTGTGCATTGCTGTGTTTTTTTTTCAACTTAACAGGATTATAAAATTTCTACATGGAAAATATGGCGAGTCGCAAAATTCAGAGTACAAGGAGAAAAAAAAACGACTTACCGAAATGCATTATTGGAACTTGTATTTTATATTGGTGCTGAAAAAGAGAAACTCCAAGTGTAAAGACAATTTTTTGTTTTGTTTTTTTCTGCAAATCTATGATGTTCCTCACAAACAGGAATGGAGCAAGAGCTCTAAAATACATGCAGAAACTAAATTTTCAAAAAACTCAAGTAACAGTACATTCAAACTACTTCTGCAAATGTTCTTCTTTGGCACGAAAGCACCCTCAAGTCCCAATTTTTAAACTTAAAGCACAGAAACTCACCTCGGTAGCAATAGTATCAGTCACAACATTTGCTCCACAAATTTTCTGTTTGGTTTTTTCAATTTTGGAGCGCAGTTGGTTGATTGACTTGATCAAATCATTTACATCCTTTAATTCAAATGACTTCAGGGCTTCCTAAAATAAAAAGTTCAACAAAAAAAAACGATAATTTCATTTCAGATATGATAAACAACTTTTCATACGTCAATAGCTAGGACATAGGCATAGGCTCATTCAGTTTATTTCAATGACTTTAATGCAAGGTAAAGAAAAAAGAAGTTTGTCTTATTGCTTTGCTCCTCTGACATGAGGGCGTATTTCTGTTTCCACATGAGTTCCGAAAAGCATTAAGTTATGCAGAGTACAGAGCTCTCGTAGAAATTGAGATACGCCCTTTTACTAGGGGAGCGACGATTAGCTCGTATGCTCCAAAGAAAATGCGCTGTTTTAAAAATTCCCAACTTTTCAAATTAATTATGATGTAGCTCAAAACTGCAATTAAATTTCAGGATGCTGAATAAAAAATCCAGCTTACCTGAATATTTTTTTCTGCATCATTGAACTCCACCATCTCTTGAATCGCCAAGAGCTGATTCAGTTGTTCCTCTTCTTCAGCCAGCTAAACATGTAAAAAAGAACATTTCTTTCAAACATTGTATCAAAATACCTTCTCTCAATCGGAAAAGAAGTCTCCGGTCAAACTCTTTTAAGAAAACGAACTACTTCAGTCGATGAAATCAATAGAGAGGCATGTTGCAGGCTGAGCAAAAGCACTATGAAATTTAGAATTAAAATATCGTTTACAATTAAAATAAAAAAAACCCTTGAGAATGTAGAATGCTCAATGCTTACAAAGTTTACGCACATTTTGGCCTGTTTGAAAAACTCTGATAGCTATCAGTAAGGGTCTCTCAAGTGTTACTTTTTCTAAACGCAAAACCTTTCAAAGCCACACTTTTGCCTCCTATACAATACCTATCCGATTGGTTTGCAAATCTTAGAGGAAAACTGATAAATAAATTCAAAGAAAAAAATACAATAAGACTCACTTGCAAAATTGAGTCAATTCAAAAAAATAAAAACTCATAATAAAAACAGACGCTAAGACAAGAGAAAATTAAAATTGACCTTACCCTTTCTTCGCGCTTCCGAGCATTCATTTCAACAAGTTTTTTTGCCAATTCTTTTCTGCGAGCAAGTTGTTGCTCTGGTGTTAGCGCTGGAGTTGTTATATTGAATGGTAACTGAATTCTCCTCACATTTTTATTGTAGTAATCTAAATCCGCCCACTTGTTCACTTCTTCTTTATAGTCGATTGCAATTCGACTGTGTTCATGAATTAACTCCTATGGAAAGAAGATTTACCTTTATAAAGGCTGCATGGATTGACTACTAAAATGTTTTCAGTTTTAAAGGATGAAGTACATGATTTGAATAAAGAAACCGACATAAGTTCAACAAGGTTCTCAAGGGGTAATGTTTTCATTAACGATGAATTTGTAAAAACTTGGCTTGCACACAGACCTTAATATTTCAACTTTTTTTCAGGGACTTGGTGATTAAAATCCAATTTTATGATTTTGATTTTGAATCGATGGTGAAACTACCACACTAGGTAACTCTAAAAATCTGTTTTTTTTTGAAAGAGCAAAAAAACGGTCTACATTCCTTGAATTTGAGCTGAGGTTACAGGATCCAGTGCTTTTCGAACCCTGCCTGAGCCAAGATTACAAGTAGACATTTATTGGGGATTCTGAGGTAACAGAAAACTAATAGTTTTATAATTTGACATGACGTATATGCTAAAATGATATTACCTCTGCTCTAGAGGGAGTAATAGCAGCAAAATGGGCAGGATATTTCAGTTGCAGTAGTCGATACAGGTAGTTAACAACATGGAATCCACCGATATCAATTCTTCTCGACCGAGAGTAATCAGGTTTAAAATCAACTATAGGAATTATATGAATACAGTGATAACCACAGCCAACTACCAGCCCATACTGAGCTGCTGGGTTGTTCTTTTGGTAGCTGAAAAGGCAGTCCACACCATAGCAAACTGCAGGTACTTGATAGCATTCGAATAGGAGCTCCGACATAACTGTAATGAAAGAATGAAATTGAGTTTAAACATAATTAAAATTTCATAGGGAAATTTGCACTGAATTTCATTGACTGGGCTCAGCAAAGAGAACAAAATATTGTTGACTTCATTTGAACGGCTAAATACTCAGCGGCAGTTTTCTACGTTCCCCAGACGCCACGCACCAGTAGCGCCTAAAAGTTAGGGGGGGGGGGCTGGTTCATCAAGGTGCTTAAAAAGTGGCCGTACCCGGAAAATTCTTCAAACTTGACAGATAACCATATTTTCCCCCAAAGAATTCTGTTCCTTTCTGCTAAATGTAATTTCTACAGAGTGAGCAATAAAAGAAACAAAATGAAAACATTCATTATAATTGTAAGATTACTGAGATGAAAAAGCCCAAAAAAAAAAAAAAATGAGGATTTCGTTTGCTTTTTTAAATAAGTTTTCACAATGGACTTCAGATTATCATGACTAATGGGAGTCAGGCCAATGTTGATGAGTAAAAAATTATGATAATTGATGGAAAGCAATGCTTTTGACTTCTAACACATACTGCATTTATAAGAGCAAAGAAAAAAGAAAAAAATATGGAGGAGGTTGTCCACACTTTGGCCAAGGAAACTTACCAAATCTTTCTGAATAGTGTAATAGTGCCTAATGAGCATACCACTCAGGGATCGATACAAAAATACGCTTTTTGCAAGTTCCAATGGGATGTGACTTACTGACTGCTCTCATTTGATTAGTGAGGCATATGAATTAACAGTATATTTTTACGTTAAAATCACAAAGGCACTCAATGCAACCGATTTTCAGGGGAATTTGCAGAGATATCCACCTTCAAATGTTTCAAGAATGTTATATTGCACATGCATTATGATATGGGAAAATAAAAAGAATAAGAGCCTGAACAACTTACACTGTCGACAATAGTTGGGGTTCAAAAAGGCCTCTGTGAGTAAGATAGGGTGGTTAACGGACTGTTCAGTGTTTATACTCAGGTGAGAAAATGAGTAGTCGAATATTTGTTCTTGGACATCATAATGAGTGACGACATTGCGATCAAACTGAGATTTCAGTTGAAGTCGAACTGCTTCCATATTAGTGATGTCATTTCCCACTTGCAGCTCCGTGACCTGTCAAATGAACCGCAAGTCTAAATATACTGAATGATAAAAAATATATGAAAAAAAAGAAGAGACAAGAAGACCTAAATGAGACCATGATAGGAAAGATACCAAAGTGAGAGATAATTCACAACCAAGAATAGACCAATTGCCTTGTTTTTTCATTGACGAGCAGGTTAATATGACAAAAATAAAAGAGAGAGAGAGCAACAGAGATACTTAACAGTTGATTTCACCATAGATGTTGGGCATTTAAAGGTACATAGGTAATGACGCTCACACTTACTTTTTTCCCTCTTTCTTTCCTTGGCTTGGCAAGGACATTCTTGAAAATGAGATTTGGCTTCTGTGCGGATGCCCATCCTACTCTACACTGATAAGAACCTGAAAAAGTAAGAATACTATTTTTGAGCACAGAAAAATATAACGCCTGCAAAATATTATGCTAGTAATCAAAGAGGCCAACAGTAAAGACTAAGGGGTTAGCAAATTTTACATAGATGTTTCGATGGCGTAGTTCATTCACATTTGATTTGAAAGAAAATTATTCCACTCCAATTTCACAAGTTTTCAGTCCATTTTCATTTTATTTTTGCATTGAAATCGATAACCATTGAGGGATTTCAATTTTGTAACTAGAAAAACACATTTCTTCTCTCCTGCTTTACAAAATTTTCACCTATAAGTATTTCATTTATCACAAGAAAACTGCTTTTAATCTTTGCATGAAATTGGCAGAGAAAAGTATTAAAATGAACACTGAGAATCTCCGGAAATTTTAACCAGTAGTAATGTACAGACATCTGTTTCTTATAAATAGGAAATTTACAAAATTGAGATACAACTGATACTCTATCACATAATCTATTTGTACTCATAGATGTAAGCGATGTGTATGAATGATGAATACCTCGGACGGACTGTTCCGAATTTGAAAACTTGAGATACTCATCAGAGCAGAGGTAAGGACTAGGAGAGAAATGAGAAATCCTAGAACACTAATCCAGTGATAAGCATGCTGATTGTCAAGAACTGTAGAACTGAAGCATTGAAAATCTTTACTCCAAACCCAACAACACTTAATATTAGATCAAATTACAGTTTTAAAAATATCTAGACAATAAAGAAAAAATAGGAAAATTGTACGGCCAAAATGAATTAACTGCTCCTCTTACCGTTGTCAATAACAATTGGCGTTCCGGATGTCCGCAACAAATCAGTGTAGGGGTGGAAAATGTCTGGAACGGTTTTTAAGTCTTTCAACCCAAAAACTTCCATTACTGATGGATACTTGAATCCAATATTTGACTAATAAACTTCCTTATGCGAGATGAAAAATTAAATCAGCGCTGCTCACAGAGGACTTTCTCCTAATTGTATTAATGAGATCAAACATGAAATCTCTGAGGGATTAGCCGTTCAGGAATTGAGGATACCTTCTGGGTAGTGAACAGATTACAGAGTATGTGCGCGCAGTATCAAGGGAAAAATATAAATGGAAGTGAAATAAATGTAAAAGATTACTCTGATTACCAGTAACTAAACAATAAGATGACAAAAACACTTCAAACTGCAATTTTTACGCATTCTTGCTAAGTTTAATCCATAATCCATAATCCAACCCAATTCAATCGCGTTATCATCAAAACATAACCTCAAAAGCCTGAATTTTTCAGAATGTTTTTGTTTTGATTTTATTTCCCGCGCGCGCCGCCCAGCAGAGAGCAACAAAGTTCAAATAGTAGCGGGAAAATTTGAAAATGCGCACCTGTCACTCCCCGTCCGACACAGCACAGGGGAGAATTTTATGAGCCGCCTCGCGCCGTCCGCAGCGCGCATGGCGAACAATCCGTGCCTCCAAAATAACTTATCATCTAGCGTTGAGAGTTCACTAATTACTTCACACGACCAGTGGGTAATTTTAAAAGTCGAAAATAAAAGAAAGAAAAAACTCGATACACGAGTTTTTCCGTAAGGGAGCTCTCCCGCAAGAAATCTTTCACCACTCGCCGCCGGGAGAGCCGCGGCGCGCCGTGGCGTGCTGCCAGCGCGAAACGCGTACTGACGCCTACAAACCCAAGTGGCTACTTCACACATTGCGCAATGCATGAAGTATCCCTTTAGGTTTGTAGGCGTCAGTGCACGTTTCGAGCTGGCAGCACACCGCTCCACGCCGCATAGCGACTCAAAAAATGTCAGTTACGAAACTTTCGTGAACTTTCTGTCACTATCCGACTTATTTCTTCCTATTCTTGAGTTTTGGACCATGGTGCGCCGCGCCGCGGGCGGCGGCGCGCGCTCGTGAAATTCTCCCTTGTGCTCGATCGCTCCCCTTCCGTCTTTTTTTATACAAACGTGGAATACGTTTATCCACACACCGTGAAAGGTAAACTATGATTAGAGGATGAATTAAACAATGTATCAATAAATTTGTGTTACTGATTCAGAATCGACACAAATGCAATGAAAAAACACTCATCTATGAAAATTTAATAAAAACGTAGTCCAATCATTAGCATTTAACTGCTCACTCTACCTTCAGTTAGTGAGAATTCTGTTTAACTTTTGAATACAAATCTATTACATGTTCTCATGCTACCAAATTCCGTGTTTTACTTTTTTCCTACAAAAAGAAAACAACAACAACAATTTTTCTCACATTTTTTTTTTTGTCAATTGTCTATACTCGTGCAGAAATATTCACAGAAAATTTCAAGAGGGTATATGAATTTTGGTTGGCTTTCTTTCAAATATATAAAACGTAATACAAAAAACTGTGCTAATGAAGTGTGCGCATACGATTGCCGTGCTTCAGTTCCTTTCGATTTGATTCTCTGTTTCTCTCAGTATGAATACGTCCAGTTGATGTCTCTACATACATTCTTATCATATTTTGAAAGAGATCGAAATCTAGAAAAACGAGCGACTGAAACTAGTAAGTGACTGAATTGGCACGTGGTGAGAGGTATTTTGTACGGCGTCAAGTAAGTTTGTTCAGATTGAAGATATTTTATACTTCACATCAATCGTGAAAATACAGGAGTGCGTATCTCGATTTTTGACAGTTTTGAGTTAGCTGCATAAACGTGTTGTTGAATGTATCGTCTATCTGCCAACAAGAGATTATAATCAAATAAATGAAGCCACCTAAAACTGTGGAACTTTTTTCGCGTCTCAGGCTTGAGTGCAGAAATGCGTGTCTCGTTCTGGCCCCTTCATTTGATCCGGCGCGCCTTCCGCACAACGCGCGCTCCTTGGATGCCAAAGAGGGCAACCCCTGGGGGTTTGGCTTCTCGGACGCCGGGTGGGGCGACCCCGAGGGGGTTGGCTCCTTATATGCCAGGGGGGACAGCCCCTGGGGGTTGGGCTTCTTGGATACCAAGGGGGGCATCCCTGGGGGTTGGGCTCCTTATATGCCAAGGGGAGCAACTCCGGAGGTTTAGGTCCCTAAAGTACACGTAGCACATTGCTTAAATTCGTACCCTGTAGCCTAGGCCAATGATTTGCTTTCAATCAGTCGGCTATGCAAAATGACTGTTGTGACGCACGAATTGTGGTATCCGAATTTTGCATTAAGATTACGCATTGGGTTGAAGGCGTTCTTTTGTATCATATCTGAGTGGCCCTGCACGATGATGTTGAAACAAGATTGAACAGTTGAGTCAACTTTGGTGACCGAGGTTTCATTCCTGCGATTCGAACTTTGGACAAATCCCATGAAACGTCCCGTAAAGACAACACCTACGTCCTACGTAAGTGTAATACCTATCCCGTGAATATAGCATTATAGTCCCCAAATGTAATACTTTTTCCTCCTCCCCTTGTAGGAATATTGCACATTCAAGCGAGGAGGATTTCAGTACTCTGAGATAATGCGACACTCAGCGTGCAAATTCCTCGCCCTTGGTATGCTAATGTGTTGCCTTCCTCGGACCAGAGGTAATGAATGTTGTGACGCAGTGTGGGACTACGTTGACGACGCATTTGAAATGGTCTGTTATGATAAGAAACTAGCGGATGAAAGTTTTTGCTGCGGGATCGGACCTTGTCAGGATAAAATCAACTGTTGTAATTGTGAGGGAGGCTGTCGACGACCTATTATTGTAGAGCCACCCCCAGAACCCCGAAGTGCTAATTTGCTGTCGAATAGTGAACCAGAGGCTTCGTGACAGAAAAAAATAGCTTTTTCAATTCTGTGAGATATGCCCCATGACTCATTTTTGTTCCGTAGCAAGTATGCTGCGATTTTAAGCAAAGGCATTGGTTGTGCATGGCTCTCCGTTGAATAAAATGAAATCTGTGCAACCGTTGTAATTATAAACGCAATACAGATGTTAATTTTTTGAGTGAAGGCGTTGGTGTTTTTCAATTTATATTTTAATGTTAACGTAATTTTAAAAAATGAAAAGAAGAATAGAGGGACTATATCGACGGTGTAATAAGTCCGCAACCACGTATTAGACGTCGCAAACTTCCTGTCATACGTCATTTTCTAAACAGAATACTACTCAACGGCAATTCTTTAAAACTGTCGTGCTTTTTTCTTTGTGCGAAGAAAATTCTGAGAAAACTTCAAAGAATAATGTCAATTTGTTCTCCTTTAAAAAAATAATACATAGGTGGAGACTTTCAAACATCGCAAACAAGATACGTGGTTGCGAACTTACGCCGTCGATATGGCAAACGTATTATATTTGGTTATCGAATTAAAATATGCCGGATGTCCGGGATGGACAAAACACCTGCAAAGAATTGGTTACGCTTCAATAGCATCAAAATATTGCACAGTCTTCAACAATCAGAAATCAGTTAGATTATTATTAAATTGATATGAAAAAAAATGACTGTTTACTGACTGAACTGGCTGAATTATGATCTTTATATGAGCAAGCCTTAAGTATTTCAAATTTTCTGTCGTTTTCGAGACTGGAAGGGCCTATGATAGAATATTACCAGCATCTATAATAGTGTAATTCTTAACCAATAATTGAGAGTAATAAAAGCCACTACAAAGCAGGGCCGGATTTACCTTCTTGCCGCCCATGGGCCACCTGTATTTTGCCTTACCTTCTCATTCGTTTTGAAACATCCGTACAAACCATCAAGTGAACGTGCCGGAGGAGGAGGCGTGCATAAGACGCGTTTACTCGCGTTGGGCACATTTTTTGTGAAAGCCCTGTCAACCCTAGTAAAAATTCACGGAACTTTGCACGAAATTTAGGTTCCGTAAACCTATCTCTGTGTGGACGATGCCTATCATTTATAAGAAAATAACGAAAAAATTATGAATAAGATTAAAAACATGAATTTGGTCTAATGATTTTAATTTCCGCCACCGCGCCAACCGCACTGTGTTTGGCGCAATGCGTGAAGTATCCCTATAGTCTTGAAGGCGCTATGCGTTTCACGCTGACCGCTGCTGACCGAATGACCGCACTATTTTTGACGCAATGCGTGAAGTATTCATGCAGTCTTGTAGGCACTATGAGTTTCACGCCAACCGCTGCTGACTGAACTACGTTTGACGCAATGCGTGAAGTATTCGTGGAGTCTTGAAGGCGCTAATATGTGTTTCATGCTGACCGGTGCGCCTATTGGGCCTCTCCTTTTCATCTCAAGTTCTCGTCATCATTGCTCTCTGCGCCGCGCCGCTCCAGGCCAAATTGCGTGTTTGGTCTCTCTCTCAACTAGACTAATGAAAGGCGCTGTCTCTTGTATCACCGAAAGATGAACAAATTAGAAATTACTATACTTAATCTCTTAGGAAATGAGAGATTTTTTCGCCTTTTCTCATTTGTAATTTTTTTTTTCTGAATCAAATTTTCTTGATACCTGCATTTGAAAAAATTACAACATTTGCCGCCCCCTAAATTTGCCGCCATGGGCCGCGGCCCATGTGGCCACCCCCTTAATCCGGCCCTGCTACAAAGTGGCTTTGTGTCCAAATGCCTTCCCAACTTTTTAGTAAAACAAGAAAATCCTGAGTCCAGATTTTGCGTCGAAAAATACATGTCACAATTTATTTAAACGAAGGAAGATTCTTCTCATTACCGCAATATGTTGTAAAATTTTTCTTTTAATCGCTTAAACGAAAAAAATAACTTAGCGCTGAGTCCTACACATTAGGCAAAATAGCACCAACTAAAAAGGCAATAGTGCTGAGCCCTACAGCTTTAGGGTCCAGCCTTACAGGCTGTAGGACTCAGCCGCTCAGCTCAATTGTCTTTAGTTGGCGCTATTTTAATTTAAAAGTTACGGTTCAGCGCTAAGTTTTTTTCCCGTGTGCCTTAAAATATATATTCTCCAAATTGTGTTTTCACTGTAAAAGTAAGGGGTTAGTTAATGACATCAATTTCGGAAATCTTTTAGTACAGGATTTGTTAGTTCCACCAACTCCGAGGTGAAACTGCAAAATTGCGAATCTCATTTGCGGTGTTATAAAATCTTTCCTCCCATTTTCTTTTATCAAAAAAGAACGATCCAACACCAATGCATGAACATTTTCTAGGGTAAGCTTCACACAGAGGAAAAAATTCAGGAAAGATTCCAAGGAGCGACGTTGAGTATTTGTCCATTTACAAAATAAACAATGTCAGAAAGATTGCAGCGTCAGAAACAGAGTTACGCGGTTTTGCAGTTTTAAGGCCTAGATACACACGGCGATTAAAAGACGAAAGCCAATGGAGAGCCTTGATTTCGATCCATTGACGTCGATGTATCGAAATTCAGGCTCTCCATTGGCTTTCGTCTTTCAATCGCGGCGATTAATCACCGCGTGTATCTAGGCCTTTACCGTCGGATGTTGAATCACTGTTAGTGGTTGATGTGTTGCATACTGAGAGACGTGAAGGCGCATTAACTTGCCGAGGGCTTACGATCCCTAACAGGAACGTTTGTCTCTTTTGAGAATTGATATAGCTTTGCTATTTTACGATTTCCTTATGTTAAGATTCCAAAAACTTTCGACTTTAAAAAGTTATGAGTTTGCCGGCTTCGCAGGCGGTCAAGTGCGGACTGCGAAATACCGAGTCTTGGTGGTCTGGTCTGGGGGTATGAGTGGTAAAATCATGATAAGCGTTCAAATATTTACATGAGTATCTGTACTAATAAATAACTCAGGTACTGGACAAGATAAATAACAAGCTAGAAAAACATCACAAAAATGAAAAATAATTATATCTGGAACTTATTTTTGCAACAACTACTGAACAAAAATGATGACAAAATTAAAGTCGAGTTGGGAACTAAACTATAGCTATATCAGGGGTTGAAAAAACATGATGTCCGGTTTAATTGCGCAAAAGTCCGAGTAAAACAATTTTTATTACAAAATATACAAAACTGTGGCATCTTTCAAAAGATAATAAACATTAGGAATAAAATACAGAGCCTTTGTCTCCACCAGACGTTTTCATGAGATTTGTCGCAGGGAAAGTCTCACTTGCGAAGTCGGGATGAATATTAACAACGTAAACTCAAACTACATATAATTGAAGTATAAAGTGCGGTCCGTGTAGAGATCAGCGACAAAATGAGAAAGGAAGAAGAATAAGAAGCAAATTGTGTGATATTTTGTTGTGTTCCCTTGATTGTTCGTATCCGTTTAATTTGAATGATTCGTATAATTTTTAACTGTGTTCAGTTATCACAATTTCGGTTAAATAGTTGATTTTTCTTCATTTATCCTACCGCACAGGTAGGAACGTGTTCTGTAGACGTGCGTAGAGCCCTATCCTGTGGGAGCAGTTACTACGAAAAATCCCTGAAGTTTTATTAGTACCGCGTTTTGACCCCGGGACAAATTTCATGAAAATGACCTGAGGAGACAAAGCGTCCGTAAATAAAAAAGTAGTGACGAGTCCACTTACGCATAACAAAAAGGAAAGACAGCTGCGGGCTGCCATTATAAGCGTTTGAAGTCTTAAAAATGATAACTTTCTTGGAAGACGAGCATTAAATTATTTTGATAATCACAAATATGCAATACTTTTCTATACTCTACTTATTTATAAGTCTTGTTGAGGAATTGTGCGCCTTTAGATGGGCAATTTAAGGATATACTTTTTCATTTGCTGACACTATTCGACGGATATTAAATTGTTTCAGATTCAATTTAAAATCCGTTAACACTGAAGGCAAATTGGAAAGTTCAAAATTAATCAATTTTTTTCTTTAACACAGCCACTAAGATTATACAATTATGTTATGTTCAATTCCTTAAAATTACGACACGTGTGCGTTTTGACAGCTATTTACGCTTGGAAATACTCATGCTGAAAGGAACTATATTCGCATAGGGGTTGCGTGCAACATGGGTTCTTTTAGCATAAATACGTCCATTTTTTTGCCCTAAAATGTGAGATTCGTGATTTTCAAGGCAAGTAGGTCGTCTCGATGTTTTGATGTTTCAACCAAAATCGGCAAAATCCAAAAAATATTTGACCTTGATCACGTGTTCCTAGGAGTAAATTCCGAATTGAAAAAGGAGAGATAACATTTTTCCAAGATAGGGCGAAAATATTGGGGCATTTTCTGGAGTGAGAGGGCAACAATTCGAAAAATCTTACAACATGCCCTCAAATTGAACAAAATTATCGCAGAAAAGGTCATGTCTCAAAGTCGGGTCGCCCTTTCAATTCTTTTCAAGTGACGCTCCTAAGTCGGACCTTCGTTTACTGCCATGGTACACCTAATATTATGGTCAGTGACCATCCGAAAATTGAAAAGTCTAACTAAAGTTCGTAGATTTGCCGCCGTCCTTCTTTTTTCCCCAGTAGTACAATGTAACAAAAATAAAATTGCACGTACAATTTTGCAATAAAATTTCAATTTTTTGCAAAGATGAGGCAATTGTGTTTGCAATAAGAGGTGCCCCTTCAATCAGAGAATAGGCAACATACTCAACATTCCTGCACAATAGCAAAAATGTTAACATATAATTGCAATTAATTGCAGTCTGTGCTACCTGGGTACTACTCACTTAAGATGTTGATAAGTTTTTCATGCCATACATTATTTTCCCGGCGGGCTGACCTGCGGCAAGACTGCCGTTACAAAACGGTGTAAACCGAAAACCCAGAGGAGCTCAGTATGGAGTCAGGGATACATGGACATCAGAGTGACGACTGCCTGTTTTACATAATGAAGCCATTCTGATCGTAATGAAACCAGTCAAGCCCTTTTTCGCCGACTTGAATGTTCTAGTCTGAAGAGGCTTCAAAAAGCTGTTTAAATCGGGACTGGAATCTCTCGCAAAATAAGTACGGACCATAGACTTTTTACAATCAACTTCGGGTCCGTCCCACCGCAGCGAACGCCCTCAAGACGGGGAGCTGTTCAGGCAGAGAGCCCCGCGGACGCACCCCTAGTTTTACGGGGACGATTGGAGGTATGATGAACCTTTCGGCCGTTTCTTCATGAGCATTTGATGCCGTTGGAACAGTTGTTGAGGATCTCTCCACTCTGGAAGCCTTGGTTCGTCACTCCGCAGAGGAGCGTGTTGTGGTTGTTCCGATGCTCTACCTTCGTCACCTTGCTCAGTTCCTCGCCGTCGACGGCCGGTAACTGACTCTCCGGGCATTTGCTCGCACTTTGCAGCTTCTGCAATTGCCGCTTGTCGTTAAAATATATCCACCTGTCAACAAAATTTAACCGTGAGTGGTCGTCGAAAAAAGCAAAATTGGGTAGATTGTGGCGAAATAATGTTTTTTATTGAAAAATGAAAACATCTCACTCTCTTATTCTCATCTTGTCGTTTTCTTCGTAAAAGAGCGTAACTACGCTTCAATGTTGCCGAACTTCCCCTTGCAAATTGCAGTTTTCCAGGAAAAACTTGGGCACTTCTAACTGAACATTCCACTGATTTTTCTTGTGGTCTCTAGCAAAAATCATAGAAATTTTGGACGAAAATTGTACATGTTTACTTTTTGTCGCTCCTCTGACATAAGGGCGTATCTCGATTAGATCATTTAATATTTTGAAAATTTCCCGGGGAAGACCCCCGATCCCCCTTTCGCCGCCCCCCACTCGAAGTGTTTGGATCCTCCCTTCTATGTAGAAAATTCGCCACTTATCGATGTCCCTCAAGGTTTTCCTCGTTTCCCAATCATATCGCGTGGATTAGGCAAAGGGACACAAATGACGTTTACATTTGTCACTCGGGAAATAGAATTTCTCTCGAAAACTTACAAAAATATGATCACAGCAGGCATTGTTAGGGCACCTCCGAGGAGATAAAATGCACCAGGCATGGAATGTAGGGTGGCACTATACACAGCACTGTACATTGGTCCGTAAATTAGAGGGACCAGCGCTTCGCTCACTCCAAAAATTGAGTTGACTTTGCCTGTGAACACACAAAAAAACTTCGATTGAGAATCTGGAAAACATAGAGCATCGAGTATGTGACAAGCGCACATCGATGGTGAAATTCGAAAAATTGCGTGTCTCTATTGTAATTTTTAAACATTAACATATCCGATACATATCCGATTATTATTTTTCATCGTTTTAACACAAATCTCATTGAAATTTCCTATGAGTTTCTTTGAAATCGTGGAAAAAATGAACAGAAACTTTGAAGGAAAAATATAACTTTTTTTTTTTTTATAATTACATGAATCAACAATACAGAAGCGACGATTTACGAAGTCGCAATTGGATCGAGCTTTTTTCGACTTTCGCCTTTGATATCATAAAAAATATCTTTCAACAGTGATAGTATAAGTGAAACGTGAAAAAACAATTTCATGAGTTGTTTTTTTTTTCTTATTTTCTTGTAAAGATTATCTTATAGTAGGTTAATCTAAATAGTCATTTAAATTATCACGCTGTCGAGCTCGAGTCAACAGAATTTTATTAGCCTGCGCGGTGACTTCGCGACCTACCAATTTCTACTATCCTATGTAGAGCCTTTGGCTACTGATAATGGGCCTTTATACGAATACGTGACGCACATAGGTTGGTCTTTGAGAGTGCGATTATTTCGACACGTGCGTAAGCGTGCACTGATTTTGCCTATCCGTTCAAAATGAAGGCGGACTCTACCCAGTGCGATAAAGAGAGCATTTGGTACATCGACGGGCAGTGGCGGTTTGCAAGTTGGCAACACTATTTTGCTTTCTCGTGAAATCGATTAAAAATATCGATTTTAGGTGAGACAGGCTGCTTTACCGGGCATCGATTGTTTTATGTACATTTAAATGGACGAAAAACAGTGTTGCCAACTTTCAAGAATAGCCACTGATCGAGGGTGAAACTGCAAAAGCGCATATCGACGGTGAAACTACCAAACCACGTATCTCGGTTTGCGACGTCGCAGACTTCCTGTCATACATTATTTTTTAAATGAAAAACTACTTAACGTCTAGTCTTGAAAATTTCTGTGATTTTTCCTCTTTGTGCGGAGGAAATTCTGTGAAAATTTCAAGGAATGATATTGATTTGGTCGACTTCAAAAAAATAAAATGCAAGCGTAGATTTTTAAACACCGCAAACGAGATACGTGGTTTGGTAGTTTCACCGTCGATATGTCGTTTGCAATGTTTCAAAAAACCCCGATTTGCTCTCATTTGATCAAAAGAGACCCAACTAACCCTATTACTTGCCATTATTCACTTGAATATTCCTCATACAAAGGAGAATTATTAAAGCAAATTTTAAGAAATGACGTTGCGTACTTTTTTCATTTGAAAAATAAGGCATGACAGGAGCTCTGCAGCGTCGGAAACTGATGAGTTACGTGTTTTTGCAGTTTCAACGTTGTTATAGGATCAGAAGGGCACAAGGGCACGTTTTGACGAAACTGAGATAAATCATTGATAAACGGTAATTTTTCATCCGCAGCCATTAATAGAAAGAAATCGACAAAAAGTAAATCTTAAGGGTCTAACGTCTAATACATGTAAGTGGGAATAAGACACCCCGGGCGCTAATCAGCTTACCTAATTCGTCAGCTGGCACGAGTTTTGAAATGATGGAGCGCACGGCAATGAATGACGTTCCATTCACAATATCGACTAAGGAACCTGAAACAGAAATGGAAAATAGAGCTGTTATTCATCAGGTGAATATGATGCACATCCAGAAAAATCTTTTATAGAAAGAAGGGATACAAGATCTGTGCGAGCATCCATTTAAATTCCAGATAATTTTAAGGAAAAGCTTGCGAAGTAGTTACCGCCAAATATTAATTTGAAATTTACAAACGAAGAGCCAGTTGAGTTATACGTTGTCGCAGAATTATGTTTCAATACTTCATAAATGACGATACTTCTGATACAACTATTCGTGCTTAAAGGATGTCCGTGTTGCATACGTGGAATTATGAAGGCATTTTTTTCTCTTGCCACTGAGCGATGAGCGTGGCTCTCAACCAAAAATTAAAGAGGGTGATTGAGCTCGGAACAGTAACACCATATTCATGGTCGTTCTTAAAAAACTCCTATAATTTCTTCTGACGCCCCCCCCCCTCCTTCTTGTTTCCTTGTTTCCGAGGCAAACTAATGTAATTTTGCTAGCAACATTAGCATGATTCTGGGCCTGGTGGCACTAAATACATGGTTTCACCGCGAAAAATCGGAGAAAAAGAAATGCGCGTAATGTATCGTGACTCACTGGAAAAAAAAAAAAAAAACACATTGGATCTAGAATCCAGACTCTTAAAAACATCGACAAGAAAAAATACTCTTGATTCAATCACACTTAAGCTTAAATCAAGAACCAAGCCTTTTAATTTGAGCGGATTTCCTTTTGATTTAAGCTTAAATCTGATAGAATCAAGAGTCCTTTTTCTTGTCAATGTTTTCAAGAGTCTGGACTCTAGATCCAATGTGTTTTTTTTTTCCAGTGCTTCGTGAACTGATCGCACTTCAAAACTGTCGAGGTAAACGAAAACGCCGCAAGAGTATTCATATATTTCCAAATTTTCCGCAAAAAAATATTTATTTTCCAGAGAAATTATTATCATTACTTTTTATTTGAATACGTAGGAATATTCCGTAAACGAGCGAATAAAATTCTGTGAAATATCCCAAAATTTCTCATAAACGTACGAATAAAATTCTGTGAAAAATTCTAAAAAAAATCACTCGTCGTCATCTCAAAATTCTCTTTTCATCCAAACGAGGAGGAAACTCAGCAACGTTCGAAGGCTCATACGGCGTTCTTCCTTAGCACGACAGAAAAGCTCTACGTGGGTTCTGCCCAAAAATGTCAACCACTTTAATTTGCATACGAATATTGACATTGTTACATTCCGAAAACGCTAAGAAAGCGCTTTATACTGATATGGCTTCAACAATTTTAATTCATCTCCACCAAGCGACTTAATCTCGAGCAATTAAAGGAATTAATACGGAGATAATTGAGATGGCAGTTCAATGACCTCTGTCGGACGTAAGTTATACCCAGCCGAGTCTCGTAGCGTCGGCGACCACAGGTAGCGTAAAATACGGAATCTGCTTCTTGCCTCAACCGGCTCACTTAAGGCAAGTAAGCCTTAAAATTCTTCAGCGTTCCCACCGTGATCGGGGAATAGCTAAGAAAAGAGCCATTAATTAAAGAGGCTTCCGACATGATTTTGGTGTGAGCGCTAAACGAGCCGATATACAGTTGATATACAGAGATCATTATTGCAGAGGGACTTTTGATATGACCGGCGAGTATCAAATACGACCAAATTTTTGGCCTCTTTAATGAACGACGAATCTTATGTTGATTTCCTTGTGCAGTTGAGTGTTTTTATGAATGTATCAATGAGCTTGACATTTCTCTGCTCTAAATTATGTCTATTTGGTGGGAAGACCAGGCTTAAGCTCAATATAGCGACGCGCTTTCGGAGAGCCTCGTTGGCAAAATGGGAATGTGATGGGCAGTTCACTTCTCAAACTTATCGTTTTTTAAATGGTCTCTGTATAGGTCCAGCGTGAGAAATGCAACCTCGATTTAATAAGGTTGGATACTCCTTCCGCATCAACACACACTTGATAAATTATCAATGGGTATATCACTTGAAAAAAGGGCGATACAGGAAGAGGGAAAAGGTGATGAAGAAAAAAGAAAGGAATCGGAAGAAAGAGGATAAGAATAGAAAAGAAGGCGGGAGGAAGGGGTAGATGAGAAGTGAGGGATGGGAAGGAAAGGAAACAGGAAGATGGGAGAGAAAATTATTGGCCATGGAAAAAAAGAGAGTAAAAAGTTGAAACGGGTTGGAGGAGGAGATAATAAAGAGAAAGAGAAAGAGAGGAACGGAAGAGGTGAAAAAAAAGAAAAATGAAAGGGAAGGGGAGAAAAGAGGAGGAAAGGGAATGAGAGGGAAAGAAATGGAGAGAAAAGGAAGGGAAGGGAATGAAAGGGAATGAGATGGATAGAAATGGATGGGAAGGGAGGTAGTAGTAGTAAAATAATTTTATTTTAAAGCGGTGCTTTAGCATCTAAGGCCATTTACACCTCTAAGAATGCAATGGGAAAGAAAGAAAATAAGGAGGTAAAATAATGTTGATACAATGAATGCAATTTTTGGCTGACTGAATTAAAAGCTGCATTGTTTTGGTTTAAAAAATAATAAGTGGAAAAAAGAGAAAAATTCATTGCTTACCTAAATAGTATATAGTTTCAGTTGGGGCGTAGGCATAAATAAATCCAGCGAGGATTTTACTCATACAGGACATCACGCCAATTAGTGAATCGTCAATTTTCAGTAGATGACTGAATACCCCGACGGATATCGAAGTACCTGAAACACACAGAGGAACATGCGTTGAAATTATTTAGGGTAAATGGTTACAGGGGAAGTGTTTACTTTAATTGTAGATTTAGTGACAACCATATGTATATGTTATGAACAGGAAAATGAAGAAAAAAGGCTAACTACTGTTTTCGAGAGGAAAAATTTTTTTAAAAATGTCAACTCGTGATGTTGTGCATGAGAATAGAAAAATCGACAGTAAAACTGAGGATGGACTCGGTTGGTTCCGGATGATTATACCTCATTTCCTCACTGCATGCTTCCGCCACGCTGCTTTTCCAATCAGTGTTGTCACTTCTATGAGGCAATATCTGATTTTTCCGTTTTGAACCATGTCAAGAGGACGAGTTATGAAGTAAAAGCGGCTGCATTGTTTCCTACTTCACTAGATGAGTTCCGATGCACGCTTTAAAATCGACCGTTAAAATTGATCAGAGCGTCAAAGCATAATGAAGTAATCTATCAATGGTTACCGGCTTCGGACCGTGCTAAAAATAACAGTTACCAAATGACTCACAGTTTTCTTCCTAGCCTTGCTAGAGAAAAACCCCAAGGAAACATCAAGACACTACTCGATTCTGTAAAAAACTTGCGGACATTTTTCACTTAGGTTTCCAAAAAATGTATATGCACTTTAATCTAGTGCTCTAACGAATTCCAAGGAAAATATTCGGAATTTTTTTTAAAAATGAAGATTTCACCCGAGGAAATTTGATAAAATTCGAATCCTCGTACGTGCTGCTTCCTTAGCACGAGAGCATATGCCTCGGTTTTGTGTCGGTTGCGGCGAAAGAAGCAGATATTTAAGCCAAACCAATCACCAGCGAATCTGAACCTTCAGACATTTTTTGAAAATGTAGAGCGTAACATGAGAGTTCCTCCACTCCGCACCGATGAACATCTAATTCTCCCGAAGACTAAACAAGACAAAACTGTTGCAAACAAATATTGCTGCTCCCAAGCCGCTCACATTGCCTATCGAAATATTGAAGGCGAACTGGTCGGAAGGATTGAAAAACAATGCGAGTGAAATATTCAGCTATTATAGCTATGAACAACCTTAGAATTACGTTTAAATGATCTAAACTTTTTGATAACGAATCCTAATGAGGCGAAAAACACACAGGATATGTTGGAGACTTGAACGCGGTGTAAGAAAGTAAACCATTTCTCTATTCGTCCAGTCTAATTGGCCATGATAGCCATAAAGAATTTTTTTTTCTTTTACAACACCTCCTGATCGTGGCCAAAACTATGGTTGGCTGCCACCTTTTTCGTTTGGAGGCTTTCCAGTGTTGTCGAGTTTAGACTTTGTCCGGAGGTGGCTACCGCCACCCATGATGCCGCGAGCAACTAATACTACTTTCAAGTCGCTCACATTGCCTATCGAGATTTTGAAGGAAAACTAGTTTGGACGAGTGAGAAAAAATGTAATTGGAGTATAATTCCCTCAATACCACGAATTAAGCGGGGCTCACTAATCTAAAATGTGGGTGCCTAGAGACGCACAATGATCATATTCAGTGGTATACCGGGGTCCTAAAGGTCTCAAAAGCAACGAAGAAGCTCCCGAGACCTCAAAATAGTATGCATGAATTTAACTGGAACCAGGGAAAACTGGAGGGGTATCAAGAATCAAAACTGCAATAATCAAATTTATCAATGGGCCTAAATGCCTCGAAAGAGGGCCCTACGTTCTAAAGACTCGAAATGAAAAAATTCCTAGGTATACACACGCCTGCTTAAAAAATTTAAAAAAAAATATTTATTGAAAAACTTGGTTCCAAAAACACGTACAGTTGTGTTCCGAAGAAGATACATACTCTTAAAATTTTCCGAAAGAGTGCCTGTGGACCCTTCCACTCCATCTGGGGGGAGGGGGGGGGTCTCCTAGACTCTCCCGTAGAGGGGATCCCAAAATGGCTGCGGGCCGATTATTGAAATTGATAGACAAAGCTATAGACAAAGAAGAATCGGATTCAGAAAAAAATTACAAACAAGAAAAGGTGACAAAATCTCTCATTTCCTAAGAGTTCAATAATTCCTAATTTTGTCGTATTTCGGTGATACAAAAGACTGCGCACCTTTAATGAGCTGAGTTAAGAGAGAACCCAAACACGTAATTTGGCCTGGAGCGGCGCGGCGCAAAGAGAAATGATGACGAGGACTTGAGATGAAAAGGAGAAGCCCTCGACGCGGCGGTCGGCATGTAACACATATTAGCGCCTACAAGACTCCATGAATACTGCACGCATTGCGTTAAACGCAGCACGGTCAACAGCGGTCGGCGCGGCGTGAAACGCACAGTGCCTACAAGACTACATGAATACTTCGCGCATTGCGCCAACACAGTGCGGTCGGCGCGGCGGTGGAAGTTAAAATTATTAAACCACATTCATGTTTACATAATACAGGCGGCCCATGGGCGGCAAGTGGGTAAATCCGGCCGTGCTGCCGTGTTATCAAAAAGAGCAGTGTATGTGCAAAAATAAAATCTTGAAAAAATAATCCTTGTAGCACTTGAGCGGGAAATTTTACCGAGGTAATCTTTTGTTTTACATAAAACTATCAATAATCATTTAAGAAACTTTTTGAAATGGACGAAATCGATCAACAATATAAGAAGGACCTTATTTGTTCAATATCAGGCAAGAAAGCGGTACGCATTATCCTCTGCACGCTTGCTCAGATACGTAGTTACGTTTCCCACATAGCACAGAATCTTATGTCAATACTGATACATATTGTTGAATGTTGACATGATATCACCAACACTAACGAGTATGATATTAAGATTGTCGGTTAAAAGGTATACCGCGTCAGCATGAATATAACACTGATACCTTCAATATATCAAACAACAGTATTGAGTCAATGCTGACGAGGTAAAAAAAAAAAAATATAGGAAGAAAAAGAAGCCTAAGAAAACACGGTGTTAATCAAAGTTATGATGAAAGTCGAGCCGCGCACTGATACTATGCATGCTATAACAGCCTTATTAACAGGCGTGATTTTAACCCGGAACACCATCAGCTCCCTGTGGCTCAATGGTAGAGTACTGGGCTAGGAATTCCGCGGTTCGGGTTCAAATCCACCCGAGGGCGACCGGGTATTTTACGCTACTAAACGTCGCAGGACATCATGTAAGTGGTTTATAATATTCAATACTTGTATACTTGTGTAATTCATGTTTCAAATGTAATACATGTGCAGTACTATGAAAATGACGGTCATCGTCTGAACTTTCATATCTACTTGACAGTGGGCGCTAAGTGTACAGACGTTTCAGTGTCAAGGTAGTAATGCATACATGTTGTCGGTGTCCTGCAGTGTTCTGATGACCTTGTCATAACCCTGATTTCCATATGAAATCAACCTTTTCGGCCAATACTGTGACAATATTTTGACAGCTCCAAATCAGTAACTAATAAATACTGGCATAGTCTTGATATAATACTAAATCAGGATACATCAGCATTATATAAATACTGACAATACTGACGTGTCAGTACTATTGTAATATTATATCAATATTCTGTGCTATGTGGGTTTGGACGGTCAAAGTTCAATGGACATTTAAGAATATGTTAATGTTAGAAATAGGCAGAGAATGGCACCATTTCACTCATGATAGCTGCATGTACCTTAATACAGCTCTCGCGCGGAATTGTGTGGACTTACAGCTGTTTTGTCTGAAACTGCGTCAATTTTTGCGAACTCACTACTTTCTCACATAACTCACGTTTTTTCAAAAATAAAAACATCTTGCTGTGTTAGCTGAATTACGATCAGATCATTCACTGGAAAAAATAACACACTGGATCTAGAGTCCAGCCTCTTAAAAACAGCGACAAGAAAAAGTACTTGATTGAATCAGAATCTAGCTTAGGTAAATCAAGAACCAAGCCTCTTAATTTAAGCGGATTTCGTTTTGATTCAAGCACAAATCCGATTGAATTAAGAGTACTTTTTCTTGTCAATGTTTTCTAGAATCTGGACTCTAGATCCTATGTGTTTTTTTTTCCAGTGTTTAAATTGAACTTAACTGGTGAACTTAATTGAACTGGTCTTTTGAAGGAAACTCGATTTCAAAAATTTACGCGTTTACTGCTCTCTTATTCCTGAGAGTTTTTTCGACAATATTCGTTGGTTTGCTGTAAATGAAAATGAAATGGGTCAAAAAATCAACATCGTCGCAAATTGAGGTACGCGACTCGTGACTTCCACCATCGTCGAAGGGTTTTGAATGAAGGACTTTAATATGACAACTGCACTTGTCAAACGGATCGTGAGTCTTATGCAACCGTCCGAGTGTGACATCATTTGCATCGCGCTCCGATTTGTGGGACAGCATTGCAGTTTACAGCGATGATTTTGCCCTACATAGTGCCGAGATGCGAATCAATTCGACAAAACGTAGGTATATGAACGTGTAAATGTGTCATGCGGACTGATATTGACCTAATGACATATCGATGGCCAAAGTGCGTGAAAACGTATTCTCCATTGCGGTGTTTCAAATTTTCCGTTACTATTTTACTCTTCCGAGCCAACTTTATAGCATGGAATGTACCCACACAGAATATTCTGCTGACGGAAAGGAAAAGTCATGGAAGTTTTCAAGAAATTACGTTGAGTAGTTAACCAAAAAATACAATTAAATATGACAAGAAATCTGCCACGTTGCGGACGGAGATACGTGGTTTCGCGCACTTCGGCCATCGATGCTGACATAATTAAAGCACCAAACCACCTTTCTCGGTTTGCGTCGTTGCAAATCTCCTGTTATTTAAAACGTTTCTGCCGGAGGCTTGATTATTCTCTCTGCAAAAACTTGGTTAATTTTTCTTCGTTCTCCCAACAATTCTGCTGTTGGTGAAACTGCCAAAAACGCGTGTTGCGATTCGCGAAGTCGCATTTTTGTCATGATTTATTTTCTAGATAGAAAATCACTCAAAGGTATTTTTGAAAACTTCCCTTTGATTTCT